TTGTTTAAATTTATTATAAAAAAAAAAAAAAAATATAAAAAAAAAAAAAAAAAAAAAAAAAAAAAGATTGTTTCAATTTTTATTTACAAGTTTTTAATACAAATTCATCTATAAACCATTGATGAAACCTATAATCATCAGATAATTCTGGATGGAATGATGTACCTAGTATTCTACCTTGTCTGACAGCTACTATTAGTTCATTGTCTCCATGATAATTATGAAGTTTATACAAGACTTCAACTGGAGCTGGATTCTGGTAATTGTTTTCGGATTTAATTAATTGTTTGTCATCTGTTGTTTCATTCAATATTTTTGTAACAACTGGTGCCCTTATAAAGACCGTTGGGAAATCTTTACAATCTGGTATAAATTCACTAAAATCCAATTTCTTTTCAAATGAATCAATTTGTCTTCCAAACGCATTTCTATTAACTTGAATATCCAAACCTCCTAAACATCTTTGATTTTCTAATCCATTTATAATTTCTTTAGATAAAAAGATTAACCCAGCACAAGTTCCCCAAATAGATTTTGATTCATCAGCTACAAATTTGTATAACGATGGTAATAATTCCGTTCTTTCTGCTATATATGACATTGCTGAACTTTCTCCACCAGGTATTACTAATGAATCACATTTTTCTAATTGATCTTTGGTTCTTACCTCGATTACTTCAAATGAATAATTTAAATATTTATTTTCATTATTAGCAATTGCTTTTTTTAAGTAAATTGAATGTTCAAGAAATGCTCCTTGTAAGCTTAGTACACCTATCACTATGTTTCTTGTCACTGTCATCTAGTCAATGTGCTTGTGGTATCGATCATGAATCTTTTTGATTCTTGAATATTCCAATTCTTATCAGAAATCAGTCTGACTCTAGATTTTCAAATTACTTACACAAAATCAAAAAATCTAAATCGTATATCGTATAAGCGCATATGACTCTTAGCGAGTTTTAGATGATGGAAAAACAATATTCAACATAAGAATCAGTATATATCAATTGTCGCTGAAGTCATTTTGATGAGAAATTAATGATCCGGTCGCATCAATGAGTAAAGTTTTGACTATGTTCAAATTTCAGCTTGATTAATCCAGATTTGATATATTAAGACTTAAGACATAAAATGCGGGGGTGGGACTCCATGCTTTTCTCATAACACTTTTAGTTGAAATTAGTTGTCTATTGTAATATCATTCTGCAATCCAAGCTAATGACCATTGAACCATAACAGCGAGGGGTCTTATTCTTCTTACTCTATTAATAGATATAAGTTATGACTCAATTGATGTGATTCATTTTTTATCAATCGTAACTATATACCAAAATGGTTGAAAAAGAAGTCAAAAAATAGTTTTGAGTAATTTTTCATATTTTTCAAAAAATATATTATAACATCAAGAAATCAGTATTGAAGTGATATCTGTCTGCATTATTTTTGTTTAAAATTGATTTTTTTGTCAAAGCTTCTAAAACTTATTTATCATCAAACATCAACCTAATCAAACACTCAATCACAAACAATGTCAGAATTCAAAATCAAAGCTGGATTAGCTCAAATGTTAAAAAATGGAGTAATTGGTGATGTTGTTACCGCCGAACAAGCCGATATAATGGAAAGACTGGGAGCAGCATCAGTAATGGCATTAGAATCGATTCCAAGTGAAATGAGAAAATCAAATAAAGTTTGTAGAATGAGTGATCCAAAAATGATTAAAGAAATTATGGAAAAAGTTAAAATTCCAGTTATGGCAAAAGTTAGAATTGGTCATACAGTTGAAGCTCAAATCTTGGAAGCTTTAGGTGTAGATTATATTGATGAAAGTGAAGTTTTAACTCCTGCTGATAATGTTGAACATATTGATAAAAATAAATTTAAAGTTCCATTTGTATGTGGTGCAAGAAATTTAGGTGAAGCACTTAGAAGAATTAATGAAGGTGCTGCTATGATAAGGTGTAAAGGTGAAGCTGGTACTGGTGATGTTGCTTCCGCTGTTGATCATATTAAAACTATAAGAAAAGAAATTGAAGCTGCTTCAAAATTGACTACTAAAGAAGAAAAATTAAATTTAGCTAAAGAATTAAGAGTACCAGTTGAATTAGTTGAAGAAGTTATTGAATTAAAAAGATTACCTGTTGTAACTTTTGCTGCTGGTGGTGTTGCTACTCCAGCTGATGCTGCATTATTAATGCAATTAGGTTGTGATGGAGTATTTGTTGGTTCTGGTATTTTTAATTCAAAAAATCCTGAAAAATTAGCAAGAGCTATTGTTAATGCTGTAACTCATTATAATGATCCAGTTAAATTATTAGAATATTCTACTGATTTGGGTGATTTAATGGCTGGTACTCCAATCAATTCTATAAAGGAATCAGAAAAATTAGAAAACAGAGGTTGGTAATCAAATTTTGTAAATAGATCAAAAAAAATTATTACATATTTATATTTATAATCTAGGAAAATTAAAATGGTTAATGTTTTAAATCTATATTATGTTCGTAATGTTTTCTTCCATATAAAAACCATAAACCAATTGTGAATAAAAATGTTATTCCTAGTACAACACATGCATAATTCATATTTGTTGAATCAACTGGATTAACAAGAGGAAAATTTAACCAAACCATTATGAAGCATACCCAAATCACTGAAGCAATATTCATTGGCATTCCAAATTTACCTAAATTAAAATATGAATCAAATCGATAAAATGAACATTTAGTTTTTATCAATAAACAAGTAAGTGGTATGAGGTATGATAAATTTATACAAACCATACATGAACCTAAAACTGCATTTAAAATTGATGAAGATCCAAACATAATACAACCTAAAATTAAACATAATATAGTAACAAACCCTAATGCCCAAATTGGACTTTTAAACTTTTTATTAATTGAACCTAATTTTTTAGAAAATGGTAATGGATTTGAATTTGCAAATGACCAAACTAATCTTGAAGTAGAACAATAATATAAATATGAAGAACCAATAAATGAAATAATTAAAAATATAACACCCAAAATAGTTAAAGCATCATTATCAAAAGAATCATACATTAATTGAACAAATGGTTGACCACCTACTGGTGTTGTTAAATTATCAACATTTTTAACACAAAACATGTATACTATAGCTGCAAAAAATGCAATTATAGCTGAAAATGAATTTGATATAACCATAACCAAAGGTATATTTCTTTCTGGTTGTATAATCTCATCTGTCATATGAACTGCACCATCAAATAAAGTAATACTAGCTATACTTGGTAATAATCCTAAAAAAAACACAACTCCATTAGATGACCAACCTGAATCATTTACAATTTCTTTAAATACAAATGATGATGATTGTTTTGGTGCTTTGACTAATAATGTAATAATTATAAATAAAGTTGCAATATTAACAATCCCGGCAACAAATTTTGTACAAATTGGTAAAATTTGAACAGCAAAAGCATTAAGTATAAATCCAGATAAAAAAATACCCGTATAAACCAAATAATAATGAAAAGTTTTAGGTATAAAATCTTGATATAATTCAATTAATGCAAATAATAAAACAGTAGCAACATAAGTACTACTTAAACATGCAAATATCCATCCAGCACATGATAAAATCCCAGTAATAAAACTTAATAACCTTTTATAATTATCACTAGCTAAAACATAAGTCCAATGAATTTGAGCAGATGAATGAGGATAAACACTAGCTAATTCAGCTAATGAAAAACATATAATTAAATTAAAAAAAGCAGTTAATATAAATCCATAAATGAAAAATGGACTACCTCCTTCACCAATAACTGTATTTAAATAAGCTCCAATAGCTAATGCTGAACAAATTAATGATATTTGAAAAGCACAAGTTGAAAATAAATTAAAATTTTGTTGTAAATGTTTGTTTTCATTATCATGGACTTCAATCACTGATATTTCTTGATTAAGTTTCTCCACCGCCATTTCAAAAACTGTAGATTGAAAATCATGTCAACCTTGCATTTGATAAACGTATGGGATGAAGTTTAATATAACTGAACTCCAATTTCTAGAACAAATTCCATCTTGATTGATTGATAACTAGGCGGGAATTGATTATCAAATTCCGTTCAGATAACCCATCGCGGTAATTGACATTAAGCGCCCTTATCTCTTCTTTTCACCATTAACAATAAAGTAAAGCTTTGCGTCAGACCTTAATTTAAATTTGTTCTATAATGGAAGTGAAATACTTAATCTTTTACCGACTCACAGGTCTAGATTAATTTGTATAATCAAGCGGAATATATTTTTTTCAACCTTAGATAAAATTAAATTAATAAATTGATAAGGTGAACAAAGAAGAACAATAGAATTATGAAGATTTTAAGAAGTTATACATAATCAAAAAATTAGTAACCAAAGTCAAAAATTTCATATTGTAATGAACGAACTGCAAAACATGGTATTAAAAAATTCAAAACTTAGACAAATATAAGAAGTTGATTGTCTACTTTCATAGATCGGTTAAAATGTGCTAAGTACGGAGTATTGAAGAAAACAAATCACAGAAGACCATGGGTGTTGAAAAAAACCCACCAATAGATATAGACGTTGAAAAACTATCATCAGATAATGAGTCAGTTTCAAATACAGGTTCTTCGACAAGTAACTCAATAAATGATTTTAAAGCAAAAATAAATATTGAAAAACATGGTATTACAAAAAGAGGTTTAAATTCAAGACATGTAAATCTCATGATTATTTCACAATCAATTGGATCAGGATTATTTATATCTGTGAAAACTCCATTAGTTACAAGTGGTTCATTAGGATTTTTTATAGCTTTTGCAATTTGGGCTTTTTTAGTTGTTTATCCGTTAATGCAAGCTGTTGGAATATTATGTTGTTATTTACCAATAAAAGGTAGTTTTTTCCATTATTGTGCAAGATATGTTGATAGTTCTTTAGGTTTTGCAGCTTCAATGATTTATATATATACAACAATGATGTTTGTTTGTTTAGAAGCAACAGCTGTTGCTCAATGTATAAGTTATTGGACAAATTTAAATCCAGGAGTTTGGATTACTATATGTATTTTATTATATTTAATGATGGGATTAATTGGTGTAAATTATTATGGAGAAATTGAATTTTATACAGGTATAATGAAAATTTTATTAATTGTTGGTTTAATGTTATTTTCTTTAATTTCAATGTGTGGTGGTAATTCAAAGGGAGATGCTTATGGTTTTAGAAATTGGCATCCTTTATTTAAACCTTATTTAGTTGATGGAAATACTGGTAAATTCCTAGCATTTTGGAATTCATTATTATGGGCAGCTTTTGCAGCAGGTGGTGCAGATAATTTAGCTTTAATAGCAGGAGAAGTTATAAATCCAAGAAAAAATGTTGCAATGGCTGCTAAAAGAAGTTATATTAGAATTTATTTATTTTATATTGGTGGTATATTTTTTTTAAATTCATTAATTTCAGCAAATAATCCACAATTATTAGATGCAATGACAAATGGTGGTGAAGGAGCTGCTGGTTCACCATGGGTTATTGGAATTAAAGCTGTTGGTGTAAAGGGACTTGATTCATTAATTAATGCTTTAATTATGAGTTCAGCTTTTTCATGTGGTAATGCATTTTTTTATTGTTCAACAAGGTCAATTTATTCTGCTGCTATAGCAGGTTATTTACCTAGATTTTTTGGTAAATGCTTAAAAAATGGAGCTCCTGTTTATTGTGTTTTATTAACATTTGCAGTTTCTTTATTAAGTTATTTAAATGTTTCAAATTCAGGAACTGTTGTATTTAATTGGTTTGTTAATCTTTGTGCTACTGGAATAATTTGTGCTTATCTTTGTATTTGGTGGAGTTATTTTAATTTTAGAAAAGCATGGGAGAAACAAAATAACATGAAGATGAAACATTCTCAATATCCTTATTATTTAGGTCCAAAATTTTTACATCCATTCATGACTTATGCAGGACTTATAATTACAGTATTGGTATTAATTTTCAATGGATTTTGGATTTTCTTTCCTGGAAATTTTAATGCTTCAAATTTTTTAACAAGTTATTTTGCTCCTATATTTTTAGTATGTTTGTTTATATTTTGGAAAATTTTAAAACGTACTAAATTTAAAACAAGTTCAAATGCTGATATTACATCAGATTTAAAAGAAATTGATGAAGAATTAGAAGCTGAAATTAATGAACTTGAAAATAAACCAAAGTCTAATAACAAATTTTTGAAAATTGTTCACAAGATTAACTCGTTTTTATTTGATTGATCATTAAGTAATTGATGTAATATTTATTTATAGGGATTGTATAATAGATTAGATAGAAATAACAGGATTATTTTGAATATGGATTCAAAACATCTCTACCGCAATAGTAATTGGATTTAAATTTGCACCTTTACTACAATAGTAATCTGAAACAACTGTTTTAGTAATTTTGTATGATCTATAGTTCCTGAAGACATGGTCAATGCTTAGATAAACTTAAGATCAAGTAATTGTGTTTTCTACAAGAAGGTAAGTTAGTATGGTACAATTTGATGCGTTTTCATTTGTTGCTTTTGCAGGTATTTGTTTCAAAATATGCTTGAATCTTATTTATATTTTGTCAACCGTACACCTTTTGATAAACAAAACTTCAGACTTACGTTTTTGAGATAATCCATACCAAGAGTGATAACTTGCTAGGTAGTGGGGAGACTCGAGTTAGTTTACTTAAAAAGGTTTTCAAATACTCAAATTCGTTAATCAGTTAAACTATGTACTAAGAAATTCATTAAAGTCTTGTCATTTTCAAAATGCCGTATCTGACAACGTCCATTCCTAGTAAGGTTAAGATTGAAGTTTGATCATTATCAACTAATTCTATTCAACGTCTAGCCATCATGGTGTCTTTGTTGTTTACAAATAATAGATAGCACTGAGATTGCTTTACCACAGAATGGTGCATAAGTTTAATAGACTATGCTCGAATCTTAATATCAGTTCAATTCCGATAAATTTTACAAGTTTTATGTTTCAGAGCAGAAGACTAATAATAAAGTCCGAAATAAATATGGAGTTCAAGCTTTTCAACATGAAACTAACTATACATTCACCGGTTATATGACAGCTGTATGATAGACGAAAGTATGGAAATACTTATCGTGTCAATGGAAATAATTTATTATGAGAGAAAAAAAAGTAATTCAAATCGAAGAAAAGAAAAAAATATAAGAGAACCGAGACAAGCTTTGATTGATAAACAAGAAAAGTAATTTGTTAATTAATAAAGTATTATTGGTGGTGAAATATTATCAATAATTTTCAGATAATGGAAAACCCATTGTTCTTATCTCAGTATTCATTAAGACAAGAAGGAAGAGGAAGAAGGTTAATTGAATAAACTATCAAAATGGAATGGCTCAACATTTTGAAATTTCTAGGCTATTCATTCGTATAGATATTGCCTGAATCTTGGAAATCTGGATCTCCACGATTTAAAAATAAGATTTGAATTTGAATTATTGAGTTATTAAAAAAGTTTTTTGTTACTACACATTCATTTTATCCGATACGTCATAAAAAGTTAAAAGAATTAATATGTCAATCAAATGAAATATTATATTTTCATTCTTATAATATTTCGGTAACATAATATACTTTCCCCCACCAAAAAAATATTATATTTACTAGATAATCATTGATAATTTTTCGAAATAATGTATTCTTTGACAAATATCAAGAAAAATTTTGATTATTATAATTTAACATTCTTCACTTTATCAAATTCAAAGTTGTTTTCAATGAGTATTGTGAAATAAAAAAATAATTTTCTTTGCTTGATTAATGTTTCAATAAAATGTTCATTTATATAAAACCCAAGTCGATTCCTGTGAATGAAAAGAAACAAAAGAGCTCATCAAATACAAGTCATCCTTTATCAAAGTTTTATTTATTCAATTACTTTCGAAAAAATGGTTTTTGAAAATCCAAGTACATCGACAACAAGCAACGAAGAAGATGATGAAAAAAAAATAAAATTTGTAACAAATCACAATAATAAAAGTAATAATGATATAAAATCAATAGTTTCAAAACAACATGAAGAAGAATATGATTTATATGTTGCTAAATCAAATCCAAGTATTCATTTACAAAATATTGAAGATGGTCATAGATTAAGAAAAGCTTTAGATCCAAGACATGTTAGTATGATTGCTATTGGTGGTGCTTTAGGGTATGTTTTCTTCCATCTTTTAGCTAGTTTGATTCTATATCATGAGTTTGAATGAATTTATCTGGCGATGAGGACGTCATTTATTTTGACTGAAATATAATATTTTGCAAATTTTGAAATAATCCTGTAACATGAAATGGCTACCAAGTTTTGTCACAGAAGTTTTAAAATTTTGCAATCACAGTCAACAACATATATGAGATTAAATACTAACAACTGAAAACAGAACAGGTCTTTTAATAGGTACAGGAAGTTCATTAAGAACAGCAGGTCCAGCAGCAATTTTAATAACATATTCAGTAATTGGAGCAGTAGTATATATAGTAATGACAGCATTAGGAGAAATTTCAACATTTATACCAATGCCAGGATTTGCAAATTATGGTAAAAGATATTGTGATGAAGCTTTGGGTTTTGCATGTGGCTATAATTATTTAATTAAATATTTAATTTTACCTGCTAATCAAATGACTGCTGGTGCTTTAACTATTCAATATTGGATTGATAGAGAAACTGTTAATCCAGGAATTTGGATTACAATTTTTTTAATTATTATTATGGGTATAAATTTTTTAGGTGTTAGATTTTTTGGAGAAATTGAATTTTGGTTAAGTAGTGTTAAAGTTTTAACAGTATTGGGGATCATATTAATATTAATAATTATTGTTTTAGGTGGAGGACCAACTGGAGATAGATTAGGTTTTAGATATTGGGAAAATCCTGGTGCATTTATTGAATATGAAAATTTATCAAATAATTTTATTATTGAAGGTGATAAAGGTAGATTTGTAAGTTTTATTGCTGTATTAGTTTCTGCAGTTTTTGCTTATTTAGGTACTGAATTAGTTGCTATAACATTTGCAGAAACAAGAAATCCAAGAAAAGCAATTCCTAAAGCTATAAAATTAACATTATATCGTATCTTGGTATTTTATATTTTATCAATTTTATTTGTTGGAATGGCTGTATCAAGTAGAGATTCAAATTTAATGGGAGCAAGTGGTACAAATGCTGGTGCAAGTCCTTTTGTTATAGCAATTAAAAATGCTCAAATTAATGGATTAGATCATGTTATAAATGCATGTATTTTGATTTTTGTATTTTCAGCAGCAAATTCAGATGTTTATGTTTGTAGTAGAGCATTATATTCATTAGCTGCTGATGGCTATGCACCAAAAATCTTCACAAAGACTAATAGATTAGGAGTTCCATATTATGGATTAGGATTATCATTGTTATTCAGTTTATTAGCTTATATGAATGTTAGTAGTGGATCAGCAGAAGTATTTGGATATTTTGTTAATGTTGTAAGTTTAACAGGTCTTATTGCATGGTCATGTATATTAATTTTCCATATAAGTTTTATGAAAGCTTTAAAAGTTCAAGGATTTGATAGAAATAAAGATTTAGTTTATAAATCTCCATTTCAACCATATGCTTCCTATATTGCTTTATCAATTTGTATTTTAGTAATTTTAATTAAAAATTTTACAGTATTTTTAGGTGATGAATTTGATTATGAGAATTTTATAACAGGTTATATTATTTTACCAGTATTTTTTATAATTTTCTTGGGTTATAAGTTTTGGTATAAAACAAAATGGCTAAAATCAAATGAAGTTGATTTAGATACTTTTAGAGATGTTATAGATTCAGAATATGAACAATTTAAAGCTGAAGATGCTGAAAGAAAAGCGGTAAGAGAAGCTGAAGGTAAAAAATATGATAAAGAATGGTTCTATGATAAATTTTTAGGTTGGATTTTTTAGAAAAAGTTATGATAATAGACTTTATATAAATTATTATGTATTAATAGTATGAATCAAAACTGACAAAATGCATGAGCAAAATTAAGTCGATCTCCTGTTCTTTTTCTCATTTTCATTTGGGAAGAAACTATCCGGTCATTATTCATTCGTGAAATATAAATTCGATGGCATAAATTAGAGGAACAACCCCATCAAAAAAAATCTCGGACTTGTTCCCCCACAATAGTCTAAATATGTCAAATTTTTAATGTACTCAATGTCACAAAAGTGAAACACAGAAACGTACATAAGTAAAAACTTGTAAAATATATGAAATGCCTAATAAACTCTTATTTCAAATGCCGTTGAATGAAAAATAGCATTAGACAAGGTTGTAAAACTATTCGTAAGTCATACCCATTTCTAACCCTAATTCTTGTTGAGTTATATTTTACCCCAGAATTTTGTTTATTTTCTGGAACAAGATGATTTGTTTGGGTAATACACAAGATCAACTTTATCCTATTGTTTATATTAAAACAGTTATTTCTAGTACTGGGTTTCGATTTAGTATGTGTAAATTAAAAAAGTTCCGAAATTAAGCCATATTCATTTTTTAAGTTCAATAGGTTGATGAACGATTTCTACATTCACTCTCAAGATACCGCGTATGAGTAATAGGAATAAGTTCATCAAAAAAAGTATTGTGAGTTAGCCTAAGAAAAAAATCTACCTTCTGTAAAAAAGAAATGTTATTAAATAATAATAAATCAGATATAATCTGTCATAGTAGATGTCAAATTTTTATAATAAATTTATAAATCAAAGATTTTGCAATTTAGTTTGAAACTTTAGCTTAAGAATTCACTTGGTGAAACTCGACAAATACGAAAGATGAATCAAATCCTTTATGTATTCTCCCAAACCCTCAACAAAAATTTCATTTTGAATTAAGCGGTTCCCTTATCTTTAAATCATGTTGAGATTTAAATTCTTATCAGCAAACAGGAACTAATTTAAACATTTTTTCTGGGCTGTTTAATTATGCATTTTTAGTCTAATATGGAAGATCACCAATTTAAGAAATGGATCACTAGCAATCTAATGTAGGGCTAATTACAATTGATCTTCACTAGTATAGCTAGAGAATGAAAGATAAGAAGAAGTAGAAGAAATTTCAGGTTGAATTAAAAGTTTAAACTGAAGAAACTGAAACTTTCAAGTACGAAGATGGAACAGATCTCACTTTATTTGAATGGAACTACTCGCTCTAACAACACTTTTTTCCGATGGGAAAAATATACGAAATCAAAAATGGCTTAGTAGTACAGTATTACATAGTCTATTTTGAATTTTGCTCATAATCCCCGCCTCTTCGACCGACTTAACTTTTTTCTTTTAATTTTTTTCTCACGTGAACCTTTGTACTAAATTTAAATTTTTGAAACGTATGATTTAACCCTACGCTAATCATCTCTATTAAATTGTTTTCAATACGGCATTCTTTTTTTTTCAGATTGAGTAACACAAAATAAAAACTTCAAATTATAAATTTCTTGGCATATAGTAACAATTGAATAATAGAATAATTAAATTTGAAAGAAGAAGAGAGAGATAACGGATACTTAATAGATGATCTTCTGTTACATATATTAACATCTAGTTTTAGAATTAAGGGTTTGAAAGTTGATCATTCAAAATATTGATCAACATTATCAATGTACCATATGTTAGATCCAAATCTAGATTCTACGAGAAAATAAGCCCATTTTAAATCAAATAAGTTCGGAGAATTTAAAGTAAATTGGATGTACCTATTCTTTTCTTTGTTTTCCTCTTCTCTGTTAAATTCTTTATCAGTGAAAAAAATGACAATCTTTCTTCCAATCTATAATTATTTTTAGTATATGCTATATGAGTTAAATTTGGTTATGGGTTATGTGTTCTGGTTATCATCTAAAATTTTTTTTTTATTTGATTCCTTTTGGGGTATTTGCATTTCTTTTTCTACAATGTAATACTTTTGTACCAAAATCCAATTCAATGGCCTTCTTAATCAAAATATAAATACTTTTTCAAATCTCCGATGTTTATTGTTGTTGTTTTTTGAATTTTTTAGTCTTTAATCTCTACCAAAGTTTATTCATTTCATTAGATAATTATGCTCTTTGGAAATAATAAAGAGAAGAATAACGATATCAACATCAACAATAATAGTGGAAGTAGCATAAGTGAAGGAGAAAAAATAAATCATAATACAACTGAAAATGATTTAAAATCTATAATATCAAAACAACATGAAGAAGAATATGATTTATATGTTGCTAAATCAAATCCAAGTGCAACTAATGCTCAAGATGGTCATAGATTAAGAAAAGCTTTAGATCCAAGACACGTTAGTATGATTGCAATTGGTGGTGCTTTAGGGTATGTCCTTTTTTCACTTGAGTTTTTCAGTTTAAATGATTGTTTTTTTTAAGATGATTTTATTAAATATAAAATCCTGCACATGATTGAAGTTTTAAGAATTATTTAGTTGCAAAATTTAAACTTTAATTATGAAACAATCATTTAGATCTATAATTAAACCTGAACTAGATCGTACAATAGATCTATATGTGTAATATCATGAGCAATTTACTAACAGAAATAAAATAGAACTGGTTTATTAATTGGAACAGGTAGTTCATTAAGAACAGCAGGTCCAGCAGCAATTCTAATTACATACTCTTTAATAGGAGCTGTAGTATTTGTTGTTATGTCAGCATTAGGAGAAATTTCAACGTTTATACCATTAAATGGTTTTGCAAATTATGGTAAAAGATATAGTGATGAAGCTTTAGGTTTTGCATGTGGTTATATTTATTTAATTAAATATTTAATTTTACCTGCTAATCAAATGACTGCTGGTGCTTTAACTATTCAATATTGGATAAGTAGAGATAAAGTAAATCCTGGTGTTTGGATTACTGTTTTTTTAGTTATCATTATGGGTATTAACTTTTTAGGTGTTAGATTTTTTGGAGAAATTGAATTTTGGTTAAGTGCTTTAAAAGTTGTAACTTGTTTAGGACTTATTTTGGTACTTTGGGTAATTGCATTAGGTGGAGGACCAACTCATGATAGATTAGGTTTTAGATATTGGAAAAATCCTGGTGCTTTTATTCCATATGAAGATTCAAGTAAAAACTTAATTATTGAAGGTGGAAAAGGGAAATTTGTGAGTTTTGTTGCAGTATTAGTTACAGCAGTATTTGCTTATTTAGGTACTGAATTAGTTGCTATAACTTTTAGTGAAACAAGAAATCCAAGGAAAGCTATTCCAAAAGCTATAAAATTAACTTTATATCGTATTTTGGTATTTTACATTTTATCAATTTTATTCGTTGGTATGTGTGTTAGTGCAAAAGATCCTTTATTATTATCTGCAAAGGGAACAAATGCTGGAGCAAGTCCTTTTGTGATTGCAATGAAAAATGCAAAAATTCATGGTTTAGATCATGTTATAAATGCTGCTATTTTATTATTTGTTTTTTCAGCTGCAAATTCAGATGTTTATGTTTGTAGTAGAGCACTTTATTCATTAGCTGCTGATGGTTATGCTCCTAAATTTTTCACAAAAACAAATAGATTAGGAGTTCCATATTATGGGTTAGGATTATCATTGTTATTCAGTTTATTAGCTTATATGAATGTTAGTAGTGGATCAGCAGAAGTTTTTGGATATTTTGTTAACGTGGTTAGTTTAACAGGTCTTATTGCATGGTCATGTATATTAATTTTCCATATAAGTTTTATGAAAGCTTTAAAAGCTCAAGGATTCAATAGAAAAACCGATCTTGTATACAGATCTCCATTACAACCATATGCTTCATATATTGCATTAGGTATATGTATCTTGGTCATTTTCATCAAAAATTTTACAGTATTTTTAGGTGATGAATTTACTTATAAAAATTTTATAACTGGTTATATAATTTTACCAGTATTTTTTATATTATTTTTTGGTTATAAATTTTGGTATAAAACAAAATGGTTAAAATCAAATGAAGTTGATTTAGATACTTTTAGAGATGTTATTGATTCAGAATTTGAACAATATCAAGCTGAAGATGCTGAAAGAAAAGCTGTTAGAGAAGCTGAAGGTAAAAGATTTGATAGAGAATGGTTTTATGATAAAACTTTAGGATGGATATTTTAGGTTTTTAAATGTGTTTTTTTGTAATGTACTTTTGTAATGATATATTTTTTAATGACAATAATTTATTAAATAGAAATCTTTGGATCTGTAGTGTGGTAGATCTATCAAAATGAACACTTGCTTTAAATTCCTGTAAATCTCGTTAGATCCGATCTAGAAAAGTATTGGTCTTGACTTTCAAATCTGAACAAAAATTCAAAATTTCAAGATTCAAAATTACAATTACTTAATGAAATTCAACTATGTAATGGTTTTAAAATTGATTCAATTGAATTTGATCCAAAATTATTAGAAAAATAAGTATAGATTTTTTTTTACTTTTGAAGATATTTATTAATATTAAATAGTATAAAATTATATATCTTTCGGCTTTCCCTAACAAATTCTTCTTTTTTTATAAATAGACTTTAAAATCGAATTTTTTTCAACTCCATGAACAATTTCAAAAATCACTTCCGAATCATAATTTGTTAAAATTGCATCAATATGGGGATCAACAAAATATAACATATTCCTTAATTGAGTCGTACCTTCTGGTGTACGTTCTGAAGTTACTTCTTTCAATTTTAAATCTTTCAAGTTAAAACAATTATCTAAAATTAAACAACTTAAATCTTCAATTTTATTATTTGATAAATTCAAATGAGTTAAACTTGATGGGAATTTTTGAGAATTCAACATTGAAAAAGTTATTTGATTATTTTGTAAATTCAACTTCTTTAATTTATTAAACTTAAAAAAATTTCCTTCGATTATTTCCAAATTCAAATCGTTGATGATCAACTCCTCTAATGAATTGGGAAGCTGATCAAGATCCAATAAGTCAACAGCTAAGTTTATTATTTTCAAATTGGTCAAACTTTCACATTCAAATGACACCTGAAAAGATAAAATTGATTTATATTTTGTTGGCTTTGAGCTTTTCAAAATTAAGTTTTGCAAATTAGGTGAATTGAAACATACATTATCTTCAAAATTAGTTAAAAGCTCCAATATATCAAGCAGGTGTGGTCCGGGGCTGAAATCTGAGGAATAATTGTCTGACATATCCAACACTTTCAAACATTTCAATTGATTCAAGTTTGATCTGAATAGATCCAGCCATATGTCATTGTTTGTAAAGTTAATCCGCTCCAGCTCTGGAAACTCAACATGATCAATAGCTACAACGCGGCAATCTGTAACGATGATTTTGGACATTTTCTTAGGTAGACCGACGAAGACCTCGTCTAAATTTAGAAATGCGATACCTTTTAACTCCAAGCAATTAAGTGACTTCAGAACTTCAATGTTTGCCATTTCTAGGCTCTCCGTAGTATCGCAAATCTTCAAATTCTTCAAACTGAGGGAACCGAAACTCAGCACCAATACAAATTATCAGTTCTAATTCTGAAAAGTACGAAGAACTAAATCGTTCTTCTTTAGATACCTCGTCTATTCTTTGAGGATAAAAATTGTTAATGAAATTCAAAGTTTCCAACGAATCGGGGTACAGGGTATTAACTAGGTCAAAAAGTTCAGGACAGCAAGATATTTGAAGTAAATTTAGATTCTTATATTTGAATAAATCACCTAAAGTTTCAATATCACAAGAATCAAGGCTTAAATTTTTGATAGACAGTGGAAGCTGAATATTATCCAATGAACTCATCTTGTTAAACCTTTTGCACTTCAATGACTCGAGATGATGTAAATCACTTATATCCAAATTGATTTTATGACCTTTCTCTAATGTTAGCTCCTTCAAAGATTTTGGAAATTGAATTGGAAACATATCCAAATGAGATGTTGTCAATGATTGTAAGAGAGTATTTTCAACAACATTTAGGAATGATTTGATTTCATTGTTTTTAAAGTTCCCAACAAAATGTTCTAAATATTGATCCAAATGTATACCTATTATATAAACTTCATTTTGGACTGAGACTAGATCAGTAAATGTAGTATCTTCTGATATCTTAACTTCATAATTGACTAATTTGAAACTTGGTTCATTTATTAGTTGATTGATTTGTTTTACATCCCCAATTATCAATGAAGGTATAAACTTAAACTATTGATAAAGATCTATTAATGTTTCAATTGAATTGTTGGTATTACCTATTTCATACTTTGGATACTTTCGTTCTAATGCAATATGTTGTAAACCTGGAATATATAATAAGTTTTTGATTGTAGATTCATCTTTGATATTACTGAAAATTAATGATAATATTTCCTTGTATATTTATCTTTGATATTACTGAAAATTAATGATAATATTTCCTTGGGTAATTTGAGAAATATTTCCATTTGAATGGTAAGTTTTGATGATGTTGATTGAAAGTGATGAATCATTTTGGTTGCCACTTTTTTAAAAAATCAAAATTATTTTGGACGTGATTTTCTGGCTACCATATGGTGTTTCAAATTTGTTTCGTCTAAATTTGGCCTTAGCCTAAATATTAGTTTGACATTTAGCAAGTATGACTTACAATCATTTTCAAAGCTCTGAACCGGATACCGTGTGTATGATTCTGTGTTCTGGGTTTTGAGTTTACCTTTGTTTTGGTCAAATGTGAAAATTAACTCATTTTGCTTGCAATATCAATATCTCACGGAGAAGGAAATACTTTCAAAGCTTTTTTCTTTCATTATTACATGTTTATTAGTTCAGTAGTCTAACTTGCTAAACAGTAAAAGAATAAACTTAATCTAAAGAGGAAAGATTTCCAACTAATAATTTCTATATACTTGTTCTATAATATAATCTTGAATCAGCATTTCTGTTTTGCCATCTAAAACCCTCTACATTTTTTTATAATTTTTTTCATTTTAATATTTAAATCAAGTAAACGAACAATTATTATTAATACTACTAGACGATTAGACAATTATCGACCAGCTTAGACATTTCGTTTACCATTTTTCAAAGGAAATTGTCGTGCTTGTTAAATCAAAGTTTGATTTTTTAAACACTCAAACCTATTTGGTTATTGTAGTGATTTGAAACAAACATTGCAAGGCAAGTTGAGATTCGATTATACTTATTGTTTTGTAGAATTTTGGTACAAATTAATCAAACCTACTCTAATATTGATGATAAATTGTAATCTAAAACTCATTCAAATTGATTTTTAGATGCCTAGTCGGTTTTCAAATTATTCTTGTCCTCATAATACTTATCAATGATATTGTGATTTTTATTTTATTATATAAATCCTCAAAAAATCCCACTTTTTTCAAAATCAAAATTATTGATAAAAAAAAATAAGATCTATATTATATCTTAACACCATTTTTTACAACCAAGCTTACCACTTAACCCAAGTGGTATAAACAAACCTATTCATCATCACTTACTTTAATTAGTAATACCAATCAATCAATAACAATCATCTTTTCAAAATAATTTCAAGATTTTTTACTTTTTACTATGAACAAATCAGTCACACTTGCAAATTATTAATTTAGTTTCAGAAATTACAAATCAAGTTGCTAAAAGTTACTATACATACCTTTTTTCAAATCTACATTTACGTGGAATTCAATATGTACTATTTGGTCCTCCCAACAATTAGAGTTATTGATGGCTTTGAACAAAAGAAATTGAAATAATTAATCATGCACTTATAACTCCAACAAAAAGCAAATCCAGTAATACCAAAATCTCAAGTTCCTGTTATATTGATCCATCAGTTAAAAAAAATTGCTCACCATCAACTAAATTGTCATCATTATCATCATCTCTACTAAAATCAAATCAATAAATTCAACATTGAAGTCATATAATTAAGTTCATTATGTGTGTTTGATGTAGAATTTCCAGCTTACAATTACAAAAAAAATTTGCAACCCAGAGAAGCAAATCTCAATCATTTTGAAAATCATAGGTAAAGGTATCTAAAAGAAGTTGATAAGCTATGTTGAATGTTTGACTTTGAAGGAAGTAACTTAAGGTATACTTGGTTTAGCCAAGGAAGTAAATAAATGACACATGGTGCTTGCAATATGAAAAAGGGAAATGACAAAAGGAAAATGGAATTTGAAATAATTAGACTTAAAGATGGTCTTGAAGCAGTGCTGTCATTAATATTTTATTTAACTCAATAGCTGCAAGACCATATTCAGGTCTAATAATTTCAATTTCCATGCCCTTTCTTTCAGCTTCATTTTTCAAACAATTGACAGAATCATCATTAACGTCAGTTAAAATGTTAGACCATTCAATGTAGTCTATTAATATCTTTTGAACACTTTTGCCTATGTTTTTCAAAGTAATTGGAATTTGCTTAGTTAGTTTTGCATTTTTGTTCCTAAACTATAGGCTGGAAATATCAGACACACTTAGTAAATAAAATCTAGTTTTTGATGATTTTAATTTTTGATAAGATTTTAATAATAAAGATGATGTTAATTAATTAGATGATTTTGATAATCACAATAATGATGGTATTCCTGTAATTGATGATGAACATTCTTCGTCAACAGTTAAACCAATAGAAGCAGACGGTTAAGGTGGAAGTATCATGGGAGTTACTCCCCTGTTGGAGTCAATTTTTTGATTGATTTATCAACGATATTAAAGTATTTTTCTCTATTTATTTGCTCAAAGCCGTTGAAAAGTCAGAGAAGGAAAGACCAGAAAGGATAACGATGAATGAAAAGTGATGAGTTTGATGATAATGACGAAGATGCTAATGAATATATGACTTAGGATATATAGATTAAATAATCGGTAATAGTATAGGGATATAAACTTGAAAACTTAGTAGTGCCTTATTCATTCAATTGCAACTAAAATGTAAAGTCAATTGTCTCAATAGCTCTTGCTCGTGATTTTTCTCTCCTGCAGATCGTTTATTCTTTATAGTTTAATCAAATCTCAAGAAATTCAATATTTGAACTGGCTTCCTCATACTTTCATATTCCAATGATTCAATTTTATCTTTTGTCAATTTTTCATTATTGATGTTTCCCATAATCTTTCGGTTACCTTTGAAAAAAATTTCGTGTGAAAGGGTATCAACGGCTTTATAAAACTCCTTTTTTGTTCATCAATAATACGTCACAAACAAATGAAAAAGTATGGTTGATAGTCTTTAAAATAGATGTTACTCTACGAATTTTGGTATAAGTCAGAGTAAAAGATAAAATTATGTAGTACGTACTTGGTAGCTTTTTAAATTTGTGCAAATCTCGTTAGATCCGATCTTGAAAAATATTTGGTCTTGACTTTCAGAATCTAGACACAAAATAAGTCAATTAAGTGAATGTGAAAATTCAATATGATTAAACAATCTTGATATTCCATTCCAAATGGAAGAACTTATAGCTAAACTCAGCTTGAAAGACAACAACAATGAAGATGAAGAAGAAATAGATTCAATACTAAACAATTTATCACCCTATTTCACAATTAGAGATACAAAATATGGAGGTAGAGGATGTTTTGCAACTACAAATATTCCCAAGGGAACTAAAATTCATTATTGTTCGAAACCTGTTGGTTCAACAATTACAAAACCTTTCAAAAAAGAAGTATGTACACATTGTTTTAAATATGATAATGGAATTATAATGAAACACAAGATTTCAAAAACTTGGGGTAAAGAAACATATTCAATATATTTTTGTTCTGAATTATGTTTGAATCAATTTAAAGCTGAAGAGGATGACGAAGATGGAGTATTTCAAGAGAATCTACTACTTATTGAAAAAAATTACTTATTAGGTTTAAAAAAACCTGAAGAAGAATTTAAAGAACCTCAAGGTGATTTAAAAAAACAAATTGAAATCGAATGGTCAAAAGTAGATCAATGGGATCAAGATTTGAAAAATTTAAAAGATTCACAACGATCTGCTTTACTTCCAAGAATTGATGAAAGTGAATATTTAGAAATAAAATACGTTGTTACTGTATTATTCAATATGTATAAATATCAAAGTAGGAAGCTATCTGAGATGAAAATTGAAATGATTTTATTTGATCAATTACAATCAGTTGAAATAGAAAAATACCAAAAGTATCCTTACTTATTATATTCATATATCAATATGTATAAATTTATAAAATTAACTTGCACCAATGGATTACAACCATTTATTACTCCCAACAATGTTAGATCAATAATTGGAAAAAATTTATCGAATGCATTTGGTATATGGTCAAATACAACTTCAAAAAAGGAAGATAAAGAATTTTTAGGATTTGCTGTATATCCATCAGCTTCATTTTTTAATCATTCTTGTTCACCAAATATTTTGAAAACTAGAATTAATCAAGATTTAAAATTTGAAACTTTGAAAGATATTGAAAAGGGCGAAGAGATATGTATTAGTTATGGGAATTTTTCAAATGAATCATTTGAAACTAGACAATTACAATTAAAAGAATGGTTTTTTGATTGTGGTTGTATTAAATGTGATCTAGAAAAGAAAGAATTAGAAGAAAAGTCGAAAAAACAAGATTAAAACCCTCAATAATGTTAATAATATTACATACATAGTATAAAAAGTCTTTACTAGATTCTACTTAAGTAAATTCATAATCTTTATAAAATTTTTTAAATTCTTCACAATCTGACATTTCTTTATATTTAGGTTGTTGACAATTTTCCCATTTTAAACGATCAGGTAAATTTAATAAATGACAAAGAACTCTTCTTGGAAATTGTAAATCAAATGATTTATCTTTGAATAATTTTGTTATATAAATTTTTACCCCGTTTTTGGAATAAATTGTAAACTTAATATAATCTAAATTTTTAAATTTTAGTAGCTCTGGATCATCTTCATTATCGAATTCCTTAAATTCCAACGACTGATTTCTCTTAAATTTTTCATTGTTTATTTTAGCTTTCAAATTTAATGAATTTTGAAATTTTTTCAATTGTGATTCATGGATTGGTAAAAATTGAATATTATGATGAATATTATTGAATCTATTAATTTCAAAAAAGATTAACGACAAGAATGGTTTTTGTTTTACAAAAGATTGATATATAGTGGATTGAAATTTATTAATTTCTTGTCGTATATCTTCGTGTTCTTCTGTTATATTCGATATATGTTGTATTGGTATTATAATTCCATGACCTGAAAATGATAAATCTTGATTTGATCTTGTTAATGGACCTTTTGCAACCGTTAAATAAGAGTGTTTTCCAACTGATACAATTAAATGTGTTTCTGTTTTTGGATTACCCACACAGAAAAAGCATTCACTAGGACTAACAACTTTAGGTTTCTTGGTTATAGCTTGTTTGGAATCATCAGTTAATTTTCTTTTCTTCATCGTGAATGGATTTTCAATAAATTTTAATTCTTCAATATCTTCATCTTTAATTAAATTAAATGCATAAAACCATTTCCCACCACTTCCTTCTTGACCCAAACTAATGAATCTTGTAAATTCATTATTTGACCATTTAAAAGGTTCCAACTCGAGAAACACACCATTTTCTGTTCCTACTGCAAAATGATATTTTGGTTTAATTTGTTGTACCACTAAATCAACTAACTCATCAGAAACTTGTGAAATTGTTTCGAGTTCTGCTATAGCTTTTGGCCATTTATAAGTGAATAGTAAATCTATATTAACCTTTATTTTTGAAATTTCATTAATTGATTCTCTTGTTAATGGGCCTGATAATATTAACATAGTCGTTCCTGATATTAGTTTAATCACTGAAAATGGAGGTTTCACATAAATCAATTCATTTTGTATATCAACTAATCCAAATTCTGACTCTACAATCTTATCTGATATTCCGTTATAACCTTGTCCAAAATATGTTGATTGTTTTAGCTGTGTGGTTGGTAAATCTTTATCTTTCGGTATTACGTCACCAACCAATATTGTTGCTTCAAATGGACCATTTTTGGAATTTTGTACATTGGCTTTCTCTAATACTTTATCTAACTCATTTGGATTAGGGTTTAGCACCAATATCTTAGTTGTCATTGATCATTGACTTGATGAAAAGTCCGATGAAATTTGACCGTACCTGCATAGAATGATCCTTGATTTTGTTCCATTTTTGGTTTGTTTACATTTTTGAAATATTCAAATTATCAACTACAATTCCAGATTGATAATCCAAAAACCCACTAACGATTGCTATGGATAAGGAGCAGAACAATATCAAGGTGCTAGTTAGAGTGCGACCTTTACTATCTAGAGAAATACAGGATGAAATACCTCAGTCTTTAGTATCAATGCCATCAAATGAACAAACGTACTTACAAAATCCTAAAACAAATGAATCAAAGTCCTTTTATTTTGATGATTGTATATGGTCATTTAATAGAAAAGATCCACATTATACAGATAATTTACAATTCTATAAACAAACTGGACCTGATTTGTTAACTCATTTATTTGAAGGTTATAATGTATGCCTACTAGCGTATGGTCAAACAAGTTCAGGTAAAACTTATACAATGATGGGAGATCAAACACAACCGGGAATAATACCATGTTTAATAAATGATATATTAAAACAAATGGAACTATCAATAAATCAAAAGATTCATTGTGAATTAAAATTTTCATATATGGAAATATATAATGAATCAGTAAAAGATCTTTTGAATCCCAAAAATCAAACAAAATGTAAAATTAGAGAACATCCACAAACTGGTCCATATGTTGAAAATTTAAAAGAAATTACCATTAAGGACTATAATCATTTTTTGCAATTATTAAATTCTGGAAATTTGATAAGATCAACTGCAACAACATCAATGAATGATCAAAGTTCAAGATCTCATGCTATTATAACTTTAACTTTAAAACAAATAAAATTTGAAAATATCAATGATAATGACGATGGCATTGATAATGAAAGTATTGGAGAAGCAAGTGAAGAAATGATATCAAATATTAAATTAGTTGATTTGGCTGGTTCCGAAAGATTAACAAAAACTAAATTATTTGGTCAAAGTGATAGAATTAAAGAAGGTTCATTAATTAATAAATCTTTAACAGTTTTAGGAAGATGTATACATTTATTGTCCACTAAATCCAAATCAATAATACCATATAGAGATTCAATTTTAACATATATTTTAAAAGAAAATTTATCTGGTAACTCAAAAACTTGTATGTTATTTTGTATTTCACCATTAGATTATGAAGAAAGTTTACAAACTTTAAATTATGCAAATGAAGTTAAAAAAATTAAAACAATTGCGAAAGCTAATAAAATTAAATTATCAACAATTATAAATTGGGAAGAGTTACAAAAATCAGATCAATCATTAATTGGTTCGTTAAAGAATGAAGTTGAAATTTTGACTAGTAAATTATCACAATTGGAAACAAATGAAAATGTAAAATCATCATCATCCACGTCCATTTCAGATTCACCAAATTTCACAAAAATTATAGAATATTTAGAAAAAGATTCATCAAAATTTAAATTTGAAAATAAATATTTAAAAAATCAAATAATTAATAAAAATAATCATATAATTGAATTGAATAATCATATTAATTATATTGAAGATGAATATCAAAGACTTTTATTAAATTATCAAATTCTAAAAAACTCAAAATTTCAAGATTCAAAATTACAATTACTTAATGAAATACAATTATGTAATGAAAATTTTAAAATTGATTTAACTGAATTTGATCCAAAATTATTTTAAGAATATATAGATTTTTTTATGCTTTTGAAGATATTTATTAAAAGTTAATATACATTTCTTCACATGACTTAAAAATTAAGACATTTACTTAACCACATTTATAGTAAGTCAAACCATAGCTGTATCAGTAACTAACGAATTCTTCTTTTTTTACTAAAAGACTTTGAAATTAAAATTTTTTCAACTCCATTAACAATTTCAAAAATAACTTCTGAATCATAATTTGTTAAAATTGCATCAATATGAGGATCAACATAAAGCAATGAATTCATTAATTGAATCGCACCTTCTGGTGTACGTTCTGAGGTTACTTCTTTTAATTTTAAATCTTTCAAATGAATACAATTATCTAAAACTAAACAACTTAAATCTTCAATTTTATTAATCGATAGGTTCAAATGTGTTAACCCTGATGGGAAGTGTTGAGAACTGAAAATTGAAAAAGTAATTTGATTATTTTCTAAATCCAACTTTTTTAAATTATTTAATCTAAAAAAATTTCCTTGAATGGTTTTTAATTCCAAAACATTGATGATCAATTCCTCTAATGATTTGGGAAGCTGATAAAGGTCCAATGATTTGATATCTAAACCTATCATTTTCAATTTGGTCAAATTTTCACATTGAAATGAAACTTGAAGAGATGAATATGATCTATGTTTTAATGAAACTGAGCTTTTTAATACCAAGTTTTGCAAAGTAGGTGAATTAAAACATACATTTTCGTCTAAATCTGTTAAAATATCCAATGGATCAAACCGGTATGGCCCTGGCTCTAAACATGAGGAATAATTGTCTGACATATCCAACACTTTCAAAGATTTTAATTGATTCAAGTTTAAGTAGAGTGGAAAAAGTATTACGTCATTGTTTGTAAATTTAATCCGTTCTAGCTCTGGAAAAGCAACATGACCTTCAGCTACAACGAGGCAATTTGAAATGATGATTTCAGACATTTTTTTGGGTAAACTGACTACAACTTGTTTTAACATAAGACATGCAAGCCCATCTAATTCCAAACAATTGAGTGTCCTCAGAACTTCAATATTTTCCACTTCTAGGTTCTGCATAGTATCGCAAATCTTCAAATTCTTCAAATTTGGAGGGAACCGAAACTCAGCACCAACACAAATCCGCAGCTCCCAGAATTCTGAAAAGTACGAGGAACTAAATCGATCTTCTTGTGATACCTCCTTTATTCTTTGAGGATGGAAATTGCTGATGAAATTCAAAGTTTCCAACGAATCGGGGTACAGGGTATTAATTAGGTCAAAAAGTTCAGGACAGCTGGATATATGAAGTAAGTTTAGATTCTTGTATTTGAATAGATCACCCAAAGTTTCAATATCACAAGAGTCAAGTCTTAAATTTTTGATGGACAATGGAAGCTGAATATTATCCAATGAACTCATCTCGTGGAGATTTTTGCACTTCAATGATTCGAGATGATGTAAATCACTAATATCCAATTTGATTTTATAACCTTTATCTAGTGTTAGTTCCTTCAAGGATTTTGGAAATTGTATTGGAAATAAATCGAAATGAGATGTTGTCAATGATTGTAAGAAGGTACTTTGAACAAAAGTTAGGAATGGTTTAACTTTTTTGTTTATAAAATTCTCAAGACAATGATCTAAATATTGGTCCAAATGCAAACCAACTATATGAACTTCTTTCAGAATCGAGATTAGATCAGTAAATGTAGTACCCTTTAAGATCTTAACTTCATAATTGACTAGTTTGAAACTTGGTTCATTTATTAATTGACTGATTTGTTTTACATTCCCAATTATTAATGATGGTATAAACTTAAATAGTTGAAAAAGCTCTATTAATGCTTCAATTGACTTGTTCTGATCATCATTTATTTCATATTTTGGATATTTTTGTTCTAAAGCAATATATTGTAAACCTGGAATATATAATAACTTTTTGATTGTAGATTCATCTTTGATGTTACTGAAGATTAACAATAATATCTCCTTGGGTAATTTGAGAAATGTCTCCATTTAAATGGTGAGTTTTGATTATCTTGATTGGAAGTGATGAATAATATTGGTTGCCACTTTTTTTAAAAAATCAAAAGTTATTTAGACGTGATTTTCTGGCTACCATATGGTGTTTCAAATACATTTCGTCTAAATTTGTTCTCAGCCTAAATATTAGTTTTATATTTGACAAGTATGACTTCCAATCATCTTTGAAATCTTGAGTCAAACAACGTGTGTAAGATTCTCTATTCTGGTTTTTGGGTTTACTTTTGCTAGGAGTCCAATTAGAAAGTAACTAAATCTCGGTTTGAATTTCGATTCTGCAATTCTCCTTAAAAAGATCCTTATACCACTATCACTAAGTTGTAAAAAGAGGTACTTCAAACTTAGATCTCATGACCTGAATTTTCAGTCTGAAACTGTAACAAAATCCTGACTGAATTTCAAACATCTTTGCTTTAGTTCAAACGTCCCACGTAAATTGGTGACTTTAATGTGTCCCTCTGATATACAAAGTAAACACGCAGATCGTGTAACCATGTGAAAGACTAATTTGTAAAATGGTCTCAATCTATATATTATACTGAACAATGAAATTCATGATCGAATCTAGTTGCTGGATACTACAGTCAGGTAATACAAGATATAAAGTTGGCTTCAACATGATTCACTTCGCAGTCTGAACCAATCAACGTGCAAATCAAAGCTTGATCCAAACTTTTTCTACCTACTTTTCTTCTTGTTTGTTTATTTTCATTTTTCATGCCCGAATTCGTCTTGTGGAATATTGTCTGCAATTTTTTGTGAACTAATGAATCAATACATGATATTTGCTTTGTCAATGACCAAATTTAAAACATAATCCATTCCATAATGTATTACAATGTCATCCTTCAGCAATGCAACCTGATAACCTCACAGCAATCGAGATATTAATTCGGATAAGCAAAGCTAGGATCGAAACAAAGTAGACATTTGTCTCATTAATTGAATCATCAGCAGGGTCAATGAAATTGATCAAAGTACGTTTCCACTTTCTTGATTAACAGTCATATATATCTTCCATTACATCAATTATTTAGCAAATTTGTCACATATCAAAGTATTCGCTTAATATACACATTTCATTTGGTAGTCCATCCCCGCTTTGAAGATATATAGGAAACTTTTAGATGACCACGAATAGTTCGAGCTGTGTGTTTGAAATTATTGGTCTGGAACTAGATCAAGTTGGTGAAACTAGAAAATAATCATATGCCCATTCCTTATATGAGCGACCAGCTCTTGTGAATGTCTCTTCCCATGTTTATCTGTAAGATTAAATCATGAGTTTAAAAATAGAAAAATAAAATGAGGGCTCAGTTATAATAAATTTAAAATAAAAGATCGATTAATTTACAACCAAATTTATTTTGTTTATTATCTTTACTTTTCCTAATAGCAACAACTTACGTAATTTCTATAATTCAAATAATACCATGGGTAGTCTAATAGACGGCTTATTCCTCACTTCAGTACAGCAGGCTGTACAACTCACACTACTGGATAATAAACCATTGTTTGTATATATTTCACTGTTGGAAAATACGGAATTAAATGATAAATTTGTAAATAAATTCATAAATCAAGAACTAGTCAATACATTAAAAACAAACTTCATCTTATTGAAACTAATCGAAAATAGTACAGAATTTGAATATTTCAAGCAAATATTTAAAAGTTTGATTGTCCCAAGTTTTTATATTGTGATGCAAGGAAAACTTGAAGCTGTTATAACCGATGATACTACATTAGAAAATTTCAAAATCACTTTAAATAAATTCAACAAAGTAGAGGAAACAACTACTGTATCGCAGTCAGAACCTGCAAACCAGTCATTGTCAAATGATAATTCGCAATCAACAAATTTATCAGATCATGACATATCGGTATTAAAACATAAACAATTAGTAGCACAACAAAAGCAAAATCAAATCAAAGAAAAACAAAGGCTAAGGGAATTATTAAAAGCCGATCAAAGAGAAAGAAAAAGTAAATTGAAAGAAGAAAAAGATAAGTATATAAAAGAATCAAGCACTACACATAACAATATCAAGAAATCCAATAATTCTCAAAATTGTGTACTAGCGATAAAATTATTTGATGGATCAACTATTAAAAAAGAATTTAAATCAACAAATACTTTAATTGATGTAAGAAAATATTTAGATGAAGAAGTCGAAATTATACCATCGACTAGTAATATGCCTTCATTTGCCAGTACAACTTATTTATACCCTACAGGTTACTCATTCCACAGACCAACATTACCCAGAGTCACCTATACCGAAGATCAAGAATCAAATTCATTAAGTAACCTAGACCTAACTCCAAGATCAATTCTTATTTTAAAACCAATATATTCAGAATCTCAAACTAATAATCAAAAACCTGATAATGAAAGAGGAATATTTAAAAACATATATAAAGGAGTAGGTAATCTAGGGAGTGCAATAATGTCATTTTTTGATTATGGTATTGATGATCCAAGAAATAATAATCCTTTGAGTGGTAGTAATCAAGATTTACATTTAACACCTTCATCAACTCAACATTCTCATCAACAACAACATCAACATCAAACTCATCATCATAATGTACCGGAAATTCCACCACCAGTAATACCCGGATTTTTAGGAATAGGAGATAGAGCATTATCTTCATCATTATTAAGTATTCATGAAGAAAGAGATAGAGATAATGCATATATGTCTGATTCTATCCATTCTGATGTCATTCATGAGGTTCCATTCGAATCTAGAGCTTCTAGTCCTAGATTTAATGGTAATAGTGTAAATTTGAATGAAAGAGATGAAGACAAATGATGACGAAAAGACAAAAGATTTATAAATGAGGAAGCTAGTTGTTGATGTGGTAAATAGACAAACATTGATATTACATTAAAAGAATTATCAAAATGATGAATCAGTTACTTAAACCATTCAAGCATGATAACTTGATCAAACAAAATTCAGCTGCCATCTTATGAGTAAAGTTATCAGTGTCGTTATCACATAGCCTAACTTTTAACATTCCATTATTCATTATTCAAAGCTACCAATCACCTCGTAAACTAGTTTCAGAATATTTACGAAACGGGATTAATATAATATCGGTTTAAAGTTTGTAATAAGTTAATTTTACAACAAGAATTTTTTGACATGATGGAATGTAGAAAACTTAGGATGTAATGTATTTTTCAAACTCACCTGATTGACTGGGATTTCGATGGATAAAAATTATTTTCTTCTGAGCTAAATCATTAGGATTGCTCTAAGTTTTGATGCTTAACCCAGACCCAGCAGAATTAATTTATTTGACCCAAATTTCATCACATAGATTACATTCATTATGAAATTTTAAAAAAATCGAATATAAAGGCTTAATGTTTTCAATATACGAATCAAATTTGGTCCTCATTATTTACCTCTTCTGATTTTCAGTTACTTGAATTGTTGAAATGAGTCTAATCCAGGCTGATCGGATTGACCTTGAACCATCTTGTATATTCATCTAAAGTCATACTTCAATACTGTGCAAGACTTAACTCAATTCTTATCGTTATTTTCTTTCTGTTTGGTTAATTTGAGCTTAATTTAGCACGTATAAAATTAGATACAACTTTTTCTGTGGACCTAAATTCTTCTACAATCTGATCAAGGATACCTTTTCTACTATCTGATTGAAAAACCCCCGACTTAAAACCTTTATAATGCAAAGACTCTAATCTTGTAAATTCTCCTAATCTCTAATTGAAATTTTATTTATCAATTGATAAGCGAAAGAGAAAAAAATGTCAAAAATTATATTTTCTCTATTTACTGAATTTAGAAAATATATTTCCAAGATACAAAATCAAAGTATATGGATAAATCAAATCTAGAGAATTTATTAAGATTCCCAGGATATAATAAAATTATTAATGATGCGTCAGTATTATCATGTGGTTGTTTAACATCAGAATCAATTTTTTTAAATGAAAATTTAGTCAAGTGTCCTAATTGTCAACAAACAAATGTTTCAATTATATCTAATATTAAACCATTAAGAGAATTATATCATATTTTAAATGACAAGCGAAGACGATCTTCTTCAAGAAAAAGTTTTAAAGGTATTGAAGAATCATCATCTCATTATAATATAAATGAATCTATGGATTTATTAACTTTGTTTCATAAATTTGCAAAAGAAGAACAAATTGAACAATCAAAATCAAATGTACAACCAATAAATATAATTGATCAAAAAAATCAAAATCAAAATCAAACTCAAAATCAAAATCAAAGAGAAACTTCAATTACTTCATCATTTCCAAGTTCACCATCTACAAATTCAGCTTCTGTTTCTCCTCAAAATTATAGAAATTATGCTACTGAATCATTAAAACATAATAGTAATGTTAGATTTGAAACACTACTAGAAAATGTTAGTGAAAGAAAAGAATATAATTTTAGTAAATGTTTCCCATTTCATAGAAAATTAGTTACTTTCCAAACTCAACAAATGAAATTAAATTTAGGTCCTTTAAAATTAGGTTCATCAGGTATAAAAAAAGCTATAAGTTTATCAATACATACTTATATAGATTTTCAAAAAGGCTTGGAAATTACTAGGTTTGTATTAGTTAGTGAAAAAAGATGGGAATTATATGAATATGTATTACCTTTAAAAGATACAGATATATCACAAATAAAACCAAAATTAATATGTAGTGGTAAATCATCAGGAGAATATGGTGAATCAAGTACAAATATGAATCAATTGAAAATTCCAGGAGATAATGAAATTTTAAAAAGAAATGATTTTGGTAATAAATCAGAAGATAAAAATTCAATTACTGAATTAAAAAAAAGATTATCTACTTGGGATCAAATGTATTCTCAATTAACTAAAAATTTTTTGGTTATATCTGGTACAAAGGGAGTAATGAGAGTTTTTAATATTGATAATAATTCAAAATATCAAATGGGTGAACCATTATATACATATTTAACTGATTTTCCAATAAGATGTTTAGCAATATCACCAAATGAAAAATTAATAGCTTGTGCTATAACAGCAAGAGAAAAAATTTCAGATAAAGAACAACCATTTATTGCATTACATAAAATTGAAATATTTGAAGATTTTTCTATAAAATCAATTGAACCAATAATGATTACAATTCCTTATCGAGATCCTATAAAAATTTTAAATTTTAATGCTACTTCAAATCATTTAATTTGTGGAACTGTTTGGGAATCAAGATATGTTATTATAAAATTACAAAATTTAGAAAAACCTAAATTAGTATATACAGATGTTCCTTACAAAAAAGATGAAACAGTTTCAGATAGAAGAGCAGATGATGAATTAATGATGACAAATGAAGGTATAACTGATTTACAATTTGGTAATATAAATACAAATACAATATTAGTAACTTCATGTTATGTATATAATAGACCTGCATTATTGTTTAGATTAGATGGAACACAAATAGATTCAACAAGATCAGGTATTGATGATTATAGTAATAAATCTTTTACAAGTAATGATAAAGATGATGAAAATTATTCAAGAATTAAAACAGTTGAATTAATTATGAAAATTCCAGAAATTGGTTCATCATTACATAGAGCAGCAATATCTCCAAGAGGTGATGGTATAGTATATTTAGATAAAGATGGTAGATTATTTTTAGTTTCTGCAACAAATTTTAATTCAAGATCAAATTCTTCAAATAAAAAAACTATTGTACAACTTGGTGATGTTTCAAATTCTGAAAGATTTACAGAATCTGCTGCTGTTAAATTTCTGGCTGATGGGTCTAAAATATTTACAGTTGATAGAAAGGGAGTTTTTCAAATATTTGATTTTACAAAAGGTATACCTGGTGAAGATTTAGACGTTGTTAAATGTAAAATCATAAGTTTATAGATAGATACTTGTTCAAGTAGTTTTGTAAAGTATGTAAGCCACACATTAAATTGGAACAAAACATGTTTCACATTTCTTTTTTTCTGTTGATAATATTTCACTTTTTTTTTTTTCATTTATAATAGAACCATTTCAATAACCACAAATCAATTCAAAGAAACAACTACAATGTCCAGTAGCAACACTCCTCCACCTCCATTGAAAGATGATGTTTTAGATCTCATAGGTAATACTCCATTAATCAAGCTTAATAGAATTCCACAATCATTAGGAATTAAAGCTAAAGTTTATGCAAAAGTAGAATTATTTAATGCTGGAGGTTCAATAAAAGATAGAATTGCTAAAAATATGGTTTTAGAAGCTGAAAAAACTGGTAGAATTAAACCAGGTTATACTTTAATCGAACCAACTTCAGGTAATACAGGTATTGGTTTAGCATTAGTTGGAGCAGTAAAAGGTTATAGAACTATTATAACATTACCTGAAAAAATGTCAAATGAAAAAGTATCAGTATTAAAAGCTTTAGGTGCGGAAATTATAAGAACTCCAACTGAAGCTGCATGGGATGATCCAGAATCTCATATTGGAGTTGCAAGAAAATTGGAGAAAGAAATCCCCAATTCTGTTATATTAGATCAATATTCAAATCCTGCGAATCCTGATGCTCATTATTATGGTACAGGATTTGAAATTTGGGAACAAACTGAGGGTAAAATCACTCATTTAGTAGCAGGTGCAGGAACTGGTGGTACAATTACTGGTATGTCAAAATATTTAAAAGAAAAAAATCCAAAAGTTCATGTTACTGGAGCTGATCCCAAAGGGTCCATATTAGCAGAACCAGAAAATTTAAATTCAAGTACAGAAGGCTATTTAGTTGAAGGTATTGGTTATGATTTTATTCCTGATGTATTAGATAGAAAATGGGTTGATCATTGGATTAAAACTGATGATGCTGAATCTTTTAAATTAGCAAGAAGAATTATAAGAGAAGAAGGTATTTTGGTAGGTGGATCATCTGGTTCAGCTTTACAAGCTGCTTTAGAAGTTGCAAAAGATTTAAATGAAGATGATGTATTAGTTGTTGTTTTCCCAGATTCAATAAGATCTTATTTAAGTAAATTTGCTGATGATGAATGGTTAAAATCAAATGGTTTTACAGTTGAAGAAAATGAAAATGTTAATAAATCTGAAGACTTTTTAGCTAATAAAACTATAAAGGATTTAGTAGCTGGTAAAGCTCCTGTTGTAACTGTTACATTATCAGATACTGTAGCGAAAACTTTTGATTTATTACAAACTAATGGATTTGATCAATTACCAGTACTTAATAAATCAGGTCAATTAATTGGATTAATTACATTATCCAAAATATTAAAATCATTATCAACTAAAAAAATTCAATTAACAAATTCAATATCATCAATTATAATAGATTTTAGAAAATTAGCAGATTTTGAAAAATCAAAATCAATAAATAAAGAATCTGGTTTTACAAAAAGAAATTATGATTTAATTACATTAGATACTAAATTAAATGTGTTAAATAAATTTTTTGAAACAAATTCGAATGCTATAATAACTGATGAAGAATTAAAACCTGTTCAAATTGTTACAAAAGTTGATTTATTATCTTATATGACTAAAAATCTTTCCTACTAAATTATGAAAAAGGGAGTAATAATATTAATATACAGATATAAAAGAAATAAATAGCCATTTGTAATTACACACATACATGTAATGTAAGTTCATGAAAATTTCCATCTATTACCACAATTTTCACAAGTACAAAAAGTAGTTAAAGGTTCATCAGCAGATCTTGTTTGCATTTGATAATAACTTACTTTTTTATGTTTACATTTTCCACAAGTAAAACGATCAGTAACTGCTCTTTTTTCAGTTGCACCTTGAGCATCAAATAAATTTTGTTTATGTAATTTTTCAATTTCCTTTTTTAAAGATTCAGGAGCCATTTCATTGGGTGACATTTTTATAAATTTTGATGCTATAATTTGTCTTGTTAATATTCTTTCTCTTAATTCTGGATTTTTTTTATTTTTTAAATTCATTGTAAAACTTCTTAATTTATTTCTATATGAATCATTAACTTTCAGATATTCTCCTTTAAAAACTTCACTTTCTATTTCCATTGCAATTGTTAATATATGATTTGGTGAATCATCTCTATCTACTGCTAATGATGTATATAATGCACTTATTGATGCATTACGAGTATCATTATCGTAATGATTAATATTTACTCCATCATTTTTAGGATTTCTTGGACCATTGAATTTTGTAGTTGATGAATTAGGAGGAATTGATGAAGAAGAAATTGGTGTATTTGCATTTGAATTGGTAGTTGATGAAACAGGAGTCGAACCAGTTGATGATGTTGATGATGCCTTTTTAGACTTGTTTTTCTCAGCTTGAACTGCTTCTCTCCAATTTTTTATCATCTTTTTAACTAATGAACTTATTTCATTATTTTCATTACTTCTATATTTATTTACAACAACTCCTACTTTAGTTTCTCTTAATAATTTTTCAGTAGGTTTAACTTCATCATTTAATATGTTTAATAACTTTAGTATAGTAGTATCATCTATTGCTTTCTCCAAATTGGAAATTGTTGATTTAACTTCCTTGGTTTCCATGATGATAACAAATACTTAGATGTGTCTTGTTTTTGGTTTTTGACTTTTTTTTTTTTTCTCTTGATATCAACTTTTTACAATCATAATCAATACAACTAGATAACATCAAAGCAAATGAATTCACGAAGTACTTGTGTATCCCTAGGTAAATTCCCATTTGATTATACGGAAGAACAAGTAAGAGACATAGCAAAATCAGTTGGACCAGTATTAGATGTAAAATTATTATTTGATGAATTAACAGGAAAATCAAAAGGATATGCTATTGTAAATTATGGAGATGTTGAAACAGCAGGATCAGCAGTTAGAAATTTAAATTATACTTCATTACCAAATGGTAGATTTTTAAAATGTTCAATAATAAATGATTATGATATGAACATTAATTCAAATTCAGAAACAATAAAATTACCTCCATTACCATTAGGTATACAAATTCATCCAAATCAAAATGCTTCACAAGTTATATCATCTATATTAACAAATATTGATTCAAATTCTGCATTACAAATATTAAAAGAAATTCAAACTATGAGTATAGAAAATCCCAAGGGAACAAAATTATTATTAGAAAGATTTCCTCAACTTTCTTTAGCATTAGTTGAATTAGGTTTAATTTCAAATACAACAAATCATGAATTAATTGAATTAACTTTAAATAAAAAACCAATTGAATTAAAAGAATTAAGTATAGATCATGTAAAACTTTTAGAATCAGTTAATAATTTAACTAATGAAGAAATTGAAGAATTAAATGAAAATCAACAAGATATAATTAAACAAGTGAAAGATGAGATTGCAAAAGGTTCTTATGGAGAGATTTTAGTTGATATATAGTTTAGTCTTCTAGGAGTGTATAAATTAATGATGTTATGATAAAAAATAAATGTTTTAATGAGTTTACATGTGTAATGGTAAATTGTTGGGTATTCTTGCAAACTATAAAATATTTCGTAAACTGAAACCTCTGCTCAATGATGAAACTTTTCAGATGATATAGCTTATTAATCATTGAAGGTATAGGATTTAAAGAATAAGAAATAAAGTAGATTAAACTTAGCATATGATTCAAACACAAAATATGAAACATTTCAACGGAATTAATTAAATTAAAGTTTCTAAACTGAATTCATTTAAATACGTTGTTGGTTTCGATATATAAATTTATAGTCTATGTATAAAGTATAAAATGTATAGTTTATTAGATTCACTCTAAAATAAAATAATAAAGATTATTTATTGTTTAGCTTAATTCCGATTAACTCCTATATATGCATTAAGAAAATAAATATAAAGAGAATGAAAGAAAAAAATGTTGAACAGAATGTAATTGATTCCATATAAATTTCAAGTTAAATCCCATCCACATTTAATTTTTGTTTGTCGAGGATCAAAAAGCTGAGGTCGATTGGACTATCACATACAACAAATATACTCAAAAAAGCATAGAATGACGAATCATCCTCATCAACATCATCATCATCATCACCACCATCATCAACACCAACATCAAATTGATCATTCAACACAACATAAATCACATTTATCATCAAGTACAATACCACCAAGAAGAAAAACAAGAGAAGAAATATTAGCAGATTTTGAAAATGATTTAATAAAATTTGAATCAATGTCTATAAAAATAGATGGTCATGATGAAGCATTAATATTTTCAAGAAATATGGAACCAATGCCTCAAAGACTTTATTTCATATTACCTGAATATTGTACATATCATTTAAGTTTAAGATATAAAATCAAACAAAGACCATTAAATAAATTATCATATCATCAAACTGTTAAAAAATCAGGAATAATAGTAGATTCAAGAGATTTAGCAATGAATCAATGTGCATTAGTAAATAATCCTTATGATGAAAATGATTATCATGAAATTACATTTATACCTGCTGGTACTCCAGGTGGTGCTTTTTTAAGAGGTGAATATCCTGCTAAATCTATAATAAAAGAAGATGGTAAAACTATATGGTCATATAAATGGACAATAAAAATTGTTAAAAAAGCAGATAAACCACAAATTGGTGGATTTGATTAATAGAAGACAGAATGATGAAATTAATTCATTCATAATTCAGGCAAATTTATAGACTAACAGTAATATACTATTAATACATGGAATGCATAAAAATAGATGATATAAAATTGTAACTACGATATTTCTTCAAAATTAAGTAGATTAATTTGCGTAAGACGAAACAATACGGAGATTATTAAGACAGTGATCACTCTGATTATTCATACAAACAAGCCAGCTGACGGAAGATCAGAAATTACAGCCTTGGGCCTAAATATTAATTAAAGGTAAATAAATATCACGCTTATTTACACGTGACCAATATGAGCTTTTTCTTTTTTAAGCGGTAAAATACCTCTCATAAATTTAAGCCACTTAAGGATAACGTATCACAATATTCAATCATTCTCGCCCCACATATGAGCATGAATTTGAAGGAGATATAACTCCCGAACAATTGTGAGTTTGAACCTAGTTTGTCATACTTGAAGCATATACTAGGTTGAATAATCACTCTCTCGGTTAAAAGCTCAAGTTTCGATCAGACTTGCAAAGTTGTCATAGAGCCAATCGAAGTTTTAATAATCGTGTGAGTTTTAAGTCCGACCGATAAACTATGTCAATATTTTGATGAGCAAGGCTAAGCTTCTAAATTGATTCTTTAACTTTCATTTTATTGAATCGGTTCATAGCTTGTATTGTTACAAGGTGTTCAACAAGATGTTGAACAAGTCAGAACTCATTTATTATTTTGTAACAGATTAAAAAATTTGTATGACTTTATTATTTTATTTTCTTACCTAATTTTTACGAACTTCTTTATCTTATTAATTTTATATTACTACCTACTTTCTTACGATTATTCTCAAAACACCATTCATCAACAAATATATTCAAATATCAAGCGTACTCAGTATATATTTTAAAAAGAATATTTGAGGAAGAGACTCATTATACAAATAATCTATTCTCATAGAATAAGACTATCGGAATTCAAGAATTAGCAAAGGAACAGATCAAAAAAATTAAATCAGATTATCATTACAACTAAATCTACTTTCTAATCAGCAAAAATTTGACAATTCACCAAGAAACAAAGTAATATTTGCAATAAAAATGAGTTCCCCAAAAAGACGTATTGAAAAAGATGTTATGGAATTAATGATGAGTGATCATGATGTAACATTAATTGATGATTCAATTCAACAATTATTTGTTATATTTAAAGGTCCCAAGGAAACACCATATGAAGGAGGACTTTGGAAAATAAGAGTAGAATTACCAGATCAATATCCTATAAAATCTCCATCAATTGGTTTTACAAATAAAATTTATCATCCAAATATTGATGAAGGTTCTGGTGCTGTATGTCTAGATGTTATAAATCAAACTTGGTCTCCAATGTTTGGTTTATTAAATATATTTGAAAATTTTTTACCTCATTTATTAAGATATGCTAATCCAAGTGATCCTTTAAATACTGAAGCTTCTAATTTAATGACAAAAGATGAATCTAAATATAATGAAACTGTTAAAAAATATGTTCAACAATATGCTAGTGAAAAACCTATATTAGACGGTGATGAAGAGAATGATTTAGATGATGATGAAGATAATGAATTGAGCGATGTTGGAAGTTTATCAAGTGATGATGATGAAGAGGAAGAAGAAGAAGTAGCTGGTGATTTAGACATCTAAACAAAAGCTGACAAATTTTTCAAGTTCCGTTTTTTTATTCTTTATATTCGTTTGAGTTTATATTCGTCATCTAGGGTTAAGGTAAGATTGTTTTATGTTTTGTTTTGTTGGTTTTTGATTTTATTAGGTCATTTTATTTTATACAAGTCAGTTTTAGAAAAAAAATTTTTTAATTCAACTGTTTGATGGTGTCTGACTCTTGCGTGCTCTTAGATTGGAGCCAGCTCTTTTATTCCTCGAGTATAGTACACATTGTTTAACGCTTCAATAACTCTCTCACCTTTGAATTGACCTGAAAAGTTTGTGATTAATTTTAGAGTTACAAAACTGAAACTTCAATATCAGATTTCACAACTTCAGGTTCATCCTAAAACAACTAATATCTACTCAAATCACGTCTCTTCTTGCATATCGAAATATGACAGACGTGCCGACAACGTCGAATGACTCAACACCAACCCCAAAAAAGCAAAGAATTTCAAATGATGATTTATATAGAAATTCAACACAATTTGAATTATGGTCTTTCACACAAGAAGAATTATTAAATGCTAAAAAGAAAGTTCATGAAAAAGGTTTAGCAACAGCACTGGAAAATTTTGATATAGCATATAAAAAAGCAAAAAATGAAAATCCTGAAATATTTGCAAAATATCCTCAAGAATTTATAAAAGAAGAAATAATAAGTACATTAACACAAGAAGAAGAAGCTATATATTTAGATTTTTATGTGAAAAACACTACAGCAACATGTAATCATTTTAAAATGCCAACACAAGTTAGACTTACAGCTGCTTCATTTTTCAAAAAATTTTATCTTGTTAATTCAGTAATGCAATATCATCCAAAAAATATATTATATACTTGTATTTTTCTAGCAGCAAAATCAGAAAATTATTTTATATCAATTGAAAAATTTGTTAATTCATTACAAAATTTAAAAATTAAAGATATTTTAGATTTAGAATTTATTGTTTTAAAATCTTTAAAATTTACTTTATTAGTTCATCATCCAATACGACCTTTATATGGATTTTTTTTAGATTTTCAAGCTGAATTATTACATCCTTCACCTATAATGTATGATGTTTCAGTTGATACTATTGGGAATTTATATAATAAAGCTAAAGAATGGTTGAATCAATATTATATGCTTAGTGATACTGCTTTTTTATATACTCCACCACAAATAGCTTTAGCTGCTATGTATGATGTTGATAAAAGAATTACAGATAAATATTTGAAAAGAAAATTTTTAAAAGAAGTACCGAAAGAAGAAGGGAAAGATGAAGATATAATGGAAGTAGATCAAGATGGTAAAGAAGTAATTGAAGTAAAAGAGATCAACGGAGTCAAAGAAGAAGAAAAGAAAAATGCAAATACAAATAGAACTCAATATGAAACATTAGTAAAATTACTACGAAAATGTGCTAAAATTGCTAAAGATTTACCTGAAACTGATAGGGAAAGAAGCAAAGATATAGACAAGAAATGTTATTTTGCATTACATCCTGCTAAACTTATAAATAAAAAGATCAAAAAATTAACGAATGAACAAGGTTCAGCTGCTCCGAACTAGTGTTGGATATGATACATCTATAGCATATCCTTATAATTGTATAAATTTGTATGTACCGTCATTAATTCAGCATATTTGAGCTTTTAATCAATGTCAACTCTCTTAGCGGATATGGGGTTTTGTGTAACAACAAAATAATCCGGACTTTTCATTAATAATTGCTAGATTTCATTCCAAAACTGTGCCATGATTTTTCATCAACATTAAGCTAGAATGAGTTCAAAAAGACTATATTCTACAATTGGTCCTTCAGTATCAACCATAAAAAACCAAAATTTGGTCAAAACACAAGCATTTGTCAATGGGAAATGGATTAATAGTTCAAGTGGTGAAACTTTTGAAGTTTCAGATCCAGCAAAATATCCAAAAGAAGAATCAAAACTTGCAACTGTTCAATCAATGACTGAAGATGATTATAAATCAGCAATCCAAAAAGCAAATGAATCATTTCAAAAATTTAAAAAAGTTAGTGGAAGAGAAAGATCAACTTTATTATATAAATTATATCAATTAATGCATGATAATAAAGAAGATTTAGCAAAATTAGTTGTTTTAGAAAATGGTAAACCTTATGCTGATGCATTAGGTGAAGTTGTATATGCTGCTTCATTTTTTCAATGGTTTGCTGAAGAAGCACCAAGAGTATCTAGTGATTTAATTCAAAGTGCTAACCCTGAAAATCAAATTTTAGCTATAAGACAACCAATTGGAGTATGTGGTATATTAACACCTTGGAATTTCCCCTTAGCTATGATTACAAGAAAATTGGGTGCAGCTGTTGCAGCTGGGTGTACAACTGTAATTAAACCAGCTTCAGAAACTCCATTAGCAGCATTAGCTCTTGCTCAATTAAGTGAAGAAGCTGGGTTCCCACCTGGGGTTGTTAATATTTTACCATCTCATGAATCTGCGAAAATTGGTAAATTAGTTTGTGAAGATCCAATTATTAAAAAAGTATCATTTACTGGATCAACAAATGTTGGTAAAATATTAATGAAACAACTGAGTTCAACTTTAAAAAAATTATCTTTAGAATTAGGTGGTAATGCACCTTTTATTGTATTTGAAGATGCAGATTTAGAAAAAGCTGTAACTGGTGCAATTGCTTCAAAATTTAGATCAAGTGGTCAAACATGTATTTGTGCAAATAGATTGTTTGTTCATGAATCAATATATGATGAATTTACTACTAAATTTGTTGAAAAATTAAAAAAAGATGTTAAATTAGGTAATGGATTAGATGAAGGTGTAACTCATGGACCTTTAATTCATGATAGATCTATGGAAAAAGTTAGAGAACATATTGAAGATGCAGTTGATAAAGGTGCTAAAGTATTATTAGGAGGTGATAAAAGACCAGATTTAGGTGAAAATTTTCATGATTTAACAGTATTAGGTGATGTAACTCCAAAAATGTTAATTTTTAATGAAGAAACTTTTGGACCAGTTGCTCCAATTATTAAATTTTCAACTGAAGAAGAAGTTATAAAATTAGCAAATGATACACCTGTAGGATTAGCAGGATACTTTTATGCTAAGGATTATACTAGATTATTTAGAGTTGCAGAAGCTTTAGAAGTAGGTATGGTAGGAGCAAATACTGCTTTAATTTCTGAAGCTGCTTTACCTTTCGGTGGAGTTAAAGAAAGTGGGTTCGGTAGAGAAGGATCTAAATTTGGAGTTGAAGATTATACAGTTATAAAAGGTGTTGTTATTGGTGGTATTGAATAGACCTTAATAGGAAGTAAAAAATTATTTGTTTTTTTTGACAATAATCATACACTACTTCCATTTGTAGAAGGTATCGTTTCTGTAATAGTAGATTCCAGTGGCTTTTCTTCCTCTGGCTTTACTTCCTTTTTAACTTCTTCCTCTTCCTTCTTTGCAACATCTAGTGGTACTGATATTTTAGATTTTTTCAAATCGTATCCTTTATCGTTTAATATCTTGAAATTACCACTATCAACAAGTTTTTTTCGTATTTCTTCATTCACTTCGTCTATACCCACGCCCTTTTCCGCAACATTATTTAATTTTTGGTTTAATTTTGTTATATCTGAAGAATCACTTGAAGGTATTTGTTCATTTTTCACGGCTTCTAATTCTTTTTGTAATTGTTCCAATAATTTTGCACTATTTATATTCAGTATTCTCGGTATATCTAATATAGGTTTTTTAAAACAACGTCTCATATTATCATTATTCTCAACATATTTAACACAATGTATAGATTTTAATGTTAATGAGAAAACACCACCTTCTTTAGTTATACCATTAACAATTGATGATGGAAAGTTTTTCAAGGTTGCTGTTGGTTTTTCATATTCTGTTGGTATAATTTTTGGAACTTCTACTGGTTGTTGTTGTTGTTGTTGGTAAGAGTTTTGTTGTTGATAATATGGTGTAGTAGTATTTCCATAATATTTTTGCTGTAGTAGTTCTCTTTCTCTTTCTTGTTGTAATTGCAACTTCTTTTTATGTGAATGTCTACCCATGTTTTGATTGATTGTGTTGATGTCGTTATGAAGTTGTAATGATGGAGATATAAGTCTGTTTACAAAATCAAAGTTATGAAAAGTCTTGTCGTGTGAATCTGATGTTACAAATTTTTTTTTTCCGACATGATGTCACAACAATATTTATCAAAAGTTAATTCAATAACCATTATCATTCTCATTACTTCATCAAATTAACCATGACCTCTCGACTAGATGAATTAAATAAAAAATTTCAAAATGAAAATCAAGGTTTAGCATCAAGAAGACAAATGCACAATTCGAATTCACTTCGACCGCCTCCTACATCATCTGGGGTGACTTTTCCTTCAATAAATTCAGCACAAAGAGCTTCATCTGCCTCATTGTCAGCTCCATCATCACTGTCAAGAGCTCGTCAAAAGGTAGTTCTTCAACCAGGTCATTCACCATTAGACTGGGCGGAATTAAATAGAAAAACACCAAAATATATACTAAGAGGTGTAGAACCTTCCACTCCACCACCTCAATACGTAAAAGTAAATAAAGAGGAATTGAAAAAACATAAAACCCAAAAGGATTGTTGGACTTGTATAAATAATAAAGTTTTTAATATTACACCATATATAAATTTTCATCCTGGTGGAGTTGATGAAATTATGAAGTGTGCTGGAAAAGATGGGACAAGTTTGTTTAATAAATATCATAGTTGGGTGAATGTTGATAGAATGTTGGAAAATTGTATAGTTGGTGTTTATGTTGGATAAAAATGACATGGTGATCAATGCTAAATCTTTAAGTAGGTGTTTAATGAGTAATGTATTATTTATTTATTTATCTAGGCTTAGGATAAGTATCACTATTGGTTATTAGTTGATTCAATTCGTAGTCATGATTTTCTACAGGTAGTACATCATCTTCCACTATTTGTTCTTCCAATGCCAATCCAATTAAAGTAGGAATCGTAGACCATTTGTTATGATAAGCCGATAGGAATTCATCATAAAACCCTGCTCCGTGACCTAATCTTTTTAAATTGGAAGTAAAAGCTACACCTGGAATTAGTATTAAATCTAGATCCCCTTGCTCTATTGCGTCTTCTCCTTCCAATGGTTCTAAAAGTTGATATTTCCCTTGAGGTTTTAAATCTAAGACGTGCTGAAATGAAGGAACTTTTAGCATTGATAAATAAATCTTCTTTCGATTTGGAGCAGGTTGAGTGTTACAATTTGGTAAATAGACTTGTTTGTTCAATTTGAAACATTCATTTATTATTGGAAGTGTCTTGATTTCCAGATCAGGCATATTCATATAAACTGCAATTGTTTTAGCATTTTTGAAAATAGTTGAATCTTGTAATTTATTCAAAATACTTTGAGATTGTGAATTTAACGAATCTTGACTTATGATTTTGAGTTTCGACTTGATCTCATTTCGAAGTTTCCTCTTTGCAAATTTGAGAGTTTGAGTAGTTGTTGACATTAGAAGTCAATTCAATTTTGATGTTAAACGAGTACAAAAGTGATGAAAAAGTTGAAATTACTTAATTGAACTGAATCGTCCTAAAAAGAGTATTTGGTAAAATCGAAAAAGAAATCAGAACTCAATCGTTGATCATCATTCCATTGTTATAGAATTTAATTCTATTTACAATTCATCTTCTTTTTCAATATCTTCTAACTCTCTCAGTGGCTTTACTTTACCATATCTCTCTTGTAAAGGCTTGAGAATTATCCCCAAAGGTCCTTGATCGTAAATGATTTTTGACCAAGTACGAACAACATTGTCATACCACTCATTTGATGCATTACTATCAACTTTGCCGGTTGCTACGAATTTTTTCACATCTTTTTGTAACTTCTGACATCTTTCAACATCCTCTGATCTCTTTAAAATAGTATATGAATTGACTAAGTTATCTAATACTTTACTCAAAACTTGATTTATATTCGAAGAGGATGCATTGTCATAATATAACTTCTTTAATAATTCTTCATTCCATTGTAATGATTCTTTTTCATGATGTTGGGCCCATAGTATTTCTGCAATATGAGCTTTTATTGATGATATTTGAAATTCTAAATTCTCTGCTGATGCATTGAATAATGGAAAATGCATTTGATTTGAAGGTCTAGCTAGAATTGAAGCTTGTAAATCCGACAAAACTTTTAAGTTTGATAGGTATATTGTCAAAGACTGTTTAAGTAAATCCTTATCAGATATTCGAGATTGTTTAGCATGTTGAAAAGCTAAGTCATTCAAACAATTGATTAATTCATCTGAAATCTTGCTATTTGTTTTTAGTGTCAAATCATCATTCAATTGGATCGATGAATATGTTTTATTCAACATGTCAATAGATCTTTTCAATGCATTTACTTTGTCACTATAATTTTGATAAACTCTAGCTAGCAATCTAGTACATTCAGACAATCTTTCAGCATCTCCGAGTTTATAATAGATTAAATCATCATTTATCACTTTCTCCAATATATTGATCGATGCATCTAATTCACCTTTTGCAAGTAAAGCTTTACTATATCTTAAAATCATATCAATATAAAAATTTGAAAATTTATTTGACTTTCTGTACACCAATGTTTCAGAATCGATGATTGGTATTTCATATTTATCAAAATCTTCTTCTTTTATAGTTGAATCAACTTGTTTTGCTAAATTGAATAATAATTTTCGATAATGTTTGACTGCATATCTTGGTTTTTCAAGTACATCATCTTTGTTAATACCTCTAACAGCTTCAACTTGATCTTTAAATGGTAATTCAAATGGAATATTCTGTCTATCATTTGCATCTTTGTATAAGAAATATAATGATCCTAATGTAACTATTAAACCTCCGGCATAAATTGCTGCTAATGCATTAATTGCCGATCCGTAAGACTTCAAACCAGATAAAGCATTTGGCGATATTTTAATATTTCGTTTCTGCTGATGCTGTAGTACTCTTAATGGTAATCTTTTGGGTAATAGTCGAGTTGACCTAAACATTGGGTTGTTCTTTTAGTTTGAAGACTGATCAGATAAATACTAAATAATTTTTTATTAGGTTAAGCATTTTGTGTTACTCGCTCAGAATTACGATCGAAGTTTTGAAACATGAAAATTGAATTTATATAAAGCCGTCTCCATAGCCCAAATCAATCTACATCAAAATGATATGAGTTTCAGGGGTCATTATTCAACAGATGACCCAACTTTTAAGCTGAACTCGTCGCTTAATCAATCCATCTTACAACCACATTCTGAGTTATCTAATAGTAACCAACAAACTATCAACTTTCAAGATGATGAAAATCAAAATACTAGGTCAAAGATATCATTCTTGCAAAGATTTGTTACAAATTGGTTGATTATGGATCCTTTACTTCTACTGCAATATGAAGAAGGAAATAAGAATTACAAAGTTCAAAAAGATGAGGAAGTGAAACATATTTATTTGTTTGGAGGAAGATTAAGAATAACTAAAACAAAACCTATAATATTTTTGACATTTTTTATGTTGGTAATTCCCATTGTATTTTATTGTGTTTTTGAGGCTAACTGGCAATGGCATAATTTGCTGCCTGCAGTAGTGATAATCTTCATATATCTATGGTTAATTACCTTTGGAAATTTCATAAAAGCTGCTACAAGTGATCCAGGAATACTACCTAGAAATCTTCATCTACCTAAATCTTTAAATGATAATAAAATTGATAATCCTCCAGAGGAATATTTTAATAGCATTACTTTACCCTTTTATGATGACAAAAAATTTGGAGTCAATATAAAATATTGTTCAACATGTCATATTTGGAGACCACCAAGAACAAGTCATTGTAAAACTTGTCAATTCTGTGTTTTAAATCACGATCATCATTGTATTTATTTAAACAATTGTATCGGTGAAAGAAATTATATTTATTTCCTTTGGTTTTTATTACTAAGTTGCATATCATGTTTATATCTTTTAATTTTTTCAGTCATTCATTTATGTTATTATAGAATTGGATCAGTTGAATTTGTTTTTTCAATGTATGATTCTATTCAACAATTTCCATTAAGTTTATTTTTAATCATTTTTGCAATTATTGCATTTATTTACCCATTCATGTTGCTAGTATTTCACATCTTTCTCACATGTCAGAATTTAACAACTAGAGAATACTTAAATTATATTTTCAAAAGAAAGAATGTAGAATTTGTTAATGTATTTAATACAAAGTCGGTGTTTAAAAATTTATATATTAATTGGTTGGGAAAATCAAATGGCGTCAGTACAACGTATCCCAGAAGTCGATATCAAAAGGGAGATGTTACTCAGGAAAAGATAGAACCATTGCAACATTTTAGTGTAAAATATGATTAATCATAATAAATGTTACGAATTCGATTAATTTACGAATACCCCTTAACATCATACCTCTCACTGGTCTTCTTTACCTTTGTTGATTCTGGTAGTATAAATTTAAATATACGAAATAGCAATAGTAACGATAAGACAAATATAATGAAAATTGTTTAAAAGAATACTGAGATGATGAGTATCGTAGTTGTGATTGATAGTACGAAACAGAACCTTAGAGTTCAGGTAACACAAAAAGCTCAAAACACAAAAATAAAAGCCGCATGTTGTGTTTCCATTTAAAGAAATTTTCAATGGCCAAGCCATAAACTCAAAGCATCACTATTAAGATAAAACAATCATTTGAACTTACCATCGACTCATTAATCAACGACAAATATTAATGACAAAACATATATGACGATTATCACAGCCAAAGTAATAACAACAATATGGAGCGACGAAAAGGTCAAATACGACTGCCGTCATCATCAATAAATCAAAATTCATCATCACCACCAAATCCATTAAGACATAATTTATCATATCAATCATTAGATAAATATAGATTAAGTCCTACCCAATCAATAGATCGAGCTAACAATTCAAAAGCAAAGATTAATTCAAATATACTTCGTTCTAGATCATTTACTAGATCACCTCTGATTCCATCCATTGATCCAAGAGATTCATCAAATCCTAATCCAATAGATCATCAATTTGATACAAATGCTGTAACTCCTATATTTGAAGGATCAGTAAATAATACTAGTAGTAATGATAGAAATACAATTAGAACTTCAACAACTTCAATGTATCATGCACAATCAGATAAAGCAATTGCAACATATACAAATAATCAACAAGGTCCAAGGTCTAAAATATTGAATTTACCTCAACGATTGTTTAGTTGGTTATATTCATTTTCATTGGTTGCTTTAATTATATTAATTTTAGCATTTGTAGCAGTTACTCCTATTGATGTTATTATTCAAACATTAAAAGCAACAAATGGAACAAATGCAGTAGCAGTAAAGACATTTGTGGTTATTGCTGTTTGTGTTGTATTTTTATTAATATCAATCATTATTTATCTTGTAAGAGTTTATAATTTTAGAGTATCAATGAATGATGTTCCTCAAAAATCATTATATATTCCTTTTGAAAATGATTATCCAAAAGTTGTATTTAAATATATTGAATCTAAATTAAAAAATAGTATTGAAATTAGTGAAAAGGCAGGACCTTTAAATCAACCATATTCAATTAATCATCCAGGTTTATCACCACCAGAATATATTCAAAGAAGAAATCCTGATCTTGATGGTACATTATTACCACCAAATATTAATTATGAAGATATTTTACAAAGTTTTGGTGATAAATTTAGAGTTGGGAAAATTTTAACTGATGAAGATTTACCAATTAGTTTATCAATAAAAGAAATTTTATTATTATTATATAAACAAATTATTGATTCTAAAAAGACACAAATAAGAGTTAAACCAAATGTTACAAAATTAATATCCATATATGAAAAATGTAGATTTGGACCAAATTTAATTTTAGAAAAAGATCTTTTACAATTAATGTTAGAATTTGATAAATTTGGTCAATTATGTCAAAATGATTATCAATCACAAATTCCAAAAAATAGAAGAATTTCAAGATTAAGTCAATCATCAAATTATGAATTTACTGAAGGGAATTTATCAAGTAGTGATATGAAATATTATAGTAGTGCAATGTATTATGATCATGATGATACTAATGAAGATGAAGAATATAAAGATAATCAAGATTTAGATGAGGATACATATAGTGAATCTTTTGATGAAAAAAATGAATTACTGAAAACTGCAACTTTTGGTCATAGAAAAGTAGAACCTCAATATTATACTAATTTTGATCCATCAATTAATGATGATACTAATTCAAGAAGATTAGTTAGACATCAAAGTTATTCAAGTTCAAGATCTGTAATAAGAAATAAATTAGCATTAGAAAGTAAACATACATTACTGAGTTTAAAATATGAAGGAAATGATGAAGATAATAATTCATTAGTTAGAAATAAAAGTGGTTATGTTACTGATTCTGAAAATGAATTTGATCCAAATGAGTTGGGAATTTATGAAAGTAGACGAAGGTATGGAGAAAAGGATAAGCGAGAGAAGAAAAATGATAATGATGTTGATGTTGATGATGATGATGAACAATTTTATAATTTTAGACGATATAGTTCGAATTTTGGTCAACCAATTACACCAGAACAATCACCAGAAAGGTAATAGCATATCTAGCATTTTATTCAATTCTATAATTACAATTTAATATAATAGTACATTAAAAATTTGGTCTTTTTTATTGCTTTTGTTTATTTCTTATCTTAAAATATTTTTAGAAAAAGAAAACATAAATTTTAAAAATCTCCGAAATCAAACTTAAGAATCAAACCAACTTCCACAATCAATTACACTAAGAAACACCCATGATCCAGATACAGATATAACATTCACAAAAATAATAATATGTCAAATCAAAATGATCTATCTACAACTCCTAAATCATCATCATATTTATCATTCTTTCCTGATGATTATTTATATTATTTAGAATTTTTACCAAATTTACAAAATACTATAAATTTATTTATGACATTTACTCCATTATTTTCATATGGTACAACATGTATATCAATATATAAACGAAAAACTTCATTAGGTTTCAGTATAGATATTTGTGGAACAATGTTTATGGCAAGTATATTAAGAATTTATTATTATATTTGTTCACCTTATGAAATTACATTGTTGAGACAATCTATTATAATGATTTTAATACAAACTGTTTTGTTGAAAATTAGTTTAGCGTATCGACCTTCAGATTATGATCCTGAATTATTATCATCATTACCTAATTTAAAACATGAAATTGAAATGAATTTACCAAGAAGATTAAGTTTTAGTTCGATTAATTTTGAACATAAAAATTATTCATCAATGGATACCTTGGAGTTTGTAATTTTAAAATTTAAAGATTTATATACTTTAGCTTGGTGTTATTTCAAGACATTTTTTAAACAAACTTTACGATTATTTGATGTTTACTACAAAAGACCTGGTTTATTTTGGCAATGGTCAAATGAATCATCATATTGGATATTTTTAAGTGGATTTGCTTTAGTTTTTGGAATATTAACTGGTTTTTTCAAAAATAATGAAAATTTTGCAAATTTTATTGGTATATTAGGATTATTTATTGAAAGTTTATTACCATTACCACAAATTTTAATGTTAAATCGTATACAACTGGTTAAAAATTTTAAAATTATCTTGTTGTTAAGTTGGTTAGGTGGAGATTGTACAAAAATTTCTTATTTAATTTATGGAACTAATCAAATTTCAATTATTTTCATTGCTGCTGGTTTATTTCAAATGTGTTTGGATTTATTTATTGCTTATCAATATATTAGTTTAAAATATTTAAAAAGTCTTGGTGGTTCAAAACTAAATCTGCAACATTCAGTTGATGAAATTGTACATAATATATTATCAGATACTCGAGAGGAAGATTTAGAAATGAATATTTTAACTTCTTCCAGTAATGCATCAAGTAGATAGAGAGTAAATAGTCATTTAGAAAAAAAAAACATTGGTATTATATCTATTTATTTACAGAGGTTTCACATTATGAACTGGATGATATTCAACATTTCTTTTAGCATCATTAATTAATTCTAAAGCTTCTTCACCAACTAATTCATGTTTAATTTTAATATGTCTTGATAATGCATCACCTCTTGAAAAAGTTTTTTCTTTTCCATTACCTTTACCACCTTTATATCTACCTTCACATATAACACATCTAAATATTTTTTTCATTGATGCATGTATTGTATTTTGATGACGTATTAAATCATAAGGTCTTGAAAATTGTTTATTACATATTAAACCAGTAGTTGGACTAATTAATGAACATCTATGATCTGGATTTGTAGCTGTAATTTCTGCTCCTGTACCTTGAGCTGATCTAGTATGTTGTCTTTTAGTAGGTGATAAATTAGGATTTTGTTCTTGTATTCGATAATGTTCACTAATTTCTGGTGGTTGTGGTTGATCTGATGTTTCACTTTGTTGATAATCTTGATCATCATTATCAATCATTATTGAATCATCTTCTGATTCTTCTTGTTTTATTTCAGGTGGTGAATCCATTGGTGGTGGGGTTGAAATTATTGATTGTGGTGAAACTTCAGAAACAATAGCATGATTATTAGCAGCTACTGCTTCATCATGTAATTCTTGTAATGCATGTGGTAATCCTTGATTTATATTTTGATTATTATCTTCTAATGAAATATTTTTAAATTCATCAAATGTTTGATTATTATTATAATGACTTGTATTATTCATAATATAATCATCAAATTCTTCATCAACTTGAAAATAATTTTCTTCATTTTCATCTTCATCATCTGATAAATCTTCTTCAATTTGTTCATTTGCATCATCTAAATAAAGATAATCATCTTCATAACCAGGAATAATATCATTTTCAAAATTTTGTGGTTCATTATTTAAAAATTCATTTTGAAATTCATTTGGTGGGACATAAAAACATGAATCCATTTCATTTTCAGTAATTACATGACCTGGTGAAATATCAGGGTTATATAATAAGTAATCTTCATCTATGGTTTTCTTTTTATTTGAAGTAGTAGGTTCAAGACTATCTATTGTAGTGATTCTTTTTCTTCTTCTTGGGGGGAATGCTTGAGGTAATGGAGGAGGTGAATTTTCTTGTTGTTGGAAAGGATAATTTTGAGTAGGTTTTATGTATGTGTTTGAATTTGAGTAGTTGATGAAAGGGTTGGTATCTTGTGCTTCTAGATATTCTGAATATTGTGGCTGCTGCTGTTGTTGTTGTTGTAACTGCTGCTGCTGCTGTTGTTGCAGTTTCAAATAATCTAGATAATATTGTGATGTAAATTGTTCAATAAATGAATCAGGTAAATTCAACATATCCCCTAGATTATTCTGTGAATTATTATGATACATATTATTATTATAAAGTTGTTGTTGTTGTAATGATGGTGATGAATTTACAGAGTTTTTATTTGATGTATGATGATTATAATTATTATTCAAATTTAAACTTAAATTATTCTGTATTGGTGATGAATTTTGTGGTTGTGATGATTGTGGTTGTAAATAAAAATTATTTGAAGATGAAGCTGAATTTATTTGTGGTAATGAAGTTGATGGAATTAATGGTGAAGTAGGTATTTGATATAATTCTTCATCCATTATATCAGTCATAGTTCTTTTAAGTTGTGGTAAAACTACTGAAGTCATCCTCTGGTTTTTGTTGTTGTTGAAATGAATGTTGTGGTTGTTAATTGTTGGATAAGTTATTAATTGCTTTGTAGTTATGATTAGTAATAAATCAAACTACTTTTTTTTTAGTTATGCTCTGTCTTTTTGTGTGGTTCGACTAAGCTTTGAATTTGTATGAGTGAGTAAGTTGTTTTCTTATTAATTATTGGTCTGTTCTGTTGATTTGACGATAAACTAGTTCGTTGTATAAGTAAATGTAATAAGTTGTTTGGTTGTAATTATAAAAGAAAAAGTGTTGTAAAAATAATGATATTATTTATTTTCGGAAATTAAATTGATAAGTATTAAGTTATAGATCACAATACAATAATATTTATTTGTGTGTATTACATAATCAAATGTATGGTGTATTATGTAATATCATATGGTAGTCACACAACGACACTATATTTATTCCATTTTATTCCATTTAGATAGGGCGGTTTTAATTTCAAATTCGTTTCATGACCTTATAAAGAGTAACACCGAGTATCGTATTTAAGAACAATCAAAATAGAAATTTATACAGCTTTATAAAAAGAAATAACATTATATAGAAGTTAGTGAAAAATTTTCACAGACTCTTCTACATTGCTGTGTTTGTTATAGACATATGGAAGAATGACCTTGGGATAGTTGAGTACGTTAAAGTAGTGCTGGATATGTTTAAGTGCATAGCTCTTGATGACTCTAAAATTGAAATAAAAATAATAATAAAACAAAACAATACTAATAATATAGATGACTATATTATATTAAGTACAATTTCTTAAATAAAGTGAAACATATTTCCTTAGCCTAAAGAATAAAAAGTATATGATTTATCTCCTTTTTTCATTCATTTTTGTTTTCAGAATTCCTTCTAATACCGTGTTAATATCTTTTCATTCTTATTCCATTCATTATCCTACTTGAATTCGGAAGTAATGAGATAACTAGCTCAAATACATCTACAAGAGCTTGCTTATGTTTTAGTTTCATAAAAATAGTTGATGTGAGGAGAAATGGATCTCCTTACAGTAAATATAATATTAAATCTCAAGACAACAACACCTAACTACTAAATAATAAATTTTAAATATTATAACGACACATTTAATGTTGTTAGGCATTGTCCACAACTTAACTGATTATGGAAACGTCTATGTTTGTCTGAATTTGTATAGGAAAAAAAAAGTTTAATTATAATTTCCGCTTCCCGTCGTTTCAAATTTGACTGATGCTATCACCCCGGTCTTACAACATACAAATTTCTTTTTCAAAGACACTGTGGTAAATTTAAAACTATCTCGCTGTTCATATCTTTATGAATCACGAAAGTTCTAGATCAATCAATTTTTCAAGTTCGAACTTGACTAACTGTAGAGATGATGAAGAATTTTTTTCACCACGTCAACAGGATTTCTTTTTACTGAGTTGGGTTGTTGATCCACAATTTTTACAAGAATTTAGTATATCACTGGCCATGAGAATCCATCGTAATTTCTTTTGAATTTTAGAGTCGGAACTTTGATAAATGAGTAGTTACCGTGGTTATAGTGAACAATTCTATAAATTTTCTATAATTATGTATACGATATGACCTAAGGTTAACGTCAGATTGTATCATTTTCTGTTATTTGAAGAAATGGTAGATTTTTCGTTTTTTTCTTTGTCCCTGTTGGTTGATCACGGATGGAATAAGTTTTAAATTTTCAAGTTGAAATCAAATGTGTTAAAGGGAAGAATTGAGTAGATAATGTTCATGAATTTTCTTTAAATCCTTCATTGCTTCAAACGCTTTACAATTTTTTCTTTAATCCAGCATTTCTACTTTCTTCAGAACCTTCTAAAGCCTTTTCTTTATCTAAATAATAATAAGGTTTTATTAAATCTCCTTTATCATTTAATTCAAAAACTAATGGTACACCCGTAGGTATTTCAATTTTTGAAATATCATCATCATCAACTTTATTTAAATATTTAATTAAACTTCTTACTATTGAACCATGAGTTACAATTAAAACAGTTTTATTTAATTGAATCATTTGATTATCTAAAATTTCATATTTAAAAAATGGTATTAATCTATCCATTACCATATGTAAAGATTCTCCTCTTGGTAAAATATCTTTATTTAATAAATCATTATATTTTTCATCTATTGAAGTATCTGATTCTGGATCAATTAATGGTGGTAAACCATTATAATTTCTTCTAATATATTGAAATAATTTTTTATCTTGATTTAATTCCATAAATACATCATGACGATTTCTACCTTGATATTTACCATAATGACGTTCATTTAATCTCCAAGATTTTATATGATCTATCCAAGGTTTATTTAATACTTTTAATATTATAAATCCTGTTTCTATTGATCTAATTAATTTTGATGTATATAATATATCTGGTGATAAATTATTTTGTTTAATTAATTCTCCAGCATATTCTGCATCTTTTTTACCTTTTTCAGTTAATGGAACATCTAACCATCCACAAAATTTATTTTCATCATTTCCTTCAGATTGTCCGTGACGTAGGACTATTAGTTTATGAACGGTCATTTGTATATGTTGTGTGAAGGATCTGATTGAAAGATTTGAATGATTGAGTTGTTGTGGAACGTCAATTGGGTTGTTGTGGAAGTTCGATTGACTTGCTTAATGTATCTCGACTTGTGTTCTATTTTTTTCGTTCTATGATGGTCTTTAAGGTCAATTGACTCAATCTATCTTGTAATGATGATTATCTTCAAATATTTAAAGCAATTGATTTTCTCACAAAATCGAAATCCGATTCATAATCTTTTTTTCTCTTTTTATTACTAAAATGGTTTGATCATTTCCATATACTTTACCAATAATTCAACAAAGTCCCTACTTGAAACTGGAATTGCAAATGCAAATGACCAATGAAACAGAACCTTACACTGATTTTAGAAATTAGCAGTTATTGGTGATAGGGGAAACTAAAAGCTCATGAACCTTTCAGTATGCACAACCATCTCTAAACGGCCAAACTTCACTAAAACACGCAATTGATCAAAATAATATGGAATTGCAATCCACTGTGGACCATAACCACTTTACAATATTTCATTAATCTTCATCGAGTATTCTCCAACTTATATAAACCCATTTAATAAGATGTTTCATTTTCAATTGTTTCTTTAAGAGGTAAATTGGGGTATTGAAATTAGTAAATGTAACATCGTTTGTTTGTGTAATGTATCTATGTTACAATCAAACATTATGTCAAAAATTTAAGAGAATCGTAAAGAAATTTTAAGCTCTTAACCGTTTTAAAATATAATCTCATCACTTTATAAATGACTTAATTTGCCATTTATTTTTACATACTTACTTCTTTTTCATTATTTATCTCTTCTCTTCCTCTTCCTTTTCTCTTATCTCTTCCTTTTCTCTTATCTCTGACTATTCACAAAAAGACCAACTCTTCCAATCAAAATTAGCTCGTTCTCAATCTAAGTCAAATCATTTGTCATTTTTAAACTTTTTAACGTCACTAAAAACGTTTATCAAAATCTGTTGAAAAAAGAAATTTCACGGAATTAACAAAATCAGTAGCTACCAATTCCCAACACGAAATCTATTATAACATTACTATTTATAAATGACTATACCTTATCAACTTACTTCAACCACTCCTCTTCAATCAACATCATCAAATAAACATTTAGATAAATTAGATACATTATCAAACTCAAACAATCAATTAAACACACCACCAACATCACCAACACCAGATCAAATCAAAGAAATATACAAACAATTTAATATAGAACTTCATCAATCAAATCTTATGCCACAACCTTCAAAAATAAAACATGGTAATCCATTTTCATGGTCAGAAATAACGTATATAATAAATTCAAATGCATTAGAATTATTTGCAAGAAATGAAAAACAAACAGAAGAATATCATAAATTTAAACAATTTTTAAAAGATTCAAATATACTGATTAACGATTATATTTTAAAGCATGAATTACATTGGAAATCATCAGATATAAGATTTCAAGAGTATGAAGTTGCAAAACAATATGATATAAAACATCCACAAGATTTAATCTTTTACAATGATTCAGATATTATAATTTTACCTAATAAATTTCCATACTATTTTGAAAAAGGAATTGTTCATTTATGTATATGGTCAAAATTAATAATACCAAATGATCCAAATAGTGAAGTTGGTGATATTTCAGAAATTACCAAAAAAATAATAGATAAATATTTGAAAAAGACATTTATTGAAAAGGGAGTTGATCCCAAAGATATAGTCTGGTTCAAAAATTGGACTTCTTTACAAAGTGTTAGAAGTATAAGTCATATTCATGTTATATTAAATAATAACGTTGATCCAAATTTAATAAATAAATTAATTAATACTTGTGGTACAACTTTAGATTTAAATGATTATAAAGAAATATTGGAAACAAATTAAAAGCATTAAAAATTAGAAACAGTGGTAAAGCACTGAAATTGATACCCGGATTTATAATTGCATATTTAGACAAAATTAAAAATAGAACTATAGATTATAACTTTCAACAACCTGGTAGTTTACTTGTAGATTCCTCTTTATTAATCAAATCTAGCTGGATTAAACTGTAAAGTAGATTTCAATTACAGCTTCAACTGTTTCGAAAATATGAGTGATATTCAAAACAGTTTGATGCAAAATAAAATAATAACAAATATAAAAAAAAAAAAAAATATGTCAAAGTCTATACAAACACAAATATGACACAAATAAACTATGTAAAAATATACATCAATTACGTAATTATACATGAATTGATTGAATAAAACTTTATTTTCATTTGGTAGTGAATATTCTGAAGTATCAAATTTGTGATCAAAAAATTAATTATTTACAAGATGACATTATCGCAAGGTTTGAAACAGAACTCTATCGAATTAATATGACATATGCGTGAATACTTTGATGAAAGTAAGCAACATAAATTATGTTGCTAAGGTAATTGGAATTCTGTTGATTTCGAATTTTAAAAGCTATTCAAGCATCACCAACAAATGTTGAGTAAAATGCAGATCTGATAATCTATCCAGACCAATTGTAGAATTTTGTAGATTCGATTGTTCAAACTTGAAACAAAAAAGTCTAATATTGACCCTGTGTCAGCTAATGTAAAATGTCCCAAAACACACGAAACAAATAGAACAAAATTGAATAAGCAAATAAATATAACTCGAGATAGATCAAGATTATACGAGGTTGTTCCAGAGCATTCGATGACATTCCATTCTATTCCATTCCATTTCATTCGATTTCGTTCGAGAGCAAGCAAAAATATGTCGACTAAAAAAACTTACCACCTAATTAATTATTGTGGAATTAAGATTGTGATCTCCCTTTATTAAACTATTATTAGGAACCTTCTGGAATCAAGTTATATACAGTACGAATAACAAGTTTGCAACTTTTCAACTTTTCAACTTTAAAAATATAAAAATCTCATCATTTGCTTTATTAATTATTTTTCAACAATTTTTCCTTTAAAATTTTAATTCAATTCTTTCATATTAGATTCAATTGATAATTTAAAGAATAGATAAATAATTATTACAATATGTCAAAAGCTGTTGGTATTGATTTAGGTACTACATACTCATGTGTTGCTCATTTTGCAAACGATAGAGTTGAAATCATTGCAAATGATCAAGGTAATAGAACTACTCCATCATTCGTTGCATTCACTGATACTGAAAGATTAATTGGTGATGCTGCTAAAAATCAAGCTGCTATGAATCCAGCTAATACTGTTTTCGATGCTAAAAGATTAATTGGTAGAAAATTCAATGATGCTGATGTTCAAAATGATATTAAACATTTCCCATTTAAAGTTATTGATAAAGGTGGAAAACCAGTTATTCAAGTTGAATATAAAGGTGAAACTAAAGTATTTACTCCAGAAGAAATTTCTTCAATGGTTTTAGGTAAAATGAAAGAAACTGCTGAAGGTTATTTAGGTACTAAAGTTAATGATGCTGTTGTTACAGTTCCAGCTTATTTCAATGATTCTCAAAGACAAGCAACCAAAGATGCTGGTTTAATCGCTGGTTTAAATGTTTTAAGAATTATTAATGAACCAACTGCTGCTGCCATTGCTTATGGTTTAGATAAAAAAGGAGCTAAAGGTGAGCATAATGTTTTAATCTTTGATTTAGGTGGTGGTACTTTCGATGTTTCAATCTTAGCTATTGATGATGGTATTTTCGAAGTTAAAGCTACTGCTGGTGATACTCATTTAGGTGGTGAAGATTTTGATAATAGATTAGTCAACTTTTTCATTCAAGAATTTAAAAGAAAAACTAAGAAAGATATTTCAGGTAACCAAAGAGCTTTAAGAAGATTAAGAACTGCTTGTGAAAGAGCTAAAAGAACTTTATCATCATCAGCTCAAACTTCAATTGAAATTGATTCATTATATGAAGGTATTGATTTCTATACTTCAATTACAAGAGCTAGATTTGAAGAATTATGTGCTGATTTATTCAGATCAACTTTAGAACCAGTTGAAAAAGTATTAAAAGATGCTAAATTAGATAAATCACAAATTGAAGAAATTGTTTTAGTTGGTGGTTCTACTAGAATTCCAAAAGTTCAAAAATTAGTTTCAGATTTCTTTAATGGTAAAGAATTAAATAAATCAATTAACCCAGATGAAGCAGTTGCTTATGGTGCTGCTGTTCAAGCTGCTATCTTAACTGGTGATACTTCATCAAAAACTCAAGATATCTTATTATTAGATGTTGCTCCATTATCATTAGGTATTGAAACTGCTGGTGGTATTATGACTAAATTAATTCCAAGAAATTCAACTATCCCAACTAAAAAATCAGAAACTTTCTCAACTTATGCTGATAACCAACCAGGTGTTTTAATTCAAGTATTTGAAGGTGAAAGAGCTAAAACTAAAGATAACAATTTATTAGGTAAATTCGAATTATCAGGTATTCCACCAGCTCCAAGAGGTGTTCCACAAATTGAAGTTACTTTTGATATTGATGCTAATGGTATCTTAAATGTTTCAGCTTTAGAAAAAGGTACTGGTAAAACTCAAAAAATTACTATTACAAATGATAAAGGTAGATTATCAAAAGAAGATATTGAAAAAATGGTTAGTGAAGCTGAAAAGTATAAAGAAGATGATGAAAAAGAAGCTGCAAGAATTCAAGCTAAGAATGGTTTGGAATCATATGCTTATTCATTGAAAAACACTTTAGATGGTGAATTAAAAGATAAATTAGATGCTTCAGAAGTTGAAACTGTTACTAAAGCTGCTGATGAAACTATTTCATGGATTGATGCTAATCAAACTGCTACTACTGAAGAATATGCTGATAAACAAAAAGAATTAGAAGGTGTTGCTAATCCAGTAATTTCAAAAGCTTATCAAGGTGCTGGTGGTGCTCCAGGTGGTGCAGGTTTCCCAGGTGGAGCTCCAGGTGGTGCTCCAGGTGGTGGTTCAGGATCAGGAGGACAGAGTGCTCCAGAGGTTGAAGAAGTAGATTAAAAATGCGGCTCAACGTTTAACTAGTTGAATGGTGCTTTCTCGATGGTCTATAGGATGTGTATATTGATGAAAGATCTCAAAAATATATAATTTTAAAATGTTTCAGAATAAATTTTAATGATTGCGAAAATCTCTTAGCTACCAATTGGGTAGTAAAAATAATATTCTCTCTCTTCCGAAAATTTGGATGCTACCACTTCGTTGTCGTTAATCATAATTATCAGCAATCTTGTTGATACTTTTTATATAGCATCCTCAAATGTCTGGTTCGTATTAAAATTATAATATAGTTCAATAGTAGTATACTATAAAGCCTATTTCAAAACCTCATAATACTAAACAGGAGCGTCGGCTCGTGTTGTTAGTGACCTCTCCAATTAACAAAAAGTCTGGGTTCACCCAAATAACTCTACATCACACAGATTCAAATATTCTCATATTCAATAAATTGTTGTCATTAAGAGATACAATTTTTATCAAATCTTTTACCTTCAGCTTCTCTTACTGCTTTTCTTATAGCATCTTCAGCTTGACATTGTTCAAATTCTGAATCTTTGAAATCTTTAAAAGTGTCTAAATCAACCTCTAACTCTTTTGTTTTATACCAAAATTTATAACCAAAATTTATAACCAAAAAATAATATGAAAAAAAACAGGTAAAATTATGTAACCAATTATCAAATTTTTATAAGCAAATTCATCACCTAAAAACACTGTAAACTTTTTGATGAAAATGATGAAAATGACTAAAATACAAATACCTGATGTAATATATGAAGTTTATGGTTGGAGAGGAGATTTGTATACAAGATCAGTATCTCTATTGAAACCCTGAGCTTTTAATGCTTTCATAACGCATATATGGAAAACTAAAAGACATGACCAAGATAAGAACAGTTAAATTATGGTCACATGGTTTCCCTTTTTTCACTTCACAGTATCGACCATAGTGAGTGCAAAGATGTTGAGATTAGTCAGGATTTCGTTTAGTTTTCAAGTTGTAAGTTCGAATCACGAGAAATAAACTTTGAAAGTATTTATTTTCCCGTGAGAGATTGATAATGCAAGCAAAATGATCTTTGTAAGGAGATTTTCAAATGCAGAATTGAAAATCATATCGAATCTTAGCTGATTTCCCTCATGGAGTCCAAACAAAAGTAAACCAAAAAAACCGAAATACTGAAGCTTGCTCATGCTAAACCATTTAAAGCTTTAATAATGATTGTAAGTCATACTTGCTAAATGTCAATCCAATATTTAGGCTAAGGATAAATTTAGACGAACGAATTTGAAACACCATGTGGTAGCCAGAACAAATCACGTCTAAATAATTTTGATTTTTAAAAAAAGTGGCAACCAAAATTATTCATCACTTCCAATCAACATCATCAAACCTTACCATTCAAATGGAAATATTTCTAAAATTACCCAAGGAAATTTTATCATTAATTTTCAGCAACATCGAAGATAAATTTATAATCAAAAATTTAATATATATTCCAGGTTTACAACATATTGCTTTAGAACGAAAATATCCAAAATATGAAATAAATAATTATTACAATTCAATTGAAACATTAATAAATCTTCATCAACAGTTTGAGTTCATCCCTTCCATAATCATTGGGAATATAAACCAAATCAATCAATTAATTAATGAACCAAATTTCAGATTAGTCAATTATTCGGTAAAGATTATGAAAAGTACTAGATTTACTGATCTAATCTCGATCCTGGATAAAATTTACATAGTAGGATTACATATGGATCAATATTTAGAACCTTTCGTTGGAAATTTCAAAAAAGAAGAAATTAAATCATTCCTAAGTTTTATTGAAAGTAACTTCTTGCAATCATTGACAACATCCCATTTCAATGTATTCCCAATTCAATTTCCAAGATCTTTGAAGGAACTAACACTAGATAAAGGTCATAAAATCAATTTGGATATAAGTGATTTACATCATCTCGAGTCATTGAATTGCAAAAATCTACACATGATGAGCTCATTTGATAATTTTTTGCTTCCATTGTCAATCAAAAATTTAAGATTTGATTCTTGTGATATAGAAACTTTGGGTAATTTATTCAAGTATAAGAATCTAAATTTACTTGATATATCTTGCTGTCCTGAACTTTTTGGCCTAGTTTATACTTTGTTCCCCAATTCGTTGGAAACTTTGAATTTCATTAACAATTTCGATCGTCAAAGAATAGATGAGGTATATGAAGAAGAACGATTTATTTTTTTAAACTTTTCAGAAATTGGACTGCGGGTTTGTATCGATGCTGACTTTCGGTTCCCTCCAAACTTGAAGAATTTGAGGATTTGCGATACTATGCAGAGCCTAGAACTAACAAATATTGAGCTTCTGAGCACACTCGATTGTTTGGAATTAAATGGTATTGGCTGTATTGAGCTACACGAGGCTATGGTCGGTTTACCCAATAAAATGTCCGAAATCATCATTACAAATTGCCACATTGTATCTGAAGATCATGTTGCTTTTCCAGAGCTGGAGCGGATTTACTTTACAAACAATATAATATGGCTGGATCCATTCAAATCAAACTTAAATCAATTAAAATCTATAAACGTGTTGGATATGTCAGACAATTATTGTTCAGATGGTGCCCCTGGGCATGACCGAATTGATCCTATGGCATTTCTAACAAATTTAGAAGAAAATGTATGTTTCAACTCACCCAAATTGCAAAACTTAATCTTAAAAAGTTCAAAGCCGATAGATTATGAATACTTTACATCTTATGAAGTGTCATTTGAATGTGAAAATTTGACCAATTTGAAAATGACAAACTTAACTCTTGACTTATTGGATCTTAATCAGCTTCCCAATACATTAGAGGAGTTGATAATCAATAATTTGAAATTGAAAACCATGGAAGGGAATTTTTTTAAGTTTAGTAAATTAAAGAAGTTGGATTTAGAAAATAATCAAATAACTTTCTCAATGTTGAGAAAACAAGACTTTCCATCAAGTTTAACTCATTTGAATTTATCAAATAATAAAATTGAACATTTAAGTTGTTTAGTTTTAGATAATTGTATTAATTTGAAAGATTTGAAATTGAAAGAAGTAACCTCAGAATGTACACCAGAAGGTGCAACTCAATTAAGGAATTCGTTATTTCATGTTGATCCCCATATTGATGCAATTTTAACAAATAATGATTTAGATGTGATTTTTGAAATTGTTAATGGAGTTGAAAAAAATTCGATTTTAAAGTCTATTTATAAGAAAAGAAGAATTTGTTAGGGAAAATTGAGAAGAGAGGGAAGGTTGAAAAGGTATTTAACTTTATAGTTATTTTTAATAAATATCTTCAAAAGCATAATAACATCTCAGTACTTATTTTAAAATAATTTTGGATTCAGATAAATCAATTTTAAGATTTTCGTTATTACATAATTGAGTTTCATTAAATAATTGTAATTTTGAATCTTGAAATTCTGAATTTTTAAAATTTGATAATTTGATAAAAGTCTTTGATATTCATCTTCAGTATACTTAGGTAGAAATCTAACAATCTTTAATTTAATCACGTATTTTTAACAAAGTTTTTAAGGATCTTGGTCTTGTTTTTTCGTTTTTTCCTATGGATTCTTTTCTAGATCACATTTATTACAACCACAATCTAAAAATTATGTCTTGTTTCAAATGATTCATTTGATAAATTCCCATAACTAATACAAATTTCATCACCTTTTCCTATATCTTTTAAAGTTTCAAATTTAATTTTTAAAATATTTGATGAACAAGAATGATTAAAAAAAAAAAGCAGATGGATATACTGCAAATCCTAAAAATTCTTTATCTTCCTTTTGTGAAGTGGAATTTCACCATATTTCAAATGCATTTGATAAATTTTTTCCAATTATTGATCTTACATTGGTGGTAGTAATGCATGATTGTAACTCAATTGAACAAGTTAATTTTATAAATTTATACATATTATTATTTGAGTATAAAAAATAAGGATATTTAAAATATTCTTCAATTTCACTAATTGTAATTGATTAAATAATATCATTTCAATTTTCAAGTCTGATAGCTTTTGAAGTTTGATGTTTATACGTATTAATTAAGACTGCAACAATACATTTTATTTCTTAAAATTGAGTTTTATCGATTCTTGAAATTACGTTACTATTTTGTGAACCTTTCAACACTTTTAGATCTTGATCTCTTAGATCTAATTTTGATCATTCTAGTTCAATTTCCTCTTTTAAATCACCATGAGGTTCTTTGAAGTTTTCTTCAGGTTTTTTTTAAACCTAACAAACAATTTTTTTCAATAAGTTATAGGTTGTTTTGTAGTATTCCATTTTTATGGTAATCATATGTAGGATGTGAGTGGCATAAGGGACTTCAAAAATATATGGTCTTAAAATGTTTCAAGATAAAATTTGAGCGGTTGGAAAAAAAGTTTAAATTTAGACTATTAGCAATTATTTCTTAAAGGCTACCAGGTGATTTTCATGTTCTTTCTGTAACTAAAAATAATACAAATAATAAGAGCCATACAGAAAAACAGAACAAGAACAATACCAGTGGAAGAATACAATATGATTGCACACATATAACAGAGGAAGATCACTTCATAAACCGTTTACCTTCTAAGCTTTTTAATTCAATTTCGAAAAAACTACAAAATGAAACAACTTTCACAGTGGGAGCTCAAAAATGGAGTTACATGCTTGGAATTACATACCAACAATGGAATAATTTTTTAAGAAGTTGAATGAAACAAAAAAAAACACATTCAAAAGGTGCAGTGGATATACTACATAGAATAACTTTGGGCAATCTCACATATACCACTGACGATCAAAATTGTATTTCATGTAATTAGAACTTACCAGCTGGTCAATACTTTAATCACGTTATAACTAAATGTATGATTACGGAATTCATATGGGATAAGTTCAAACCGTGTAATAATGAAAGAAGCTTAAAGTTATTTATCGGGAACGGTAACCTTCAAGAATCGCCCATTTAAAAATGAATCAATACTTGGAAGCTGTGCTTTGGTACCAAAGAGAACGGAAGAATAACGATCACAGTGGTCCATTCCCATTACTCAAATTAACCAATTTATTTCCAATTTTATATACCAATATCATACTAGATTTGAATATTATAATTACATGCTGAATAAAGAATATCTAATTTAGCCAAATTTATCCCAATCTTAACTACCAATACTTATGGTTGATGTTTTTTCTTTTGATTAATTATTTATATATTAATATTAATTATTAATTTAAAGTTTCAGGCGGGAGAGACTAGTGTTGATGCTGATAAGTAATTGTTAAAAAATATTAATGAATTTATTGAAAATTCTAATGATAGTAATGTTACTAATGCTTCAGATGTTGACAATGGAGTAATCAATAATGATGCTAATAATTCTTGTGACGAGATTGTTGATAACGTTCGTAAAGAAATTCATCCTGTTTCATTAACTGTTCATAAACAAAACCCCGAGAATGCTGATAATATAAGAGAAGTGAGAAAATGTGCTACGGATGGACTTTATAGAAAAATGGGAGCCAAATCTGTATCTGAGGTTACAAAATTGATAAGAATTTATAAAAAGCGTTTCATTAGTTACCCATATTGGATCATTTATCTTCATCGGTGGATAAAAAGAAAAGCGAGCTGGGTTGGAGGGTTTTCACCTAATTTCAAGGTCACCAACAACTTTATAGAGGTCATTTCGTAATATTTCGAAAAAGTTATATCTGTATACGAAAAGAACCGAAAACGCTGATGCTTTGGTAAATATTTTGATTACTAAATTGTTACTTGATTTCGATGTAAATGCTCCTGAAGTGCTTTTTGGATTTTCTGATCATAGAATCAATAAAAATGTGAAAAAAATTAAGGATTTTGGGAACTTTTTGAATATAGATGTCACTAAAGCTCATGTAATGAATAGAGAGACTTTGTGGTATGTCAGATCGTTACTGTGCGATTCTTCAAATGAGCAATCGTATCAAATCACAGGGTATCAGATGAAGTTTAGATATAATTGTCGAGGCTATTATCACATTTTCGAATGCATTCATTTGTGAGGAAGAGCTTGATCCTATTAATTTGATGAAACATATAGAACAAAAAGTTATTGGAGTGCGTTATAATGAAGTTGAATTTGAAACACCTGATTCTGCTTTGGAAAAACTGTATGGAAATAAGAGTGAAAATGATGATGCCCTGACTGAATATTATACAGCAAATAATGCAAATGAAAATGATATGACGAATGTTGAAAACATTAATTAAGATGATGGTATAATTGATAGAGAAAATTGAGAAGATAGAGAAGAAGTTGATGAAAATGTTGGAGATCGTCGAGATTATTTAGGTGATTTACATGATGTCGATGACGGATACGATGTGCATGAATGTTTAGCGTCAATGATGATTCGGATCAACGTGCTCTGGTTGGAGAGAATCAAATATTATGAAACTCAGATCGAAATACATATCTAGTCCAAACATTGTAATTCACCACGAATGATTTCGATCCTCAACCGGATCAAAACACTTGATCAGATATGTTCAACATTTGGTAAAGGTTAGCTCTACTGGTTCCGTTCCATCTCAAACTTAATTATAAAAAATATGATTTCAATTTTGATCACAGAGATGAAGATTCTCAACGAACAAAGACGCCTATTTCAAATAATACAAAAGGGGTTACTGAAACTAAAAATTCTGGTAATGACGAAATAAATGTCACTAGTAAAAATAGCTAGGATGATGGGTATCTCGACCTTAAACGAAAAGCTGAGGCTGTTTCGATTAGGCTGTTTCGATTGTACAAGAGGGTTGGGAAAATGGGTCCAGCATTTCAAGAAGTCATGACTAAGTTATAGGAATATATTGAAGAGCCGAAAACTTTAGGACAGTCTCCTTAAAACCTACACTTGAAATTTTAATCGCGATTGAGATGTCACAGAAGTCATTACTAAGTTATAGGAATATATTGAAGAGCCGAAAACTTTAGGACAGTCTCCTTAAAACCTACACTTGAATTTTTAATCGCGATTGAGATGTCACACTAAGTGTTGAGTTATGGGATATATTGGATTATATTCTTTATTTGTATAGTGAAATTGCTATTGATCTAAGAGAAACCTAAAAGCACCAACATTATTTTACAATCAAATGTGAGTAACCAAATTCGTATGATGGAAATTCAATAACAAAAACTTATCGAAAATAACAAGCCATCGAAATATTAATGTATAAAGAAGCCATTTGAAATATTTGATATCTTGAAATATGTTTACTGTTTTGGTGAATTAGTAGCAAATTAGAGGAAACACGAACAAGAGTCGTTGACCATACTATTTCATAATTTTCAGAAAATGTATTACCAATGCAATTAACTAGATACACTACTAAGTATATTCATTTCTTTCGTATATTCATGATTTTACTAATTATTAAACCTATAAATATATTATCATAACATCATTATCATTATTCTCATTCTCATTATTCTCATTCTCATTATTCTCTTTATTTTCATTATCAACAGGCCAATATCATTAATCTCTATTTTTTTTAGCCCAATTTTTACTTTGATGTTTTCTTTTTCTATAATTTATTTCGGGATTTTTACGGTATGTACCGTCTTCATTTTTTAACCAAACTTTTTCTTCTACATATTCGGTAACCAATTTCTTCAAAGTTGTGAAAGGCACATTCAATAAAGCACCAAATTTTGGGTAAGTAAAAAAAGCTTTGCTAAATTTTTTTTCCATTTCTACCTTAAAGTTCATACAAGAAATGAGCACTTCATAAAATTGATTGGTATATAAGCCATCATATACTTGCGAATTTAAATTTTCTGGTATGTTTTCATTTTTGAAATTTTGAAATAATCTTTCCTCTAATAAATGCCCTTTGTTGTTTTCCTCCCATATTCTTCGACAAGCCTTTTCTGTTGTTCCCATTTCCCTTGCAATACTTTCAAAATCATATCCAATTCTTTCAACTGCTGCTTTGAGCTGTGCAACTTTTGTTTCAGTCCAGAATCTTTTTGGAATGACAACTCCTGGTTTCGCAGTGCTTCTACTTCTGTAAGGAACTTTTGAATTTTTCTTCCAAGACCCACTCGTATCTAAAATCCAAATTTGTTCACCTTTGAAATGATTATGTAAGTTTGTCAAATAATTCTGATCTAATTTAAATAATTCAGCAACTTTATCCCATGAAAAAAAATTTGTTTTATATTTTTTTTTCATGACTTCTTTAAAATTAACAGCTTCTAAAAATTTATCATAAAATTCTGCGGTATGTTTACCATTGGTAATTTTAGTATCGATGGATGAAGCATCAAACTTTGAAATGAACTCATTTACAAGTTGACTTTCAAATTTTTTACCTTTATTGATTATAAACCATTCATCATGTACACCTTGGGAAGATCTTGCAGGAAAAAATTCAGAAATTTTTTCATAATCGCAACCATATTGTTGAACCAATTGTCTAAGTTTTGAATCTTCTTCTTCTGTCCATCTCGTTTCATTTAATTTGATTCTTTGATATTGAACATTTTCCTTTTCTTCGTAATCACCATTTTTATTTAAGATCCAACATCCTTGAGCAATATATGAATCACTTAATCTTCTCAAATATTCTGGTTGTAATTTAAAATATTCTCCTAAATCTGACCAGAGGAGAAGCTGGCCTCCGTTATTTCTAGCAGCTTGTAGTTTATAGTTATATACTTTCAAAAACAGATGAACAAACTGTTTCGAGTGGATGCCATTTTTCACTGTTGTATCAACATCTGAGGGTAAATTTTTCTTGATAAATTCTTCAACACTTTTTTTCATTTCAACAGTTATGTTTTCTAACCAACTTTCACCTTCAGCTTCCAAGGTTTTAAAAAACTTTTCATGTTCAATTCCAGAATGGTTTGAAATAAATGATGATGATGATTTTACCGAATTGAAGGTGGTTAAATATTTAGCATGGGTGCTAAATAAATCAAATTCAATAGCTAAGGAATCAAAATGGTCGGTTAATACTTTAGATGTGATGCAGGTATCAATTGATTTCAAACCAAAGGTGGTATAATTAGTAGGTAAAATTTTATTTTCATCAATTTCTTTAGTAAGGTCTACTAAATTATTCACATCCAAAAATTTTTTATAATTTTTTAAATTTGTTTTATCTGAAGGAGTAACAAACCCTGATAATCTTTCACCAAAGTTTTTATCACAAAGTATCATATACAATTTGTCTTTTTCTAAGACTTTATTCAACATATTCATCATGTCGTCTCTTTCATCAGCTTTGTTTGCAAAGTACACCAGCATAATGGTGATTTTTAATCCAAACAACTCAATTTGGCAATCAGCGATTCTGCCATGAGGATTTCTGTTAAATATTTGATAATTGAAATTTGTTCCAGCATCAGATGAATCATTAGTTTTAACCAAAGGATAATCATATTTTTTACCACCATTTTTTTCATAATTTTGCTCCAATAGCTTGACTTTTTTAGATACCACTAAAGGATTTGAAACTTTTAAATCATGAATATTTTTTTCGAAAACAATAGCAGCAAGACCATATTCAGGTCTAACTACTTCAATATTCATATTTTTTTTAATAGCTTCATTTTTTAAGCAAGTAATTGAATCATCAGTAACTTCAGTTAAAAAAGTAAGGCCATTAATATAGTCTATTAATACCTTTTGAACACTTTTACCAATATTTTTTAAAGTGATAGGTATTTTTGCAGTTGAAGTTGAATTTTTTTCATAACTATAAGAAGGAAAATTTAAATCAGGCATTTTCAATGAATAAAGTTTTTCTGATGATTCTTTAGCTGATTTTGATTTTGGTGATGATGGTGATGATTTTGATGATAATGTAGAAGAAGATGGTGAAGAACTTTCATTTGGTAATTCTAATTTTGATGATGGTGAAGATAATTCATTTGGTAATTCTAATTTTGATGATGGTGAAGATAATTCATTTGGTAATTCTAATTTTGATGATGGTGAAGATAATTCATTTGGTAATTCTAATTTTGATGATGGTGAAGATAATTCATTTGGTAATTCTAATTTTGATGATGGTGAAGATAATTCATTTGGTAATTCTAATTTTGATGATGGTGAAGAACTTTCATTTGGTAATTCTAATTTTGATGATGGTGATGATTGTACAAGTAATTTTGAATTGGAAGATGATGATGATGATTGTTTAGTTGATGATGAACATTCTTCATCTAGAGTCAAATCAATAAAAATAGGTTGTGCTTCTAACTTTAAGGGAATTGCATCTTTTTCTGTTTCAATACTAGATGATTCACCAACTATACCAAAGTAGTTGTTCCTGTTTTTTTTATTTAAATTAAATAAAGACTTTTGATTAATGGATGAATTAAGTTTTTCTAAATCAATGATTGGAAATTCATCTTTTTCTAAAGCGGAATTAGTGACTTGTGAAGTAGTTGAACTTTCCTTTTTAGTATCTCTATTTAAAATATTTTGATCAATAGGTTCAAGTGGTGAACGATTTAATGATTGTTGATTAATTGAAGGTGAAGGTTTTGGTTTAAAAAATTGTTCTATTGATCGTTGTTGTTTAAACTTCTGAATTTTATGATTTGATTTTGAAGTTGTTGTATTATGGTTGCTGTTACTTTTGACTCTTTTAGCTCCTTTGTTTCCTCTTAAATCATCACTCCGAACGCGTTTATTCGACATGGTTGTAAAATTGGTTGCGAAACTTCAATATAAATAATACACCAAAATTACTAAAAATTGATCCAAATAAATTCAAATTTGTTGCTTAAATTGATAATAAATGATTTATAGTTGTAATTGAAGTGAATGATATAGTTTGTAGGTTTGGTTTATATCACTTGAGTGGTGTAATTAAGTTGGTTGTAAAAAATTTGGTGAATGTGTGTGATATATAATATAAGTTTTAAAAAAATTAATTTTTTTATTTTTAACGTGGATTTTTTGAAGTTTTTAAAGTGCATTAAAATTCATAGTAATAAAAAGAATATAAGGGAAAGAAATAATATGAATAAATTAAGGTAATAAAACTAGGTAGAAAACTGAGTTTTAATTTATAATTTTACCATTGATATAAGGGTATATTAAATTATGTTGTAGTACTATTTTTTAAAATTATGATTTTACTCAAACTAATTAAACCTCTACTTATTACCCTTGTATTCAAAGCCATTGCAATAACAAATTAATCTAATGTGCTTCAGCATTAAACATTAATTGGGATCAAATTTGTATCTTTCTCAATGGTTTTTAAATAAACCAATTTCTCTCAATATTTGAAAAATATTGTTTAAATGTTTGACCAGCCAAAATTTCTTCTACTTATCATTTAAATCAGAGCTCATTGTTTTTTTGCAAATATTGAATTGATACATTAATCATCAGTCTTGTTTAACTGCTTCAAATTAAATGTAATTGAGCCTACTTCAGTTTCAGAATAAATATAATTAATAAGATGGAGTGCAACCAAATTTTTGTGCTAACGAGAAATTATACCCTGCTAGAGCGAGCTAGAATTAATTTTTAGGGCGACAATCTGATAATTTTTTCGCAGCAGATCGAAGAGTCAGCTAATGTTACACAAAATCAAGGCTGTTTCAATTTTACCTCACATTTGGGGCCCTGTCTCAAGACGATCTGGCTACACAAAACAAACCTGAAACATAGTGTTAATTTAATCACTTCTATTGTAGATACTTGCATTAACTTACAGTTTCAGAATCGTTTGGAAAGATTTATTTTTTAAAACTTGACAAATCGACTCTGGCATAACAAAGACCGTACACAGAAGCTTTTTTTGATCTACTGTGGTTAATGTTGGTTGAACATGGTTCCATTATAGAACCTAAACAATACAACCAATATGAGCTTGGTCAGTGCTCGATAAGTGCAATGGATGCGATATGCAAAGGTGGTAGCTCCTGCCATATTTGCAGTAGAAGATTTTTTGTTATTTTGTGTAAAGTTTTTTTTGTTGCGTTCCATTAGTTTTGTCACTTAAGAGAAATTCATTTTGGAAACTTTTCTTCAAAATAAGAAAGTTTAAAGAAAACGTTGAAGGAAATTGAAATAAAATAGTCAAAAGTCAAAAAATGGAAAAGACTTATAAATAATCCCAAACAGGAATTTTAGTAAACCATTGGTACTAGTGTTGAATGTTTGAACTTTTTCAATGGCTAGAATAATCGAATAAGCAAAGATACTAAACTAAACAATGTGCATTACTATTACAAAAAAAACATATTGAAACTTTTACAAAACAGCTTATACAAATTGCTCTAGCATCACAACTTTTTATATAGTATGGAAAGGTCAACACATGACTTAAAAATGGATCAAGTCGAAACCAACACAACACGGGAAAAAAAACCTGATCGAGACAATTGAGTAAGCTGGCATCCAAGCTCCGAGCAGATTAGATGACCAATTTCGTCCTATTTTGACCAAAAATCTGAAATTTTTACTGTCATAATTAATAATTGTTGAAAGTGAGTTTAATGTCTGGAATTAATCCAAGGTAACAAATTTTACTTTCCTTCTCAAACATGCTTTTCTCAATCTTACTCACATTATCACTTTTCAGCATTTTCCAAAGTTTCATCATTCTTATTAATATCATCACTTTTAACATATTGTATATTATTATGATTTTCTTTTTCAGCATTTAAATGAGTTAAACTTTCAGATTCAATATCATTCGGCCAATCTCTTCCAACATTTTTTAAAGCTTTCATTTCTTTTATTTGAACTTTATCTAAATTTTCAAAATTTGTTGGAGGAGGTTTCGAATTTATATTATTTGAATTTACAATTGAATCATTATTTATAGTTTGAGCAGGAACATTTTGAGCTTCAATACCTTCTTCTGTATTTTCCATTTCAGTTGCATCTTTACATTTCTCTTCATAAGGTGCTGAACTCATAATATTGGAAATTGAAGTTTGGTTGATATTTTATTGAAGAAATGATGTCTTGAAAGTTTAATAATTATTTTGACAATTTATTTTACTAACATTGCTATTATTATTATACATGGATGTAATAAGTTAATGGTTGTTTCTTCCACGAGTTTGAGTCAATTTTGGTTTAAGAATATGGTGAGCATCCCTCATTGAAGTGCAATGTGCTATACTGTGGGAGTTATTTAAAAGAAGGTTGATAAGGTGAACTTGATTCAATAGCTTTACTTAATTAACATTGGTTGTCTTGTTTTTCAAATTGGACATTTGATATTTTGTTTTAGGACATTGCGTAATTGCAATTCCTAAACACGCGCTTAAATGGGCTGCATAGATTTGTTGTATTAAAAAAATGTTGAGACAATTCAACAATAATTCTGTTACATTAAAAACTTCTACTGTAACCAACATATTCACAAAATCGAATCCTAGATAGAATTCTGGCGTATTCATTCGGTAAAATCAGGATTCTAAAGAAAGGTTAAAAAAATAAAAAAATCTACCATATATAAGATCTTGGAATAAAGATCTCGAGATTTTGAGTCATAAACAATCAAAAAACTCCGAAATTTTCTATCAATGCTAGGATATAAAGATTGAATCAATACTTCGTGCTCTAATTTGCCACCAGTGGACGATGGCTCCTCAGGTATGCCTATGAGCTGGAAAAGTTTCCATATCTCAACTAGTAAAGAGTATCACTACACTTAGTAAGGATGGAACCATGCTAGTTTTTGTGGTTACTGCAAAATTATTAAAACCTGAGCTATAGATCTGTAGATCTTGAATTCAAACAAATTTATAAAATATATATTTGCCATCAACTAAGTCATTCATTGAATGGTTAAATTCAAGTGAATTTATTGAACTTGGCTCATCACTTGTCTAACAAGCTTTGATCAAACAATAATAAACTTGTGACTGGTGATTGTTCGTATAGATCTATTTTCTCTCGTTCCTCTATGACCCATAAAAAAAAAAATTATATTCTCCACATAGAAAAATATTTATTTGTTTGTAGACTAGAATATTTTGAAAAATTTTTGTTTACCTTTAACTAAACCAAAGTTCAATTTATAGAACTATACCCAACCAACATCATTCATTATCATTTCACCATTGACTAATTAATATCTGGTCAATTCCATCTACAAATTGTATTTATTAAAAATTTCCAATTGTTCAAAAAAATTTAGTAAAACATCATTATGTCCAATAATCATAATATTGTTCATCAAGCAAATGGTGTAAAAATAAGAGAAACTCCAAAAGAATTTTTCAATAGACAACCAAATCAAGCTCATATCAAAGATTTACAACATTATCATGAATTATATAAACAATCAATTGAAGATCCTGAAGGATTTTTTGGACCATTAGCAAAAGAATTATTAAGTTGGGATAAAGAATTTTCAACTATAAGAAATGGTTCATTAAAAAATGGAGATGCTGCATGGTTTTTAGGAGGTCAATTGAATGCTTCATATAATTGTGTTGATAGACATGCTTTTAAAAATCCAAATAAACCTGCTTTAATATATGAAGCTGATGAAGATTCTGATTCATATATTGTTACATATGGAGAATTATTAAGAGAAGTTTCAAAAGTTGCAGGAGTTTTAAAAAGTTGGGGTATTGGAAAAGGAGATACTGTAGCAGTTTATTTACCAATGTCACCACAAGCTATTATTGCAATATTAGCTATTGTAAGATTAGGTGCATCTCATTCAGTAATATTTGCAGGTTTTTCATCTGGATCAATAAAAGATAGAGTAAATGATGCTCAATGTAAAGCTTTAATTACATGTGATGAAGGTAAAAGAGGTGGTAAAACAGTAAATATAAAAAAATTATGTGATGAAGCACTTTTAAATTGTCCAACTGTTAAAAATGTTTTAGTTTTTAAAAGAACAAATAATCCAGATATTATATTAAAAGAAGGTAGAGACTTTTATTGGGATGAAGAAACTGCAAAATTTCCTGGTTATTTACCACCAACTCCTGTAAATTCAGAAGATCCATTATTTTTATTATATACTTCAGGTTCAACAGGAACACCAAAGGGAGTTGTTCATACAACTGCAGGATTTTTATTAGGTGCAGCATTAACTACAAAATATATTTTCGATGTTCATGAAGAAGATATATTTTTCACTGCAGGTGATGTTGGTTGGATTACTGGTCATACTTATGCAGTATATGGACCATTATTATTAGGTGTTCCATCAGTTATATTTGAAGGTACTCCTGCATATCCAGATTTTGGTAGATTTTGGCATATAGTTGAAAAACAAAAAGTTACTCATTTTTATGTTGCCCCCACAGCTTTAAGATTATTAAGAAAATCAGGTGAAGAAGAAATTAAAAAATATGATTTATCTTCTTTAAGAACTTTAGGTTCAGTTGGTGAACCTATTTCTCCTGATATTTGGGAATGGTATAATGAACATGTTGGTAAAAATGAATGTCATATTTCAGATACTTATTGGCAAACAGAATCTGGTTCTCATTTAATTGCACCTATAGCTGGTGTTACTCCGAATAAACCAGGTTCTGCATCATATCCATTTTTTGGAATTCAATTAGGAATAATTGATCCAGTAAGTGGTGTTGAAATTGAAGGTAATGATGTTGAAGGTGTTTTAGTTATAAAAGATCATTGGCCATCAATGGCAAGAACAGTTTATAAAAATCATCAAAAATATATGGACACTTATATGAATCCTTATCCAGGATATTATTTTACAGGTGATGGAGCAGCAAGAGATCATGATGGTTATTATTGGATAAGAGGTAGAGTAGATGATGTTGTAAATGTAAGTGGACATAGATTATCAACTGCAGAAATTGAAGCTGCATTAATAGAAGATACAAGAGTAAGTGAATCAGCAGTTGTTGGTATAAATGATGATTTAACAGGTCAAGCAGTTATTGCTTTCGTTGCATTAAAAGAACAACCAAAACCAGAAGATGAATTAAATGTAAGAAAAGAATTAATTTTACAAGTTAGAAGAAATATAGGACCATTTGCTGCACCAAAATCTGTAATTATAGTACATGATTTACCAAAAACAAGATCAGGTAAAATTATGAGAAGAATTTTAAGAAAAATAAGTTCAAATGAAGCTGATCAATTAGGTGATATAACAACTTTAATGAATCCTCAATCTGTTGCAAGTATTATAGAATCTTTTGAATCACAATTTGGTAAAAAATAAGATGTAAATATAACTGTAAAAAGACAATATAGGATGTAGTATATAATAGAAAATATATTTAATGATTTAAAATTGTACTGTAGATGTACCTCTTAAGATTTGAAAAAAAAAAAAATCGTGAAAATTAATTGTTTCACCAATGTCAAATGAATCATAGTTCAATATGGAGACTATTTAAATCTTTTATAACACTAAAAGTTACTCAATTACTTATAGTATACTTTACACCATCAAGATTTGACACGTCATCAGATTTATTAATCCCAAAAGAGCAATACAATTCAATAACCACAGAAATACTTAATAAATTAATTACTTGGGATTCAGTATATTTCAATGATATTTTTATAAATGATATTAAATATGAACATCAATTTGTATTTTGTCCAGGATGGTTAAATTTAATTAAATTAATTCCAATTGGATCAACTTATTATTCAAAACAAATTTTAAGTATAATTATTTCAAATATTTGTCATTTTACATCAGTAATAACACTTTATTTTATATTAAATAACATATTCAAAAATTCAAAATTAAGTTATTTGTCAAGTTTAATGATGATATTTTCACCAGCGGGGATTTTTTTAACTACAAATTATTCAGAAAATTTATGTAATTTATTAACATTATTAACTTTATTATGTTATTATAAATCAATTGATTTTAATAATATTACAACAAGAAGTAATAAAAGAATTAATAATACTTTACTTTATGTATTAAGTGGAATTATATGTGCATATGGGTTTACAGTTCGTGCTAATACTTTATTATTAGGTATACTTTATCTATTTGATTTATATGATTTCTTGGTAGTGGATGAAAATTTATATAAATCTTTATTACCAATTTTCACTGGTTCAATTTTAGGTTTTACATTTATTGGAGAAAATCTTTATCATTATTTATTATTTTGTCCATCAAGAGGAGAATGGTGTGAAAATTATTTCCCAAGTTTATTTCAATTTGCTCAAGATCATTATTGGAATGTTGGATTTTTAAAATATTGGACTTTAAATAATATACCAAATTTCTTATTAGTAACACCTATAATTATATGGAATTGTTATTCCATATTCATATTTTGGAGGTTATTACCGCAATATAAAAAATTAACATCATTAAGTTTTATTCAAATTATTATGATTTTTGGTGGTGTATTTTTTTGGAATATTCAAATTTTGAATAGATTAACTAGTTATTCACCTTTAATTTATTGGACATTAGCAATAAATTATAATAAAATTTGGTTTAAATATGTTTTAGGATATATGATAACATGGAATTTAGTACAAACTAGTTTATTTGCGGCTTTCTTACCACCAGCTTAATCAAAGACTTCGAGAGATCTCGTAAATCAATTTGGTAGCAGATTTTTCACCTTATCTAAATGTGTCAAAAAAAATGGCTGCAAATTTTTACCTAAAAGGGATTGTTGATACGCATTGAATCTATGCAATGAATTAATGTCTATCTTGAGTGGAAATTTACGCAATTAAAGATACTACATTAAATATACTACACCATATATATATACTTCATGATGCTAGATCTCATACCGTTTACATTTTACCGACATCATTTTACCAACATCAACCAATTGCAATGAATCACAACTCGACTATAATAGAGTCTAACTCGATCAAAGCTATACTAGATCAAAATAAATCATCATATATCTTCCTTTTTCCAATTTTACTTCTAATTGCATCTTATTATAAGTATCAAAATGAATCAAAATCAAAATCAAATACAATAACAAAATCAAAAGCATCAGCTTCAAAAATGGATCAACGTCCATTTGGATTTTGGGAACCAGATTTAAAATGGAAAACACCCACACCAAAAGTTTATGAAAATTGGTCAATAAAAGATACAAAACCAATACCATATCGTGCTTTTAAACATAAGTATAATGTAAATATGGGAATAAGAAATATGTCATGGGATTCATGGATTGAATTAGATAATCAATGGAAATATTATCATGATATGAAATTAAAAAGAATTGAGGAAAAAGGTGAAGATGTTTGGAGAATTAGTTCCAAGGCTATAGAAGCATCATGGGAATTTCTTTATGAATTAATTGATTTTACTACAGTTAGATATCCAACATTATTTAAATATGATAAAGAAAAAAAGATCCTTAGAATTACAGAAACTAATCAAACATTTGATTTAAATGATAAAAATCTTAATCCAATAATCACAGCAGCAAATTTAGTTCAAGATGAATTAGTTATAATGATTGAAGATCCAAAAGATGGTCAATATTCATTAGAAGCTGGATGTGTAACAATGGCAGGATTTTGGAAATTTAAAGAAAAATATCAAATGAAATTAGATGAAATTCATTATTCTGGTAATGTACCAAAATATTCAACAAATTTAGGTCCTGCAATGAATAAATTTTTTAGAAGATTAACTTTAGATTCACCAGTTGTAAGAAATAATTATTTTATTCAATTAGATAATCATTTAGATTGGTCAAAATCTATTGGTGATGAAGATTCTGAAAAAGTTGGTTGGAACGCTGCAACAAATGCTACATCTGTAAAAGATTTATGGTTTAGATCAGAAAGACAAAGTGTTAGAAGATTACCAAAAACAGGTGCTATTGCTTTCACAATAAGAACTTATTTTATGCCAATAACTGAAATGTGTGAAGAACCCTTTGTACCAAGAAGATTATTAAATGGTATAACAAGTTGGGAAGAAGATGTTAATGAATATAGAGGATTTTATAAATTTAAAGATGTTTTATTACCTTATTTACAAAAAAAAGCAAAAGAACAAGAAGCAAATGGTTTAGTGTTAAAAGAAGAACCAAAAAATTATCCTTTTTAAGGGTTATATAACTTAAAAATACAATCAATCATGTCTATTTATGAATTCAATAAATTTTGAAATATCAACTCTCTATAATTTGGGTCAAACAAGTATACAATATTTATGACCCTTGGTGAAAATATCTCGTCTTTCTCTAATTATATTTCATCAAAGTTTTATTTCACTGTATGTTTTATTTCAAACAAACTTTAGCTTTTAATTTAGAGTATATAAAAGAAAATGAACATTGAATTAGTGTTAAATATAAGCAAAGAAACTACAATCCATTTTTAACAAAATATAATGATTATTTATAAAACTAAAAACCGAGAACTAAAAAATAATAAAAGATCCAATAGTAAAGTAAGTAAGTTTAAGTTTCAAGCTTAAGCTCTTTCACCTCTTAATCTTCTTGCTAATTGAATGTCTTTCTTTTGAATTGTAACTCTTTTAGCATGAATAGCACATAAATTAGTATCTTCAAATAAACCAACTAAATAAGCTTCAACAGCTTCTTGTAAAGCACCAATAGCAGAAGATTGAAATCTTAAATCAGTTTTAAAATCTTGAGCAATTTCTCTAACTAATCTTTGGAAAGGTAATTTTCTAATTAATAATTCAGTAGATTTTTGAAATCTTCTAATTTCTCTTAAAGCAACAGTACCTGGTTTATATCTATGAGGTTTTTTAACACCACCAGTTGATGGTGCAGATTTTCTAGCAGCTTTTGAAGCTAATTGTTTTCTTGGAGCTTTACCACCAGTTGATTTTCTTGCTGTTTGTTTAGTTCTAGCCATTTTTGAGTTAATGAAATATGGATAAGTAAAAGGAAAAAAAAATCAGATAAAGTGAAATGAATGTGATGAAGATATCATTGTATATAAATAATAATTAGATGATATAATTGATTTGTTTAAGCACTATTCTATTTGTTTATAGTTTAAATGTTATTATTACTTTGATTTATTGTGTTTCATAGTTTTTGTGTTAGATACGTTCTTTATTAGTGAAAGAGAGAGCTGTTCTGAGATTTACTCATTCCAGTGTAAATTTCAGAACAGTTGTTTATAGTCTTTTGTTTGGTGCGAAAGAAGAGAAAAAAACAATGCAAGTTGGTAGCTTTTATTCGCGCGAGATTCTCTTTAAACTCGTACAAAAGATTCGAATTATTGAATTAAAAATAAATTTAGTTTCTTTAGTTTGAAAGAAAAGAAGCTACTTTTAATACTTTTGTAGTTAGTTAGTGAATAATCTTTTGTCTGTTGTTACTTTCTTCAGTCTTCATTCTCTCTCTTTACTTAATCTCGTCTTTCTTCCGTTCAATTACTACACAAAATAACACACTATTTTTTTCTTCCCTAACTAGCATAAGCACATTTAACTTAACTTGCCTTACTTTATTCTCTCCTCAATAATGTTTTGATTAACTCTCGCACTCTCGCACACTAATTGGTTATTTATTTATTATTATATTTTGATAATTTGCCTTCATCCTTACTGATACTCATTTTATTTATATATTTGATAATTCCCACAATCTAATACTTAACTTATTTTTTTTTTCTTTAACTAATTTGAATTATCATTTATTCATTTTATACTTTCAACACATATACACATACACATATAATACATAATGTCAGGTAGAGGAAAAGGAGGAAAAGGTTTAGGAAAAGGTGGTGCTAAAAGACATAGAAAAATTTTAAGAGATAATATTCAAGGTATAACAAAACCAGCAATAAGAAGATTAGCAAGAAGAGGTGGTGTTAAAAGAATTTCAGCATTAATTTATGAAGAAGTTAGAGTTGTTTTAAAACAATTTTTAGAAAATGTTATTAGAGATGCTGTTACTTATACTGAACATGCTAAAAGAAAAACTGTTACTTCTTTAGATGTTGTTTATGCTTTAAAAAGACAAGGAAGAACTCTTTATGGTTTTGGTGGTTAAACTATTTTGGTGATAATATCTTTAATTCAATATTCTTTTAATTCGTTTATATTTATATAATTGTTTTATTTTTCAATATAAAATCAATTTTTTGAAAGAATAATAATGTAATATTTGATTTATCTCTGAAATGGGGTAAGGATCTTGTTGTTGGTTTATCACTTGCTTTGTTTTGATTTTGTATCAAACATGGGTAAATAATTATACACAGATAATATTTAATTGAGTTTTGTATATCATTTCCTACACAATTCCATCATAAATCTTCATAATCCAAAAGAACTAAAGATACCGAAATCATTGATTAAAAGATCCCTCCATAAATCATATACCTTAGTTAGTTCTCAAGCAAGGTAGTCTCTCTTTATTATCAATAGATTTATCAAAAAATTCAAAACTAAAAGGGCCACTATAATTCTACTCCTATACATGAGTATTTATAATGGATGATAATAGAGTGGTACAGACTTGTTTTCCCACATTTGTCTTATCAGTTCAGTCAGCTCACCTCCACTATAGTTTCTCCAATATGTTAGTTGAAGTAACTGGCAAAACTGATGAAACCAATGTATGAAAACAATCTCAACTTTATAAACCTTTAATATGTAATATACATTAAATTTTACTCTATAACATTTCTATAATTAATTTGACGCCTGTTTTGATTCAGACTCGTCTTTCTTATTCTCATTTTCATTTTCTTTTCCATTCAATGAATTTTCTGTAATTTTATGATCAGCAATTCTAATTCTATCACCCAATTCACCATGTTCTAAAATTTTCATATCTACATCTTCCTTAAGTATACCTTCATTTTGAGCTAATTGTAATAAAACTTTTAATTCATCAGTTGAAAATTGTGAATCTAATGGTATTTTACCTTGAGGTATTTCAAATCCATCTATATCTACTTCTTCCGTCTCACTTTCACTTTCACTATCTGATGAAGTTGGAGTTTGTTCTGGATGTACTGTATAATTTGATCTTTTTATATCTTCTAATGCTGCTGATTTTAATTTTTCCTTTTCTGAGTTTTGACTATCATCTTCTACTGCTGTTTCTTCTTCTTCTTCTTCTTCTTCCAGTATTGGATGTTTTTCTATTAAATCTTCTAGTTTTTCTCTTACTGATTCTTCAACTGATGAATGTCTTTTTTGATGATGGTCTGGTTGTGTATATATTTCTATTCTATCTACACTCATGATAATATCTATGTTGTCTCTATGCTATATACTTAATTGAAGTGAATAATTGGTTAATGAATGAATGTAAAATGATCTGTTGGACTGTAAAATCAAAAGTTTCACATTTGGTACCTTACTTTAGATTATATATAGATACTTCTTATCTTTCGTAATGGCTGTGGAGAATCAAAATATCTTGGGGAATGTTGAAAATTGCTTTTGAATTTATGCATTAATTAATATGTCATACATGAAACTGTTGAAATTTTGTACAACTGTAACGAACTTGAATTTTTCTCGGTTAGAAAATAAAAATTATGACGTAATGAATACCGAGAATTTCAATTATCAAAATACTGTTTTGATAGCTTTTAATCAACAAATTCAAGAGTTGAGTAGCAGGTATAGAGTATGAAACATTGATAATGCTGATAATATTATAATTAGGCTCGTAATTTCATTATCTCCAATTCTTCTGAAACTCATCATACTACAACATGTTCATATTTTGAAACAACATCGACTTTTCATTTATCATGCATTCTCAATTCAGCTTTTATTATCAATCTCCTTTTGAATTCTCTTCTTCTTCCTTTGCTTTCTCCTTTTTCCCTAATTCTCTAATACCATTTAAAAAATTTTCAATTCCTTCACCTTTATAATCATATTTTAAACTTTGTGATAATAAATAACCAGAACCATCATTTGAATTTAAATGATCAGATAAATTTTTTTCATTTTGTTGATAAAATCCACTACGTATAATTTCTATAATTTTATGTTTAGTTACGTCTTTAGAAATTGAATTTGGTAAATATTCTTCGTATAAATTTTTTAATTCTTCTGATGAATATTTATCTAAATGTTTCTCGATTTCTGGTAGGTTTAGTACTGATGTTATTGAGCCTATTGGCATTTTAAATTGTGGTGGTTCCTGTTGTTGTTGTTGTTGTTGTTGTTGTTGTTGTTGTTGTTGTTGTGGTTGTTGCTGTTCCTGTGTTTGAGAAGTTAATGCAGATGTTGATTCTTGATATGATGGTGGTAATGTTTCATTTGATTTATTGTCTATTTCTATGCTATCCTTTCGCTCTATTCTATATTCTAAAGTCAGTAAATTTAAATTCAAATTTAAAAAATCAATTTCATAAAACTCAATTGCACTTACTTACTGTTTATCTTCATCCATTGCATCATTATCATCAACACTAATTAATGATCCAATTTGTTGAATTAATTTATTATCTTTTTCAGTAAATTTATTTAAATTATCAATATCTCCAATATCTTGTAACCAATAAATATATTTTGCTCCACTACTTGAAAAAGTAAATGCAAATACTCTTCCAGTATTACAAGATTTTATTATCTTGATTGATACATCTCCTGGAATTAATAATAATTCATCTTTTTCTATTTGTTGTGAGTCGCTATTATTGATTTGAATTTGATCTTGTTGTTTTGGTGTCCATGTAAAATCTAAAAAATCTGTTTCTTCTGTACTCGGTTTAATTGAAATTACTCCCTTGTAAGGTAATGGTGTACATCTATTTGTTTCTTCATCGTATTTTACTTTACCTGCGTGAAACTTTATGGATTTTGTTAATGCCATTGTGAAGTCAGATTAATGCTAAGCTGTTGATGTTATTCAATTATTAGTTGCCACTAATTTGGTGAAAAAAAAAGTTTCGATCTCTAAACAATTTTAAGTCTCACACACTACCAATAGCACTTTACTAATACCACAGCTATACTGCTAATCATTTACACATTCAAGTTCCTACTACTCAATTGAAAACTCACTTAGCTTACAATAGTAAAGGCAAATGTCATTTCCACCTGAAGATGTAACAATAATAGTTCATAAAATAGCAGAAATACTACGATCTAAAAATCAAACATTAGCAATATCAGAAGCAGCATGTGGAGGATTAATATCATCATATTTAGTTTCTGAACCAGGTGCATCAGATTTTTATATTGGAGGTAAATTATTATATTCTTTAAAACAAAGATTAAAATTAAATGGTTGGTCTGATTTAGATATTAAAAATTATATGGGACCTAGTGAAAATGTAGTTTTAAAATTTGCAAGAACTGCAAAATATGAATTAGGTTCTACTTTTGTTTTAAGTGAAACTGGATTTGCTGGTCCTTCTACTGATTTACATTTAGTTGATGAAAATGATGAAAAAGATGTAAATAAAGAAAAAGATGAAACGAATGATAATGAGAAAGAAAATAAAAGTAAAGCTGAGGTAGGTACTGTATTTGTTGGATTTACTGGTCCAAATGGTGATTCTTCAACAACAAGAAATTTTCCAAATCAATCAAGAAATCAAAATATGACTGATTTTGCAAAATTTGCTTTAGAGTTCTTATTGCAGCAATTACAAAATCAATAAACTTTTTGAAAAGAGTATAGTAAATATGAATTTAATAATATATAATGAGTTATGATACGATATTATGGTACTTTAAACATTTTTGTTTTGTTTATGCAATTTTATCTCTTTTTTCTATTTTTTATAGGCTAAATTAAATTAATTTTGCATTAGTCTTAACTCATTAATTAATAAATACACGTCAAAACTTATATTAAAATAAAAACTTCATTAAAGTCACTTATTGAAGCTTCAAATACACATGAAATATGAACATGAGCCTCAAAACAACTGCAAACACCGTTGTAATAACTTAAACATCGTTGAAAATAGATGAAATATGGATGGTTGCAAAATTTAAACAGACTGTCCTCAATAAGTCCATAACGCAGTATTTAAGAAAAACCTTTAACTACATAGTTAAAATTTTGTTTTTTCAAAATTCAGAGTAGAGTTCCAAATGAAATAGCAGAATTGCTTAAAAAGCAATGAGAAATCCCAGTTACGTCCTGTTGTACTATTGGCGTTGATTTAGTAGTTTATCATAGAGTATCGTATTGATAAATCAAACTATCCTTCATACTCAAACGCGTCTATCATCCATTCGTTTCATAAAGGAATTACAAAATATTCATGCACAATCCATACCTCAATACATTAATTTTACCCGTAAATTATTAATTTACAGCGTAAGAAAAATTGATCAAAAAATAAAAACAAAAAAGTAAGTTCACGTATCGATTTTTATAATTAACTATTGTTGATAGAAATCGAAATTAACATCCATCAAAGAAGCAAATACTTGCATCAATTTTGGAAACTATAGTGATCAAACTGTAATATCGATATATATACATAGCTCAACTTTACTGCAACCATCATTCAATCACTGGATTACAATTTGAAATTTCAAATTTCACACGCCCAATAATAAATTTAAAATCGAGATCAAATCAATTTTCAATCTTAAAAAATTATATACACATAACACAATAAATCATTCCATATAATGACTTCAAGTATGTATTAAAATTACTACTATTATAACTTTGTCATTCAATACTAACTCACTATTTAGTCATTGACCATCAATCACCTACAAAATCATCACCACATCCAGATAATGTTAAAATTATTAAAAAAGTTTTAAATGGTTATGTTGGATTTGCAAATTTACCAAAACAATGGCATAGAAAATCAGTTAGAAGAGGATTTAATTTAAATATAATGGCTATAGGAGAATCAGGATTAGGTAAATCAACTTTAATAAATACACTTTTTAATAAAAATATAATGAATAAAGATGGTAAAGGTGATTATAATGAATTTTCTTTAAATGGAGTTAATGAAGATCAATTAAATGAAGAGGAAAATAATAATAATGAACAAGTTGATAAAAATGGATTTGATTCAAATGTTAAAATCATCAATACTCAAGCTGAAATTGAAGAAGATGGAGTTAAATTAAAAGTTAATGTTATTACAGCACCAGGATTTGGAGAATCAATAAATAATATAGATTCTTGGAAACCAATAGTTGATGAAATTAATAATAGATTTAATTCATATTTAGAAGCAGAATCAAGAATTAATAGATCAACAATAATTGATAATAGAATTCATGCATTTTTATATTTTATTGAACCAACAGGACATTCATTAAGAAGTTTAGATATTGAAATTATGAAACAAGTTCATGAAAAAGTTAATTTAATTCCAATAATTGCAAAATCTGATACTTTAACTGATGAAGAAATTCAACAATTTAAATCATCAATTTTGGCAGATATTGAACATCAAAATATTAAAATTTTTAAACCAAGTATTTATAATGATGATGAAGAAACTTTAAATAATACAAAAAATTTAATTGATACTTTTCCATTTGCAGTTATAGGATCAACAAAAGAAGTTCAAACTATTGATGGTAGATTAGTTAGAGGTAGAAAATATCCTTGGGGTATAATTGAAGTTGATAATGAAAATCATAATGATTTTGTTTTATTAAGACAATTATTAATTAGAAATTTTTTAGAAGAATTAAAAGAAAATACTTCAAAAAATTTATATGAAAATTATAGAACTGAAAAATTAAAAAAAATGGGAATTGAACAAGATAATTCTGTTTTTAAAGAATTTGATCCATTAGCAAGACAAGAAGAAGAAAGACAATTACATGAAGCTAAATTATCAAAAATGGAACAAGAAATGAAATCTGTTTTTCAACAAAAAGTAAGTGAAAAAGAAAAAAAATTACAAAGATCAGAAGCTGATTTATTTGCAAGACATAAAGAAATGAAAGATAAATTAACTAAACAAATTAAATTATTAGAAGAAAAAAAATTACAATTAGAAAAACAAAAATTATTACCTCAAGAACCAACTACAACTACTACAACAACTCAAAAAAGTAGAAAAGGATTTTTACGTTAAAAATGTTGAGAGATTTATATAAGTTTGAAAGATGAAAGTGTAATTTTTGTTTCGTTTAGTTTAGTTATATATTAGTTTTCTGGTTTGGTTAAATAAATATAAAATACAAAATTTTGATAAGTTCGTAATTTCAATTGTTTCATGAAACTACTTTTTTCCTCCTGTCACATGATAATTTGATTCAAAACTCGTTTGAATTAGTGAGAATGAGGGGAGCATATTGTTAGAGATTGAAGCAGAGAATTGAATTTTGTAAAGTGGAATTTCTTTCATTAACTTTGTAAAGCTTTGTTGAACTACATATGAAAAAAAAAGTGAGTAGGTTAGAGCTTATTATCAGTTAGACCAATAAACAAACATTTTTATATACGAGGTACGCAATCAAATTTATTATTGTATTGTTAACAAAGATTTAATCTAGTGTGACCTTTTACCTCGTATTGTTTTAGAATCAATAAAACCACTTACTACGTACCACTTCGAACTAATTTCTTTTTTTTCTATAGCTTTCTCCGAGATTAAATTCATGAATAATGAAATACGTAGCAGCAGCAAGTTTAATAAAAAACATTCCACGGTACAAAGTTAAGAAATACTATTAATACATCAAAATGAGATTACTTGATTTAAAAGAGATGACTTCTTAAATTTAAATGGGCTGAGATAAATTAAAGTATATTATTATGACGCAATTGACATGATTTAACTCTATCTCTACCTCTGTTCTTATATAAATTCTTAATTTCTAAGTAATAACGTTTGATTGTAAAGTAGAAGGAAAAAAATAAATTGAATTGAACAGAATCAAATTATAATATTTTTTTTACATTTCCTAACAACTTTTATTTCAGAAACCCTTTTATAACAATCAAGATCAATCAATTGGTTCAGCAATTGTACACCAATCATCAATTAATCACATCCAATTGAATAAGTAAACTCAATTGGTTATCACTTTTTACAAAACAAACACATTTTAATTACATCAACAAAGAAAAACTATGGCTACTGGAAAATCAAAATCTACCGCAACATCAGCTTCTTCAAAACCAGCTTTTAAATTTGATCAAGATAAATTATTACAAACAATTCAATCATTACAATTTGTTTGGTTTCTTGGTAATGTATTAACATTAATTGGATTTTTATTTTATTCATTAACTTATTTAAAATTTATTCCTTCATTATATAAACCAACTTATATATTAACATTAATTGGTATATTTATAAGTTTTGGTATATTAATTTTTCAAATTATTCAAAAAAATGGGTTTAAATTACCAATATTAATTAAAGATGATAATTTTCATTATATTTTATTAGCTGGTTTCTTGTTATTTTTAAGACCTTATGTTTTATTAACTTTAGTTCCATTTGTTATTTTCGCTACTTTTCATGTATTAGCTTATATTAATGGATTTTTATTACCAATATTTGGTTTAAATAATTCAATAATTTCAAAATATATAACAAATTTTATTTCAAATAATAATGCAAAATCTATACAAATTGCAAGTGGTATTGAATTAATTACATTTGTATGGTTAATTTTAAGAATGTTATTATTTAGAAAAAGATCTTTAAGTCCTGTATTAGTTTATTTAATTTTTTTAAAAAAAAGACATGAAGTTAGTCCTTTTACAAGAAATTATTTAAATTGGATTGGTAATACTATTGATGGTTTTGTTATTGATATTGGTCAACCTGTTTTAACTCAAGTTTGGGGTCATGTTAAAACTTTTTTCCATACTGTTGATCAATATAAATTAGTTCATGATTGGCAAGCAGAAGAAGCTGCAAAAGCTAAATAAGGGGGGAGATAAGCAATTGAGAAGAAAGAAGAAGAGAATGAAAAACGAAGTGAAGCTTTGTAATAGTTGGAATATTATGTCTAAGACTTTATACTTATTAAACATATTCTGTTAATTGTTTGTTAGTCTTCTGTTTAGTCTCTAAATTTGATAACGAACTGTAGCCAAAAAAAAAATTTAAATCCGATCGCAGCTTTATAAATTTTTACAACCCCAAATATTCATCTTGCACCCAAAAAATGCTCAATTGAATACTTCAGACCACACTACAGACACAACCACAACAATGGATTCAACATTGATACGACCGAGAAGACTATCTCGAATCAGTAATAATAAAATTTCAATTTTTTCATTCATTTTAGGTGGTTTAATAATTTTATTAACTTTAATATCATATCAATCAAAATTAAATGGACCAGATAAATCATCATGTAGAGTAGTTTGGATGTATCCATCATATATAAAATTAGATAAATTTGATCAAACACATACTCAATATTCTTTAAAATATGGATTATATTTATATAGAGAACAATTTAAAGATAATTTACCTTTGGAAGAAAATAATATATCTACTTTAGATTTAAATGGTATACCTGTCTTGTTTATACCTGGAAATGCTGGGAATTATAGACAAGTTCGTTCTATTGCTGCAAGAACTTCTGAATTATTTGAAGAATTTATTAATGATTATAAAAAGGATTATTTAATTAAAAATTATTTAAAAGATCAAGAAGATGAAACTCAATTAGAATTTAAAAAGTTAGATTTTTTTACAGCTGATTTTAATGAAGATTTTACTGCTTTCCATGGTAGAACAATATTAGATCAATCTGAATTTTGTAATGATGCAATAAAATTTATCTTAGATTTGTATTCAGAACAATTAAATCCTCCTACAAAAATCATCATAATAGGTCATTCAATGGGTGGAATAGTTTCAAGAATAATGTTAACATTACCAAATTATATTGAAAATTCAATTGAATCTATAATAACATTAAGTTCTCCACATTCTGCTTCTCCTTTAACTTTTGATGATGATTTAAATTCAATATATTTTGCAATTGATAAATTTTGGTATCAAGGTTATAATAAACACCAAAATGAAAAAAATGAATTTCAAGCAATAGCTCATAAAAGATTAAAAAATTTATCATTAATTTCAATAACTGGTGGTGCATTAGATTCAACATTACCAGCAGATTATACAAGTTTAAGTTATTTAGTACCAAAACTGAATGGGTTTACAGCTTTTACATCGGGGATTCCATTAGTATGGACTCCAATTGATCATTTAGCTATTGTTTGGTGTCAACAATTACGTACAAGAATTTCAAAATCTTTATTAGATATTGTTAATATCCACAGAAATGTTAAAAAATTTCAAAATAATGATGAATTATGGTTAAATGAAAGAATGAAAATTTTTAAAAATTATTATTTAACTGGATTTGAAGATATAAATGATGAAGAATTGGAAATAGTTGATCAATTTGATGTATCAGCTTCAAGATTAGAAGAAAATAAAATATATGATATAACTGAATTATCAAGTGATAAGTTTTTTGAGTTTAATTTAAATGATAAAAATAAAAATTATCATTTTTCATTAATTTCATCAACTTCAAATAATAACTACTACATTGAAGATTCAAATAAAATTTTAAAAATTAATAAATTTTTATCAACTATACCTAATATCAAAACCAACGAGATATCAGATTCTTCATATGATGGATCATTACAACCTTATTATAATTTAGAATTAAATTCAAAATTTTTAAAAAAATTTAATAAATTATATATCAACATAAATGATCCAGAACAAGATTTAAAATTTCAATTAACTACTAATCAAATAAATTATCAATTCAGTGGTAGTATGTTCAAGTTTCTAACTTTTGGAGATTCAATAACATTACCTTCTTCACGTCCAATTATGATTAATATAAATATACCAAATGCATGGAATAGTTTATATGTTTATAAATTAAAATTAAACACACCCGGAAATGATAAATTCTTGATAAGACAATGGACAAATGATCCATATGAATCAAAATGGTATCTTGATATATCCAAAGAAAATCCCATATATTTAACAATGCATGGTATAGCACCATTTGTACCACATTATAAACTGACGTTGAATTATTCAATGAATTTACAAATTTGGTCAATTTTACAAGAATCTAAGAAGTCATTAAAAATTTCAATACTGATTGATTATTTATCAAGTTTAAAATTATTAATTTTAAGATTTAGAATTACAATAATTGGATTTATTATTTTTATAATAAGTTTGATCTTTTTTTTACAATTTAATAATCAACATGATAAGTTTTCATCATCATTTTTCCAAACTTTAATTTATTTAAATTCAAATTGGTTAATTTATATTGGTGGTGGATTAATTCTATTGAATTATTTGATTAGTGTTAGACTAGTTTATAATTTTTTACAGTTTCTTAATCCTGTTGTATTACAAGATTTTAATAAATTTATAGGGAGTGATATAACAACTGAAAATGGTGAAATTTTTAATGTTCACTTATTGTACCTAGGATTAACTGAAAAATTTTCAATTATTGGAGTACTACTTTATCTTGTATCAAATTTTATAATTGGATTAACTTATTTAATTTTAGTTATATTGGGATCAATTATCAACTTTGTTTTAAATTTAATACCATCATGGCTAACTACAAGATTAGCTACTTCATCAAATTCAAAATCATTAAAACTAATTCAAATATTAATTATTATATTCATTGTTTCATTTATACCTTATTATTTACCATATCAAATAGTTTATTTATTATGTTGTATACTACAAGTCTATAACGTTTTAAAGAATTGGAAAAACAAGGAGGTTAGTATATTAAACTATCAAATATCAATATTAATAATAATGATTTGGATATTACCAATAAATTTTCCCATTTTAATCGTGTTTTTACATAATTTAAAATTAAATTGGAAAACTCCTTTTAGTTCTCATCATAATTTATTATCAATAATACCTATAGTTTTATTAACTTATAAGAATAAAAATTTTAAAAATATTAAGTACTTAAATTTCAATAATAAGATATTCAAAGTGGTTAATGATGGGTTGATTTTATATCTTGCTGGGTTTTCATTAATTTATGGTAGTAGATTTACTTTTTTCATTCATCATTTATTCAATTTATATTGTTGTTTTTTATGGGTTTTAATCTTGTATAATGAAAATATTGAAAAGGATAAGAAGAAAGAAGATATTATTAAAGTAAATGAATTTAATAAATTAAATTAAATGTATAGAGCTAGAATTAACTAGAGTTATTTAGATTAGTCTTAGAAATTGTATAATGTTCTGTTTGTAAATATAAACTAGATACTTACTTAGTAAATTCCAAGTTATCAAGAGTAACAATCAAGAGAATAATAAACTACAATAACAGATACATTTGATAATAAAAAACCTATATTAATTAATATACATAGAAAAATTCAGCAAGAAGTGAAAAACAAAAATTAAGTAGTTAAGTATTAAAAGACATAAAACTTTTTAAACTTAATTTGAAGCAGATGAATATTTAGTAACAGCTCTTGTACCTTCAGAAACAGCATGTTTAGCTAATTCACCTGGTAAAATTAATCTAACAGCAGTTTGAATTTCTCTTGCAGAAATTGTTGATTTTTTATTATAAGCAGCTAATTTTGAAGCTTCTCCTGCAATTCTTTCAAAAATATCATTAACAAAAGAATTCATAATTGACATTGCTTTTTGTGAAATACCAGTATCTGGATGAGTTTGTTTTAAAACTTTATAAATATATGATGAATAAGTTTCTTTTCTTGCTTTTGTTCTCTTTTTTGGACCTTCTGATGATGAAGAAGTTTTTTTAGCAGCTGGTTTTTTTTCAGCTGGAGCTTTTGAAGCTGGTTTTTTTTCTGCTTTTGGAGCCATTGTATATGATTAATTGATTTGATTGATTGATTTAACTTGAATTGAAAGTATAAGAAAAGATGTGTTGTAAAAAAAATAAATAAATTTAAAAATCAAATTTGAGAATTAAATCCTTATTTATAAAAAAAAGATAAAATAAATATTAAGAGAGAGTGAGAGAGAATAAGAGTAAGTACTAAGGTTGTTTTGATTTCCCAGTTTGTGTTTAAGACTAAGAGATAGTACTAGGGAGAGAGAATAATTAAATTATCATTGTGACCAGAATACACTACACAATACACGTACTTACAGAATTTTGATATTTGCCACCAGTTTGAATTAACAAGAGAATAAGTCAAAACAAGAGAGAGAGAGATTAGGAAAAATATTTTGTTTGTTGTGAGTATAGTTAGTAGTATAATTAGTAGTATAGCGTATAGAGTAGTCGTGTTATTTTGTGTAAAGGAAGTCGCGTCTTGAAGAGAGAAGAATATTCTCATGAGTAAATTTCAGTACAGGTGAGTAAATTTCAGAACAGCTTGACACAAGAGAGAGAGAAAAAAAAATAATAATTACTTAGCACGCACGCAATTAATTTAATTCAAACGAGAGAAGGAGAAAATAGAGGAGAGAGAGAGAGAGAATTGTACTGATTACTGCGATACGTTACACAAGATATTTAATTGTCTAGTAGTAGTTAGTAGTTGTTTTGACTTTAGATTATTATGAAATTGATTCTACAGATGAATTGTTGAATACATTCAATTACTGAGCTCTTACACTACCAATTTCTTTCTTACTATCCTTGTCTTCGTACTTTGTTTTTGTCCTCTGTCTGTCTATGTCTTTTGTTTAATATTTTGTTTTGATTATTTAATCTCTTAATTATAAAAACAATTTAATTTCCTTTAAAACTTATTTTTTTTATTCAAAACACTTTCTTCTTTCTTAATTTAAATTCATTCAATTTTCATACACAACACATAATATACACATAATACAATGTCAGGAGGTAAAGGTAAAGCTGGTTCAACTGAAAAAGGTTCAACTTCAAGATCTGCTAAAGCTGGTTTAACTTTCCCAGTTGGTAGAGTTCATAGATTATTAAGAAAAGGTAATTATGCTCAAAGAATTGGTTCTGGAGCTCCAGTTTATTTAACTTCAGTTTTAGAATATTTAGCTGCTGAAATTTTAGAATTAGCTGGTAATGCAGCAAGAGATAATAAAAAATCAAGAATTATTCCAAGACATTTACAATTAGCTATTAGAAATGATGAAGAATTAAATAAATTATTAGGTCATGTTACAATTGCTCAAGGTGGTGTTTTACCAAATATTCATCAATCATTATTACCAGCTAAAAAATCAAAAGCTGGTGCTGCTTCTCAAGAATTATAAACTTAACAATAATTCTTTGTTGATGTATAATTAGTTTGTCTGTTCAATTCTTTTTTTTTAGGTTGGGGATATATTTTATGAAAATATTTGTAAAATTAAATAAGTATTTACATATCTTCTATTAATATATAATTATTTGTTCTTGATTTATTGTTCATGTGTAGTAATTGCTCTAGTTGTAACATCCTAGACTGATCACCCTTGATTTATATTTTTGTGAGCTTATTTATGTAGAAGAGACAATGAATATTCTATTTTAAAGTAAAGACTAATAAACGCAGGCTGTTGATCAAGTGTTAATCTCTTCTCATAGATCGTAATCGCAGCAATCTTATTGATTTACTTTCAAGAATCATTGATGAGTTACGGGCATTCATGGTGACAACGCCATCAATTGCATTAAATTTTCATTTCACTCAGAGCCTGCCACCATAGTAGCAGAGTTTTCCCTTTTTCACAAACTTCATCAATGATAATTGATATTGAGATATTGAATCTTTGGTTCTTATGTTGCCACTGATAATAATTTGGTGATCTATTTTCACAATTATATGCTACCAATATGTTGATAAAAAAATCATAAATTATCACCAACTCAATTTTTTTACAACCAACTTTTCAATTGTTTTACAACACCTTCAAAGATCAATTAATCATGGAGAAATTCTCAGCTTGGAGAGATAAGGCGACTGGAATCTCACCATTTATGCCACAACCATTCCCAATATCACAAAAAAAATCAAATAAAACATCATTATATTTGCAACTTTTCCTAGTAAAGATACCTATTTTTTTAATTAAATTCCCAATATGTCTTATATTAATTTCATTATACTATATAACAGGATCAACTACAATTTTGAATATTATATTTAAACTACTATTTGGATTTAATGAAATAACGTATTCAGTTGATGGAATTAAAAAATCACAAATTTCAAAATTAGAAAGCTATAAACCTATAATTGGAGATTTAATAATTTCAAATTATATATCACCATTAGATGGATTTATATTTAGTTTAATTAGTGGAACTTCCAAAATTTCAATTTTAATACCTAATAAAGATGGAAATTTATTTGAATATTCTCCATGGTCCTTAGTTAATCATTGTTTTGGCAATAAAGAAAGCAAACAACCAATTCAAGAACTTTCTAAATTTAACAAAAAAAAAATTGTATTTTTATTACTTGAAGGAACAACATCAAATAATCAATCAATTTTACCATTTATAAAATTAAATTCAAAATATTCTTTTGAAAATGAATTTAATATTAAATCAATAGTGTTGAAGTTAACACCAAATTATTTTAATTTACCAACTACCATAGAAACATCAAAATTTACTTACTTATTTGAATTATTAACTGATTTTAAAATTAAATATTTTAAAATTAAAATTTATTCATTTAATCAATTGAATTTAAATGAAATTAGAAAATCTTTTGAATTAAATTCTTTAGCTTTAATTAATAATCCTGAATTAAGTATTGATGGTAAAGAAAAATTTATAAATTATTATTTAAATCATGATATTAAAAAATAATGAACTAATGAATTGCTGATTTTTGTAGTTTAGTAACTAGAATAATGCATAATTTCAAATTCATGGATCTGATGATCTTTCTGGACTTTTTTCTCTTACTCTATCTTCAGTTGGAGAGTCTGAATCTTTCTCTCTTCTTGATGATCTATGAGATTTATGTCGACTACTTCTATGACTTCTAGACTTATGAGATGATGATGATGAAGACTTCTTTTCTTTCGATTTACTCTTAGTAAATGATTCCATTGGATCAACAAATTCATCTTCATCTTCCTTTTTTAGTAGTTTTGCCAATGGATCAGCAAATTCATCATCTTCCTTTATTTCTTCCTTAACTTCGTTTTCTTCATCCTCCTTTAGTTTCTCATTATCAGTTATTAATTTCTGTTCCTTATTCAAACTTTCCCCTTTCTCATCATCAATCTCTTTCATAATCTCATCATAAGATATTAAATAATCATCTTCTTTTTCACCATAATTTAATTTATAATAATTATGATCCACACAAATAAATTTATCAAAAATTTTAATACCATTAAAATTATCAATAGCTAAAATACAACTTTTAAAATTTGAATATTTTAAAAATGCAAATCCCTTGTGGGTTCCCGGTTCTTTATTTGTAATTAAATTTAAATGAGTTGGTATACCAAATTGACTAAAAATTATAATTATATCTTTATATTTTATTTTTGTAGGTATATTTCCTATATATATATAATTTGTATCTCTATAATCATAATGCCATGATGATTTATAATTTGTATTTGTGGATTTTAATTCTTTTTGATTTATTTGATTTATTTGTTTGATTTTATTCATATTCGATGCATTTTCTTCTGAAACTTGGTAGAATCTTGATGGTGAAGTTTATAAGTTTTGGATATTGAAGTTTTGGATATTGGAACTTTATATTACACAAAGCGGGAAATTTATTTTGTATAGAGATGAGATTTTAATTACGATTTTATTTTTTTGCATCAACATTATCAAGTTCAATATAATTCAAACTTTAAGACATGGCTAAAAAGGGAGTCAACACGAAGAAGGTGAAAGAGCCCGCTTCAAAATCAAAAGATAATGTCTCTACTAAGGGCATATCGAAAAAGAGAAAATCTGAACAGCCGTTGGAAGAGGAAGTATCTGATGATGAATTGAATGTTGAAGGATTAATTGATCCAGAAAGTGACGATGAGGAAGGAGAAGAAGAAGAGGGAGAAGCTGTAGAAGATTTGAATGGAGATGAAGGCTCAGAAGAAGAGGAATACGACGATGAAGAACTAGAAGAATTAAGTCAATCTGATTTTGATTCAGAAGAAGAATTAAATAAACTTTTAGGAGAAGAAGATGATCCAAGTGATTATAGTTCAGTTGAATTTTCAGATGAACCACAAGAACAAGAAGAATTAAATGATGTAAATTTAAAAAATTTATCAGTTAAAGATCCAGAACAAATTGAAATACATACAACTTTTTCAGATGGAAAACCAAGAATTATAAAACCTGAAATTGATCCAATTTATGATAGTGATGATAGTGATGCAGAAAATTTTAATACTATTGGAAATATTCCTATATCAGCATATGATGAAATGCCTCATATTGGTTATGATATAAATGGTAAAAGAATAATGAGACCAGCAAGAGGTTCAGCTTTAGATCAATTATTAGAAAGTATTGATTTACCAACAGGTTGGACTGGTTTATTAGATCAAAATACAGGTAACTCCCTTAAATTAACTGATGAAGAATTAGAATTAATTCGTAAAATTCAACAACAAGAAAATACAGATGAAAATATAAATCCATATGAACCATTAATTGATTGGTTTACAAAAAATGAAGAAATAATGCCATTAACAGCAGTATCAGAACCAAAAAGAAGATTTGTTCCATCAAAACATGAAGCTAAAAGAGTAATGAAAATAGTAAGAGCTATTAGAGAAGGTAGAATTTTAACACCAGAAAAAGCAAAAGAATTAAAAGAAAAACAAGAAAATGATGATTTAAATTTTGATTTATGGGAAAATGAAAATGATATACCTGATCATATAATGAATTTAAGAGCTCCTAAATTATTACCACCAACAAATGAAGAAAGTTATAATCCTCCAGAAGAATATTTATTTACTGAAGAAGAAAAACAAAAATGGTTACAACAAGATCCAATTGATAGAGAAACTAATTTTATACCTCAAAAATTTAAATCTTTAAGACAAGTTCCTGGATATCAAGAAAGTGTAAGAGAAAGATTTGAAAGGTCTTTAGATTTATATTTAGCTCCAAGATTAAGAAAAAATAAATTAAATATTGATCCTGAAAGTTTAATACCGGAATTACCATCACCAAAAGATTTAAGACCATTTCCAATACGTTGTTCAACTATTTATGAAGGTCACACTGGTAAAATTAGAACTTTATCAATTGATCCTCAAGGTATATGGTTAGCAACTGGATCAGATGATGGAACTGTAAGAATATGGGAAGTTTTAAGTGGTAGATGTGTGTATAAAGCACAAATAATAAATAAAGAACATAATAATGATGATAAAATAGAAAGTTTAGATTGGAATCCTGATTCTACTACAGGTATATTAGCAGTTGCAGCAGGAGAGAATATTTATCTTATTGTTCCACCTATATTTGGTTTTGATATTGAAAATACTGGTAAATTAAGAATAGAAAGTGGTTGGGGTTATGATACATTTGGAAATAAAAAACAAGATATAAGTGTTAATAATGAAGATGGTGATGGTGAAGAAGATGAAGATACAACTAAAAGCAGTAGTAGTGGTAATACAAATACAGTTAAAAAAGATGTAGCAAAATGGGTAATACCAAATCAGAAACAACAATCAATAGGTATATCAGCAATAATACAATGTAAAAAAACAATTAAAAAAATTTCATGGCATAGAAAAGGTGATTTTTTTGTAACTATATCACCTGATTCCAAAAACACATCAGTATTAATTCATCAATTATCAAAACATTTATCACAATCTCCATTTAAAAAAACAAAAGGAATAATAATGGATGCAAAATTTCATCCTTTCAAACCTCAATTATTTGTTGCATCACAAAGATCAATTAAAATATATGATTTATCACAACAACAACTTATTAAAAAGTTATTACCTGGTGTAAGATTATTATCAACAATAGATATACATCCAAGAGGTGATCATCTTTTAGCTTCATCATATGATAAAAGAGTATTATGGCATGATTTAGATTTAAGTTCAACTCCATACAAGACATTAAGATATCATGATAAAGCTGTAAGATCTATAAAATTTCATAAAGGTTCATTACCACTATTTGCAAGTTCTTCAGATGATGGTAATATTCATATTTTTCATGGTACTGTTTATGATGATTTAATGACAAATCCTTTATTAGTACCTTTAAAAAAATTACAAGGTCATAAAATTATAAATCAAATTGGTATTATTGATATAGTTTGGCATCCTAAAGAAGCTTGGTTATTTAGTGCTGGTGCTGATGGTACAGCAAGACTTTGGACTACATAGATTAATATATAAGCAGGATAATACCGATTTACCAACACACTATTGTAGCTAAAAAAGAATGATTGAATTTATTAACTAAAATACGATAAAATATACAAACAACGTAATGAATTGAAAATGAACTTAAAAACGATTGATCGTGATCAAGGCAAAACTTTATTACCTTCACTTGGTTCATGTAAAGTTTCAACTAAATCTAAATCATGATATTTTACAATAAATAAATCATTTTCATTACAATTAAATACATTGGGTAATAAAAATTTTAAAAAATCAACAATACCATAATTAAATTCATTTAAACACCAATCTAAATTTTTCCAATCTAATATACCTAAATTTTTATTATAAGTTAAAGGAGTTCTATAATTTTCAAATTGAGTTATTGATATATCACTTGTAAAAATATATAATGATCCACTTACTGGAATATTTAAATTTTTTAAATTACTATGAAAAATTTTATGAATTTTTTCTTCATATTTTGAAGTAGTTGATGAATTATCATTTTTTATATCTGGTTTATTATAAATTTCCCATTTTAATATACCTCTTGATTTAAAATTATTTAAATCTAATCCTGTTTGTTCATTTGTTTGAATTTTTAAATTTTCAATTGGTGATCCTATTGATGTTTTAATTTCTCCTCCTATTCCAAACCATCTTCCTAAATGTGGTGGTATTTCTCTATTTATAAGTAATATTTTATTGTTTTCTTTACAACGTATTATTCCTAATGTATAAGTTGGTTCTGGAGAAGATGCATTTTGTGTTGTTGTTGTTGTGTTTGTTTGAACATTGTTTTTAGTCGGTGATGAAGACGAAGATGATGTTGTGAATGTCATTTCTTTCACTTATAGAAATAATTGAGTTATATAGACTTTCTAAGCAAATTATGGAGTATTCAATGTCAATTGATTGAAAATTATTGTAAAATTAAAGAAATGTTTAAAGATACGTTTGTTTAGATAAAGAAGGAAAAAATAATAATAAATTTATATAATTAGCATATGATAAATTAAAGCGCAATTTGTGTGTCTATCAACCGTTTTCAGTGGTTCAATAAACGTACTCTAATAAATGATCGGATTGAACTCTAGAGTAATATCAACTGGTCGATCGATGTATGTTTTTAAAGTCGAATTAACTTGAGTTTGAATGGACTATAGACTTTAGACTTTTTTAATCTGAGAGTTAAGCAAAAACCGTTAAGATTGCGGCTTCGGATAATTTTAGCTTTCTTAAGTCCGGAAGCACACAAAATTGAATTACTATAATAATCGAATTTATAGTTAATAGACTACGAAGAAGATTCATAAGACAAATAGTTTTGAAGGTTTTTCAGCGTTTTTAATTTTGTTGACAGCCTCGAGTCTTTCTGAGCCATAGAGCCTTCTTTGGAACCTTAAGTTAAAATAGCAACAAAAGCGGCTGCATCAAAATTTGTTTTTACTTTGCATCACCAACACCACCAGAATTACTAGAGTCATTGCTATATCAGGTCTGAAATTTAACTACATGGAGTTATGCTAAAATTAACATTCAATCTTAATATACACGGTCTTTGGTTCTATCTTTCTTCTTCCAACAGTTACTCTGCTAACTATTCGAGGAAGAATTTTAGAACCAGAGACGGTGTACATCAAGATAGATTGTTACAGATAATTTGATCTTGTGTGTTGATTTCCTTTAGCATTTCTTTAAGGTCATTGAACCCTTGTAAATGGCTGACAACCTTAGATGCAACTATTAGTACACTTGGCCAACAAAGAGCCAGTATAGTCTTTCTTATTAGCACATCTAACCAATTCATTGAACTCAATGTTGTAAGCAGGAACGCTCGTTCTCTGTTTGATTTTTGTTAATTGGCCAATTATATAAATTGGAAACATTGGTGATAAAAATTTGGCTTTTAATTCCAAGCAAAATGTCGTCCATGGCATCTTATCGAATTTGTTGCCATTGGAGAAGAACCAACTTTTGACTTCTTCTTCCAAATATCCTGACGCATATCTTACCAAATTCTTTTATTTTCTTCTTTTAATCAATTTATTATATTCGAGTATGACTATAACAATCAAAAACCTAACCTATATAATTGACCTCAAATTATTAATGATGATGTCCATTTTCAAATTGTCTACCATCAATACTAAAATTTGAAACATTTAAATAATTCATCTATTTCCATTGCTTTATTTTTAGATTCAAAATTATAAGATTTACCATAATCAGATAAAACTTGTTCTATTTCATAAATATCTGCTTTATCTCTGAAATGCCTATATTCCTTGTTTAAAAAAAATAAAATCATAATGGATTTAAGCATTCCTTTGTCATTCAACCAGTCAGCTTTATTGGTAGATTCTTTTAATTTTGACGTATTCTCCACTTCGAGATCAATATCACTTGAATCAATCTCAATTCTATCAAATTTTATATTGAATAAAAATATTGCAAATATCATTACTTTTGTAACTTCATTTTCATCCAAATTTCCAAATCCAGTACCAATACCTGGTATAATTACATATCTATCTTTTTCACTTACCTGATATTTATTTAAATAATTCAATAAATTCCACATTATATTAAAAATTTGACTGATTCCTTCATTGTTATCAATTGATTCCGGAACAATCATAGTTGGTATTTGAATTAACTCATCAACTTTTAAATCATTGTACATTAAAGTTCTTTTATAATTGAAATTTGTATTTTTAAATAGTTCAAGTAAATTTACCGGATATACTTGACCAGGCACTAAGAATCCATTATTTTTACCCAATTGGTATCGTTGAATTGTGTCACCAATTTCTCTTGGATAGGCATCCCTGGGATCATCAAAGTTATGTAATTTCATTATTATCAGCATACTTTCAGTTAAATATTTATCAAAACCACCATTCATATAACTTAAGGAGTTTGTTGCTGTAACAATTGAAGTTTGAAAAGCGAATAATTTCTCGGTCCTCATATAATCGTTTATAGTGGTATGATGACATTGAATTTTTGGTAAATTTGAAATATTAATTATTCCTGATTTTTTGTATGACGAAATTAAATTTTTCCATTTTTTAATTTGTTGATTCCATTTTTCGACAATTGAAGAGTTAGCATCAATCAAAATAAATCTCATTTAAAGCAAAGATTTAGTATCTCCATTGACAATAACCAGATTGTTGATGATGTTGTCAAGAATAAGTTTTTTTTGAGATAAAATGTCAGGAATGATTTTACCTGAGAATTTGACATTTAATAATTTTCGTCATTAATTTGGTAGCTTTTCATATTTTTATTTAAAGTTTTGTGTGATAACTACCTTTAGCTCTTACATCCATACCTCAATGTCAAATTCTAAGATACGAGTTTGCAAGATCTAGATCAAGATTGCATCTGCAATGACACTTCGTTGATGACGGTAAGGCAATCAGAGTAAAGATATATTTATATGTTGTTTCATTGGTGAGAGAAGAGTGAATTTAATTGGTCTGCTAAAGACTTTTCCGTATGGCTGAGTCAAGATTAAGTTTGATTCAAATTTGTTACAAATTGTTTAATTCAAATTAAATTTCAACTAGGTGAAACCAAAATTTTTATTCAAAGTCAGACAAGGAAAATCACACATTAAATGGATTGTAAAAGTACATCTCCGAAAGAACTAATTTAGTCCATTTGACTCTTACTCGTTAGATTTACATGAGAAAGTGGCAAATAATTTTGTATTTAAAAGTTAAGATCTTGATTTTTTTTTTTCGTTATTACCCCACGATTCAAAATTTTAGATGACATAAAAATTGATCGCAGTTGTATATACACCGAAGACAATGAATTGGGTCAAATCTAGCTTTCTATGACTCTATATGGACATATTACAGCCTGAGTTTACTTTATCTTTCGAAGAGATTGTCCATATCTTGAGTCTAGTATTTTATTGTAAATACCGTTCAACCTGTATATAATCATTCCTTATATAAATAATTTTCCTAAGCCCAACCAAAATAAATAGACAACGTTGTTGGGTCAATTAACACGACGATAAATTAAAATGTCCCTTTTTAATCTAAGTTTATATCCTAGAATTGATTAGGTTGAGTTGACGACTGCTCTATTTGATAACTTTCGATTGGAGCTCGTGAAAAGAGGTTCAGTCGAGTGAGGGGAAGTAAAATTTTATAACTGTCGCTCAGTTCTCTCTACCACTGACTCCGTATTGAATTGAAGCCGATAGATCAGTCTAATAGATCAACGTTCTTCCCTCTGAAATAAAATAATTTCTAGAACAAAATCTAAATTCAAAACAAATCAAAACAAATCAAAATCTTAGAAAATTAAAAACGCACCACAATTTTTTTCTACAATACAAAAAATTTAATTTCCCTCATTTTCCATTCTTTCTTTTTGAACAAATCAAATTTATCTTTTATTAAATCCAATTAGATCAAATCAATTGAACTTCTTATTTTAGATTCAATCCAATTCAATTTCAAAATGGCTCCAACTGCTTATTCAGATTTAACTAAAGCTTCAAATGATTTATTAAATAAAGATTTTTATCATTTATCATCAGCAGCTGTTGATGTTAAAACAATTGCTCCAAATGGTATTGCATTTACTGTTAAAGGTAAAACTACAAAAGATGATAAAATTGCTGCTTCAGTTGATGCTAAACATGTTGATAAAGCAACTGGTTTAACTTTAACTCAAGGTTGGAATAATGCAAATGTTTTATCAACAAAAATTGAATTATCTGAATTATTAACTCCTGGTTTAAAAGGTGAATTAGATACTTCAATTATTCCAAATGGTGCAAGAAATGCTAAATTAAATTTTTTTTATCAACAATCTGCTGTTAATGCAAGATTATTTTTTGATTTATTAAAAGGTCCAATTGCAACTGCTGATTTAGTTGTTGCTCATGATGGTTTTACTGCTGGTGCAGAATTAGGTTATGATATTTCAAGTGCTAAAGTTAATAAATATTCAGTTGGTGTTGGTTATTCAAATTTAACTTATAATTTAGCTGCTACTGCTACTTCAAATTTGTCAGTATTTTCAGCTGCTTATTTTCATAAAGTTTCTCCATTAGTTGAAGTTGGTGCTAAAACTACTTGGGATTCTGTTAAATCTTCAAATGTTAATGTTGAATTTGCAACGAAATATGCTTTAGATAGAACTGCTTTTATTAAAGCTAAAATTGCTGATTCTGGTTTAACTGCTTTATCATATACTCAAGAATTAAGACCAGGTGTTAAATTAGGTTTAGGTGCTTCATTTGATGCTTTAAAATTAGCTGAACCAGTTCATAAATTAGGTGTTTCATTATCATTTACCGCTTAAGAGTGTGCTTTTCCTATTTTTTGATAATTCTTTTCTACTAATTAAAATATAGTTTAAACTTACAGATATAAATATACATTTACATTGTTAGAGATAGTTGATTTATGTATTAATTGACTACTTCTATCTTCGAGTACTTGTTGTTACTCTTCGAACTGCGATATTTCAGTTAATACGTAGAAACGCGCATTTAATGTAAAAATAAAAATACATCAAAATATTTCAAAACTAAATATTTACAACCAGATAAAGTTTCAAAAAATATATACCATTGTATTGTTTGTATATGAATAATGTATAGAGAATCTACACCAAAACTACCGACAAATGGTCCTCGAAATACAACGAAGAGAGCTTCAACTCCTAATACACCAACATCATCAACACCAAACCCTACGTCATCATCATCTACAATAAATTTACCAACTATAGTACAAATTTCAAGACCATTTTTTACATCACAAGAAATATCATTTTTACATAAAAAAACAATACCTGATTCATTAAAATTACAATATAGTTCAACAAAATCAAAAATTTTTCAATTTTTAAGTCAAATTGTTAAAATTTTAAGATTTCCTCAAAGAGTATTAGCAACAACAATGAATTATTATCAAAGATTTTATTTATTTAATAAATTTGAAATTGTTCCAAATAATGATATGACTAGTAGCTATTATATACCGAATAATATTGAAATTGATCCTTTCACTATTGCCATTGCATGTTTATTCCTAGCAAGTAAAGTTGAAGATTGTATAAAAAAATTAAGAGATATTCAATCAGTTTGTAATAAATTAAGAGAATTAGATGATAATAAAGTAATAGAAATTAATAAAGATAATACTTCCAATAGTACCATAGTGAAAAATAATTCAAATATATTGTTTATAGATTTACAAAAAAAATATATTTTATCAATTGAATTTAAATTATTACAAATTATAAAATTTGATTTTAATTTTGGTAATAATCCAAGTTTTAAAATAAATAGTGATGATTTAATAATACAATTTTGTAAAAATTTAAAAATTAATTATAAATTATCAATATTAAGTTGGTTTATAAATTATGATATTATTCAAACTCCACTTAATTTAATTGTTCCATCACATTGTATTGCATTAGCTATTATAATAATAAGTTTAAATTTAAATCCAAAACAAATGAAATTAATAAATCATGAAATTGGAGAAGATGATGAAGAAGAAGATTTAAAAATTTCCCAAATTTTAGAAAATTTTAATATTGATAATTTTAATTGTCCTGAATTATTAGTTAATGAAGCCCTAATATATATCTTGGATTATTATATTCATCAATTTAATGTAAGTAATTTAAAAATTTATTTACCTGAAATTGATCCAGAAACTGGTAAAAATCAAATTTTAAAATTTATGAATTTAAAACAAAAATTTAATAATTTAAAATTAATTAATGATAAAAGTTGTAATTTTAAATTAAATTCTGAAGATGAATATTTTAAAGAATGGGATTATAATATTGCTAATAAAAGTTCAGTAAGATTTATGTTGGGAAACAAAAGGAAAAGATTTGATAAAGAATATAGAATTGTTAAAGATAATCAAAAAAGAGATAATGATAAAGATCAACATAAAAATGGGAGAAGTGTTCGATGATCCTATGTTTGTATATGTATATAGAGTCAATTTTTATAGAATAAGATTACACAACTTAGCATCATGTTCATTAATTCATTATTTTAATAGTCTCTATATAGTATCTAGTCTATGCATTCATCATTCAAATTTATAACTTACTGAAGTATTAACTTTATGTAAATCAGTACTAAAACTTGAAAATTCAACTTTATCAATATTATTTCCAATTAAATGTCTACCATCACCATGAGTATCTAACCATTGAATTGGGATATTATTTGTTGAATTTAAATCAGTATAAACTAATACATTAAAAGTATATTCATCATTTTTTAATATTGGTAAAAAAGTTGAACTTGATGTAATTTGTCGAATAATAGCTCGTATTTCTTTTTGAATTTCTGATTTTGCTTTTGATTCATTTTTGCCACCTTCATGTGAGTTATCATCATCATCCTTAGTTTCAATATTAAATTCCCATCTCTCCAAGTTTTCACCAGTTGATTTTGATATTATAACAACAATTAATTTTGTAATTTTTTTACCATATATCCATTTCTTTAATTGTTTCATTATATTTTGTATATAATTCGATACATCTTCATCATTTATTATAATCATTGGTAAATCATATTTTTTAATAATTTGAAAATCTTCTTGTGGATATATTCCTCTTTGATATAATATTGAATTTATTGCAAATTCAAAATAATCTGAAACTATTTTGGATGATCCTTTTAATGCTAATTTTTGAGATGACGATGATGATGATGCAATGTTTGTGGTTTGATTTGAGGACATCGTAAGGGTTAATTGACTATAACTGACAACAATAAGAGAAAGAAGTTGTTTGTTTACCTTCAGATCAAGATTTGAAAATTTAGAACGCGCAATTTTCGATTTTGAGTTATCATTAATCATATCGAATAAAGACGTCATACAATAAGCTTAAAAGTGATAGATTATAGGTCTTAGTAGTTAATATCAACATTTACACGACAATTGAGAGTCAAAGTTGAAAGAAATGGTATGTAACTCACTTATGCAATGAATCAATCTTCCTAGCAAACACTTCATACTAACTCATTTATAAGCAACACGAAGTTGAAAGAATAAATCTAACAAAAGAACAACAAGAATTAAAATATGAAAAAGATCAACCAAAAATCAAATATTATAGAGAATTAACAGATTATCTACTACAATCTAAGAAAGAACATATATATGATGAAGAAAATTTTAAATTAACAACAACTTTATTAAATTTAAATCCTGAATTTTATACAATTTGGAATTATAGAAGAGAAATCTTGACTAATCTATATAACAACTTCAATTCAAATGAAGATGAAAAAACAAAGCTAACCTCAATAATAAATGATGATTTAAAATTATTAATGTCATTATTAAAAAGATTTCCAAAAGTTTATTGGATTTGGAATCATAGAAAATGGTGTTTATTTAAATTAGTTGAATTAAATTCTGTAAATTGGGAATTTGAATTTAAAACTATTAATAAAATGTTAGAATTAGATCAAAGAAATTTTCATGGTTGGCATTATAGAAGATTTATAATTGAAAATCTAGAAGAACAAGCTATTAAAGAAGAAAAAATTAATGAAATACAAGCTCAATTGAAAATATTGAAATTAAATCTTGATGAATTTGACTATACTACTTCAAAGATTCAAACTGATTTTCTGAATTTTTCAGCATGGCATAATAGAACAAAATTAATACCTAGAATTCTAAATTTAGTTAAAGTTACAAATACAGATAATGAATTATTCAAAAACCCATTAAATATATTGCATAACGATTTAGAAATGATCAAAACAGGGATATATATGAGTCCTGAAGATAATTCAGTATGGTTATACCTATATTGGTTATTAACTGATCCAATATTTGTCAATTCATTTCAATCAAAAGAAAATTATATTAAACTACTAGAAGAACAAATATCATTAATTAGAGAAGTAAATGATTTGGAAATTGAAGATTCTGGTCATGATAATATTGGATGTTTAAAAAGTTTAATTTATATAAAAGCTGTTTTAAATAATTCTTTACAGAAAGATAATACAATTGATGAGGAGATTAAAGAAAGTTTAGTGAAATTGATTGAATTAGATGAATTGAGAAAGGGTAAATATAATGATCAATTGAATGGGATTGTACCGATTCTTTGAACTCGAATAGATTGTTCATGAATAGAAGATTACAAATACAATTTTACCATTTTTGAAGACCTTTTTGGTTTGGTGGTGGCTTTTTTGCATATGATCAAACTGATCAATTCAAATTCTAGATACTTTTGAGATTAAGGAGAGTCTAATTTGATACATTTACTGGGTAATTGAGGAGGAGAGTATAATTTGATACATTAACTAGGTAATTGAGAGAGCCACAAATCCAATTAAATGCGAATAAGTTTTGTAAGTCTAGGTTTGTAGGATACTGAAGTTGAATGTATGATCACTTAATCAACAAAAAACAATCTTTTACGCTATAATAAACTTGTACACAATAATATCAAACTCAAGTTTGTCCATCCATGAATATTTAAAGTTTTATTACACAAATATAAATTACTAGATAGTTTGTGCCACGATCGTATCAGCAATATCAAACAGAAATGTATCTAATCATGAAAGGTCGATCAAGATGAAATTTCAAACTTTAATTGTACAGCTAAAATTGAAGGAGTTGAAGCCACGACCTTGTAAACCCGAGGATGCCAATGATTGGCAATACGCAAAAATTAAGAAAAGGAGGTGAATTTCAATTAGTTTTACTAATTCAATTATATGAGATACATATATAATATTGATTAGTTTAATTAATTTATTTAATAAAAGAGTCTTTAATATGCATGTTATTAATTTATTGAAATATACTATTGGATAATTTCATCTTATTTACATAAAATCTAAAATAATTTCATACGAAGGAAATATAATATTTTGATAATTTACCAAACAATATGAAAAATTAAGCTTTTCAAGTTTCATCAACAGATACGATAAGACTAGATTAAAGGGTTTTACAGATTGAAAAATTGAATATAACAAAATAATGTATTGATTTACATATTAATTTCTTTTTCTTGAAATAAAGTGATTGAATGTACACAAGAATCTGATATTTTGATTACGAGAGGCATACGTTTGGACTTTGGTCCACATAAACAATTGCCTTCATGCAAATCAAGGGGAAACTAATCATTGTAATAATGTAGGCTAATTTGTAGGACAATAAGATTTCACAATAGCTCTTACTTACTTTGGGTTTTGATACTCTGATAGTAAGATCGTAAAAGTCCTTAATAAACTCATGTGCTAAATAGATCTAGTTCCTGGCAACTAAATTTCTTATTGTTTTATTTATCTAGATATTTCTATTGTTTAATCTGTATTTAATTTATCTTAAGTTGATTTGAAATTTTAAATTAATAAAATTCATGTTAAAAATTTAATTTTTTTTCTTTTTTGCAGCAATTAATTACCGCTTTAGTCTTGCAAAGGGAAAAATTGAAGACATAGTAAATGCAAAACAACTAAACACCAATAGATATAATAACTAAAATACATTTTACACATGTCAATTATTATTTCAAGATCTCTGACGATCAATTTAAAGCATCTAATGCTATCCATGATGTGGAGGGTAAAAAAGTACATCAAAAGTTTAAATCGAAATATAATATTTTGTAAATTTCAAGATTAACTTCTTATTTTCAAAAATAATTGATTGTTTCAAAGTATCAGTATTGAGGTAAGGGCCTTTTACAAAAGTTTCAAATAACCAAATTTGGTTGCAAAAGGAATTTTTAAATATTGAAACTTGATACAAATCGTAAAATTGAAAGTTACCAATACAAACTTGAAATACAGCCATGCTATTTTATACTGTCGATTAATGTTAAGATGAAATTTGATGAGGGTGAACCAGAATGTGATTTTCATTTGAATTAAAAATTTCATAAACTATAAATATTAATCAAATTCCAGTTCTTGATTTCAATTTTTCATTTCATCAATTCAATCATCAATCAATCTACTGAACACACTCAGATAATAATCAAAAAAAATCACTATCTTTAATCAATCTCAAATAAATTACTACAATGAAATTTTCAATTGCTATTTTAACTGCTATTGCCGCTACATTAGTTGCATCCACTCCAATTAACGCTACTGAAGAAGTTACCCCAGTTGCTCCAGCTGAAATCCCAGATGATCCAATTCTCGAATCATTAATTAAAGCCGTTCAAGCTGATCAAGAAGCAGGTGAGCCAGAAGAAACTGAAGTTAAAAGAGATGCTGAAGCAGGATGGACAAGATATGGATACTATGAACCACAAAAAAGAGATGCAGGTTGGACTAGATATGGATACTATGAACCTCAAAAAAGAGATGCAGAAGCTGGATGGACAAGATACGGATACTATGAGCCACAAAAAAGAGATGCTGAAGCAGGTTGGACTAGATATGGTTATTATGAACCACAAAAAAGGGATGCTAATGCTGATGCTGAAGCTGATGCTGGTTGGACTAGATATGGATACTATGAACCACAAAAAAGAGATGCTAATGCTGATGCTGAAGCTGAAGCAGGTTGGACTAGATATGGATACTATGAACCACAAAAGAGAGATGCTAATGCTGATGCTGAAGCTGATGCCGGTTGGACAAGATATGGATACTATGAACCTCAAAAGAGAGATGCTGGTTGGACAAGATATGGATACTATGAACCACAAAAAAGAGATGCTAATGCTGAAGCAGGATGGACAAGATATGGCTACTATGAACCACAAAAAAGAGATGCCAATGCTGAAGCAGGTTGGACTAGATATGGCTACTATGAACCTCAAAAAAGAGATGCTAATGCTGAAGCAGGTTGGACTAGATATGGTTACTATGAACCACAAAAGTAAATCTTATTAATTGCATACAATTCATTCAAAAGTTGAAGAAAATAGATTTTTCCTCCTTTTAGTTGCATAATTTTTATTTCAAACCTTTATTGGACATTTATCTCATAACATTATCTAATTACATTTGCATATAATCATCACGTTTGATTGATTTCATTTTATTTCAGAAAATTATAAAAAACCAAAAAAAAAAAAAAAAAAAATAGTTCTTTTTCATTCAATCCTTTTACTTTTATGGCATTTATTTATAGCTTTTTAATACAAGCATTTTCGTTTAAAATTATTTTTTTGTTCTTCTGACCTTTTGTTATTTAATGTTAATACCTTTGTAAATAATTTATTTAAATGGTTGCAAAATTTATTTTGTTTTAACTTTTTGAAACATACTGCATGTAATGTGTTAGTTTGTGTTACATATTTTGGTAAAGCATCTCTTAAGATTTATTCAATACGGAGACTATTCAATTCTCATCATCAAACTTTACCAGCAACATCAACTATGGCGAAAACAAAATCAAGAGGAAGAAGAGCTGAAAAGAAAGCACAGAAACTAGATTCACAAGATTTTGTAGAAATATCTACGGAGGATAACCAGGGTAATGTGGACCAAACCAACATTCCAAATACTTTTTTTGGATTAGTAGATTCAAGTGAAATAGATTATTTTAAACAAGCAGAATCTACATTAAATATTAATTCGTTTGAAAACGATGAAGAAAGAGAAGGATTTATAAACTCAGTTATTAAAGAAGCACAAGGAAAAGAGTTAAAATTAGTTACAAATCAAATATGCTCAAAATTAATGGAAAGAATAGTCTTGTTTGCCAATACTAAACAATTGAAAGAAATATTCAAAAATTTCTCAGGTCATTTTGTTTCATTAGCTTTCCATAAATATGCATCACATGTTTTAGAGACTTTATTGGTGAGAGCAGCTGCATTAATTGAGAAAGAGATCTTACAAACAGATGAAGTCAAATATGAAGAGGAAGATGGAGTTGTTATTGAAGATCGTACTGATTCAGAAACAATAGAAGAACTATTCATCAAAATTGTGAATGAATTCAAACCATATTTAATTACAATGATTGATCATCAATATGCTTCACATGTGTTAAGACTATTAATTTTAATTTTAGCAGGTAAAGAATTACCTTCAACAACAACATCAAACTCACAACTTCGATCAAAGAAATCTAAAATTGCTAGAAAGATGATTGAAATAAAAGATAATGAAGATTTTAATCGATCTTTTCAAGTACCAGAATCTTTCAAAACCGAACTACGTGATTACTTTCAAATTATAACAAAAGACCTAGATTCGAAAAAGGCGAGAGAATTTGCTATTCATAAAATTGCATCACCAGTAATACAACTAATAATACAAGTTGAAGGATTAGTGGATCGAGAACGTACAATTTGGCATTTAATATTTGCTAAACAATCAGATGGGGAAGTGGATGAAGAAAGATCTTTTGTTGAATATTTATTATCGGATCCAGTTGGATCACATTTTTTTGAAGCTATTATTAAAAATGATGGTGCAAGACCTCAATATATTGAAAGATTATATAAACTATATATGAAAGACAGGATACTAAAATTGGCGAATAGAGCGACTACTGGTGTTTATATAATTCAAGCATTACTTTTCAAATTAAAACCAGTTGAAGTTGAACATATCCTAGATCAAATTACACCCGAATTGTCCAACTTGATATCTATATCAGAGCATAAAAATCTAGATTTAGCACAAAGAGTAATTGAAGCATCAATTATAAGAGGAAATTATTTAAGAGATGAAATAATCACACAATTATTCAAAAAATTTGCTCCAAATTATGATCTTCTGCAAAATAATCAAACGGACGTATCAACTGAATTTTTAGAAAATGTACTACAATTGACTGGTTCAACTTTAGGAAATACAAGAGATGATTGGCCAACGGCTGAAGAAAGAAAAAGAGCATTATTTTTAGAAAAATTAATGGAATTAGATTATAGATTTGTTATTTTAGTTTGGTTAAATTTTATTGCATTACCAGTTGAAAAATTTGTACAAATGTGTTTTCATGGAGTCTTTTCTCATGTTGTTGAAAACTCATTAATTGTTGAACAAGATGAATCAAAACCTATTCAAATTTTGAGAAAGAGATATTTGAATATATTTCAAGGACAAATAGTTGGATTAGCATGTAATTCATATGGATCTCATATAGTTGATAAACTATGGGAATTTACGGTATTATTACCTATGTATAAAGATAGGTTTGCATCAGAAATGATGAACGAATCAACTAAAGTGAAAGAAAGTACATATGGTAAATTAGTATGGAAAAATTGGTCTATGGAATTATTTTTAAGAAAAAAATATGATTGGAAACTGCTTGTTAAGACTCAAGAACAAGTATTTTTGGGAATTGATGAAAATACAGAAAGAGTTAAAAAACCAATAGAATTGAAGATGGAGAGACTAGCTGAAGAAAAGAAAAGACAACAAGAAATAGCAGAGAGAGCTCAAAGTGGGTATAATAAACGTAAATTGGATCAATTAATGGGTAATAACGACAAGAAACAAAAATTAAGAGGTAGAAGAAGAGAGTAATATATTGAAACGTTTTTATACGAAGTACTTTTGTTTATAATTATAATTTTATTTACAGGTAGTTTATTTCTCCTCATTTACTTCAATAAAATACTCTTTCAAAGTATCTTTACTAACAGGAGTTGGACTATCTACAACTTTATCAACTCCACTTTGATTTTTTGGAAAAGCAATGACGTCCTTAATGCTAGAACTACCAATGACCATAGCACATAATCTATCAAACCCTAAAGCTAAACCAGCATGTGGAGGACAACCCATACTCAAAGCCTTTATTAAATGACCAAATTTTAATTCCCAATTCGATATCTTTAATATGTTTTCAAATATGTATTGTTGCAAAGTTGGATCATGAATTCTTCTTGATCCTCCTCCTACTTCTACTCCGTTAATCACTAGATCATAATGTTCCCCTCTAACTTTTAATGGATCAGATTCAAGATAACCGTAGTCTTCTGATTTACACATTGTGAATGGATGATGAGTTGACTCAAATTTATTGAAATCGTATGTTGGATATGGTTTCATAGTTTCATCATCTTCTTTGATTTCAACGGGATCAAACAAAGGAAAATCAACTACCCAAGACCCTACAGTAACATTTTCTACTGGATAAAACCAAGTCATCTCACCATCTTCCTGAATGGGTCTCTGCGAGTTATTTGGATAATTCTTAATCGCAAGTTGTCTAAACTTACCCAAGGGAGTCGGATTTTCATAAGGTAATTCTGATCTTGTGGATACACCAATAATATCTCCAGGTTGTAAATTCAATTCTTTCAATAAAGTGGACCGTTTACTATTTTCATTTTGTTTCATAAAATTTTTTTTGATCAATAAATCAATCCATGATGTCTTATCAGTCTCATTATCAATTGTGAAAATATACGGTCTTCTCCTTTTGTATTCTAGTTTGTTACCTAAACAGGGTGGGATTTTTGTTCTCTTTGCTATACCGGGAATAAAAGCACGTTTCAAAACACATATTTCAACGATTGGAAAGTTCTCATTTTCCATAGCTGTGAAGTACTTGTTTAAATTGATGAATTCGAGATTGTATCTCAAATCCGGTTTATCTATTCCATATTTTTCTAAGGCTTCTTTATATGTCAATGTTTTAAATTTCAAACGATCCTCATTTGATGTTATTTTCTCCAAATAATTTTTCTCGTTGAGCGCATACATTGGTTTTACTTTGATCTTTTCCCATATGTTTAAAATTATATCTTCAACGACTGTCATGACTTGCTTTGAACTATTAACGAAACTCATTTCTAAATCGATTTGAGTAAATTCGGGTTGTCTATCAGATCGTAAATCTTCATCTCTAAAACATTTTGCGATTTGGAAATACTTCGTAAAACCCGAACTCATTAATATTTGTTTATATTGTTGAGGAGATTGTGGTAATGCATAAAATTGATTTGATGATCTTGTTGGTACTAAAAATTCTCTTGCACCCTCTGGAGTTGATTTAAATAACAATGGAGTTTCAATTTCTGTAAAATCATACTTATCAATCAATAAATTTCTCACAAGTTGTGAGATTTTACTTCTAACTTTCAATGCATTTTGAAAAAATGAAGTTCTTAATTGTAAATATCTAAATTGAGGTGGTAATTCTTCTGGATTTGAATGTTTTAATTTATCCAATCTTGGTGCATCTATATTTGATTCATTCAAAACTTGTAAATCTTCAACAACTAATTCCCATTTGGCTGATTCACCATCTGTTAAAACTTTTTGTTGTATATGTCCCGTTATACTTATTGATTCTTCAACTGTCAATTTTTTTAAAGTCTCCAAAACATTATTTTGTGAGTTTTCATTAACAACAAATTGTATAACATTGCCATCTTTATCTCTAATAAAACCAAAACTTAAAGTAGGTCGTATTCTTGATTTTTTATGTATATGACCATTTAAGGTAATTTTGCTTTGTTTTTTATTTATATATTTGTCTAAATTTTCATTGATGTATTTGAACGAGTGCTTTTGAACAGGAAAATTGAATTTCTTCAAAGTTGTTGATTTGTTCGGTATTGTAGATAGACGTCTTGTGCAGCAATTTGACTTGCATAACAGTCGTAGTATACGAAAACTCATAATAACCTGAATTTCGTGTTGTACAACTGATGTATCGAGCATTTCTCTCTATAAATTTTTCGCAGTAAAAAAATAGAACGTTAATCAAGTGATCCCATTCAAATTTAGCTGCACAATTACTTTGCCGAAATAATGCCCACCAAGTCAAATGTGAACATTAGATGGCGAGTATTTGAATGGAACAATCAAACGTATCGATTGGGAGATTTGGAGATTTTGATTTTTAGATTTCAGCAGTTTATGACATTTTTAAAAATTGGTTGCTGAAGAACTAGAATTACGATAGGTTTATGAGGAAGAGCTAAAAGTTTCGCAATCTTACAAGAACGAATCTCTTGAGACATCAACTGAGTAAGTTGTCAAGGAGCTTCACTAGGTATGTTTCAGATTTAAGTAGGTACCTACGAATGTGACGTGTCGTGAATGTTAAAAATAGACAATCCAAATCGAGTTTTAAAATAATTATGTCATAAACCCGAACTTTGTGTCATATTCGATTTTGTTCCTTAAAATAGAATGTATTGTTATATGCATGATTTATTTTCAACTTTATACTTCAAGTTTTTTAATCATTTATACATAAGAATTTATAAAAAATGGCTTTATTAACTTAAACTTAGCCTACTTCATTATTCACGAATCACAATTCAACAACGAGAATTAACCATTTCCATCCTATCCAGCATCAAAGATCTAACACCAAAGACACATATGTTAAATCTAAGGAAAAGGAAACTACTATATATACTACTATCAACCATATGTTTTTGTATACTACTATTAATTCATTCAAGTATAATAAATCATAAAAATCTATCATTTAAAAATCAAGATTGGTCATTTAAATCATTAAGTGAAAGTTTTGATTTTTCATATTTACCAAATTTAAGTGATAATTTAAAGGAATCATATAATAGATTAAATTTAAATTCAAATAATGAAGAATTAAATGAAAAAGGTTATATATTGGAACCAAATAATGTTAAATTTAAATTTTTAAATAGGGTTAAAAATAAAGGTAATCCTCAAGAAATTGTTGAAAATCACAATAGAAAATATAAAGAATTATTATCAACTGAAGTAGGAAAACCTCAAGATGCTTCATTAATACCTCCACCATCAAATGAAGATTTAAAAGATTATAAACATGCAAATGCAACAATTATAGCATTAGTAAGGAATGAAGAATTAAGTAAAATTGGACAAAGTATAAGAAGATTACAAAAACTGTTTAATTCAAAATTTAATTATCCTTATACATTCATAAATGATCAACCATTTACTGATAAATTTAAAAAAAGAATTTTAAAATATACAGAAAAAGCACCAGTTGAATTTGTACAAATCCCTCCTCAATTATGGGATAAACCAAACGATATAGATACAAATAAAGAATCAAAAAATATGCAAATTTTATATGATCATGATGTTGCTTATGCCAAAAAGGGGTCATATCATAATATGTGTAGATTTTATTCAGGTCAATTTTATAATGTTCCAGAATTACAAAAATATAAATATTATTGGAGAATTGAACCTCATGTACAATTTTATTCTGATATAACTTATGATGTTTTTAAATATATGGAATCAACTGAAAAAATTTATGGTTTTACTATAAGTTTATATGATATTGATGAATCTTTAAAATCATTATGGCCAAATACTTTAAAATATTTAAATATGGATAATAATTATAAATATGTTAACCCGAATGGAAGTTTTCAATGGTTAGTTGAAAATTTACAAAATCCTAAAAAAAATAAAGTTGCAGGTGGTTATTCAACTTGTCATTTTTGGTCAAATTTTGAAATTGGTGATATGGATTTTTTTAGAAGTGAAGCATATAATAATTGGTTTAAATATTTAGATTCTACTGGAAATTTTTATTATGAAAGATGGGGAGATGCTCCAATTCATTCTATTGGTGTAAGTTTATTTGCTGATAAATCAAAAATTCATTGGTTTAGAGATTTAGGTTATAGTCATGATCCTTATTATCATTGTGCAAATACACCTTTCACAAGAAGTTGTAATGTTGGAAAATTTAGTAGATATGAACATTTACATGATCAAAATTGTTTGATTAATTGGTTAGAATACGATAATATTAAAAATGTATATTAAATAAATATTTTTAGACTTTATGGGTTATATGGTACCTCTTACTAAATATATGATATCACCATTTTGTAAAATATTTGACTTTTTAGAATTTTCAATTTGTTTTGATTCATTAGTTTGTTGATTAAACGTAAATATATTTAACTTCTCACTGGCATTAGTTGTTGAATTATTATAGTTTGACAATTTTAAAGTTTCTGCTATATTATCCAATGATTTCCCAATTACCCAATTCTTAGATATAAACACTGGTTGTTTTGCTTGCTCTATACTTTTAGGATCTTTAACATATATGCACCATACATAAACTCGATCAACTTGTTTAATTTTATTATCTCCTTTTGCATCTTTTTTCAATTTCGCTATATCTGCAAATTTAGATGCACTAGATGATTTTCCAAAAATTTTAGATACAGATGATGAATTTTTTTGTTTTGATTTTTTAAGATTTAAAAATTCTTGAAACTTTTTAAATGCATTTGTACCAGCCACATCACCAACTCTAAATTGTGTTTCCTTTATAGTAGTAGGTTCAGGACTTTTCAACCTTTCATTTATCAATTTTCTATCTGCTTCTCTATCTGGAAACAATGATTTCGAGGAAATGGTCGAGGAAGAAGTTGTTGATGACAGATTTGAAGTATTAATTGATTGATTATAAAATTTATCTTTATTAGGACATTGATGTTTTTCTAAAGTTCTATGTTGTGAACAAAATGTTTTATCACAGAATTCACAATGAAATGGTAAAAAATCTAACTGACTACAATATGAACAGTTTTTCCCAATATTTATTATACCTTGATCTTCTTTTTTAGGTGCTTGGGTTTTATCTATGAATAAATTCGCTACTGATGACATTTTTGTTGTGTGTTTGATTTTTCTGTTAAATTTGGAATCAAAAATAAATTAAAAACGAGTGGAGTATTTATAATAAATAAGCTAGTGAGAAATATGGATTACTAATGTACTGGTGGCAAACTTTTGGTGGAGATAAATAATTTTGATGATGTTATACATTTACGCTTTTGTGTTTCAGAAAAAGATTACTAACGATTTTTACGAGACACAACATCATCAAACGGAAGAGGAAAAGAAACTAATAAGCTAATCTCCTGATAAATCAGAACATAGATGACTTATGACTTAAATATACCGTGGCCTTCTAATGATTATCAAACACAACCAACTCAACAACAACTCACAAACTTAAAAAATACAATCATAACCAATTTACAAGTTGGTAAAACTAGTCAATGTATAAATTTCACAATCAATGAATCCATAAAAATACCATTAAATGAACAAAATAAAATAAATCCTATTCCCATAAAACAATTACTAGAAGAACTAAAACCAAGATTCCCCAATTTAAGATTATTTTCTCGTATAACATTATCAATAAATGATACATCAAAATTACAAAGTATAACAAAATTACAAAATTCATTTGATATTATAAGTATACAACCATTAACTGAAAAAGCATTACAACAAACAGCATTAAATGTTGAATGTGATTTAATAAGTCTTAATTTGTCTCAAAAATTTCCATTCTTCTTAAAATACAAGACTATTGGAAATGGAATTCAAAGAGGTTTAAAATATGAAATTAATTATAGTCAGTTAATTGGTGGATCTGCTGGTTATCAAGATAATAATATAAGTGTAAATCTTATAAAAAAAAATTGGTTTAATAATGTATTACAATTAATAAGAAGTTCAAGATCAAGAGGTTTGGTGGTGTCAAGTGGAGCTCAAAATCCATTACAAATAAGAAATAATAATGATATATTAATATTATTAGGTACTTTAGGTTTAGATAAAAGTAGAGCAAAAAGTTGTATAACAACAAATCCTGAAAGTGTTTTAATTACAGGTAGATTAAAATTAAAATCTTATAAACAAGCTATATTAGTTGGTGATGAAAATATAATATCTAATGAAAATGAAGATTTAAATAAAAAAAATAATTTGTCGGGTTATAAAAGAAAATTTGATGATACTCCTACTGGTAAATTACTAAAAAAGGCTAAACACCAATAAAAGAAAATTGCAATCGTAAATATCGTATATTCGTAAATACTTCGTTAGGTCGTTAACTAAATATAGAAGATTTCATTGGTTTGATTTTACTTGGTGATTCATCTTTTCGAGGGGAAGTATATGAAGATGAAGATGGCAGTGTAGGCGCTTTTTTCTTAATTGGAGATGGTGAAGTTTGATTTCTTCTTTTTATAAATATAGATGGTTGATTTTGTTGTAATTGCAATTTACGTTTTCTAGCAATTTCAGCAATTTCAGCGGATGATGGAGGTGGAGATGCTTTTGATTTTACATCTTGTTTTATAGATGGGGATTTTGGTTGTTTATTAGATTGGTCAAAAAAAGTAATTCTTTTGATTTGTCTTGGAGCTCGTATTGGTATATCATCTTTATATTGAAATGCATTATAAGGATCATAATTTTTATGTGGTGCTTTCCCAAACATCAATGATCTTGATTGAGATTCTCTCATTGCTTTACCTAATATTGTATTTTTATTCACTGGTTGAGTAGTTCTTCCATAATTACCATTTGAATCCATTTTTCTTCTTTTAATAGATGGATCTCGTCGTATTTCATCAATAGTTACAATTTGATTCATTGATCTTTCTTTTTGAATAGACTTATTCATATGTCTTAACCTTTTAGCAGAATCTTTTCTAAAATCATCTCTTTGTTTTACATATTTAAAATATAATGATTTATAAGGCATATTTGGATATTTTAATTGTGAAGTTGAACCCAAGGGACCTAAGTCATTTGGTCTATCAGGAAAATCTTTTGTTATTAAATGATTCCAAATTTCATCAGTAAAAGGCATTAATTGATTTGATAAACTTTCTAAATGATCCAATTGTTTTGATGACATTAATTTTAATATTGATTCTAATAAATGAAATGGAGTTGCTCCAACATCTTGTAATTGTGTTATATGACGTTTTATTGATATTTGAGCTAGGTGAAGTAATGTCGGTAGACCACTTGGATGTTTGTAGTTCACTTTGGGGTGTGACTTTTCATTCATGAGTTTTGTTGCTTGGTTTGTTCTTTAGTTTGTGGTGGTGTAAGGATGAATTTATTTAGTGGTTATCAATCATAAACTAAGATATCAAGATCTGTCTTCGCGTAATTTCAATTTTACTTCTTGCGCGAATTGTGAAACACCAACAAAATTCAATATTTTTCAATGTGTCATTAGATTTAGTGAATAAGTTAAAATTTTTTTACGATCAAGTACGTCAACTGTTCACTTGTGTTCTTTACATCTCATATACATTTGGCTATGAGCATGAACTCATCATCGATTAAACTACTATTGCTACGTTTCTAATTCTCATCGTTGGTATTTTAATGAGAAACAATACTGTCAAGGTCTAGATCTGGATCTTTAGCTAATTTACCCACTTTATCAATAAATCTCATTAATCCTGAGTTTGTTGTGAAAGTGGGAAAATAAACTAGAGATCCCGACCTAGACAATTATAAATTAAGATTTGATATAGTCTCAAGGTTCAATTTTCAAGTACTTCCGTAAGGTAATCATTAGTCATGAAGTGACATGCTGAAATATGAATTCAATAATTTGATATATGGAAAACAAGTTCGGAAGTCTGGATCTCATCAGATTTTGTCATGGAAAGTGGGAGTGTTGAAAAGGTTTGTACTTGTTGGTTGAACATGGTTTCAATTATGAAAAGATGACGAACGTACACGGAATGCATTAAATCAATATTGCTACGTTCATTCAAAATCATGCTCCCTTAATCTACAATTTGTTCAATCGTAGCATTTAAGATTGAGTATGATACAATTCTGCCATATATAATTGTTCACATTTTTTTTTCAATTGTTAATGCTAAATTAATTGGACTATATTTACAAATAAAAGGTTTGTGATTATTAATATCTAATTAAATTGGAAATTTTCAATATAAAGAATACGGTGAAGGAGTACAAAATTCTGCTAATTTACGGGAGTCCATTTCGTTTGACAAGTGTGAGAGAATTTTAGATCCAAAATAGTGTCGTTCAAAGAGTTTTTGTATGAACAAAGGCGAAAAACCTTCATCTTGGTATGAGGTAAGGGTGAGAAATGATTATTACGGATGTATGCGTAAAAGAACAAGCTGTGGAAGAACATGAAAACCATATTTTTCAATTTTTGCATAGCTTGTTCTTTTAACCATGCATCCATGATAACCTCAATAACATTATTTTAGGAGTAAAATATACCGAGACTGTGGATCTATCAGAAGATAACTTGTCCATGAAAGAGATCAAAACGAATTTCAATAATAAGCTATCCCATAAATTCTAAATGCAAATTAACTTTTTTATTGAATAAATACATCTATTTACAAAACTACATGCATTACATCCTCCGAGTCCTTAAAAACCAAACAGTGACATAATACCATAACCCACAGTTATAGAAATTACAAAACAAATAACAGTAGCTAAAAATCCTCTCTTGATAAAAGTTCCAACAGTTAAATATCTATTTCCCAAAGAATCAACCATTGAAATTGCAGTATTATTAGGAAAACCACTCAGTGGTAAAGACATTGCAAAAGATGCAGACATAGCAGTACCAAAAATAAGCATACTTGAATGATCTTTTCCAAGAGATTGACCAACTTCTTTAACTAATGGGATTAAAATTAATGCAGCAACTGTATGAGATATAAAACTTGCTATAACAACTGATATTACACCAAATATTATATTTATTGCAAATACATTAAAATTTTCAATACGTCTTTGTAATGCTTGTGCAATTGTTACTAATAATTCAGAAGAAATTAAACCTTTTCCTAATGCAATACCACCACAAGCTAAAAATACAATATTATAAGGATATTGATTTATATCTGAAGTATTTAAAATTCCAGTACCAAAAAATAAAACCATTGAAATAATACTTATAATACCAGCTTCTCCAAAAGTATTTTCAATTTGTGACATAACACACCATAATAAAATAGTAGTTAATGAAACAATACATATGAATATTTGTTTTGTTGTTAATTTTTCTTTTATTGGTTGAACTTTTAATAGTTTAACATTTTTAGTTTGAAAAGTTAATAATAATAATCCGTAAGTTAATAATAATGATATAATTGTTGTTGGTAAAGAAACTCCTAAAAATGATCCCCAACTTGAATTTTTCATATTTTGAAATGCAATAATATTTTGAGGACTTGATATTGGAGTTGATGCTCCACCTATATTTGCAGCAAATGCTATTCCTAATGCTAATGCTTGAGTTGCAGGTAAATTATTTGTTAAAGATTTCATTACAGGAGAAATTAATGAAAAACATATTATGGGACTTGCTGTATTACTTATCCACATTGATAAAAACCAACTAACACACATTATTGCAAATAATGTCTTTTTAAAAGAAGTACCAGCTAATGCTAAAATATAAGAACTTAAAACTTTAGCTAAATTATATTTTGATAATGCAGCTGAAATTGTAAAACCTCCCATTAATACCATTATAGTACTATTTCACATTGTACTTAATATATATTTTGATGCATCTGGAGCTGACATTGGTTGATTTGTTCCTTCAATTTTACAAATTTTACAAGTTACAACTAATAATGGAACAAATAAACCAGTTGCATATAATGGTAAAGCTTCTGTTGCCCATAATATTGCACATGTAACTAATACAGCTAATGCTCTTCCTTGAACTGGATCATTAAAAGTTTTAACTGAAATTAATATGACAAAAGCAATTATCGCTAAAAGAATTTTTAAAATTTGTTTTTTTAATAAAAATTCAGGAATTTTTATAATTTTACCACCTAATAATTTTTCAGGTAATTTTATATCTTTCATTTTTAAATGCATCATTGTATCAAATATATCACCTTCATCTCCCATTTTTTTATTTATTATATTACTATTATCTAAATTTAAATTATATGAATTTTTTTCTAATGATAATAAATCTTTCCATACTGTATTTCTTTCAAATACTATATGATCTCTTAAATGGGATCTTAATTCTTGTTTTACATTTTCTAAATCTTTCGTCTTGGTGGTTGTTGAATTTAATTGATTTGTGAATAATGCATATATTTTTATAATCTCTTCAATTTTATTATTTATATCAATTATTGTTGATTCTTTAAATACTCTTGAATGTAATGGTAGGAAATTATTAACAAAATCTTCTTTTATTGTAAATCCACAAATTTTATCAAATTTTTTACAAATTTTGGTAAATCCCTGTCTATTTAATTCAATATATGATTTTAATTCACATAAATTTATAAATATTGAAATTGATCTTTTTTTTATAGCTACTTTAAATTGATGTTTTGCATTGAAATGAGATGCATCCAACAAGACATCTGAATGATCACTATGAAAATCTTCATCATCTTCATCATCTGTATCTTCTTGTACTGCAATATTACCCGCATTTTTTTCAATATCATGAAATTCTATATTTAAATTATTATTGTCTATTGATGTATGATTGTTATGACTATTATTTTCAACTAATGTTGGATCAATTGTGTAAGTATGTACAAGATCTATATGATTGTTTTTCAAGTCTTGAATTAAATTTTGATATTGTGCAAAAATTTCTTGTTCTTTTAATTGATAAAATTCGTTAATTTTGATTAATTCAATAAGTAATAATCTAGTAAATACAAATAATGCATCAAATTTTAATGATTTAGGATTTCCAAAAGTTTCTTCAATTTCTTCATCACTTAAATTTATTAAATAACTTATAATATCTTGATCTGAATTTTGTGATGAAAAAACAGTAGTAATTGAAGTTTCACCAGATTTTAAGTCTGTTTTTTCATTTTTTTCAAGATCTATATGATGTAATTCAACTTCACTACTATTATTACTATCATTATAATTAATATTATGATTTTTATTAAATCTTTGTAAAAAGTTAAAATTTTTAGTTATTCTATTTTTAACATTATAATTATTATTTTCATTATTATTTGTATTTGAACTTGAATTTTCAATAGTTTCAGATTTAATACCATTTTTAATTTTTAAATTTTCTATAAATTCAGAAATTGTTGTTTTATCATTTCCAGAAAATCCTTGATTTTGATTTCCATTATTTATAAGTTGATCTTCTTGTAATTTATATATTGATTTTTTTAAACTTGGATATTTTAAATAATTATCATTCCAACCAGGTACTGAATTAAATTTTAAAGAATGTGAAAATTTCATTATTCTTTCTAACTATAGTTGAAATGAGATGAACAAACAAATAAATGAATGAATGAATAAAAAATATGTAAAATTTAGGAAAGTGTTGATTTTTGACAGTATAAAAGAAAAATTGTTGCAAATTTATGTATTATGTTTGATAGAAGTCCAAATTTGGTTAATCATCGTGTGAGCTTAAAAATTTGAAAAAAAACAATAGAAATTTAAAAATTTAATATCCGGAGAAAAAAAACCGTTTTTGAAACTTATAATTGGATGTCTTCTTAACTCCTCAAAAATAGGTCGAATTGTCTGGCTTTTTGATTCTGTTGAAAGATTACTATTCACAAACTTCATGAGTTTGGGCTTTAAATGGAAGCATTACCATATTTCAATTGTTAGGTATCGAAACTTTAAAAATTTCTTTTTCTCACACCTTTTTCAAGTTATAGATGACAACTTTTTCACTCACTCATTACATCACATCCAGTTCTATTCTTTCCAACTAAGCAAACTCAATTCAAGTTACAGATTAAAAAATATGTCAAAACAGAATTATGTCTAAATCCTCGTATATATTTTATTATTATTCTTGAGTGGTTATTGAGATCTCTTGGCAAAATTTATAATTTTAATTTTTTCATTGTCGTAAAACATGTTTTATAAAATATGACACTTCAAGATTAAGACACTGTTTTGCTTTAACACATACCATTACTCTCTGACAGACTAGTCCTCATATTAATCACTTTTGGAACGACATGTTGATTTAACTATTTCTTCTATACTTGTTTTAAAATTCCAGCACATTATTTCGTCTTTTTTTGGGTCTGTGTCGATTGTGACCATACGGATTTTAATGATTTTAACAGCATCAATTATCAACTCGTTTTATGAATGGTCCAACTACCGACCGATTAGTTCTTATTGCAATCCTCGAGAAATCTAGTTTTTCAATCTTCAATTATTATCATAGCTTCTTTCATGAAACAAGTTTGATATAGGTATACACTCTTTTTACTAACTATGGCTCTTTTTTTTTGATCCAATCAAGTAATACTGGACTCTTAATCATATCGTAATTATACCATTCAGTTGATAATGAATTGTGGATGTAAGGTGTCTATCACTTCGTCTAACATCAATCGTCTAACGTCTCGTGTGTTTGTTGTGAGATACGCGTTAGTGGTGTTTGTTGTTGTTGTGTATGTTAATTCTTATCTCTAAATAATTGTTCTATGTAGAATTACTTAAAAAATATTTTTTTTTCTACTAACCACACATTAACTCAGACAATCAAATTATTTGGTACGGTGTTTAAAATTAAAAGCGAAGTAAAAGATTAGCCTTAGTTCGGGGCTATTACCAATTGATTATAAATATAGGATAAGATGTCAAATAGTGATAAGAACCATGAAGATATTAACATTCAAAAGATAAAGAATCATTTAAATGGTAAAACAAAAAATCATCACAATCATCATCATCATCAAATATCCACACCAAAAGCATCAACACCAATAAGATTAAATAGTCCACATATGTCAATAACAGACTTATCTATATCAGAAACTCGACCTAATTCATCATCTCCTTCATTTCATCAACAAATTTATCAACATTCTCATTCTCATGATAATCATTCACATAATCATAATAATCTAAATTCAAAATTTACACAATTTGCATCTCAACAGCCACAATTTGAAAACTATAACATAGAACCAGTAACAACAATAGCAAGAGATAATACTAATACTACTGAAGAATCAACTACAACAACTACAACTACAAACCTACTACTGGAAAACCCTTCAATTTCACCACCTCCATTACCTTCAACTCCAAATTCTGTTGATATAGAAATAGATGGTGATGTTATGCCATCAAATTCAATAATAAATAATAATAAGAATAATAATAATAATTTACCTAAATTTATACATAAATGGACTCATACTCATTCTATATTATGTTGTATAGCATCACCTATAAATCATTTATTATATTGTGGAACTCAAGATGGTAAAGTATTAGTTTATGATATAGATACATATAGTTTAAAATTTGAAATTGAAAGAGGTAATAATACACCTCATCAAATAAATTCAATATTATCAATATGTTTAAATAAAAATGAAGATATATTATTTGTTGCTGGTTCTGATTCTTTAATAAAAATTTATGATATAAAAAATAATTTTAATTGTACTCATATATTATATTCATTAGTTGATATAGGAGATATTTATTCAATAAATTGGTGTGATAATTTACAAACTATATATATAGGTGCACAAAATGCAAGTATATTATGGTGTAAAATAAATGATTCATCAAATTTAATAATAAAACCATTTACAAATTTAGAAAATTTACCAAGTTTTAGATATGATAAATTTTTTGACTCAAAAGGACCCGGAGGTTCACAAAATACTATACAAACAAGACATGAATTATATAGAAAAAATTCACTGGGTACAAAAATTGAAAAAATTAAAGTTATTGAATTTAATCAAGATGATATTATAAGATTTGCTCATAATGGTTATATATATTGTCTTGAGATTATTGATTCAATAGTTGGGAATTTTGGAGAATGTAAATATTTAATAAGTGGAGGAGGAGATGGTGTTATAAATATTTGGTCAATGAATGATTTAAATAGTTCAATTAAAAAATTAGCTTCTTTAGAAAATGATGAATCAGTATTATCAATGACTATACAAGATTCTTTATTATATGTTGGATTAGGAGATTCTTGTATAAATGTTTGGGATTTAATGACTTTACAATTAATTAGAAGTTTTATATTTGATAATGAAGATGAAATGAATGAAGTTTTAAGTTTAGGTGTTTATAATGATTCATTATATAAAGCATGTTCAAGTTCTGGATTAGTTAAATTAACAATGAAACATAAAAATGTTGCAAATAGTATTGGATTAACTTCTTTAAAAGAAGATGGTATAATAAATACTGTAACAACTTTTAAAATATTACAAAATACTTATTTATTAGCTGGTGGAAATAAATCTTTAGCTATGTGGGATATTACAGATGATAATGAATCAGAAGATTTATGTGCTCCTAATTCAAGTAATAGTGACACCACCACGAAAAACACACCATGTACAAGATTAACAGATAATGATTTATTAACAATGTTAAAAAAATTTATTTCATATAAAACAATAAGTAAAAATCCTCAATTATATCTTGAAGATTGTAGACATTGTGCTCAATTTTTAATAAAATTATTTAATAATTTTAATGCTTATCAAACTAAAATTTTACCTGTAAAAAATGGTAATCCAATAGTATTTGCAGAATTTAAACAAAATAATGGGAAAATCACAACAACCAAAGAAAGAGTATTATTTTATGGTCATTATGATGTTGTTGATGCAACAAATCATGAAGCAAAAGATTGGAGTACGAATCCTTTTCAATTAACTGCAAAAGAAGGAAATTTATATGCAAGAGGTGTAAGTGATAATAAAGGTCCAATATTAGCAGTAATTTATGCAGTTGCGGAATTATTTTCCAAAAATGAATTAAGTTGTGATGTTATATTTATTATAGAAGGAGAAGAAGAATGTGGAAGTATTGGATTTCAACAAGTTATAAATGATTATAAATCATTCATTGGTGAAATAGATTGGATAATTTTAAGTAATTCATATTGGTTAGATGATATAACACCGTGTTTAAATTATGGATTAAGAGGAGTTATAAATGCTCATGTTAAAATAAAATCAGATAAACCAGATAGACATTCAGGAGTTGATGGTGGAGTTAGTAGAGAACCAGTAATGGATTTAATGCATATTTTAAGTAATTTAATGGATCCAAAAACTCAAGAAATTAAAATAAAAGGATTTTATAATAAAGTTTTACCACTATCAGAAGAAGAATCCGAGATATATTCAAAAATTCAATCACAATTAAATATAAAAGATATTGAAATTTTAAAATTAAAATGGAGACAACCTTCATTAACTATTCATAAAATTCAAGTTTCTGGACCAAATAATAATACAGTTATACCACAAGTTGTAAATGCAACAATTTCAATTAGAATAGTTCCCAATCAAGATTTAAACGAGATAAAAAATTTATTAATTCAACATTTAAATTTAAAATTTTCAGAATTAAATTCAGATAATAAATTAAGTATAAATATCTTTCATGAAGCTGAACCATGGTTAGGTAATCCAAATAATAAAGTTTATAAAATCCTATATAATAAGATGAAATTAAATTGGTTAAAAGATCCAATATTTATAAGAGAAGGTGGATCAATTCCATCTATTAGATTTTTGGAAAAGACTTTTAATGCTCCTGCTATTCAAATCCCATGTGGTCAATCTAGTGATAATGCTCATTTAAAAGATGAAAAATTAAGAATTATTAATTTATTTAAATTAAGAAAAATCTTGTATGATACATTAAAAGAATTAGCTATATAGATTTTATATATTGAAAATAATGTATAATTTGACCTTTTTCTACTAACACTATTTTTCTCTCATGGCATCATTCATTTGCTCATTTTCTTTTGTTTTCTTCTTCATTAATTAAAATCAGTTATGTTAATTAATCAATTGATTGTTTGGATTGACTAATTGATTGGAAATATGTATAAATTTAACAATTAGGCCTATTTGCCCTTTTCTATTATCTTTTCTCTCCTTCGTATGGTTATGGTAAATTATTCATATGCTAATTTTCTTTTACGTTCTTCTTCATCAATTAAAACCAGCCACATAGATTAACTCATTGATTGTTTTGATTGATTGATTGGTTAAAAAAGCATATAATTGCAACGTTTATTTGACCTTTTTCTCTTGAATTATTTCTTCTATGTTCATATTAATTATTCATTTGCTAATATTCTTTTTAGTAATTCTTCATTAATTAAATCAGCTAATACATAGATTGATCAATTGATTGTTTTCATTGACTGATTGATTGAAAATATGCTTAATTATAACAATTATACATCGTTCTCTCTAACCCAGCTCTCCCATTTGTATTCATTATTCATTTGCTAATTTTCTTTTACATTCTTCTTCATCAATTAAAACCAACCACATAGATTAACTCATTGATTGTTTTGATTGATTGATTGGTTAAAAAAGCATATAATTGCAACGTTTATTTGACTATTTCTCTTGAATTATTTCTTCTATGTTCATATTAATTATTCATTTGCTAGTTTTATTTTACGTAGTTCTTCATCAATTAAAATCCGTTACTTAGATTAACCAATTTGATTGTTTTTATTGACTGATTGATTGAAAATATGCTTAATTTTAACAACTACATACTCTTCTTTCTAACCCGGCTCTCCCATTTGTGTTAATTATTCATTTGCTAATTTTCTTTTACGTTCTTCTTCATCAATTAATGATAATCTCATAGCTTCTTCAATCATTCTTTGTTCAACTTGAGAATAACCAGTTAATTGTCGATTATTACTACTACTTAAAATATTGTTACTAGTAGAATTGTTATTTTCAATTATTAAATTACTTGCATGAATAGCACTTGCAGTAGCAGCTTTTCTTGCTAATTTATTTCTTGCATTATTTAAATTAATTTCCCAATCTGGTCTTATTTTATCAATTGTTATTACTCCTGGAGAATTTGCTGCTATTGAACTTCTTCTTTTTGGTTTTTTTTGACTAGTGGTGGTTGATTTACCAAATACTTTATTAATTATTAAATTATTATTCATTGTTGGTGGTGGTGATGAAGTAGTTGATGAATTAATACGTTTTGAAGGAGATGATGTAATATCTTCATCATCATCAATTATTGCATTTTCTTCTGTGATTTCATCTTCTTCTTCTGATATAGTTTTGGATAATTTATAATCACTAGGTAGTATACCACCAATACCAGTATGAATATCAATAGGAGGATCATAAGTTATACCAAAATCAGGCATAGCACAATAAGGACAACTAGCAGGTTCTGAAATTAATGAATGAGGTTGTTCACCTCTTTGTTGAATTGAAGGATCATCATGAGGAGGATGAGGATCTAATCTTTTAATTTGAACAAAACATTCAGTACATATTGGTTGTATACAACATCTTGAAATATTTAAATGTTGAGGATAATATAAAAAACATATTGGACATTCAATTGGATTTCTATATAGTTTTAATTGTAAATCTCGAGATTGTAAATATTTGATGCTTTGTTGAAGATTACTACTGAGTTGTTGATTATTAACACTTTGTTGTGATTGTTGTTGTTGGTCTCTTGCCTTCTTTGCTTCATGAAATTTAGTCTCCTCTTGCTTTTGCAAATCCTTAACATTTTGAATTAACAGTTTTAATTTTGCTTTTTCTTCTTGTCTTTTATAATAATTTGAAGATTTATGAATTTTATGATTATCTAAATCATCTTCTTCATAATCATTATTTAATTCCAAAGGTTCTTCTAAAGCATGTAAAGTTAATTGATTTAATATTATATATAATTCATTATTTGACCAATTTTCATTAAAATCTTGTAATGGTGTGAAAAAAGGTGAAATTTCTCTATTTATTATTAATGAACGAACTATATCACAATCATAATCTAAATTTGATTTATAAGTACCAAAAGGAGCTAAATATCCACCATCAACAGTTTCTGTAAATTTAACAATTAATTGATTATAATGATTTGTTAATTTTAAATCTTTTTCTTCTTGTCTTTTTAATTTTCTTAAATCTGATGAATTTGATCTTTGATGACTATTATTACCATGATTATTTTGAAATGAAGTTGATGATGAAGTAGTTGTTGTATTTCTTCTTGATTTTGAAGTTCGATTATTTATTGAATTTGTTGTTATAGTTGATGATGAATTTAAAGGTGAACCATTTCCATTTAAGGATACTGCGGAATTTGATCTACTTCTTGATTCTTTTGTAGGTACATTCCCCATCTTTTTTTTAAATATCTGTTATGTGTTGGTGAGAGCTTCAGTGGTTCTCTTTCCTTAAGTTAGTTGTTCTTTTAATTATATGTGGTTGTGTAAATATCATATGATTTAGCAATGGTAGTAAATCATAGAAATAATTAGGGGTAAAATAATATAATATGATAAGTACAAGGATTATGTATAGTACTATTTTTTTCTCCTTTTCGTAAAATGCTAATGGGTTTGGAGTTGTGAATTTGATTAATGAATCCTAAGAATTGAATGTAGGAAGTAGTGGTGGTAGTCAAATGATTCTTAAAGGATAATAATGAATACTTATGATTTAAATACTTAATTTAGTAAAACTAATTATTAAAACAAAGTAAAAGTTTAAATTATTTATGATTAATGATTCAAGCCTAGCCTCAATAACTTATTATGTAATACAATGCTACACTTAGTCTACTTAGTACAAAGTAAAGACTATGAAAATTCACACGACATTAAAAGTCAGATAAATCAAATTTACGTCATTAAAAATACTTTACACAAAATTAACTTGAGAACGGACTTATCAATAATAAATATCCGTGTAAATGAATCTATTATATTCTAATTACTATACTATTATTACATCATTATATATTTATTCTAGACTATTTTATTCTCTAGTTAAAGCAATACTTAATCCAACACATAGCTAAAATAATAGAAAAACAAATAATACCAATCATTTTTTATTATAGTAACAACCAGGATCGATTTACTATTCACTGTAAAAAGATTGTCGTTTTTTAAAAAAATTGTTGTCGTTTTTTATAAATTAGTAAAAGTCGCTTGTACTACACACACGATCTTTTTTTTAACATTGTTTCATAATAGAGGGAAAAGAAAGAAAAAGTTTTGGCTGCAAAAAGGTATCGATAAATTTTATTTGAAATTTAAAAACAAGTATGAGACCATTTTATGATTATAGTGTCTCAGCAAGTACAAGTGAGAACGAGTTTATTTACATTCAAGTCCCTCTATATGCTTTCTTCAAATTTCTGATCTGTTTTTATTAAAATTAGCATTGTGTATACTTTTTGCCTTAGATTTCCTATTAATTTTTTTTGAAAAGCCACCAGTTAATGGTAAATTTCACCATGTTATCATCTTCACAAAAGAATATATAGTAGTTTGATATTTGATATTTCTAAAATCCAAAAAGCAGGGTAAATACGTAAATCGTGGGACTTCCAGATCTCGTCATTGATAAGATTTATGAATTTGCCTCTGAGATCTTTAAAGTTTTAAATAACAAAGTCTGAATCAAAATTTTTGGTATAACCAATTGCCAAGTAGCATTCACATTACCTTCCTTATTTCTGAAAAAATTATACTACATGAGTTGTGACGCTGCATTTGCTTTAGGGATTACCTGTGTGGCTTTGTGTTTAATAGCAGCTGCTGCTTTGTTTATTCTTAAATCAGAGAAAATTACAACAAATAAACGAATGAGAAACCTTGAAAATTCAAACCTACAAGTTTTAATATTTTTAAATCAAAACCAAAGTCCTCGAGATTCGAATTATAGACCTGATGATGCTGCTACTACTACTACAGATACTTCAAACACAAACTCACATGATTGCAATTCAGATAATACAGTTGTTGATGGAGTTACAAAAGTGGCTGAAATCTCCAATACAAAGAAATCATGGTTTAAAAAAAGGATTAGTAAACGAACACTAACTTTTACCTTATCAAACAACACCTACAAGAATCATGAACTAATCAAGGACATAAAAAACAGATTTCCGGAACTTGCCGAGCAATACAGAGAGATTCAGATTGCTTGCATTATCGCTATATTCATTTTTGTAATCGGCATTAATTTAGGTGTAATTTCTGGTTGCTTATGTTATACAGGGAAATGTTTAAATTAGGTAGTAATAAAATATCCATGTTCTCTTCTACATTGCAACACATCTTCTTTCTTTAATCATTCATGTTCTTTAAATAATGCTACTGGTTATAGTTGATTATAGTAGCTTATAGTTGACTCTTTCCAGTCATATTCTTGACTTCCTCCAAAATTAGCATACCGACTTTGATTGGCTAAACATTTAATTATAACCTTTTCGAAATATACAATATTTGATTAAATGTTTCAAAATTGTGAAACTACTTTTCGTATTGAATTGATGAATGCATTCTATAACTTTATATGATATTGATTCATCATCAAGCAAACTAAGTGTGGTAAATCAATTTTCAATGGATCAGTTTCTAATTTATATGAAAAAGATTAGTTAGAGTCTAATAATGATAATTATAACATATATCATACATTTTATGCTTCAGGGCATACGTATTTAAAGGTTTGGAATAAACCAAAAATTAATCCAAATACCATACCACAAGCAATTAAAATTGGTAAAATCCAATAAATAGTAAGATAATATAAAATTTCCTTTATAATAAAATATAATCCACGAAATGTGAAAAAAATAAAAATTCCAATTGTTATCAAAATTTCAAAAATTGTATATAAAATTATAATAAAATCATAAAATATAATTGTTGAACATTCTTTAATTAATATCCATGATTTATTTAAAAAATAATTTAATCTGATACTTAATTTATTTGAATTTTTTTGCAGTTTATTTTCATTTTTCTGTTCTTTAGATGGGAAAATTGATAATTTTTGTATTTTTCTTAAAGCAAAAGGTTGTTGTTTGAATGGAAATTTTGATTTTATTGGTTCTGGATAAGGTATAACATTTTTAATTTTATCTTGTATATCATTTGTATCTAATTTTATACTCATGGTTGAGTTTGATTGGAATTGTGATTGTTCCGTCATTTTTGAAAAAGTTATAATAATTTGTATCTTTTTATGAAACAAGATAACTTATTCAACAAAATCATTTAATTTTCATGTTCTTTTTCCAAGTTAAATAAAGATTTCATTGCTTTAACGACTTGTTATTATTTCCTGATTTATTTGGCTCCAAATATTACTCTACTTTATTGTACATATTATCCAATTTAAATTGCAAAAAAATAAAAAAAAATCAAATTCAATCAATATCTAGTAGACAATTTGATTTATAAATAGCTCTCAAATGTTTTATTTTCTTTCATTCAATCAAATTGATTATGTAATCCTGATTGTTTCAGAATGACCATTGAAATCCCAAAACGAAGATAATATTAAAACAAACTTCTAGTATGAAGAACATATTACACTTTTAAGTAAAAAACCTGTTAAATTTCTGAGGATCTCTATAGCTTAGTGAATTTAATGAAAGGTAACTAAATGTATGATTGGTTGTTGAATGACTTAAATCAATTTATTTAATTTAATCTTAACTGAATTCATTATTAAAATTAAAATCCTAGTTGTTATTGTATATTTCACACGACATCAAAAAAGTCGATTATATTTCATTTACGTCATTCTAATTACTTACACAAATTATTAAACTAAATAGGCTAAAGAAAGAAAGTCTTTATAAACGGAATTAATCATCAAAAAAAAATCCGTACACAATCTATTAGATTCTATTTATTACATTAATCCATGCTATATCTATGTATTCCATGCTATATTTATACTAAGTTTATTCTCTAGTTAAACCAATTCCTAATCCAACCCCAATCATAGCTAAAATAACAGAGACCCATAAAATTCCAAAAATAAAACTTGTAATTTTTTGCCATTTAGTAAACCTCTTGATGATTACTCGATCTTTAGATTTATTATAAAATCTTAACCCACCACCATAATACAGATTATTTTTACTTAAGTTATCATCAAATAATCCAATTGGTATTAAAAAATATATTGGTGGAATAATTAATCCTAATATCATTAATATACCAAATTTTAAATTTGAATAATTTTGAAACTTATATGTATTTTCCTCCAATTCCGATTGTTGTTTTGGTAAGTATGGTAAATTTTGTAATTGTTTTTCTAAATCTTTTAAATTTTTAGGAGTTTCATGATATATATTTCTTTTTGGTTGAGATAATACTAATGAATTTCTTTCTAGTATATTTTGATTATGATTTTGTGGTTGATGTGATTGATATGATGGTTCAGGATGTCTTAAATTTGATGATTTTGGTTCACTTAGTTGATCTATTGACTGATATGATGCACTTGATGATGATGATGATGAAATATGTGAAGATGCAGAAGCTGATGCAGAAGATGCAGATGATGGTGGTTCATGATGAATTAATGAATCTAATTTTGGTGAAATATGATTATTATTACCACTACTAATATTTTTTGATATATTTGTGGTATTACTATTTCTATTTTCATAAACTGACCACCTATTTTTAGACTCATCAAAATCTTTATCATGAACTTTATATAACATTATAGGTAATTCATTTGTTTGATCTATTCCTGCAGTCATGTTATTTTCTGGATGTAATTGTGGTGGTGATGATATTGGAGCTTTTAATATAAATTGTTGAGTTATTGGTGTTGAAACTTGAGATTGACTGTCGCGAGATTGTTGATTTTGAGATTGTTGACTTTGTGATTGATCTAATGATTGTTGTTGAGATAGTCTTTGCTGCTGTTGTTGTTGAGATTGAGGTTGTGATGATCTATTTGAATGACCACCACTACTTTTTGTAATTTCATAAGAATTTTCTAAATTTCTTAATAATTCTCCTGATGACATTGATGATCTTGCCCCCATACTTGTATGTTTTGATTTTAATATAGTTTCATCAAATGTAAAAGTATGTACAGTATTTGATGTAACATTATTAGGATTATTACTTTTATTAATCATTGTTTCATCTATTATTTGAGATTTTGATGATAATCTATTATTTTTAGTTTCTGATGCTAATGATGAATTTCTTTTTAATCCAGTAATCATAATTGGAGTATCATTTGATATACTACTTGAATTTGCAGGATCTGATGATGAACTATTTATTATTTTATCACTTTCTCCTCCACTATTAGTACCAAAATTATATTTTCCTCTTGGTGTTGCTAATGGAGTTATAGTTGGATCAGGTAATCTTTGACCACTTGAATTATTATTATTATTGTTGAAAGAATCACTATCATCACTAAATGCCATTGATGCTCTTAATGATGATGATCTATTTATATCAATATTTGTTGAAGTACTCATATGTCGACTTATTGTTTTTATTGGTTCTACTTTATCATTTGATACTTTAAATCGTAGTGATGTTATACTGTTTCCACTATTTCTATTACCTACTTGAGTTAAAGATGTTGGAGATGGTTGGTTTAGTATCGAAGTACTACGCTGTGGTGGTGTTATATTTAAAGCAGATTGTTGTTGTTCATCTTCCTCATTATTAAACGCTGGTTGAGGTTCTGTTAAATTTTTTAATATTTCTTTTTCATTTGAACTTAAAATTTTACTATTTGGTCTTGATTCAACTTCAATAAATCTACTTTCTGATTCTCTGTTAATATATTCTTGTAAAACAGAATTAAAAGATTCATCAATTATAACTGGTGATTCTTCTTGATTTTCTTCTTTTTCTATTTCTTTTTCTCCTTGATTTTGACTTTTATTACTAAAACTTTCATCTGATGAATCAGTATCTGCAAAATCATCTATTGTTATAGTTCTATTATTTTGTAATACAGGATATTTTGATATAGTTGAACCTCCAGAATCAGAAACAATTGAAGATTTTGATCTTATAAATTTTGGTTTTAAATTAAAATTTAAAATTCTTGGAGATTTACTTGGACTTAATTCATTATTTGATAAATTATTTGGTATCGATAATTTCTTCTTTTGTGGAGTTGTTGTTGAAGCTATAGAATCATTTAATTCTGGTTCTTCACTTATACTATCAATCAGATATGATGATAATCTATTTTTACTGAAAAAAAATGTTTTTAAGGATTTTGTTGGTGATATAAATTCAGGTTCAGTTGATGGTGAAGTTGATATAGTTTTAGAATTGGGTGAATATACTTGATCTGATAATGTTTGATGTGATGATGATGTAGATGTAGGAGGTTGTTGTTGATGTTGTTGTTGTTGTATTGGATCAATTGTATTAGTTGTTGATTCAATATTTTCAATTGATTCTTCTTGTTTCTGTTTCAGCTTCTGCTGTTTTGACTTCTTCATGGTGAGCTATTTAAAGGGTATCAATGCTATGTGTTAAACGAATGAATATAGTTGGTATAATGGTTGCTAAAAGAGAGATTAAGAAAGAGAATATGATTTATTAAACAGAGAAAAAAATATTTACCCTGTAAAATTTTATTTCATTCATTCTATACATTCATACTTCACTTCATAAATCACAAAATACAACAATAACTAAAACACATCTCACAAAATCAAAAATACAACAAATTAGACTAAGTAAAATTACAATTAAGGTCTCATAGATAAAACTGATGGATTACTCCAACTGTTCGGTTTCACTGCCTACCGTTGGTTCTTTTGAGTCGATAGATTATTTATTCCAGTAGTAAAAGTCATTTACGAAAAAATTTAGACGAAAAAAAGAATATTATTAAAACATTTAGATCAAGTAATTGGTTTATTGTTAGGCTAATGCCGTTCGTAAAAGAAGAGTAGTATTTATTCACGAATATTGTAAATTTCCTTATTTCCACCAACAATAATAAATTGGTCCCAATATTAACAAACCCTTTCAAGATTGGATAAATTACTAAATTGAGTATTATGCTCAATTAATTAGAATTTTATACACAAGTATCTTTTTGAGTAATGGTATACGTTTGTGGTATATTATCTGTCTTAATTTGTTTATTTATTTACTAAATTTGGAATTCACTAATAATAAAAAATATACGAGAAATCATAGATTTCTGATTTTGTGTATGAATTAGAAATTATGTATGCAATTAAACAAGGCTACCAATTATTAGTTATCTCAAATCTACTTTCACGTGAGGTTCAAAAAAAAATTACACATTCTGCTAGATCATCACGATGGTTAGATGTACTTTCTGAATATGAAATATCAATTGATTACATTCGTGGCTCAACTAATGTTGCTGATGGTTTGTCAAGGAAATTTACAGAACTGTTGATGTCAAATACAGATTATGATAAAGAAGTTTAGAAGGTTTAACTGAGCTGTTACTATTGCAATTGAAATACAACAGTGTCCTTTAGGTGAAGATATTTTACAAGAAGTTAAAGAAGATTATGATTTAGCTGATGACGTTTGTTTTCTGTTGAACAATGATTTGGATGAAAATCTCTAAATCATGGTTCAACAGAAAACAAACTTCATCTAATTTAACTTTGATGCTGTGTTAATTATCATGACTTTAACTGCTCCATAGTAGGTTACTAGTAATACTAAAACTATATATATATGAAATAGAGTCAAGGTATCAACAAGATTGATATATAATCTAGATGTTACCCATTGGTAGGGTCCACAATTAGAAAAATAAAAAGAGGACAGAGCCAGCTACAGGGCAGAAAATAATTTTAGCTGTTCATACTGTGCTGTCAACAGTCAGATTTGCCCAACTAAATCCAAAAAGACTGAACCAACCACCACGTGGTGTGATAAAACCATTCGGACCTACTGGGGAATCAAAACCAACAAATACTAATTTAACTAGTGAAGAAAGTGGTACAAAGGATAAGGGAAAGAAGGTGAAGTTCTATAGTAGAGATTCAAAGGTAAAGGTTGGAAAACTTCCTACTGGACCCAAAATTAAAGTGGCTATCCACGATGAGGGTATTTACTTAACACAACTTTCCACTGATCTTTGGCAAACACAAATTTCTGAAGGTGGTGTATTTTGGTTGATAGTCGTTAAGTGATTGACGTTTTGCTGCCAATTTGGTAGAATATGGCTCTGCCTCCATTACATTTGTGCTTATATATACGTGAATCGGAGACTGAGCTTGTTTCTACCAGATAAACAGCGAATAATGTTAATCAATCAACGACTATCGATCAAAATGCACCAAATTATACATACTGTTGTAATAAAATTGGTGATAGGTTTACACTCAAATATAGAGATTTTGGATACTTACATTGAAAATTTTTTAACATAAAATTATAATATTAAAATTATATACTACTAGTAGCATTAGTAGTATGAGTATACATAGAATTGAAATAATAATTAAAATTTTGACGAATTTTCTCCTTGAAATAATAATAAATAGTCCGTGCTAAACTAATTTGATCATTATTGAAGTAAGTATGGTATTAATATATTTTAAGAACTTTAACTTTTTTTGATGCATTTGATGAAAAAAGAAATCATTAATAATTTGATCTTCTTCTTCTAACTCTTCTTCTTTTTTTACAAGGACCAGGGTTAGAACCAGAACCTGAACCTGCACCAGCAGCAACAGTTTGTGAAGTAATAGAACCAGCAGCAGTAGTTGGAATAGTAGTACCACCAGTAGTTGGAGTAGTACCACCTGAACATTGACCAGCAAATGCAGCAAAAGCAGTTTCAGCAACAGTTGATAAAGTATTAAAATTTAATAATTCTCTAAATAATTGAGAAATTAATCCTGATTGAGTTAAAGCAGTAATAATTGATCTTATATCAATTAAATTATTTGCTAACATTGCTTTAATTAAATCAACTGCAAATGATAAATAATTTGAATTTGTTAAAACATCTTTTACAACTGATGTTGCTAAACCAGATTTATATAAAGAATCTAAAAGATTATCAACAACTGTATCAAAATTAATATCTAATCTTTTTTCATTTATAATATAAGATTGTAAAGAATCATCAAATTCATCTCTTGTAATTAATGATGATACACCTTGATCAATTAAATCTTTAACATTATTTGCTAAATCTGAAATAACTTCTTTTGCAATATTAAATAATTCAACATATAAATCACAATCACTAATTAAATCATTAATTAAATTAACTGCTAAATTTGATGAAACTAAAGCATCTAAAACAGCTTGTAAAGAAATTATACCACTTTGCATAACTGAAATTAAAACATTTATTATAATTGGTTTAAAAGTTGGAGAAGAAACAAAATAATCTAAAATTTTTGGAGCTAATTGAGTTTGATTTATTGCAGTTAAAACATCAGTTACAATTTCATAATCTCTTTTTATAATTTCTAAATCAATTGCATCTCTTTTTGTCTTGTAGTTGTTTATATGATCAACTAATGCTTGTAAATCTGGTTCTCCATCTCTTTTTTGAAATTTTGGTAAGGTGTTGATAATTGCAGATACTCCTTCTTGTCTTGCAACTATATTTGATGATTCTTGATGTTGTTGTTCAATTAAAGTTGCTGATGCAGTGGCTATGATAGCTAAACCAGTTGAGGTTGAAATTTTCATTTTAAAATAACGAGTGGATTGAAGTTAATAATGTTTTAGGAAGTTTAGAAAAGTAGTAGTTGTTGTAAGTGAAGTTGGTGAAGAAGTATTCACTTTTATTTTGTTTTCTTTTTAAATTGGCTTAGTTTTTTTTTCTTCTTTTCATCTCGAAGTACCTTTGATATTCATTTATATTTGAAATATTATGATTAATATGATACCTGTGTTTTAGTATGATTTTTAATATTTTTACTTGTTTTAGAATAAAAAATAGTTGCAAAAAATTTGATTACCCTTTTGGGAAATGTTTTAAATATTTTTATTCTTTCGAGGAAAACAAAATTTATATGCAGACTTGTTTTAAAATGACAATACCACTAACAATAAATGTGAATTTGACGAGAAGATTCGGATGGTTATATACAATTACGACGTATCGAATCGGATATTACTTCTTAGAGAGTGAAGTATTAAACGTCTTACTGAAAGGTTTTTGCGGAGAACGAAAAGAAACAAATTTGAATACAATTTGTATTTATTCGTTAATACTATAAAAGCCTCGAATTTGAAGTCTTATGATACAAAGCCAATCCGATATATGTTATACCATATAGCTCATGTTTTGTTTCAATTTAAAATGCTAATGCTATTTTTATACGAAGATCTTGAAGTGATTTTAATAATAAAATTTTCCTTTGTATTAATTTTCTTTTTGTTTTGTTTTTTTATTCTTGACTTCAAACGTACCAAACGTACCTGATTAAAAATCTCTTGATACTTTACTTGATCAGGTATAAGTACAACCTAAATAATATACCCCAAAATTGAAAAAAAACTACCTATTAATAGATACGTTTGAAGCATATTAAATCTCACTCAAACTCAATGATTTTATTTCTTACCAAAAAAACTCATTAATGAACTTTGAGTTTTCTTCTTGTTAGCAGCACTATCATTTGATTTTTTAGGTTGTTTTGGTGGTACCATTTTATTTATTGCTTTTGGTTTAAATTTTTGTTTTTGAGGTTTTGTTACTGATCTTGGTTTTCTTTTTGTAATTGTATAACCTTCTTCATCTACTTCTTCAATTAATTCTGGCTCTTCTTCTTGTTTTTCTTCTTCTTCTTCCTCTGGTTCTTCCGTGACGAACAATTCTGGTTCTTCATCTTTTTGATCATGGTTTTGTTCAGTTTCCTCTTTTTGTTCCTGTTCATCTACAGTTTCTGATTCATTTATAACTTCTTCTTTTTGATTATTATTTTCTTCTTCATCACTAAATTCAAAATCATCATCTTCATTAAAAATATCTTCAAGATTAGTAGTTGAAGGTGTGGTTTGTTTCTTTTTTAATTCATTATCATTGGCGTTATCATCATCATCATTATCAGTTTCTCCATCCTTTGCATTATTATCATCAATATTATATACTATTACTCTTTCTTTTGGTTTTTTCAGTTCTGCTTTTCTTGATTTATATTGATATGTAGATGTAGGTTTTGAATCTAATTCAGTTGATGATCTTTTAAGTGAGTTTGTTTTAGTTTGTTTTTGCTGTTGTTTTTGTTGCTGTTGTTGTTTAGCTTGATCTTTTCTAGATACGTAAGATGAAGATAATCCAGCACTTTTAATTGATTTTTTATCTTCTTTCTTTTCTTCTCTCTTAAGTGTTGGTGGTTGTTTTTTAGGTGATGGGATATTTGATTGTTGTTGTCTTTGTTCTTCAATTTCTAATTCTGAAATTTCAGGACCAATAATTATACCTAATTTTTCATATTCTTTAATTTCATTAAATGAACTTTTGGTAGTTAATTCATTTATTGCAATTTCATTTTTTGTTAAAACTAAATCATTTTTGATAATACAAAAAATATGAATTGTAAAAATTTCTTTGAATTTTTTCAAATCTTTTTCAAGCTCATCTTCATTATTTGAATATTTTATCAATCTCTTATCATTTTCTGTTATACCAGTAGTTATAAAAGTTGCAATTAATTTTTCTTTATTTTTTTCATAATATTCATATAATAAATTTTTTGATTTTGATATTGGAATTTTACATTTTCTTGATAATTTATGATATGATAATGGTGAATTATTTAGTATTACTTCTTTTGATATATATTCTATAACTTGTGATGGAGCTTCCATTGTCATTGTTCCTTGATGAGGATTTGAATTGATTTAAATTCAATTTATTGATGATTTGAATTTATGATTCTGATTTTATAAAATTATTACGCGTTTGTTAATTCTTACACAAGATCATCATTAAATTAAATACTTACTTACCTATAACAACCAAACATTTGTTGAATTTAAATATCCTTGGACCAGAACATCCAATGATCTAGATTTTGTCGATTTTCAAAGCACAAAAATTAACTCAGATATAAAGCACAAATAATCTTGGATATATTTCAAATATCTGAGTTGATTTTTAGTGCTTTGAAAATCAAAATTTTAAGCCCATGAAGTTACATCAAACTGAATTGATCACACGTTGAAGTCGCCGTGTAGCAGGTTGTGTTGTTCGTCTATGACCTATTGCTGTTGTGTTAAGGATTTTACAGTGTTTACACTCTCTGATTCTATCTTTTGCGACGTGTAAATCACGCTTGTCCACTTGTATTTGCATAGTGCCAGAAGTTTATTCATCGACATATGAAAATCACATTAGATTAGAAGTTCAAACTTGAGATAAAACAAAAATGTCTCAACAAACAAACAACTACCAAGATAAAGAAGTAATTGAAATCACTGATGAAAACATCAATTGAAGAACTCGAAATAACATTCATAAAGTGCTTTTCGTTGTTAATTGCAAGATTATTATAGTATTTAACTAAGGCAATTGCATTTGGATACCTGTGTTTGCCTTGGTTAAATACTATAATAATCTTGCAATTAACAACGAAAAGCACTTTATGAATGTTAAGCTTAGTAGTCAAGACCTTAAAACATACCATAGTGGATATCCCAAGTTTGAGCTAATAATATTTTATTCACCGATCTTAATTTTTTTATTTGACAAAAGTTCAACAGTTTTAAAAATTATCACGAATAATACAATACTGATTTGCCATTACCTCTATAATTTTGCTTTTCAATCAAAACAGGTTACAATCAAATTTAGATCAATCATTGACAGTATTATTTGTCATATATCAGAGCTAACGTGATTAGAGCTGACATGATTAGAGATGAATTACCACTTTGAAACGTTACTATTAAAAATAAATAAATAAATAAATATGTATTTACACCAATATAAAAATGTATCCTATAAACCTAAATAAAAGAAATGAACATCATAAAAGCAACTACTATTTAACTTTAAAGTTCATCTTTAGCAACCTCAGAGTTTTGAGGTTGTTTTTCTTTTTGCTTTTTTAAAAATGCTTCTTTTTGTTTTGCTCTTTGTTCCAAATTTCCATCTAATGGACCATCAATCATTTCTTGAGTAACACCATCACTAATTAAAGTTTTCCAACCCTTGAGATGTTCAAATCCATTTTGTTGATATTGATAATCCATTATAGCTTGTTGAATACCATTTTTAGAACTTGCAACAAATGGACCATATTGAACAATTTCTTGTTTAAAAGATTTTCCACCAACTAAAACAAATTCTAACTCATTTTCTGGAGTATCTTCTTTAGCGGTATTTTTACCAGTTATATATTCTCCATCTTCTTCAAAGAATACATTTTGATATTGTTTAACTTGAGTATCTCCATTTAAGACTAATGTATTACCTTTTAAAAGATATAAGAAATAATTAAAACCTTTTTGTAATTCTTGTTTAAATTCTCCTCCAGCTTTAACTTTATAATAATAATAATTTATAGGAGTAGTAGCTAAATCTTTTTGAGATTCAACTCCATGAGATTTTCCTGAAAGTATTTTAACAATAACTTTTCCATTATCTGATTTAACTTCTGGAATTTCCCATTCTTTTAAATCTCTATATGAAGGTTTTTTTAATTTTTCAGAATTTGGTAAATCAACCCATAATTGCATAATTTCTGTAACATTATCTTTTGAATTTTTATCACCAATTAATACTGGCATTTCACTATGAACCATTCCTTTACCAGCAGTCATGAATTGAACATCTCCAGCATATAATATACCTTTACTACCAGTAAAATCTTCATGAGCAATAGCACCTCTTAATACTAAAGTAATAGTTTCTTGACCTCTATGAGGATGTTGAGGAAAACCTGATGTACCAGCACTATTCATATGATCAAACATTAAAAATGGATCATGTCTATGCATTCCCATTGAACCAATTGATCTTCTAACAGTTGCTCCAGCACCTTCCGGTTGCAGTCTTGCAGTAATAATTTTAGCAATTGATCTAGTACTCATTTGTAAATTGTTATTTTCTTTAATAGTAGATTGTTTTGATATAGTTGAAATTGAATTTATTATTGGTAAGTTGAATAATAAAATAATAAATATAGTTGTTATTCCCAAAAATTGAATTGAAATTATTGAAAGGATATTTACCATGTATTTATACTCGAAGAATTTTAAGTTGATTTGTAATATAATTGGGTTTCAGATTCAGCCGTGACCTTTCTAAACTCTTCTATTAACTGAATGACTCTATTTTTCTTTTACAAACAATTAAATAAATACTTAGTAAAAATTGATGTCTTTTTATACAATTCAACTCTGAGTTCAAATTTAAAATGTAAAATCTTACTAAGAAAAAGAAGAATTATGATGATTGATGATATATAAAACTACTTTAAACCCCCATTACATAATTTTTCAACCTTTGTAATAAATTACTAAATAAATATTTTAATGTAAGGGAAGAAAGGTCACACAAAAACAAATTATAGATTTAATAATAATTTAGTAAAGGAGAATACATTTGGTAAGGAAAGTATCATAGTACATGGAGGATAACATAATGATCAAGTCATTTAGTTTCCAATGACTTTGCCTTCTTGTTTCACTGCATGATATAGAAAGTGTACAGTTTAAAGATTGGTATTTCGGAGTTCTCTGTATTATCATTGCTAATTGAATTTTGAAAGAAAATTATAGAAGAAAAAGAAGAAGAGCACAAAACTAGCCACAATATACGAGAGTTCATATATCCGAAACAAGATCTAAGTTTCAGAATAAGGTAAATTTAGACTTATAAAATAACGTCAAATCAGTCATTCTATCTATTCACTAAGCGTGTTTGTCTTTTTCTAGCAAATGTATATACTGTATCCCATATAACTTCAATTTCAGTATCATCATTCCAATTTAATTTATTTTTTAATTCATTTATAAATTCTTCTGCAATATCATATTTATCTCCATGATCTTTCATCCAAGCATGATAAGCACTCCAACTTTTAACATAATTTAAAAACCATTTCATATTAATTGTCTTTTTTATAAATAATGGTGTTTTAGTTTTGAAAGGATCTACTTCGTTTTTAGGTACTCCATCTCTATCTACTATATATTCATGTCTTATAACATCATAATATAAATCATTTGGAGGTGATTTTTCTTTAAGTAAACTTCTTAAATAATCATGACCTGGTTGTTGATAATAATTACCCATCCACTTTTCATATCCACTACCTAATTTTTCAATTGATGAATTATACGTGTAATTTTCATAAATTTTATTAGCTTCTGGATATCCTATAAATATTGGATCTTTATAAAACCAATAAGCTAAAGTACCATTCTGTTTCAAGACTCTAGCAGATTCTTTATAAAATCTTTCATGATTTACCCAATGACAACATTCTGCTCCAGTTATTAAATCTACAGAATTTGGTTTTATTTTTGAAGGTTGATTTTCAGCTGTTCCAATCAAAAATTCAATTGAATTTTTGTTTGTTACATTTTTATTACATTGATCAATCATTGTTCTTGATGGATCAGTACCAATAACATTTTTAAAATATTTAATTAATTCAAATGTAACAAATCCTGATCCACATCCTATATCAACAGCTAAATTAAATTCTCCTCCTTTTTCAGAATGATAATTAATTAATTCTTTATAAAATTGAGGAGTGTAGTTAGGTCTTGAATCATCATAATGTTGTGAGTTGAAATTTGTTTCTGAGTAAGCTGACATACTCTTTCTTGGAGTATATAGAATTATTTTGCAACTTTCAAATTTATGACAATTAATATTTGTTTTATAAGTCAAAATCTGAAACGCGATACCGGTGCGAAATAGGAGAATCTTATCTCATTTTTAAATTATTGAAAACCCCCCAATTTACTTAACAATTGTCTATTTCATCTAGTTTTTCGTAGTTTGACATTTTGTTGGTGAATTGTAATACTTCACGATGATGAAATTTGAAGTAATATGAGTTTTGAAGTATCTAACTTGATATAATAAATTTGCGCAAACAAAAAAAAATAAATCTTCTATCTTATCAAAAACTTTATCTTCTCATCAAATAAATGTCTGATTCAAATAATACCAACAACAATGATTCAAATAAAAATATAGACGCGTCATCTTTTGCTAGCATACTAGCTGGAGTAAAACGAATGAGAAATGAATATGGTGGTGATTTCTCAGAAAATGATATAACTATTGAAAAAAGAAAAAGGAATGAACCACCAAAACAACAAGCACCACCACCACCACAAGCACCACCACCACCACAAGCACCACCACCACCACAAGCACCTCAGCAACAACAAGGATCATCGGCACAAATTACTAGCAAATATGTTGACGTAACAATCCCCAGAACTACATTAGAAAAACCAACAGCAAAACCAGTACCTCCTCCACCTCAATCAGCTCAAGCAACTACTACTACCACCACCAAATCATCATCATCAGCAGCTCAAATACGAAATAAAAGATCATTAAATCCATCTAGATCTACAGGACCATCAGAAATTCTTGTACACAAATCTCAAGAGAAAAATCCCCTTTTAAGTGATTCAATGATGAAAACAGTACCATGGTCATTCGATTCTTCAATATTATCAGATTATTATATAAATTCAACTTTCCAAATTTTATTCCTATCTTTAAAATATTATAAGTTAAGACCAGAATACATATGGACAAGAATAAAAAAATTAAATAAAGGATCTAGCGTGACAACAACAAAAGATGATAAAGTATTAAGAGTTCTATTAGTTGTGGTTGATATTGAATCTCATCATGAATCTATAAGAAAGTTATCTGATTTTTGTATAAAGCATGATTTATCATTAGTATTAGCTTGGTCATTTGAAGAAGCTGGAAATTATATTGCATTAGGAAAACATTTTGATAATTCTCCTGTACAAACAAGTAAAAATATAAAAGGATTTAAAGGTAATGATTATAATTCAAGTGTTATTGAAGCTTTTACTGGTATAAAATCAATTAATAAAACTGATGTATCTAATTTATTAGCAAATTATAAATCTGTTAAAGAAATTATTTTAAATTGTTGTAAAAATGATGATAATTTAAGTAATATTCCTGGTATGGGTAATGTTAAAAGGAAAAATTTACAAGAGATTTTTTCAGAACCATTTATATTTAATAAAAATTATTAACTGAAGTTATTGTTGTTGTTCATTATTCTTTTCCATCTCTATTACTTTCTTTCTTAATATTAAATTTATACCATTTAATATTTCATTTTTTTGAATTAATATATCTTTTAACTTCTTTCCATCTTCGTCTAATTTTTTAATTTTTTTATCATATACCTTTTTTGCATCATCTGAAGATTTAGAAACATAATAACCAGTTCCAATATCTACTAAAAATTCTTGTTTTGTCACTGTTTTACCAGGTATATATAATGAACTTGTTAATGGTATTAATAAATCATTTTGTTTTGAATTTTCTAAATTATTTATACTTGTTATACAATCTTTTAATTTAGTTTGTGCAGTTTGTAAAGCTTGTAATGATTGAGTAAAATGATTTATTTCTTGATCTATATTTTTTCGAAATTCAACCAATTGTTGTGGTGGTAATGAATTTAGATCTATTTTCTGAGACATTATGTGGAGTGAATTTGTATTTGGATCTGATTGTGAAAAGTTGGTGATAAATTTTGATGTTATCTGATTTTATTTTTTTTGTTCCAGAACAATTATAAAACAATCTCTTATCTTACCCAAACAAACAGATTATAATGGGTGCAGATGGAGGTACAACAGCTAAACGACTGGATATACTACAATTACATAACCTAACTCAAAAGAAAGAACTACAAGAAGGAGAAAATAAAGAACAAATTCTACTACAAAGTTGTGCAATATCAGGATTACCATTGTATAATAATTCACCAATTGTTGGAGATTTTAAAGGTAAATTATATATAAAAGAAAAGATACTACAGTACCTCTTGGAGGTTAAATTAGATAAATCAAAATTGAAAGTACAATTTCAACATTTAAAAACTTTAAAAGATTTAAAGACTGTTACAATAACATGGAAAATTATAAAAAATATTCCACATTTTCAATGTCCTATAACAAAAGAATTAGATGATAAAACACATTATTCATATTTAAGAACTTGTGGTTGTGTAATGTCTTATAAATTATTAAAAGAATTAAAGAAATCACTTAGTGATGGATCCACAAAAACATCTCAATGTCCAATATGTAATAAAACTTTCACATTTGATTATGATTTAGTTATAATAAATCCAATAAATCAAAAAGAATTTGATGATATAAATGAATCCAATTATAAATATTTGAAAAATGTATTACAATTAAGTAATAATTTAGAACCCATAAAAAGGAAAAAGAAAAAATCAAGTAGTATTATTGATATTGTTGATCCAACTCCTACTCCTGAATTTATTAAAAAACGAAAACAAGATCTAGATGATGAAATCGATTCAAGTAAACGTATAAAAACATGAACATCATTTAGAAAATATATATTAATATTGATGTAAACTTTCATTTCTCCACTATGTACAAGACGACTTTCCCTTTATTTCTCCTTCTTTACTAAAACTCCTCTTCGTGACAAACTATTCAGGTTTCTTTTCATCATTTCTAACTTCATGATATTGTTCTTGATCAAATTTTAATTTATTTTTATTAAAAGGTGAATAATCTGAATTTGCCCAAATATTAAATAATATTGAACCACCTCCAATAACACAGAACCCCACGAGTCCTAAAACGGTTAATCTATGAATAGCATCTGTTGCTCTAACATGTGCTGGTAATTGATTTTTCCCAGTCATTATTGCATGAAAATTATGGTAGAATATGATACTTACTGAATTAAAACATTTGATTTTTTCCTGACATCATTTTTTTTCCCTCAAAAATATTAATACAAGTAAGTTAGTTGACATGTTGATGGGAAGTAATATACATCAGTTCATTTGGGAATTTTACAAGAGTTAAGTCAGAGAGTATACATTATCATCGATTGAGTTTACCAAAACTAAAAAATCAACTTTTATAGCAATGGTTGATTCATTTTATAATTAGAGTTATAGAACTCGCCACTCGTCAACAAACAATACAAAAACAACCCAAAAGACATAAGTCTACACATTATACGAAGTTTTTCAATATGTATTTGAAATCAACTGATACATAACAATCAATACGTTATGACATTACAAAAAAGAAACACCGTTGGCACGCCAGAAGCGGCCAAAAATAGGGCAACAAATATTAAGTCACATATCAAATCGTTCTTAATCATGGACAATGAATCTTCATACTTATACGATGAACATCTGATACAATTACATAATTACTAACTATGAATATTTTTTTAATGATTTAATATTTTTAACAAGATTCAATCTTTATTGATAGTTCGGAAAACAATCAAACTTGGGAATTGAAAAAGCTGAAGACCAATTAATGCAAAGAAAACTCAACAACAGGGAAACATTAAGATTAAATGTTGACCTTTCTTGGGTATTCTATAGACTGATTGATTTCCGCTTCAAATTCCATTTTTGATTGTTTTATTAGACATCAATATCGATTTGATATTATTATATTAACTTTTAGTCCTTCTTTTTTTCAATTTTGTTTAAGGAGGCAAACTGGAGTCATTTCAGGTTAAGTGGCAATTAAAATTGAGACGGACAAAGCTAACTAACTAATTAATTTTGAAAAAAAAAGATAATACATCCAGTTATTTGTATTCAAAACCAACTACGCTGCATCTTAGGTCAAATTAATGCTAATTGAGAGGGATACTAATTAAAACCTTTCTTCCGAATTTGAATTTGCTTTATTTTAATCATCTGAATCTAAAAGTTTGCTTGGCAAAGTGAGGATGGCCATTTAAATCAATTTCCAAGCCATTTAAATCAATTTCCAAATTTGGAAGAAAGGGTTTGATATTGTCCCTCTCAATATCTGCATTGGATCTTATTGATTGATTGATATTTAAATTAAAGTTATTTTTCTGCAGGAGCACGGAGAGAAATGAAAATGCATGTTTCAAAATTCTTTGAAGATAAACCAGTATTTATCTTCAAAAAATTTTGAAATAAGCATTTAATGGGAAAAGCCATTTCTAAAAGATTTCAAAAAAACTTGTTAAAAATTATCGACATATTTTTTGTGAAAACTATATGGAACACCTACAAATGGATTTCAAACGGTTAACAACCTAAACTAGAGCAAGAAAAAAGAACGGAAACGCACTTTATATGTGTTAAAACGAAAGTAAATACAACATTTAAAGCTTAAAAACAAAGGGTACTCCAATGGCAACCTTGTTATGTTGATAAAATTTCAAAATGCACAAGAAACTTCAAAAAATTCTTTATAGACAATCAATTTTTCAAAAAAGACCAATGAAATTTTGATTGCAAAATAATTACATTCTTATACATATCTATATTATTAATCTATATAAGATATTTAAACCAATCATTTTCAATAATACCAGTTTGTAAAAGTCCAGGATTTGTAAAAATTAAATCAGGTAACCAATAATCATTATGTAATTTAAATAAATTTGAAGCATAATGTATTGAATCTGAAGTTTCTTTATCTAATACTTCAGTTATTATATATTTTAAAATTTTATGACTAATTAAATTTAAAAGATTTAGCTGGTAAGAATTTTTTAAAATCTGTTTATCTAAATTTATAAATTGAAAATTTAAATTTTGTTTAAATTTTGTTTCATTTATGTGTCCAATTGGTAATTCACTATTACTTTTGGTGGTTGTTGTTTCAATATCTTTTAATGGTCGAATTGCTTCATAATTCCCCTTTTCTATACTTACTGGAAATTGTCTTGGTTTAATACCTCTTATAATAAATTTTCTTTTTGGAGTTTCATCTTCAGAAGTTTCAGTATTTAAATTTAATACTTTTGCTTCTGCTCTTGGAAATGCTTTTGTTACATTTTTTATAAAATCAACAGCTGGTAATAATTGATGATATATAGGTTGAATTTTATCATTATTTTCATTATTTTGCCAAACTTCTTTAAATTGAGTTTCATAAGCTTTCCATATTGAAATTTGAGTTACTTCTAATTCTTCAGTTAATGTTGGTTCATAACAACAATGTAACCATGTTGTAGCTCTTGCAGGTTCAGGAAAATTTATTAAAATTTTATATAATTCTTCATTTAATTCAGGTGCAGTTGTTGGTGATCCAGAATTTGAAGATCTTTTTGATAATTCTGTATTTGGTGCTAATTTTAATTCTACTGGTTCAATTAATGGTAAATCAGTAACTATTAATAAAGGGAGTTGCTTTAATAATATTTCTAAATTGATTTTTGTTGTATTTAATTGTAATAATTTTTTTAATCTTAATCTTTGTGAATCCTTCACAGAATAATCTTGATATATTGCTTTTGAAAAAAGATACATTTTTATAAAATATAAAACTGCATAATTTAATTCATTATCTGCTACTAATAAAGTATTTATTATTGTTTGTAATTGATCCTCTGTTATAGAATCAATACAATTATTTGTGATATTTTTTGAATTTAGTTCTTCTTCTTCTTCATGATCATCGTCTTCTTCCTCTTTTGTTTGATCAGATTTATCCCAAGTAATTAATAAATGAGATACACATTTTAATGAAGTTATAAAAATTGTTTTATCTTTTGTTATTGTTAAAATTTGAAATAATGTATGAAATAAAACATCATTTTTACTATTATTTATATAATAACAAGTTAATGGTTCAATTAAATCTAATACATATATTAAAGCTTCATAAAATTCATCATCAAATTCAATTAATTCTAAAATTTTGAAACCAGCAGTATAATTCCAATTATATAAAAATTTTAAAATTTCAGTAAGCTGTTTTTTAAAATTAGGAACTTGTGATAACCATTGTTGGTTTTGTAAATCTTGAGCTGAATTTCTTAAAGTAACTAAAGCATCTAAACTATGACGCATTATATTTTGATTTATTAAATTATATTTTTTATCTTTAATTAATTGATATAATAATGTCATACATTTAATTAATTCATTAGCTACAAATGAATCATTTTCAAATATTAAAAATGTACTATATTTAGCTACTTCACTTAATGCCCAATCTGTTTCTGATTGTATACCTGATTTTAAAGCCATTATTATTCTTTGTTTTACATCAATTCCTGGATGACCAGTACCAATTGGTTGTGGTGGTTGATTATAAGGAGTATAAAATCCTGTACCTATACTTTGATATTGAGTGATTCCATTTTGAGTAGTTGGGTTAGATAGTGGTATAGTTGTTTTGGAACTAGGTGTGATAGGTAGTAGTGTAGGCATTTTGGCTTGTTTTGATGTTTTGATTTGTTTAGTGTTGTCTGAAAAATAAATTTGAAACCAAATTTAATAATATCATGAGAAAGTCGTGTGCAGTTTAACAAAATAGATTTTTTTGCAACCAAATTGAAATTGAGTTGAGCTAGTTGTTTCAAGTATTAGATATGGAGATAGACAGAAATGGTTGCATCTAAGTAAGAAAAACAGTTATTGAACAAAAGCACTGTTTGAGCGGAAGCAAGAAATCTACTTTTTTTGAAAAATTTCGCAAGAAAATTAGTACTACATTCCTTGTTGTCACCAAATTCACATAAGACATCCTTAACCTTTATAACGTTGTTACTGAGTTTGTATCCTTCGAGTTACATTTATTTCGTTATGTAAGGTAGACCTAATCAACTTCAATGGTATCGTTTCCCTTATTAAATGGTATTAAATGGTCGCTAATCCCAATTTCCATTTTAGTAAATAATTCCGCTTTTTAATCGGTTCTCGCTTTTTTGAAGCCATTCAATAAAATTATATAACCAGTTAAATTTACAGTCTATTTGTACTACAGTTTCTTCTTATCTCAATTACATTAAACCAACTACATTCGTTACTTTTACCCAGTTTTGTTTAAGTTAATTGGTATTGCAAGATGAAGTTAAACGGGATAGTTCAATCATTAATATTAGTTTCCTCAACTAGTGCATTTTTAAATAATTGGATTTTTGGAGGAGATAAGAATCAAGTTATATTAATCAATGAAAAAGAAGAAATAAAAGTAAAAGAAGTAGAAAATAAAAATCAATTATTGGCAAAACATAAAGATATTGGAAATTTTCATAAATTAACTAAAGATAATCAAAATGTTTTAAATCATGCATGGGATAGTATGATTAAGGATTTATCAATTAATAAAATTGAAAAATTAATTAATGAATTTCAATCAAATTTTAAACCTTCAAAACCATCAAAAGAAAAGCCATCACCACCAAAGAATAATGAAGAAAATTTTGAAATTTTAACAAATTTAAAATTTAAAGAATCTAAATTAAGAATTAAATCAAATAATCCAGAAATTTTAGGTTTAGATACTGTAAAACAATATACTGGTTATATAGATATAGATTCAATAGATCATCATTATTTTTTTTGGTTTTTTGAAAGTAGAAATGATCCAGCTAAGGATCCAATAGTATTATGGTTAAATGGTGGTCCAGGATGTAGTAGTTCAACAGGTTTATTTTTTGAATTAGGTCCATCATCAATAAATTCTACTTTACAACCTGTTTATAATCCATATTCATGGAATTCAAATGCAAGTGTTATATTTTTAGATCAACCTGTTGGAGTTGGATATTCTTATTATGGTGGTGATAATGAAGTTAAAAACACTAAAACTGCAGCAAAAAATGTTTATATATTTTTAGAATTATTTTTTCAAAAATTTCCTCAATTTTTAAATAATAAATTTCATATTGCTGGAGAAAGTTATGCTGGTCATTATATTCCTTCTTTCGCAAATGAAATTTTAAAAAATGCAGATAGATCTTTTGAATTAAGTTCAATATTAATTGGAAATGGTATCACAGATCCATTAATTCAATCTACTGCTTATCAACCAATGGCATGTGGTCAAGGTGGTTATAAACCAGTATTAACTGAATCTGAATGTGAACAAATGGAAAAAGATTTACCAAATTGTTTAAAATTAACTAAATTATGTTATAAATTTCAAAATTCTTTAACTTGTGTACCATCTCAATATTATTGTGACACTAAGCTATTTCAACCTTATGCTCAAACAGGATTAAATCCTTATGATATTAGAAAATCATGTGCTGAAGAAGGTGGAAATTGTTATATTGAAATGAATTATATGGATGATTATTTAAATTTAGATTATGTTAAATCAGCAGTTGGAGCGTCAAATATTGATATTTTTACATCATGTGATGATAAAGTTTTTAGAAATTTTTTGTTAGATGGTGATGAATCCAAGCCATTCCAACAATATGTTGCAGAATTATTAAATAAAAATATACCTGTTTTAATTTATGCTGGTGATAAAGATTTTATATGTAATTGGTTAGGAAATTATGCTTGGGTAAATAAATTAGAATATAATAATAGTGAACATTTTGCAAATTTACCTTTAAAACCTTGGAAACCTTCTAGTTCAAAAGGTAAAATTGGTGGTCAAGTTAAAAATTATGATATTTTTACATTTTTAAGAATTTATGATGCTGGTCATATGGTACCTTTTGATCAACCTTCAAATGCTTTAGATATGTTGAATTCATGGATTCAAGGTGATTATTCTTTAGGTTATACTCCAAATTAGACTTTCTTTTTTCTTTTGTTTGTTAGATATATAAAAGTACATTTAGATAATTATATGATTTTTTAAAGTTTTAATTCTAATAGTAGATTGCAGTTGAAGTTGATTTCAATTGATTGGATTTGACTTTGACTGTGGTGTTTTGAAATGACTTAAATTTGAACTAACGAAATTTACCACAAACTCAAGGTCATGGAGAAACAAATACCATTTCACAATAGTGAAAAGAGGAGAAAATCGATGAAATCATGGGGTTGTGATGTAACCTTTACTTCGTCACAAAATCATTAAAATCATCCGATATTAGATTAGGAGTAAAAAAGAAAGATACGAGAAAAAAATATCGTAAAAATGTAAACAATAACAAAACGATTTTTGTTCGCGTGAATTGAGTAATATCAAACAACACAACTAGAATTTACGATTGTAAATACGGTATAATTTTACGACAAAGCCTGGATAGATAAGTATCATGAAGACAATAATGTGAATCAACTTATTTGTTATTCCAAAGCATTTCCCAAATGCTTGCTTTCACTTCTAAGTTGTTGTAATTTGGACCTCAATTTTTGGGTTATCAACTAATTTTAACTTTTCCAAAAGTTAATGAGAAAAGCTTATCCTAACTTTATCTTGTGAAGCTAACCTTTTAGGTATAGCAGTTACTAAATTGAGTTTCTCTTATAACTTTAATCCACATACTATTTGGGTATTTTTGAGCTTGATAGATAAGAGCGTTGGAAAACGTTATTAATGGGCTAATAGTTTCACAACTTCGTCGTACAAAAGAATCATTTCTGGGGGAATAATTAAATTTTGGAACGATAGCCGCGTAATCTTACGTCCAACCTGGAACAAAATCAAACTAACTTATGTTTAATCAATTTTACATTTCTGAAACGCGTGGCCTACATAGATAGCTTTGAGTAAATTGGGACTGCTTCAATGTGCATCCTAACATATTTTCAATAGATGAAACTTTTAAACAACTTTCAAGTACTAGAACGATTTCAAGTGCTCCTAAATCATATGTAAAATTCGTGAAATTACTTCAAATTTAAGGTTAAAACTAAAACTATAAATTTTGACAAAGATAAGACGTGGATACAATTTTCGTTTCATACCAAGCTTTTAAGGTCTACATTCTCTTTAAATTCATATGAATTTTAACCTGAAACATCTATCATATTCGTCTCATCAAACATCACAAGACTCTAAGAAATGTGAAAATTTTTTGAAATCAAACTTTTCATACATATTAGCAGAGATCTCGAATCTATAATTTTTGTGATACGAAATCTTTAGCCAAAAAAAGAAATAAAATTCATCTGCAATTGATTTGATGGTCTATAACTTGACAAGTAGAATAACACATCTAGCATATGATGAATCTCATAACGATTTTTTTGCGTTAAATCGTTTAAATTCTAGATCTTTTCGTCTTTAAACCTCTCACATGAAAAACGGCTTCAAAAAATCAAAAGACAAAAAATCAAAAAAAACCATAAAACGCTGAATGTCGAATGAATAAGCTTTCAAATGAAACATCAACACATTTGTTCTCCCATAGCCTTCTTTCTTCTCTCTTTTCTTGATTTATAATAATTTGTTTATTTGTTTATTTGTTTACACTTTGTCGATTATTATAAGTCAAAATTGTATGATTTTTAAACTTCTTTTGATGATAAGAAAAAAATTGAATGTTTCATACCAAATTACACTACTACTACTACTCCATACATTTAATAATAATTTATTACAATTCCCCAATTTGGAAACTACATTACTTACTGCTTCTTTACCCAGTATACTTTACGATACTAAATCTAAGGTTTTGTATCATTAATTGTATTGTTGTTGTTTTACCGCGTAACTTATTTGTATGAGTTTACTTATATACAGGTTTTTGGCTATTTGTGTAATATTTATTATATAGCTTGCAAAAATATTTTCTGGTGAATATACAATCAACAACAAAAATTTGTTTCATATAAGATTATGAGTATATCCTTCAATTGATTTGATCTAACTCTTCTCTTCTCTTTTTTTTCTTTTTCTTCTTTATATTCATTATCGATCCAACCCTTTACATTCGCTTATTATACTAAAATCCAACTTATTTACATTCTTTATTTAAAATGCAATTCACCAAATTAGCTTTAGCTTCAATTTTATCTGGTTTAACATCAGCTCAAATTTATGAAAATGGAACAGTTATAACAACAAATGTTATTGTTACAAATTATGTTACTTATTGTCCAAATCCAACTACTATAGAATTAACAGTTTGTCCAACTGAAGAACCATGTAAAGCTACTGAAATTGTTGTTACTGAAGCTACTCATTTAACAGTTGAAGAACCATGTTTAATTGAAAGTACTATTACTAAAGATATTACTATAACTCAAACTGTAACTTGTTCAGAATGTGCTCATACTGATGCTGAAGAAACTGAAACTATTGAAACTGAAGCTCCAATTCCTTCATCATCAATTATTGCTTCAATTCCAGTTCCTCAAAATGTAAGTGAATATGAAGGTGCTGCTGTTCAAAATGTTGCTGGTGTTGCTGCTGGTTTCGTTGCTATTGCTGCTGCTTTATTATAAACTTTTTAGTTTTCAAATTATTATAATTTATTATACCAAAAATTATTATTCATTTTCGTCAAAATTTAAAAAAAATATAGAGAGAAGTTATGGATTACTTAATTGTAAATTCAAAGTTCTTCAAACTATTTAATGATAAAATTTTTATATTTCTAATGAAAGGTTGGGGAATGACATCAACATAAGAATAAAAATTGTAATTAGACATGATATTATTACAATTTATTCTATTTTATATTTCGTTTTGTAAAATTTTAATTTCAATTAGTTTTTAATTTCATCAATATATATAAATTTGTATTATATTAGTGTATTAGTATTAATCTTCTGTATTCAGTTTTAAAAGGTAATGGAATAATTAAAGTTCCAGTGTAGTACAATTTGAACTTAGTACATTATCCAAACACCTGATACATTCATCACCTTATTCAATTTCTCAACGCTTGACTTTTGCTTAATTGTCAATATTGGTCGGTAGATTCTTCTCTTGAAATAATGGACGGCAAAAACTTTTTCTTCATGGCTTCCTTAAAATCATTCCATGTCATTTTAAAAATAGTTTTAAGGTAAACCCACTCTTTGGCTTCAACATAAAAAAAAAACTTGCAGCATATCAAACTAGTGATCCATTATTGTAAGCTATTCTATTCGGCTTTAACATTGACTCTGCAACACCTTCATATAAAAAGCTTCTATTTGACAAAAGCACTACCATTGTGATGATGCGGTAATGCTGCCTAGAAACCCAACTCATTAAGCAAAAATCTAATGTTGAAAAGTAGAACTGGGAGTTTATTGAATGCATCAGGTGTTTAGATAATGATTCTCTTACTCCACTATGTTCATCAAGTTACTTTATTTAGGTGAAAAAAATTAAATATACAAATTTTTCTTCAACCACAAAACACCAAATATTATTGAAGGATTAGATGTATACTTTAACTATAAAACTTTCTCTACCATAAATTATGAATTTACTCTGAGTTCTATGACTTTAGCTTCGGAGATTGTTCTTTCTAACGTCTATTTGATTTAAATGAATTCAAACCTATTTAATAGGCTAATATCAATAAAATACCAAATTCAAGTAAAAAGTTTGGAAATATCTAAATGGATCGATGCGAGTGATCAAGTGATGCGTATATTCAGAACATCTTTTGTAGTAATCGTATCCATAGGGTTTCTAGTGTAACTGATAATTTATATTTGTTAGTATACTTTGGACTTTAGGCAGTTCTTTTTCTAATGTTTTTCATTCGAACATTGGGGCAACAAACAACTATTTTGCAAAATTTCTTTGTTCACAAGCTAAAGCTTTCATGATTACCCCCCCCCCCCCCTGGCTTCTAAATTCTTTAATTTCCAAGTTTGTTATTTATTTGAAGTCATTTTTTAAAATCGGGTTTATCAAGTATTATCAATATCTCGACCATAAAATTTTATCTTCAATTTTCTTCTTTGGTTACAATAATCATAAGCATTAATTCCTTGATTATAAATGCAATTAGATAGTTGTGTTTCAATGCTTGATTGAATCCTTCATGAAAGGAGCGGACTGATTATGAATCCAAGATTACACTATAATTATTATTAAAACTATATTCTAATCCTTCGTGCACCACGATGTCTCTATAGTTGCTTGATAATCCGCAACAATTGATCTCTGACATCAATCCATTTATTCTATATTTTATTACCCTTCACTGAATAGAACTTACTGGAATATGTCGCCCATTGTCTTTTAATCAATCGGTTGATTACTTAGTTTATGTATGGAATTTTATAGTACAAAAGATATTTTTAATTTCCTTAACTATTTGATAATTTTTCAGTAGACAATACATTATTTAAATTTCTACTACGTACCATTAAGTTACACCATAAAAACCAATTATTACTCAAATAAATACCAGTTTATGAATTAATAACTTAAATTTTTCACTCATTTTGCATTCATCATTTATAATTATATGATTTTATATCAGAATTATGTCTCTTTACTTAGATGAAAGTAGTATTAACAGTAGTCAGAATCAGAATCAGAATCAGAACCAGAATCAAAATCAATTAAACTATACAATTTATAATTCAAATACTATTTCTTCACAACCTTCACAAACTTCAAACAATGAAATATCAGCATTTCCAAAAACTTCAAGATTTTTTGATAATTCTTCATTACCAGATTTAAAACAATTTGAAATTGGAGATCAAAAACAACAAATTTGGTTTAATGGTCAAATTTCAAATTTTAATTATAGTCCTTTTAATATTTTACAACAAAAATTAAAAGCATCACCAACTATAAATTATGATTTATTACCAAATAAATTTTTTATATCTCAGCCTACTATCAATGATCAAGACAATAGAGAAATTCCGTTCCTACATTTAAATGAAGATTTAGTTAAAGATCCAATAAATTTAATTGAAAATTTATCGGAAATTGGTAAAAAATATGGTGCAATAAAATTAAAATTACCAATAAAAGATCAAACTATGTTTCAAATTTCAAATCAAGTTAACAGTGATTTATTTTGGTTTGAAACAAATAAATTAATTAATAATCCAAAAGAAGATGAAATTTATATAAGATTAAAATTTCATCGTAGTTTATTAGATTTTCATCAAAGTGATTTATATAAAAAATTTGAAGATAAAGATGATATTAAGAAATCAAAAGAAAATTTTATATTACATTTAAATAAATTACCAATGATTGATAAAAGACCTTTAGATTTATATAAATTATTTCAATCTGTTATGATAAGAGGTGGATTTAATGAAGTTATAAATAAAAAATTATGGGCACAAATTGGTAGAGAATTAGGTTATAAAGGTAAAATTATGACAAGTTTAAGTAGTTCTTTAAAATCTTCATATCATAAAATTTTATATCCTTATGAATTGTATCTAACAAGTTTAAGAAATGAAAAAAATCAAGTAAAACAAGACGAAGTAGAAGCAGAAGTTACTGAGTTATCAAACGGTAAAAGAAATATTCAACCTTTATCATCAGAAACCAATAAAAAATTTCATCAAAATTCATGTCCATTAATTATTGGTTCAGCTAAACAATTTAAAAGACGTATTAAAACGAAAGTTGCAAAAGGGTTTTTACCAAATTCACCTCATTTAATAGATATCAAACAACCAAATACTTTCATTATAAAACAAGAAGAAAGAAAACGAAATAGAAGAATAAATGATACAGTATATTCTCCAATAACACCACAAACTCAATTTAATCGAAGTATTTCTTATATTGTAAATAATCAAGATGAAACTCCCTCCATGCCATCACCTAAAATTTCATCAGTTTATTCATTACGACAGTTTATGGAAAAAGATTTAAAATTTCAAGAATTTATAATACAAGATAATAAATCAAAATTTCATAAAGATACAATGGAAAGAGATTGGATTCATTTTAAAGATTTAGAAGAACTTTATTGGAAATATATTAAAAATGATGATCCAAATCTGTTATTTCCAAATGGGTTTGAATTAGAAGTTGGTAAAGATTTATCAAGTTCTGTACATGGTTCAGGATTTATAAAAATTGGTGATGATATATTAAATTATAAAAATTTATTAAATAATTATCAATTAGGTTTATCACATTTTAAACAAAATATAAATAGTAATAAAACTGGTTCAAATGCAAGTACTGCTCAAATATCTCAAAATCCAAGAGAAATTAATTCTATAAATTCAATTAATCAATTAATTCAATCTGCTTTATATCCTTGGAATTTACATAATTTTCCATTTTTACCAAATTCTATATTAGGAGCATTAAGTGAAAATGATTTAAGTAATAAAGAATTAACCGAAACAAGAATTAATGTTGGAATGACTTTTAGTACAGAAAATTGGTCATGTGAAGATCATTTTACTCAATTAATAAATTATCATTTTTTTGGTTCAAGTAAAAGATGGTTTTTCATACCAGAATCAGAATTTGAAAAATTTGAAAATTTAGTAAAGCAAGTAAATGAAGAAAATAAATTAAATACATCAAATTTAAATCATCAAAAAAAAATTGATTCAAATAAACTAATGGATATTTTATTTCATTCAAAGAATGAAGAAATTGAAACAGAGATAATTTTAAAATCATTAGAAAATGTTATAAATACAGGTCAAGATATAAGACTAACTTCACAATCTCCAAAGTTTAAATATAATCAAGATTTTTTAATAACTCCTGAGCTACTTGAAAAAAATAATATACATTATACAACAACAGTTCAAAATCAAGGAGAATTTATTATAAAGTTTCCCAAGACATATTCATCAACAAGATCATATGGATTTAATTTTAGTGAGGAAGTAAATTTTGCAACAAGTTTATGGTTAAATTATTCAATTGAAAGTGAAAAATGGTTAACAAAGCAAGAAATTTTACCAAATTTTTCAATTTTTAAATTAATTACTTCATTAGCTATAATGTATGATACTGGGAAAAATATAAGTTTTAATTCTGATGTTTTTGATAAAATTTCAAAATTATATGAATCATTATATTTAAAAGAAATTGAAATTAGAAATTTTATAAGAAAAAATTTTAAAATTAAAGAATCTTTGATAAATGAAGATTTAAATTCTGATATTATTGCTGATGACAATTTATCAATTGTATTTCCCACAAGAGTTTTAATTACTGATAATAAAAATAAATCAAGAATCACATCTATGGATTCATTTTTATCAATTACATCAAAAGATTCAAAATTTTTAGAAAAAAATCAATGTGAATTACAATTATTTTTATCAGATGAAAAATTAAAAGGTATATTTAAAATTTTAAATGAATATTCAGTTGATTTTGAAGGTTGGATTAAAAATTATGAAAGAATAATGACTAAAGAGAATAGTAATGAATTATCTTTAAAACAGTACAAAACTTTATTAAATGATGGTGATAAAATTAATGTATCTATTATGTCCACAAATTCAACTATTAATGAATTTGATCCAGAAAGATTATTAGTTTTTAGAAATTATTTAAATGATTTAAGACATTTTACAACTACATCAACTCAATTTATTGAAGATTGTCAAAATCTTTTATCTATAAAACATCAACAACGTATAAGAAATGGTCAAGATTCAACAATAACTGCTTCATTTAATGATTTAATTCAATTAGTTTCAAAAATCCCCAAATTAAATTTTTCATGTCCTGAAATTGATCAAATTTTAGAATTTAAAAATGAAACTGAAAATTTTGATAAAGCAAGTAAACTCTTAATTTCAAAAAGAAATAAATCATTACAAGAATTTGATAATTTAATAAGTTTAGGAGAAAGTTTTGGATTAGAAATTCCTTCATTAACATTTATTACAAGAATAAGAGATAGAATGTTATGGTTAAAAACTTTTGAATTAATTGAAAAAGGAGTTGATCCTTATGCTGATAAAAAGGAAGTTTTCACAATTGATCATTTAAAAAAATTTCACAATAAAGGTATTGATATATTATCAGCAAACGACTTAGAATATATTCAAAAAATTGAAAAAATCTTGAATGAAAGTATTAAATTTAATTTTGAAGTTGGAAAATTTTTAAAATATGAATATGTTCATGATTTAAATTTAAATAAGATGGAAATTATAGTTGATAAATTTTCTCAAGAAAAATTATTTATATCTTTGGATAATTATACTGAATTATCAAAAATTCAATTTAATTTAAAATTAATTTTACAATATAATGAAAAAATTAATCTTACGAAGTTACCATATTCAGAATTAAAATCATTATATAATTCAATTTTAGAAAGTGGATTAAAATTTGATACTACTAAGTTCGTATTAATGTTACAGACTACTGAAAATTGGATTGATAAAATTTTCCTCCATTTTGAAAAATTAAAAATTTTATCAACAATGAAAAATCCAGATATTGATCATTTAAATCAAAAATATACAACAAATTCAAAATTAATTGAAAAATTATTTAAAATTTTTTATAAAATTGAATATAATTTATCAAAAGATGATAAATTTGAAGAATGTTCTTTTTATTTAAATAATAAGCAAACTACTGAAAATACAAATGAAGATTCAAATGAAATTGAAAGTGATCCAAAATATTATTGTATTTGTAGAGAATTTGAACATGGAACTATGATTGAATGTGATAAATGTAATGAATGGTATCATGTTCAATGTGTTAAAACAATAAGTAATCCAAATGAAGATAAATATAATTGTCCAATTTGTTTAATTATCAGCAATAAAAATTATCAAAAAGATCAATATATAAATTCTCAAATGGAATTTGAAGAATTTTTTAAAATTTATCAGGAAAGTCTCGAATTAGAAGCTATACCAGTAAATGAAGCAGGTGTAATTAAAGAAATTTATAATATGTTAAATACTTTTAAAACTGAATTTAATAATGAAATTTTAAATCAAATTATGAATCAAAATATTTCAAATTTAAATTTTCGTTTAGATAATTTAAGATTTTATTTAAGAAAAATTTATGGTTGTGGAATATTTATGAAAGATTTATTTGAAATTGTATTTAAAAAAATTAAAGATACTGAAGCTACAATAAAAAGATCAGATAAAATCAAAGTGAAGAATCAACCTGAAGTCATCAAAGAAGAAGATAAAGTTAATTCCTTCACCATTGCCGAGTCGATTGTGACTTCAGCAGATCAAGAAACTCCTTCAAATGATACACCAATTGCTCCCACATTTATTAATAATGAGCAAACTTCTGAATCAGGACCAAATGGAGTTCATGAAGAAAATCAAAAGAAAACAAATGATGAAACTGATATAGAGACTGATATAGAAATGGAAGATCAAGAAAATGAAAATGAAATAATACCACATCAATCAATTTCAACATCATCTTTTGAATCACCAACAACAACAAAAATAATATCACAAACTATAACTAATACAACACCAACACAATCCCAAAAGAATTCACCTGAAAAAAATTTAAATTTTATATTTTATACACCAAAAAATCAAAAAAATAATAAAATTAAACCAAGTAATATTCAAGAAAGAGATAAAATTTTTCAAAAAACTCCTGTTTCTGTTGATTTTATTAATCAAAATTCTGAAATTGAAAATTCTTATAATTTTAAAAATGATGATAATGAGATTGATGAAAATAATAATAATAATGATACTGCTAATACTTTAATAAATGGTAAAAATAAGGAACATGAAGTGCATTCATTTAAAAATGATGGTAGTATTGGAAATAGTGTTGGAAATACTGAAATTAATGATGTTGATGGTAAATTAGTTGATCAAAACCCTGAGGAAATAAATGTTGAAACTACTCCTACAACAAATGAAGGCGATACTGAGCATATGAATTCAAACCTTAAAGATGAGGTGGAAACAATGGACACAAATAATGATTTTAATCCTGAAGAGAAGGAATTGCCAAAATCAACAATAGATTCCACTGCTTCTAAGAATTTTGAAAATGCAAATGCCAATGAAGCTATTTCGGAGTCATCTAATCAACAAACTGAAAATACCGAGATAGAAACTGATAATTTCAATGGTACGACAATTTTTAAAAAGCCAACGATAATCACTAATGTCATTGATGATACAGTCAAACAGAATTTTGAAAAGCCTGATTCAATTTCTCAAACTGCTTTGACCAAGAATTTAGATAATGGTAATGCAATTGATAATTCTAAAGATGATACGTTGATGAAAGATGAACCACAACTCAAGGCAAATGGAACTCCATCAAAAAAACCTTTATTAAACGATTTAAATACCCAGGATGTTCCGGAAAAAGAGAGTTCAATTGAGGTCGCCAACACTGATTTAGAATTACAAAATTTGAATGGTAAAACTGATAAAACCGAATTCATTCAAGCAATAGAAACAAATGATGCTTCATCTGTACCATTGTTGAGTAATGGAACATCTGATGCAGTAGAAAATAGATTGGAACGAAAAAATGATGAAATACTGGTCAACCAAATAAAGAATAAAGAGGAATTTGAGCAAACAGTGAGAAGTGATAAAGATGATCATTCAGTCAATATTAACATTTTGGACGAATTTGAGAATAATAATCAATCTTCCACAGACGGTCTTAAAACGGAGGAAACATTGGTGGAAGAAACAGCAACGAAAGATTCTACAAAGGAGAAAGAAATTGAAAAACTTAAGGATTCTAGGACCAATGTTGAACATGAGTCTAACTTAAAAAATGGAGGTACAAGCATTAAAGATGAAGAGAAATCGATTTCAAATAGTATCAATAAAGAGGTTGATCAAGAACCAAAATCAAAAATGGTGAAATTATCATTAAGTCCAATTAGTCTCAACAAATATAAATTTAATCAAGAAAATAATGATATTGATGATGAAAATTTGAAAAGTCCAATTAATTCACGTAATATAAATAAATCAACAAATTTTAATGATGTGGATGAATATCTTGTTACTTTAAAATATAAAAGTTAAATAAAAATCAAATAGAATTAAATATTTTCGATCAATGCATGACGTTTATACCCCGATGTAACATTCACTCATAGGTGATAATAACTTCTGAAATTGATCTCTTTTTAATAATTTTGGATAAATTACCGATGCTGCAAATAACGGGAAAGATGAATGAAGAATATAATTATTTGGTATTTGAGTAAAAATAGTACATCTTAGTAAAAATAGAATCACGAGAGCTCAAAACTATAGGTCAGGTCGTTGTAGTCGATCTACTGACATCATTTAAAAAACGAAGACCAGATTATTGCAAATAAACTAAACAAATAAAGATCGCGTCCATAATTACACAAAATCAATTAATGATAAACATGGAAATTGAATTATCAAAACACAAGTTTTTCAAACTTAAGCAAAGTTTTACAAACCAAACTTGACAACATTAACTTTCAAACCGTTTTTTGATGTCAAATACATATACAACAACGACTACGAACATACTGAAACCAATTAAAATTAACTCATACACAATACAACACCAACAACAAAATGAAGATATAAATTTATCAAATTGTTTACCAATATTAGTAGAAATAAGTTGGAATAAAATAGTAGGTTCAAAAGAAAGAATATTTTTATCACAATTACGAAATTTATTTAATGAAATTGGCAAAATATTAAGAATTGAATCAATTTTCAACGAGGAAGAATTAAATTTAATTGAAATTTTTATATCGAGTAAACCAACTTATAGATTAAATAAACAAGAATTAATTAAATTTATTTTAAAACTGATTCATTTAAATTCTTTTGAAAAACTATTAAAAGAAAGATTTCAATTTGATGATTGTTATGTTAATGAATGTATTCAAAGAGCTTTCAATGGAGATATTGTCGATAATACAAGTACGATTCTGAGAGATTACAATGAATATAAAAGAAATGTTGGATCAGACTATACTATAAAGGAAGAATCAATAAGTAATGAAAGAAGAGATGAAGTTGATGATAAAAACACTCATCTCATACGTTCAGAACTAAATCAATTGAAGAGTAAGACAGAGGAACAAGAATTAGAAATTAGAAATTTAAAAATTGAAAATGAAAAACTTCTAAATCAAATAAATCAATTACCTGTCACCCTGTCTAGTCGGAATGAAAATAAAGATAAATTAAAAGATATAGAGAAAAATTTAAAAATAGAAGAATTGACTGAAAAATGTGAAAAATGTATGGAAGAAAATAAAAAGTTAAAATTAAATGAAATTAAAATTTCAAAGTCATTTGAGACACTAGAAAAGAAAATAGCAAAGCAAGACCAGTTATTAGAAAACTATAGAAGGAGTCGATCAGTAACTGTTGAAAGAAAAAGTTTTAGCAGATTTGATGTGTTGAATAGATTTTCTTTTAAATGGAATGTCTTTAAAGATATACGAAAGCATAGTTTAAAGGACGTTCGAATCATATTATTATTAATCGTTAGTTTATTTACATTTTTAGCATTGTTATCAGTGGGAGTTCAGATTATAAAATTAATTTCAAATATAGTAACACGTTCATGCAATACAGGATATGTGTATGATAATTATAACAATGGATTTTGGAAATTATCTTTGACTAAACTTTATCAAACACCCATTTATCTAAAGAATTTCATATACAATCTACTAAATCGATGAAAGTTGTTATTTTAACCCGAATAGTATATTAGAAACAATAAACTACATATAATAATACAAATAAAATTAAAAAGAACTTATTAAAAACTAAATTTTATACATTTTCTTTTTCTATTATAAAATGGTTTGGAAAAGAAAAGAAAACCAAACCCTTTTGATTGTAATTGTTTTTATCAATAAACTTAGTTCATTTGTTTAACTAAAGCATTAATAAATTCTTCTCTATTACCAGTGTCACCACCTTGAATAAAATGTTGGAATTTTCTAGCTCTAAAACCACCAGTTGGATTAGATAATTTAAAAGGCCATAAAAAGTTATTAACTTGTTTAAAATTTGGTCCAACAGTATAAATTTCATGAATTAAATCTTCAATTGATAAAATATCATATTTACCTAAATTAGCTTCAATAATAGAATTATCTGATAAAGCAATTCTTTGTTTATTAATTTTACCATAACCTCTTTTATAAACTAATTGTCTAATAGTTGATAATGAAGGATAACCATAAGCAATATATGGTTCAGCTAATTTAATTAATTCTTGAGTTGCTTTTGTTAATCTAACAAATACACCTGAATTAATTTGAGTTAATCTTAATAATTGCATAACTTTTCTTGGTTTTGGTGGAATTTTCATAATACCTTTAATTCTAACAACAAAAACTAATTTTGGTTGAGCATCAACATAATATGAACCTGAAGCTTTAGCATCTCTTTTAGCTTTAACAACTGATTTTTCAGCATCAACATATTCTTTATGATATTTAGCAGCTCTGTCATAGATGACTTTTCTTTTTTCTTTGTTAGACTAAATTAATGTTAGTATTAAACATATTTTTCAAATATCTCAAAACCCAAGTTGAAAATTTTCTCAGTCCCGAAAGATGGTTAACTGAAAGACAACATAGCCGAAGCTAGCCATTTGCATTTGGTTATTTTCATCTTCAAAAATAAATAAAATGGGTTTCAATAATTATTAAGTTTAGGTTCAAACATACGATTCTTCTACCTTTTTTAGCAGTAGCTCTTTCTTCAGCAGTTTTTTGTTGAGCTTTTTCTTTCTTTTGTTGAGTTTCTGGTTTAATAGCTTGAGCTAAAGTATGTAATAAACTAAAATTATAGTTAGTAATTTGAAAGAACTTTAAAAGTCTTCCAGTAACCCGTGATGTCCATTTATCCTCTTGAATTTTCTTTGAAATAATAATAACTAAATATTTGTTATTGAATGATATATATAATGATTGCTTGTATTAAAACTTAAAAATTGTTTTAAAAATACATGAATATAAAGAACTGAACCAGCCAGGTTCATTCCAATTCACAATCATTTGTTATATCTGAAAAAAAAAAACTCAGAAGAAAATAGATGTATCAGGCATTGGCTAAAAACGAAGATATAAAATTAAAAGCTGCAAGACAATCTAATTTTCCCTTGGTTGTTATGAATAAACTCTTTCTTTCAAAAAACTTCAAAGATACTAATAGTGTATCGTAAGTTTCTAGTTTAATCACCCAATCAAACTTTATCCACGTCATAGCAAATCTCTTGTTTGTAATAAAAGAGTACTAGACTTAATGTGAGATATTTATTTAACATACGTAGCCATTGTTGATGTTTATTGATGATGATGATGATGTATTGAAAGTATGAAATGAAACTGAAAAATTTATAAACTTATTTTTCTTACGTACTAAATTACGAGTTGCATCATTTGGTAGTTTTCTGTTTTAAAAAGGTTGAGGGCTGTAGACCTATTTTTTGTTTGGTAGCCACTATTACTTAACAAATGACGTACAAGTCATATATACGAACCAAACCTAATTGAAAACACAACTGAGAACAGCTTAATAAACTGCACGTTTTATGTAGTTACTGAAAAACTTTAGAACTAGAGGAGTCTGCAAGTATTTGTTAGAAATTGACGATATTACAAAAAAAGTTTTGCTGGACTAAGAATTAAAATATCTGAGAAATTAGTTTGTGTAATTATCCAAACACTAATAGTTTTAGTAAGATGTTACAACAAAAACATTAGGAGTGAAGGCCAATGGTAGCCATACTAATTAAATTATCGGTTGCTATTATCGCTATATGATCGGAGATGTATATGATAAAGTGAGAGTGCATATTAGAGATTGATGAAAAGTGATTTATCTGGAAGGGTATAAATAGAGCTCGAAAATCCCTTGATGAATATATGTAAATTTTAAAAGAGAGATTAAGCTTCAATACGTATTTTAAAGTTACAAATTAAATTTATATGTATTGAGGCTTCTACTGGGATCAAATTCAATTCCGACAAATGGCAAGAATTGACTTTTATTCAAGTGAATAATTTGAGCTGATAGAGGCTGAGAGAGCTGGGACTGTTGTAGTAACAACTGACTAATTAGTTAATGATGTATTGATAGAATATTGTTGGAGAGGTACCTACCAATGTGAGCTAATTTTCGAAGAATTAGAATGAATTACCGAATTTTAAAGGACATGAACAAGTCAATCCCGTCTACTGTTCATGATCGAGCGAGGAATTTATAAGACTTAATTGAGACCATTAAGGACGGTTGTAACATCCTTCCCCGTGGTAATGACTTGTTTTACGTTAGATTCATATGTAGGGATGCAATACAGATTAACTGTGGGGTTTATTTTCTAGTGCGGGAAAAAAGATAAGATAAGTGATCCTTTGCTTCTGATAAGCAAACAGCATTATTAAACCAATTTTACAACTCTATCATCGAGAAGTGAAACATCTAAGAAAGACTTCAATTTCTACAATCTCTTAACCTTATAATTTGAAATATTTTATTACTATAAATTTAAAAAAAAAAAATTCAAAATAAAATCCAACATCAATCAATCAACAATTATTAAAAAACATTAAAGCGTAAAAAACCCGGAATAAATCTCACCCAACTGATAACCCTTCCTAAATATCATTTGGAATATCATTAAAATCCAATTCATTAAAATTAATTTCTAGTTTTTCTTCCTTACCAAATGTATTTTCACCACTATATAAAACATATAAAAATCCATCTTCATCTTTATGTTCTTCATAAATAGTTGAAATTAAAGCAGCAGTAGGAGGTAAAATATCATTAACAAAAATAAATATAGCTTTTTCACTTGGTAATTTAATTCTTTTTCTAATAACATAAACAAATTGTCCAACTGTTAAATCAACAGGAACTAAATATTTTCTTTTATCAATTTCTGGAATATCTGAATTTTCAACTTTTTCACATATAACTGGAACTCTATCTTTAAATCTTTGAGCAATTCTTGCTGCTTCTGCTTGTCTTTTTTCTATAGTAGTAGTGGTTAGTAATTGATTAGTCAAAAATGGGAGAAGAACTAGTATTTATTACATACCAAAAGGATGTTCGTCTTTAAATTGTGATCTCATTTGAACTAATATGTGTTATAAACTGTTGATGTTAGTATTATTAATCAATTGTATTGATGAATCCATATTCAAATTTTGAGGAGGCAAAATTTGGGATATCACGGGGTAAAAATTAAAAATTTCGGTTACTTAACATACAATTTATGGGAAAGATAATGTGATTAATTGCTTTAATTGTAATTTGAATGTGTTCTAATTAATCTGATGGTATGATACTGCTTAACTAGATGGATGTATGATTGTTTGTATTGTTAAATGAATTGGTGTTGTTATTTTAAGAATATGATGATATAATTGTGTGTGTGTAATTATTATTAAATTTATTTTTGTTTTAAAAAGAGAGAGAGAAAGAAAAAGATAAGGGAAATTAAAATTTACTATGTAAAGCATAATAAGGAGAGCTCCATATATAACATAGATTTTTGTCTGTTTCTTAAAAAACTTGGGTTAGCACTCTTGTTTCTGAAAGCGGTTTGGTCCACACCATTGACTCAGCAGTTTGTCTTTGGGCCATAAGAAAGAAATCTTCATCATTATTCAGTCATATTCTTTTGTCAATAAAACATGAGTTATCCTTTATCTCTCTTATATATACATATTCTGTATGGTAGTGTAATTGTTACAGAAAATAGATAAGATTACCTGTTTTTGTGTAATATAAAACTTTAATAATATTTTGTATGTAGAACTCTATTTACATAATAAATCAAAAAGTGTTGCAATTATATATTAATTTTGACAACCATCAATCAAATCATACCAAACATCGTCATATGGTAACCGCTGAACAATTAAAAAGATTAAACGATAGCAATAAAAAGACAAATGAATTAAAATCAATTACAAAGTCAAAAACAATTGAACCATATTCAATTGAATGGTTAATTCAAGAAGAGCAACAACATTGTGAATCAAATAATAATGACTTTAATATTACAGAAATTGGATTAAGAAATGAAAGATTAGAATTATTATTTCCAATGGTTTATCCTAATGAAAATGAGGATGACACAAGTGATTCTAATGTAAAGAATTATACTACTAGAAATCACAAAATTGATAATGATAATTTTAATGATACTTCCTCAATTGATTTTCCAACAACAAGATTAAAACCACATGAAATAACAAATGATTTAGAAATTGAATTATTAGAAAGTTCAATGTTTAATAAACCATTTGAAAGATCAAAACAACAATTAGAAATAGATTCTTTTTCATTAGGTAATATAAGTTCAGATTTTAGTAGGAGTAAATCAAGTAAAGAAGGAAATAAATTAAATTCAATAACTGGTGAAGAAAGTATAAGATCATCTGGTCATTCAGTTTATGTTAGTAATAATCTTAGTAATCCATCACATAGAATATTACAATTATCACCTGAAAAAAATAGACAACCTAATGTTTTTAAAGATGACAATTCAATAAATCACGTACATTCAAATATTAATAATGAATTTAATAATGATTCAAATCCAAATAGTTATGATGAATATTTAAGACCAAAACCATTAAAGAGATTCAGATCTGTATCTCTGTGTGATCTAGTGTTTCCAAATCTCAATCTCAAAAGACAAGCAAGATGATATTAGAGTTGAGTTGGTTAATTGGTTAAACCTATACATTAATATATCAAACGTTACGCGTCTAATATTTTAATAATAAAATTTAATGTTTTTAATTGGGAGGCAATTTTCAATTTTTACGGAGGAAAAAAAATAAAACAAAAATAAAAATAATAATCAAACAAACTAATTAACAACAACTCAACCATAATAAATCAATCAATTGATAAAATGTTAAGAACATTCACAAGATCATTTTCATCTACTTTAAGTAGAAACAATTACGCAAAAGGTTCAATATTTGGTAGAGTTGGAAGTGTTGATTTTAGAGAATCAGAAAATGGTACAAAATATATTAAATATTCATTAGCTGTAAATAGATTTAAAAAAGGAGAAGAAAATGATACAGCTACTGAATGGTATAATATTACAGTATTAGATGAAGATCAATTAAGAAGATTAGAAAAAGTATTAAGAAAAGGAAATAAAATGATTGTTGATGTTCAAATTAGAGCTGATAAATATGAAGATCCTGAAACCAAAAAAATTAATTATAGAAATTCATTTGTACAAAAAAATTTTGAAATTGTTACATGGGGTAAAAAACCAGAAGAAGAAGGTGGTTCAGAAACTACTGAATAATTTAATTGAGTGTGTTTTATTTGAAATACAGAATTATATAAAATCTATACTTTATTTATATAACTTTTTAATATAATTTTTTAGCTAAACTTAATTCATAAGCATAAGCAATTGTTAATTTTATATGTTCTTTAATATGATCAAAATCTAATCTATCAATAGTATCTAAATTTGAATGAATAAATTTATTAGTATATTTAAAATCACTTTCAATTAAAAAACTTGAAGGATAACCATTTTCTAAAGCTGAAGCATGATCAGAACATGCATAACCACATTGAGTTTCTAAATACAGTATATTATTATAATTATTTATAATTAATTTTAAAAATTCATTTAATTCAATACTTGTATAATCCGATATTAAACCAAAATGTGGTTCAATTCCTTTATCTATACTACCTTGAGTATAACCAGTCATATCTTGTTGTAACATTCCAACAACTGTTTCATTTTGAGCTGAATATCTTGAAAATACGTCAACAGATCCTAATAATCCACCCTCTTCTGCTGAATAATAATGAAATTCTAATGTATTATAAGGTTTAAATGTTTTGTCTTTATAAGCTTGTAATAAAACTCTTAAAGATTCTAAAGTTGTTACTGTACCTGATCCATCATCATCTGCACCAGGAGCTCTCATAATATTAGGTAATATTAAATTAGCAGAATCTTGATGAGCTCCAACAATAACTTTATCTTTTAATTCACCAGGTATTGAAACAATTATTGAAAATTGATCCCAACCATCATGATGAATTTTTGTTATTGAAATTTCTTTAAATTCAGATATTAATTTATTTAATTGATCATATAACCAATTAGCACTATCAAACCCATGTTGAGATTTATAATATCTTGTAAAAAATGAAGAAAATTTAGTTAATTTTTTAAAAACTAAATCAATATCAATTAGCTCAAATAATGATTTAACTTCTTTTGTATAAGATAATTCTGTAGGATAATTATAAACAGGGATTGGATTTTTTAAAGTTTTAATTTGTTTAGCTCCAATTAAAAAAAACCTGTCCCAAATTGAAGTAGTTGGTTTATTAATTAAACCATCTTCAATTGCTTTTTCAATACTAATTTGATTAGTTAAATCAATAAAATTTTTATTTTGTCTTTTTAAATTTAATTTTTCAATTTCTGATACAATTTTAAATTCATTTGGACCTAATTTAATTAATCTATCTTTATTATCTTGTAAATTTATTTGAAAAATATTGGAATTTATGAGTTGGTTAAATGTAGATCTAAATTCTGGAATTAAATCTAATAATGGGAAAGCTGTTACAAAAACAGCAAATACACTGAATAGTATTAATAATCTCATTCTTTTGCTTCAATGTTGATTAAAACGAAGGAAAAGGGTGTTGTTGATGATGAATAAAAGTGTGATTATTTCGGTTGGCAAAAAGCTGGTTTTCTAATTTAAAAAGTAACTGGCTCCAAAATTCCATGAGCCGCACGGAATTTGACTCAGCGGGTTCAAAGTGTCAAATTTCAACTAATATGTATGCTTGGAGGAGCGATGATTCTTCTATCATCTTTTCTACAACTGACTCCATCGAACTCCATCTGATGTCGTCTACTCAAAAGAGTAATGCCTCTGTTTTTTTAGAGGACTAGCATGGCTACTAAATGTTGACAGTTCAGTAAGATATGCTCAAATGTACTTGAAAAGTTGCTGAAGTGAAGTATACCCTCAAGGCACCATTGAAATCTTGGGAAGTTAGATGAATGGTCTACATTCTGTTCCAATTATATGATTCTATGAAGATTTAGTGCTTGATAGTGTTTGTATATCTTGTACCAAATCTTTATTTAGTTTGTAACAATATTTTTTTTTTTTCGTCTTTCTCTTCGAATCGTAAATATTTCAAATATCAACAGAGCATTTTAAACTAGCAAAATAATATAAATCAACTCATTTCCAACACTCCTAGACACAATAATCTAACTATGGTCAGTCTAGTGCCGAATTTTACGGGCTATGGCAATCAAAATCATGAACAAAAATACATTTCACCGACCATACACTTGAAAGATCCAGTAGTTGACGAATCTTTAAAATTTCATCAAGATCAATATACTTCATCAAATTCTTCAAGAAATCAAATAGGGAAAAGATTTGTTCAACCAATTGGTTTAGAAGTAAAAGAAGCCAATTATAAAATCAATATTCCAGATTTTTCCAATTTACCACCATTACAATTGGGATTAAAATTCATATCAAATATTAATAAAATTGATTCAAGTATACCTCATGATATTTTTTATTCAGAAACTTTAAGTAAAAATGAATCAAGTTTAGATAATTATTATTTTGATTATGAAAATGGATTAAAAGATTTTTCAAGATTTGAAAAAATTCAACAATTAAATTTACCTGATAAATTTTTTGAAGAATATAATAAAACTGAAACTATAACAAAAATTGGTTTATTTCCTGAAATTGAAAGAACTTGGATTGCAATTGATAATAAATTAATACTATGGAATTATAAAATTCCACAATCTTCATTCAATAAAAATTCACAATTTTTAACAATTGATCAAATTGAAAATACAATTTTGACTGTAAAATTAGTAAAACCAAGACAAGGAGTATTTTTAAAAGAAATTAATCACTTATTATTAGTTTCAACAACAGTAGGAATTAAAATCTTTATTGTAAAATATGACAAGTCATTTAATAATTTGGAAGTATTCAATCCTAATTTATCTGTTGCTACTCAAGGATTAGCTGTGAATCATTTTGTAGTACATCCAAAAACAAATGAAATTTATTTTAGTGGAGAAAATGATGGAGTTAATATTTGGAGATTAGATTATTCCAATAAATCAACATTCACTAAAAATAAATGTGATAAAATATGTTTAACAAAAGGTGGATTATCAAGTGTAATTCCAAATAAATTTCTGAGTTTTGGATTTTCTACATCAAATGGATCAACTAATAACAATGTGGATCAAAATTTGGCAAATATACCTGAAAAAATAGCTCAATTGGAAATTGACCCAGCAAGAGATGTATTATATTCCCTTTCCAATAAATCTGTAATTAGATCATATAAACTTCAAGCAAAACAAGAATCACTTACGGAGTCAAGTCAATTAACTCCAAGTCAAATATTTAAATCAGCATCTAGTCTTTTTGTAGACACAGCTAATATAAAAGTATTTGAAAGATTTAAAATCATTAGCATACATGTCATACCGCCTGAAGAATCTTCAGTCATACAATTAATAGCAGTTACTAGCAACGGTTCAAGAATTCTATTAAAAGCAGGTACTACATCCAGTTTTTCATCCTTACTTACTTCAACATATTCATCATCTAATGCATTAAGATTGAACCTTGTGAATATAAAATTCCCACCTACTAGAGAAATTCCAACAGTTAATAATGAACTAGACGCATTTACAAGAGATAGACAATATATATCACAAATCATAGCAGATCAACAAAAATCTCAACTTCTTAAAAATACAAAACTAGCTAAAATTATAAGTCCTGGTGTTTTTCTTTGTGTGAAAAAGACTAAAAGATCTGATAAATTATTTATTGCAACTGCCAACTTTGGATATTTGAAAAAGAATAATAAATTAGTTGAAGATGCTGAGTTCTTAAAATATACACTTAATGATGATCTGCCATATACTTATATACAAGACATTGTTCAATTAACACCATCTATGAATGCAACAAATACACCCAATGGTTATGCTAATATTGCTGCTAGTCAATACACAAAAGAACCTTTAAAATTTGCAATTTTAACAAATTTTGGAATAATTATTTATCAATTTAAAACATCAGATCAGATATTAAAATCATTAAATGATGAAATTATAGAAAATTTTATTGAAGAAAATGGTTATGAAGAAACTTGTTCAACTTTATTATATTTAGCATGTTCATATGGAAATTCAAATGAATTTTTTGAAAGAAAAGCTCAAGTTTTATTTTCATCTTGTGGAAACAATGCAAGATTAATGAATAATCAATCTGGTGGTGCTCAAGCTACTAGTTTAATCCCTCATCATCAATTGTCAAATATTTCTTCTTCACATCCAACTGTTGATCAGGTAATACTAAGTGATAGATTTTATGGTACATGCTTATTAATAGCTAGATTTCTTCGAGATATTTGGAATAAAAAAGTATTTAGTCCAATACCAACTGCTAAAATCACTCCATCGGGTGATATAGAAACAGCAAGTATAAAGGATCATAAAGTTATATTAAAAAGTATCAACATAGACAAAAAACAAATTGAATATTTCATTGGTACCATTGTTGTCTTGATAGATTTTTTTGTTGAAAATGAAACCAGTATACAAGGTTTGAATGCACCGAATTATAGTACAGACCCTAGTCAATTTGAAAATGAAGTATGTTTAAGAGCAGAAAGTATTGCATTCACTTCAATTTTTAAATCTTTAACTTCAATGAAAGAGGCATTTTCATTCTTAATGGTTTTACTTGAGGAATTACAAGCTAATAATAATGAATTTAATAGTGTGTTTGATTTCTTATCATTACCCAATCAAGCCAATTTGTTGTCAATTTCATTCAGGGATTTATTGTTACCAAATAGAGAGATAAAAAATTTAATTAAAGATTTGTTGTCTTCCATCATAAATAGTAATATAGTGAAAGGAGGATCAATCGATGTTATTGCATCTTCTTTACAAACTAGATGTGGATCATTTTGTTCAACAAATGATGTATTTATATTCAAAGCAATTGAAAATTTGACAAAGGCTAAAAAGATAGGTTCAAGAGATGTTGATTTGAAATTAAAATGTTTGAAGAATGCTGTACTTTTATTTGAAGAGTCATATGAAACTTTGACACTTGAAAATATTGAAAATTCAGTTGATATTATGGTTGATCTTGAATATTATTCTGGAGCAATTGGAATGTTATTAAATATTACAAGTAAATTAGGTAATAGTTTAAAAACTCCAAATTTTGTTTTCAATCAAGTAAATGAAAATTTAATGAAGAAAAATCATCAAGAAATTCAAACTAAGATAAAAAAATTATATGAAATTGTTTTTAATGTATTAAAACAAGTTGATCTTAAAGCTTTAAAAATCACAGAAACCAATAATCAATTGCAAATCAATGAGATTTTAGAAATAAGAGACGCTGCTTATGATACTTGTTTTGTTACAAAAGATAAAGAGTTTCAATACTCATTTTATGATTGGTTTGTCGATCAAGGTATCAGTGATAGATTATTGGAGTTGAACACTCCATACATTTTACCATATCTTGAAGAAAAATCAGAAAATAATATTGCTATGAGTAATATACTCTGGTTATATTATGCCAAAAGAGAAAATTATTTTGATGCTGCTAAAATATTATATGCATTATCCATATCACAATTTAATCTTGATTTAAGTGAAAGAATAGAATATTTATCAAGAGCAAATGGATTTTGTAATTGTGTATGTCCACCTAATTTTAGACAAAAAATGATTCAACTTTCAGCTACAATTCAAGAACTTTTTGATGTTGCTAATATACAATTGAATTTAATATCAAGAATTGAAAGGGATTCTAGAATTAATTCTGATAATAAAAAGAATGCAGTTGAAGCTTTGAATTACAAAATCTTATCTATTAGTGATTTATTCAACACATACGTCGATCCATTGGGGTATTACGAATTATCATTGTTAATATTCAAAGTTTCGGATTACAAAAATAATGATGATATATTGAAGAGATGGGAATTATTAATTGATAAGATTTATCTTGTATCAGAATCTTCCAAAGAACCATTTTATATTTTACTTAATGATGACTTTACTATTTATGGTCCTAAATTATCTTCAAATGATATAGTTTTTCCAATAGATGAATTGATCAAACTTATTGGTAAAACTTTACATAAAGCAATAAAAAATAATCCAGTAACTCAGGAACCACCAAAGGGGTATCTTGTTGAGTTGTTTGTCAAAGCAGGTGTGAGCTATGAGAGATTGTACTACAATATACGATCATTGATTGAGCATAATTCATTTGATAGCTCGCAAGGTTTTATTGAATATTTGAAAACTAATGAAATGACATATCTAATTAAAAAATGGTATTCTACGGATAAAAAATTAAAAGAATTAATAGCTGCTGAACAAATGGTCAGTTATGGAAACGTTTACTCGCTTGACACAGATCCAATTAAAAATTCTGTATTTTAATAATTAAAAGTTTTAAAAGTTTATATTTGTATTGTCTGTAATATATATTCAATCAATTTAATTGATAAAATTTGTTCTTTTGTACATCAAATTTTTCTTTTTCAAAATTTCCAATTACAGCTGGTCTTAAATTGTTTGCAGGTAAACTTGATCTCTTAGGTTGAATAGATTTATCATTGAAATATAGTAGTATCCCATCAATGATCAATTTTACTGCATTGGCATCGAATCCTCGTGGCATAATGACATCTGAGAATTCTTTTGTTGGGAAGATATAATCACTCATTTCAATTCTAGCTCCCAATAAATATGCATTGATAACGGTCTCTAAACTTTCTACTTTATTTGTTAAAACATCTCTATTTATCCATCTTATTAGTCTTGTATCCGAGTCACTATCTATAAATACTTTTATGTGAGACATTTCCCTCAAGTCTTTGTCATATAATGCGTATAATCCATGAACAATTATAATATCTTGTGTTGATCGATCTGACGAAGTTTGATTCATTTCATTCAAATCATTCTTTAATCTGGTAAAGTCAAATCTTGATGGTTTTAATTTCGGAAATGATTGAAAAAATTCTTCCTTATTAACAGTTATTGCTGCTGATTTTGAATTGGGAAATTGACTAGAATCAACTGATGATTTCCCATAAGTTGTATATTCATTCATATCAATTATCTTTACATTAATGGAAGATTCAGGCATCGAGGAAAGTAATTCCTTTTTCAAAGCTATTGCTGTTGTTTTTTTACCTGACGCATGACCACCGCCTAGTAGCACTAGTATTGAATTTGATAATTGGGGCATTGACTTTTGTAGAACCCAATGATATAAATAATTGAAGTTGCAAAAAACCAAAATAGGAAAAATAAATAATCTATACAAAAAACTGTTTTACATTATTTCCCTTTTTGCAACCAATCTACAAACATGGATGATTTTGATAGAGATTTAGACAATGAAATAGAGTTTAGTCATAAATCAACTAAAGGTGTGAAAGTCCATCGTACATTCGAAAGTATGAAACTAAAGCCTGAATTATTAAAAGGAATTTATGCGTATGGTTTTGAAGCACCATCTGCTATTCAATCTAGAGCAATAATGCATATCATAAGTGGCAAAGATACTATAGCTCAAGCTCAATCTGGTACGGGTAAGACTGCTACATTTTCCATAGGTATGCTTGAAGTACTTGATTACAAATCCAAAGAATGTCAAGCTTTAATACTATCACCGACTAGAGAATTAGCAGTACAAATACAAAATGTAGTAAAACATTTGGGGGATTATATGAATATACAAACTCATGCATGTATAGGAGGTAAGAATGTGGGAAATGATGTAAAAAAATTACAACAAGGACAACAAATAGTGAGTGGAACTCCAGGTAGAGTTTTAGATGTTATAAAACGAAGAAATTTATCAACGAGGCATATAAAGATTTTAATTTTGGATGAAGCAGATGAATTATTTACGAAAGGATTTAAAGAACAAATATATGAAATATATAAGTCTCTACCTTCTGGAGCTCAAGTTGTTGTGGTTAGTGCTACTTTATCACATGAAGTTTTGGAAATGACAAATAAATTTACAACAGATCCCGTTAAAATATTGGTGAAACAAGATGAAGTGAGTCTATCAGGTATCAAACAATATTATGTTCAATGTGAAAAAGAAGATTGGAAATTTGACACATTATGCGATCTATATGATAATTTAACTATAACTCAAGCCGTTATATTCTGCAATACAAAGCTAAAAGTGAACTGGTTGACAGATCAAATGAGGAAACAAAATTTTACAGTTGCATCAATGCATGGAGACATGAAACAAGATGAAAGAGATTCAATTATGAATGACTTTAGGACAGGTAATTCAAGAGTATTGATATCAACTGATGTTTGGGCTAGAGGTATTGATGTTCAACAAATCTCTTTGGTTGTGAATTACGATCTACCAAACGATAAGGAAAATTATATACACAGAATTGGTAGATCTGGTAGGTTTGGAAGAAAAGGGACGGCAGTTAATTTGATTACAAAAGATGATGTACAAACTATGAAGGAAATTGAAAAATTTTACTCCACAAAAATCAAAGAAATGCCTGTAAATATTAACGATATAATGTCATGATAAATAAAAGCGTAGTTGAGTATGTTATGTAATAACTCAATTTAACTCTTAAACTCAGACAGATCTCATCTCTTGATCTTTTATCGATATTATTTAAGATGTCACACAAAATCACCATATGGAAAAGCAAAAATATTTCTATAAGGAAAAATTTCTTACCAAAAGATCAAAAGACTTAACAATCTGCTTCAAAGATGGATGCCCAATTCGTTAATTCATTGGAAGATACTTTGAAGCAAACTTTGATTTCAGATTCTTCTGTGATCAAAGAAGCTTCACAAAAATTAAGTAAAGATTTTTATCCAGATCCAAAAGCATTACCTTCATTGCTTCAAATTTTACAACAATCAAATCAAGATGAAATAAAATTGTTAGCAGCAGTCGAGGCTAGGAAATTAGCTCTTGATAATTGGGAAGGAGTTAACGCATCATTGAAACCATCAATAAGGGAGTCACTTTTAAAAAACACTTTTGCAGAACAAAATAAAAGACTTAGAAATGCATCTGCTCGTGTTATAGCAGCTATTGCTGAAGTTGATTTAGAAGCAAATGAATGGACAGATTTATTACCAAATTTGATTAGTGCAATTCAAAGCAATGATGTTCAAACTAAAGAAGTTGCAGCATTCACATTATTAGCTATGTTAGAATCACAATTAACTGCATTACTTCCTCATATCGATGACTTTATTACATTGTATGGAAATTTAATACATGATACATCCTCAAAAGAAATCAGGGTCAATTCTGTTTTAGCATTGGATGTACTTTCACAACTTATTGAAGATACTGATGAGGCTGAACCAGCAGTTTATGAGAAATTTAAAGCTACTATACCTGGTATGGTGGAAGTTTTGAAAGAAGTTGTTGCATCAGACGATACAGAACTGGCTAAACAAGTTTTCAATGTTTTCAACGGATTAGTCCTTATTGATACTGCATTAGTTGGAGATCATTTGATAAACTTAATTAAAATGATTTGTGAAATGGTTACAAATACATCATTAGATGAAGATTATAGAATTTTTGGATTACAATTTTTAATTTCATGTGTTAGTTATAGAAAAACTAAAATTACAAGTAATAAATTAGGTCCTCAAGTAACTATGGTTGGATTAAAAGTTGCATCAGAAGAAATTGATGTTGAAGATGAATTGGAGAATGAAGATGAAGAAAATGAAAATGAAGAAAGTTCACCATCATCATTAGCATTGAGATTATTAGCTATCTTAGCTGCCGAATTACCACCCTCACAAGTTATTACCCCATTATTTGAAGCATTACCACCTTTATTGACATCAAGTAATCAATTTGAAAGACGTGCGGCTTTATTATCAATTGGAGTTTGCTCAGCTGGAGCACCAGACTACATTGCTTCTCAAATACAAAAAATTATCCCAGCTTTAATCAATGGATTAAAAGATCCGGAAATTATTGTTAGAGTTGCTGCTCTTAGAACTTTATCACAATTAACTTCAGAACTTCAAGATATTGTCACTGATCACCATGAACAGTTATTACCTTTAATTATTGAAATTATAGATTCCGCCTCATCCATAATGGCCTATAAATATGCTTGTTATGCTTTAGATGGATTAATTGAATTCATGAGTCACGATGCTATGAATAAATATATTGAACCATTGATGCATAAATTATTCCATATGTTAAGTCAAGCTAATTCATCTACTTTAAAAACTGCAATCGTTTCAGCTATTGGATCTACTGCTTTTGCTAGTGGTAAAGGTTTTACTCCATTTTTCCAAGGTTCAATTCAACAACTAGAACCATTTATTACAAATTCAGCTTCAGTTGATGGTATGAGTGAGGATGACATTGAATTAAGAGCAACTACTTTTGAAAATATATCTACAATGGCTAGAGCCGTGGGATCACAAACTTTTTCAATGTATGCCAAACCATTAGTTGAAGCTGCTTATAATTCATTAAGTTCTGAACATTCAAGAATTAGAGAATCAGGTTTTGCTTTTATTGCAAATATGGCTAAAGTTTATGGACCAGAATTTGCAGGATTTTTGGATCAAATTGTTCCTCAAATTTTGTCATGTTTAGATCAAGAAGAATTTACGTTTAATGTCGATGCTGTTGAAGGAGAAGGTGAAGAGTTAGAAGAAGTTGATGAAGAAGCTGAGAATGATGATCCATTAAAAGTTCATACTGGTATTACTATTGAAAAAGAAATTGCATCAGTAGCTCTTGGTGAATTGGCTATTGGTACTGGAAAAGAATTTTTTAAATATGTTGAACCTTCAATTACAGCATTAGCTGAACAAGTTGCAAATTCATTTGGTATGAGAGAAGCTGCTATGAATTGTTTATTTAAAATTGTTAAAGCAATGTTTGTTGCAGTTCAAGGTAAAGATTTTAAACCACCAAAAGGTGTTCCAAAATCGTCCTACGTTGACTCAAGTATTTTAGAATTAATCAAACAAGTCAGAGATTTAGCTATCCCTCTCTTGGAAGAAGAATTTGAATCAACAATGGTGGCTTGTATCTTAGACGGCACTTCAAATTCATTACATACTTTTGGTTCAATATTTATAGTTGATAGTCCAAATGATACTTCAAGTTTAGAAAAATTATGTTTTTCATTAATGAACATATTGAAAAAAGATCATCCATGTCAATTAGAAGATGATGAATTTCCAGAAGAAGAAGATTCATCAGAAACAGAAGTATTATTAAATGAGTCAGCTTTAGAAGTATTGATTAATTTATCAATTGCATTAGAAGGTGATTTTGTTAAAATTTTTACATCCTTTAAAGATTTAATATTATCTAAATTTGATAGTAAATCAAAACCTTTAAAAGTGGGTTCTATTGGTGCAATTGCTGAAATGGTTGGTGGAATGAAATCATCAAATCCATATTCACAAGAATTATTACAAGTATTTCTTCAAAAATTTTCAACTGATAAATCAATTGAAGTTAAAGGAAATGCAGCATATGGTATTGGATTAATTGTTGAATATAGTCCAATTGATTTAACATCAAGTTATCCTCAAATTTTAGAATTATTATTCCACTTGTTAAATAAAGTTGATAAAAAAGCAGGAAATGCAGATGATGAGGAAGCTAAAGATGTAGTAAATCGTGCTTATGCAAATGCTTGTGGATGTGTTGCTAGATTAATTTTAAAAAATCAACAAGCTGTTCCATTAGAACATGTTATTGAGCCATTATTAGATCATTTACCATTAGAAACTGGATTAGAAGAAAATACTCCAGTTTTTGAAGCAATAATAAAATTATATGAATCAAATAATCAAAATATAATATCACAAACTCCAAAAGTAGTTGAAATATTTGCAGGAGTTTTTAAAGCAGAAGAAGAAAGAATAAAATTAATAAATGAAAGTACTTTAGGTAGAGAAGAAAATATTGATTCAATGAAACAATTTTCAAGTGATGAATTAAAACATAAAGTTATTGAATTATTGAAATTCTTAAATCAAAAATATGATGGTGTTGTATCTCATAATGAAATTTTAAAATCAGTCATTTCATAGAGACGTTAATTAAACAATTTATTAAATAAACAATTCAAATAATAAGGTATTTATCTAGACGTGTGAGTTTTTACTTGACTGTAGATCACGATCTTACGAAACTCTAATTCTTAATTTTGAACTTTGAGCACATGAACTGAAGTTTCTTGTATGTATACTATTCGTGACAATCTTGAAACATGAAAACCCTTTGCAAGACATATTAGGTAATTGATGAAATCAAACTATGGATCTGTAAGATAGAAGTTTTTAAACAAAATTAAATTTGACACAAATGCTTAAGATCTTAAATCTAAAAATTGAATTAAAGTTGATAATGCGAATTGAGTTAAATTCAATCTATTCAATTAGAAAAAGAAATTGTTCGAATAAAATATCAAATGAGTGTGATATTCAGTTTAGTATGTTGTTAAGACAAACAAACAGTTCGGTGATGAGTGATGAGCTTCCCGGGTTCAAAAATCTCTCAAATACATTTAAAGAACTCAATGAAGATGATTCAGTAAAAATTTTGAATTATTTGCAAGCATCTTCAAACAAGTTGTGTAGACGATTAATTTATTCACGTCACAACGATGGTGCAAAAGTATTTACCGTAAAATGAAATACATTACCGTAAACCATGCATATAAGATCAAATATCCCTTAATTTTTAGATTATAGGTCATATCAGCCTCATCTTTTACATCTAAACTCTGATGTAAATTGGTTTCGAAAATATTCCTTTTCTCGCTAAATTTGGTAATTGATGAAATTTAGAAGAAAAAATTGAAATTGGGGATTAACTAATGAACACCAATCTAAGATTTACGCAAATGTTCAATGAGTTAAATCGTAATTGATAGATGAATTTTCGATTGTTTGATTTACATGTCCCTTATAATTAAAGTATTTATCATATAATTTACTCGATATTTAATATATTTCACATTAATTAATTGCATAAATAATAAAATATGGGGCAATTAGTATTGTTGTACGGATGTGTAAAGAAGTTGCAAATTACCACATTTGGCTGCGAAAGAGAAATATTTAAATACATTGTATAACGAGGATTTCAAAATCAAGCACCAGAAATATGATTTATATTTTAACATGTTTCAAATATATATAATAATCAATGTCTACTCACTTTAAAAATGTTCATCATAATTCTTAAATCCACAATTCAACAATCGTTACTACCCAATAAATCAAAATGCATCCTGGAGCTGCTGCTACTGCTTCATTTGCAATAATTGCATTTTTTTTATTAATTCCACCATTTGCATGGCATTTAAAATCAAAAAATATTCCTGCAATTTTTTTAGTATTTTGGTTAATTATAATAAATTTAATTGGTTTTATAAATGCAATGATATGGAGTGGTGATAATTTTACTCAAGTTTATGATGGACAAGGTTGGTGTGATATTACAACAAAATTAGAAGCTGGTTCAGGTGTTGGAAAATTATGTGCTATTACTTGTATTTCAATGAATCTTTATATGATTTTATGTGCTAAACATCCACTGTTTATGGATCCAAAAAGTTGGAAAAAAATTACAATTGATTTGGTGATGTGTTTATTTACTCCAATTTTTATAATGTCAACAAATTTTATTATTCAATCTAAAAGATATTATATTGCAAGATATAATGGTTGTGTTACTGTTTATTCTCCTACTAATGCTACTATTGGATTATTTTTGGTATGGCCAGTTATATGGAGTATAATTGCATTAATATTTGCTTTATTGACATTATATAAATATTTTCAAAAAAGAAAAGATGTTAAAGATTTATTAAAATGTACAAATTCTGGATTAAATTTAAAAAGATTTGCAAGATTATTAATTTTTAATTTCTTGATTGTATTTGCAATGACACCATTGGCAATATTATATTTTACTCAACAAAATCAATATATAGAATCTAAATTCAATTGGAATGTTGTTCATGATTCTACTTGGGGTCAAATTCAATATGTTGATATTGGGTTTTTCACAATGGCTGATAGAATAGTTAATATTACTTTATCAATTATTGCATTTTTATTATTTGGTTTAGGTAAAGATGCTTTATCAATGTATAAATCATTTTTTAGAAGATTTCAACCAAAAAGATTTAATAATTCAAAAGATGATAACTTCAATAGTGGTACATTATCTAAACAAACAACATATATTAATTCATCTACTCCAACAAAATTATTATCAAATAAATCTCAATTTAGTGCAGGCACTAATTTTAGTCAACCAACAATGCGTGATTTTAATGAATTTGGAGATGTTATTAATGAATTAGGTTTAGATGATAATTTAAATAACAACTCATCTTCCTTAAATTTAGAATCTAAAACAGAACTATTAAAAGATGAAGATGATGAAGCTAAAATTGGATATATTGAAGTTGAAGATTCTAATTTAAATGATGATATATTATACACTTATGAAGTTAAACAAAAAATTTAAAATATTTTAGCATAGCATATTTTTTTTTCTATTTATACGGCAACAATTTTCTTATTTTAATAATTGCATTAATTTATTTTTAATTTCATCTGCTTTTATTTTACCTTTTGTAATTTTCATTGCTTGACCTATTAATACTTGAATTGCATTTGAATGTCCTTTTTGAATTCTTGTTACTACTTCTGGATTTTGACTTATTATTTGTTCACAGATTTTATTAACGTCTGGAATTTCTGAATCAAGATTTAATGATTTTATAACATTATCAATTGAATGACCAGAATTTATCATCTCTTTTAAAATTAATCTCTTAGTTACTAATGAATAATCCAAATTTGCAATTTTAACTAAATCATCTGGTGATATTGAATTTACATCAAATTCTTGATCTAATTTAGCAAAAGCAGTAATTAATTCTTGAAACATCCAATTATTTGCTTTTTCAGGATTATTTAATTTTTCGAAAAACGTTTCATAGTAATTTAAATGTTCTGGTTCATTTAATAAATTTTTTGCATGTTGTAACTGTAAATTATATGGTGATGAAATAAGTCTATTTAATATTTCATCTGGAAATTCAGGTAATATAGCTTTAATATCATCTCCTATTCTTTCATCTAAATAAACATTTGGTATTTCTGAATCAGGTACGTATCTATAATCATGCATATTTTCTTTACTTCTACTAGTCTTTGTAACAAATCCATCCCAACTTTTAGTTTCTTGTACAATTTTCTTGCCTCTTTCAAGTTCTTCAACTTGTCTATTATATTCATATTTTAAAGCATTTGTTATATCACCAGTTGTACCTAAATTTTTAATTTCAACTCTTGGATTATCATTAACACTAATATTTACATCAACTCTTATTGCACCAGTTTCTAAATCACCACTACATATTTCAAAATGTCGTACTAAAATTTGATATTTCTTTATGAATGCAATTACTTGATCTATATTTTGAAAATCAGGATTTGTTATAACTTCAATTAATGGAGTATTAGCTCTATTATAATCTATTATATCACCAAATTTTTTTCCAGTATCTTGTTCTAATTGAATTCTTTCTATTCCTATTTTACCTTCAATTTCATCTAATTTAGGATCCAATTCAAGATAACCATCTTTAGCAATTGGATAATATTGTTGAGTAATTTGATAACCCATAGGTTGATCTGGATAAAAATAATGTTTTCGATCAAATTTTGAAAATGTTTGAATTTGACAATTTAGAGCAATTGAAGCTTTCAAAGCTAATAATAAAGCTTCAGGATTTAATTTAGGTTGAGTTCCTGGTAATCCAACATCAAAATAACTTATCTTGGTATTTGGTTCATCATTAAAACTTGTTTCTGATAATGAAAATAATTTATATTTTGTTTTTAATTGTGTATGAATTTCTAAACCACATTTAAATTTATAATTGGGATTATATTGAAATTTGTCTTTTGTTGTTGATAATAACCGTCGTATAAGCATTGGGATAATTATATGTTATATTAATTGAATTTTGATGTTGCTAATTTATGTTGATTTTAACGTAGATGCAAAAAAAACAAAAAACGGTTTTTTAGATTTTGTGACCAATTTTTAAATTTAAAAATGGCGAGTGAACAGAATATCTATTAGCAGTTGAAATCAATTCATAAATATATCATTTGGAATATACGTTAACTAAGTACTGCTACGTCAAATTATCGTTATTTTATCTCATACCTTATCGAGGGTTAGATAAAAACATTAACAAAATTGAAACATGCGCCAACAAAAAAACGTCTCGGAAACTGGTAATGCTCTCAGCAGGATTCGAACCTACGATCTCCTCATTACTAGTGAGGTGCCTTACCAACTTGGCCATAAGAGCAAATTTCTAGCTAAAAATTTTGGTGGTTAAATCTGTAGAGCAAAATTACGTCCGCATTTTAAGTGTTCAAGTCAGTATTTTGTTGCATCTAAGGTCGATAAATTAGTCGGTTGTTAATGTTTATTCGATCACCACGAATCAACTCAAAAATTTTGATTGATGCTTCAAGGTTTATAATGTCATTGTTCTTATGAATTGAATTCCACGCCGTTTAATCAATTTTTCTTCAATGTGTTGAATAAACTTGGAAATAAGTTAACATTTGGTTTTAAAAAATAGAAGTGGTGAGTCTTTGATGCTTCTGTGATAAGTAATGTTGTAGATAGTTGTTGCAAAAATTATTGCCATTGGTAATGTTGACTTAATTGGTAAATTATTTTTATTATTGTAATAACATCTTAATTTCTTTCTAATGGTCCTATGAAATCTTTCAATCGTAGAATTTTCTTTTGGGTTGTTTTACCGATGAAGTTATATGAATTATTCCTTAAGCTTTTAAAAAATTTCTGAAAAAAATCATTTATGAATCCACTTCCATTGTTACTATGAATCGTTTCAACTTTTATACCAAATTGAATATTTATATAATTCAATGTATTTTTAAATAATCATAAACCTCATCCTTAATTTTATTTTCCAATGGAATGACAAATGCATCAGTAAATATCACATATGGTTGACAAAAACATTTTACCTTTAATGAGCCAACATGTTGTTTTTTGTTTATGACTGAGACTTCTGATTCTTGATTTGATAATTCTACAATAGAAAGATTCCACAGGACCGTTGGAGAAAAATTAAGATGTTATTACAATAATAAAAATAATTTACAAGTTGGCGAAAATCTATTTTTTATATAGTTAAGAGAAAATATTTTCACCTAATCTATTTACCTTACAATAAGAGCACTTCTCTATTTAACAGATCTCATCTCATCTAACTAGCAATATTTGTCACCATGATAATTATGTGTGATAATTAGCATCATCACGTTTCCGATAACAAACCTCGGAAATAATTAAATTGTGTCAGATATATACATATCCATGTATATCGATAATATATTAAAATGGTATTGACAACATAAAATTTTGTCTCTTGTCAACCTGTCTCATGTAAGAAAGAAAACGTTTGACTAAGCTATTCAATGAGATAAGAATTTTTAACTTTTTTCCTTTAAATGTATCTTTATAAAGATTAAGATTTGACATGAAACTTAATTTTATTATAAGTTATAAGTTAATTACAAAAAAGTTTCAATAAAGTATAAAAAGAAAACCCTGATTTTACAAACTTATGAGTAATAAATTACATATTATTACTTAATTATAATGACCTATATAAAATCTACAAAATGAATGAATTAATAATAACCTATCCTTATATAATGAACAAAAATCCATCCGGGACCTTCTGATCAAACCCTAAATTATCCCTATACCTTACCTCCAAAATAAGCCAAACCCTTAACTCTTTAAAAATCATATTTCATTCCAAGAAGTATTATTACCAAAACCAATACCACCACAAGGTATCATTGAAGAAGAACCACCACCAGAAATTTCAGAAAATGTATTAGTATGATGATTATTATAATATTGGTGGTGAATATCATAATGTTGAATATCTTTTGTTAAATAATTTATATAATCAGTTGATCCCATTAAATATTTATTATTTTTATTTAATGTGGTAGTTGAAGTTTCTAATTCAGTTGATTGATTTGTTGAATATAATATCTTATATATAATTTGTTGAATTAAAGTTTTATTTTTAAATTCATCAATATTATTATTAGTTGTTAAAGATGTTTTTATATCTAATGATTTTAAATAATTTTTAACTTTTAATATATCATCATCTTTTAAATATTTAAATAAATCATCTCCATAAAATTCTTTTAATAATTTTTTACTTTCTTCTAACAGTTGATTTGAATTGGATAGGTTGGATTGTTTGGATTGATTTAGGTTTGATTGTGATTGAAATTGAGATTGAGATTGAGATTGTTGTTGGTCTTCTTCATCATAATCTAAATTCCAACTTGCTATATTTTCATCTATTGGTTGAGAAGAAGAATATATATTTGAATTATGCCAACTATTAATTTTATTTGATAATTTATCATAATTTTCTGAATGTCTTTTGTTTTTATGTGACTCCATTATTTCATCTTCTTCTTCTTCAAACGCGTCATTATCTTCTTGTTCAGTGTCTTCATCATCTTCTTCTTCTTCCTGTTCTTCTATTTGCCCTACCTCTTTCTCTTCTTTTGATGTATTAGTTAATGATAAAATATCTGATTCATTTCTTGTAGAAGAATTATTATTTAATTTTGGATTAAATAATACATAAGAAGATTGATCATCATCAAAACTATCTATAATTTCTAAATCATCATAATCTGATAAAATACTTGATGTTGCTTCAAATTGTTCAGTTTTATTATGGGTGCTCCTTATACTTAATTTAGATTTATGATTTTTAAGTTTTTTTGAGTCATTAGATGGTGGTTCTTGTTGTTGTTGCGGTTCAGTTTGTTGTTGTTGTTGTTGATTGTAAGTCCCAATTTTAAATAGTTTTAATTTAGGATTTATTGACATATTGTATAGATATTCTTTATGGTCTATTGATGAGTATTATAAGCTGTTGTAGTACTATGAAAACAAGTGTGGTTGGTTAGCTGTGTAAGAAGAAAAAAGTGATGATTAATAGTCCGAATATTAATTTATATATATAAAGTAATACTATTAATACTAATAATAATAGATAAGATAAAGTATTACTCTAAATAATAAAATAAATTTAAAGTTGTGGTTGCGTTGCCATTTACTTAATAAATTATTTATAATAATAAATAATACGATACATTGCATTACACACAATTTTTAAAAGTGATGAGTATTAACGAGAATTGGTCAGTATAGCCCATATAAAATGGAGGGAAGAAAGATATAGAATAATTAGCCATAGTTTCAGTATCACTACCATACTATATTGTAAGTTAGTCTTATTCTAATGTGGTATTACTGAAAGCAATCTCTTCTTATCTTATCTATCATTATTTTTAATTTAGTGTAAGACAATATCCATTTAAAATCAATCTTCCATTGTTGATCTAAAATTAATGTTATGTAATAGATAATTGGTCCATCATCTCTACGCTGTTTAACGCGTTAATCTCATTACTTATACCCCCCATGGAACTGTAGTTGTATTAATGAAATATAAAATATAAAGTATGTAGCATATTTCCGTCCGTATTTCGCATAAGGTGGCTAAAGTAATAATTTAATTCTCCTCCTTAAGATCTAACAAAATATAATACAACAATACAGTACAAATACAACACAACAATAATAAATAATTTGTTGAGATCTTTTTTGTTTCATATAAATCTATCATAAAGTGTTATTTCATTCTCCAATTCCAAATGTTGGTTTCATGTTCTACTTCGTCTAGTATCTTAAATCCACACGTCATAGTAAATTAGTTTCATTAAATTATAATAAAAACCTGAAATTCCCCTCTTTGTTAATTAACAAAATTTAGATTCTAAATAAAGAGTATAATAAATTTACCATCAATATTAAAATAATATTTGATAATCTATAATTTTATTATAAATGTAAAAGAGATCTCCACTTCTTGATTATTTAATTTATTCTAATCATAAGCTTTAAGGGAAATATTTTATCAAGTATAATTTCAATAACTCACCGGTTTCATGAAATAAATAAAATACAGTTTGAGTATAGTCTTTCTGATACTTTATACTTAAAAATGACTTTGTATTTTTAGGAATCCACAAATTCTTTAAAGGGGTACAACAAATATAGTGAAAGGTTCTTCCAAAAACTGTGAGATTCATCTCAGTTTAAAGTAGTCAGCAAGTCAAATATAAATGAACGACATATAACCTATTCGTGTCATCAATTTATATTTAAGTCACAAGCTATAATAGTTGGATGATATTGTCACTCAAGTGCAAGACTCCAACTTGTTCTGCTTTCATTCGAAGCTGGGGCACTTTAGAAGCTACCCACGGCAAAGGTAAAAGCAGTATCTCTAATGGTCGTTCCTTATCAAGTATATCAGCTTCGGACGAAAGTAGAGCAAGTAAGACTATGCACTCTTATCATCTATAGCACGAATCGATATCCAATTTAAATTAGGAACAATTCATGAAAACATTACTTTCATATTCAATTACTTAATGAAAAGATTAACGAACCGCCTAATTCTACCAATCACTTCTTCTTGGGTACAAGTCCAATTTTTATTTAAAATCAAAGTTTTATTACAAATTTCCAACTTCAGATATCGATAACTTAATTAATGAGTCTTTCACCAAACCGAAGTATATGTCTTTGTTCAGGCACATAAAAAAAACCCAAAAAGATACTTATCAAAGCTGTTCATTTCCAATAAGTTTGTGCATACCACAACCTAAAAATGTCTTCAACCTACTTATTTACTTACTTCTAAGCAAATAATAGTTAGTATCCTAATTGTAAAGATAATATAATCTCATATGAACAAAGGTCGAATCCATTTTTTTCAATGTCAGATAGGGGTGAAAGACTATTTATACACTTGTGTTTTGAATAATCATTTCTTTAGATAAGTATTAATTAAACAATATCATCATTAAAATTATTTCTTTTAAAGGTTCTTTGATCAATGGTAGAAGTAAATGTAATTCAACATACTATTGATTCATTTCGTCTTCATATGAGACCAAATAATCTTTTAACACCCTTTGAAATTTTTTATACCAAGTGAGTTAATGTTGAATGAAGTAAAGAAGTTTTGAAAGAAAGAATCTCAAAAGAAGTGCAGAAATTTGAAAAATTTGAATTGAGACTAACTTGAGATCACATCCTGCATATATCTTAAACTATGGAAAATATCCAGATCGACAAAATCTCTACTTACTTAGATTGAAATCTTCTTTACAAGATCTAATTTAATTCAATCTATATTCAACAATGGCAGTCAAAGGAATTGGTCAAGTTGATAAAAAATACGATGGTATGTTTTTAGTTTAAAAAATTGGGGTTGCACTAATTCTCAAACTAATACTAACTCAATCAATTCAGGTTCAAATTTAAGAATTGGTATACTTCACGCAAGATGGAATAAAAAAATAATAGATTCATTAGTATCAGGAGCAATTCAAAAATTAATAGAATTAGGAGTAAAAGAATCAAATATAATAATAGAATCAGTACCAGGATCATTTGAATTACCATTTGGTTCAAAATTATTTTTTGAAAAACAACAAAAAAAACAACAACCTCTTGACGCTATAATCCCCATAGGTGTATTAATAAAAGGCTCAACTATGCATTTTGAATATATTTGTGAATCAACAACTCAACAATTAATGAAATTAAATTTTGATTTAAATATTCCTGTTATTTTTGGTGTTTTAACTTGTTTAACTGAAGAACAAGCTGAAGCAAGAGCTGGATTAATTGAAGGTAAAATGCATAATCATGGTGAAGATTGGGGTGCTGCTGCTGTTGAAATGGCAACTAAATTTGGTGTTTAAAATTAAATTGATTTTTTTCAATTAAATGGAGATTTTATATAGAAAATATAATTACTTATTAATAAAGATATGGGCATGGTTATTGAATTAACAAACGTATAATACAAGTATCGAAATCTCGCAAGTCTGCATAACAATATTAAGACATTGAGAAGACTCTATATTTTAGGCAAAGCCATCATATCATCGTGTTTAAGCTCGAACTGATGATAAGCATTTAATATACTTGTAATTCTTGAAAGTAATCTTAATTTAAGGCTTACAAAACTCGTAAGTGGTGTAATCTTATAGTGTACATTACAAACTTGCACTCATTTCTTACCTCAAGTGACTCGTGGCGATAGAAGTAGGAGACCAATTAGTGATTTTTGAAATTTTTTTTTGACAAAATATGTTTTTTTTTTTTTTTTTCCTTATTCAACATACATTAAAATAAAACTATATAATCTTATATACAAATAACACTATATAATTTTCCCAGTATGTAGGTCTTCAAACGGAGAAGACGATAATTTCCAATTTATTTTGGGAAAATCAGCTTTTATAGCCATTATTGAGTCATGATAATCACGATTCAATAACGAAATGAGATTCTCTTAAATTGAAATAATTCAATTTAATCCTACTCACCCAATATGTTATTGGGTTTTTGCAGCCAAGTATTTAAATTTAATCACAAGTGCACCAAATAAAATAAAATCGAAAATGTTTGAACTATAAAAGTTATATAATGTTTGTGACCCTTGTATCTCTGTGGTTGCAATACCGGTCGTTGTCGCGATACGTTATGAATATAGACAATTATTGGTTGTTTTTGGATACAACTGTTTCACATATGTTATTTTAAAATATTAAGGAAATAGCTATCGATACTCCCTAATCTCATTCACCAGTCTAGAGATTCTTTCTTAGGTATATTTAACCTAAGCTGTTCTTCAATCTACCGTTTCAATTCATAAAAGTTTTTAGAGGATTCACAATAATTTAATGAAAACAATGGCTTCAAAATCACTCGATTTTAAAGTAATGGGTTCAGTGTTAACGTCTTACGAAAACCTGACCAAAAATAAAAATGAAATTGAAATGAAAAAGCAGTGAATAAGGTATTTCACATACTAGAAATACTTCTTAATTTTCTTTAAAGGTTTTTGCAACACATGAAATATGTGAGCTTCAAGATTATCGGAAGTATAACATTTTGTTGTAATCTAAGCTTTCTTTTATGAACTAGCACGAAGAAAGTAGTGCATTCAAATATGAGGTATAGAGTATGAACCATTCTTACTTTATGAATTCAGTTTAGACCCTTAATTGATTGTTCCAAATGTAAAACCTTCAATTTTGTCTAATAAAAAAAAATAAAAAAATATGAGACTCATTTTGCAACGACCAGAGGGAGGATTGAACTCCCGATCTTGTGATTAACAGTCACACGCCTTAACCAGCTTGGCCATCCAGTCGAATTGTTGGTCAAAAATTTTTGGGAGCTTTTATAAAATACATAAATACGCCTCAAAAATAGCCCAATTTGCACGGAAAGTTGGGATGAGTTTTAATAAATTTATATTCAAAATCCAGTTTGCGCCTAATATTTAAGTTAAAACACGAATGATACTTTAAGTGAGGTAGACCATTTCATGAAATGTATTGATTTTCAGGTTAGTAATTTATGATTTAAAGATTCTTAAATATTGTCGATATACTTGATATGTATACCTAAACCAGTTTAATTATTTTCGAGTTTTGTTGTTATCGGAATTATAAATTGCCAATTATTACAATAAATACCATGGTGACAAATATTGTTAATTAGACGAGATGAGATTTGTTAGATAGAGAAATGCTCATCTCATTATGTAAATAGATTAGGTGAAAGTCTTATATAGAATAGATTTTCACCAACTTGTGAATAATTTTATATACTTTCAAAAATTAATTGTTTTCATACTTATCAATTCATAAACGTATTTCGGTATACAAGTTTATATTAGTTTTGTAATCAGAAACTCAAAAAGTCGTTATAACGAATTGGTGGACGAAAGAAAGATATTTATACCATATTTCATGTTATTGTAAATTCGATAGATTGATTGTTTCAAACCAATTTTTGCTTTAATATTTAACATTAAGAATTTACAAATTTATTAAAATTCATAATTGAAACTTTATTATCATTATAATTGAACTATCAAACTAAACTCAACAAATAGATCTACAATACAAAATGGAAATTTAAATCGCATTCAAAAAAATGAGACGCTTAAGCTGAAATTCTGAAAAAACCGATCTACTCCTAAAGTCAAAGATGATATTAGATTTCTTACAGTAATAATGTCAAAGAATACACACATTATTACTTTTACAATTTACAATTATTTTTTACCATCAGAAAGTTAGTTAGAGTAGCTGACTTTGTCAAATACCCAATACAAAGAAATGACAATATAACATTCGATGATAAAACCGAGGAGTTTGTTAAGCTCGGTTTTATCATCGAATGTTATTTTATCATTCCCCTTCTCAAATTGTTACAAAAAATTTGGGAGGGGGAAAGTAATCATGAAATGAAACTAAGGTAGAAACTTAACAAAACAGCCAGGAGGAAAACCGTAAACACCTTCAACCATCTACGTATACAACGAATGATGAATTGACAAATTTTTGACAAGCCTAGAAACACATGAGACAAATTGTTCAACTGAAATTTGGCGTCTAAAATTAAATATTTTAACCTAATCGTGAGTACTCAAATATTGAAATAATCTTAGAAGAATTAGACTCACAGTTGCTAAATTGGAGGTATTTAGTGTTGTGGATGAAAATCAAAGATGGACAGACGCAAGATGAAAATATGTTCAAGCTGTACATCATGATTTAATTTACCCAATAATAATCTGTATAGGCTTTCAATGCCTACTACAATCTCCTTGTTAAAAATCCGAATAGTACTGAAACAATTATAATCGGATTCGTAATAAGTTGATTGTAATAAGCACTGAAAACCTTGCAGAAGTAATGAAAGTCTTTTTCAAATAGTAAAGGTGGAATCATATTTCATGTATACGCTTCCGTAGTACGTAATTTTTTTTAGCAAAGGATGATGGCAGGATTACCTCAAGGACGGTAGAAACGAAACCATTGTATGAATACCAATCAATTGACAAAACTTTTCTCGATGGAAAAGAATCCGTGATTGAACATGAATTAACTATGCAATATCAACAGTTTTTGAATTGATTTAATTAAAAATTCTTATCCCTTGAAATCCATAAAAGCTGTTACTTAAGTTCATCACCATTTGTTTCTTGCCTCGTTGGAAGCCACATGATGCTTGGTTTAACATAGTTTGGTCTTTCTTGAGCAATATTGAGCAATGTTGTTTTAATGGTTTATTGTAACATACCTTGAGTAATTCTTATACTCTCTGGTGGTTGAACCCAATGAGTTTACTTTCATTTTAAAGGAAGGTAGTTTTGCAGTAGATGAACCCAACACGAATAATGACTTAGAAACTGTGTAACATCGAACTTATCACTCCTAACTTTAGTTATCTAACACAGCCGGCTCCTAGAATTGAGTCAGTCTGAGTCTTTGTTGTAGAACTTATATTAGATATCTCATCTTCGTCCATCAATGTTGGTGTAATGCAAAAAAATTCAAAGAATGAAGATAACAATTATTGCGCAATAAATTCTCAATGTCGAACAAACTTTATTTGGTGAAAAAAAAAAAATCAATACCAGCTTTAAAAATTGCAACAAGTTAACAAAACTTTACCACTTCAAAATCAACCAACGGGAAAAAATAATAAGAAGATGAGTGGGTGTATGTTTAATTTTAACTGATTGCATTGCAAATAACTACTCAATTGATAATGGAGTACTAACATAGGTCAGTTCGTTTACTTGATTTAATTAAATTTTTTTTACCAATATTACCAGAAATCGAATTACCATATGAATCAATAAAATTTGATGAAAGAATTGTTTATACAATTGGTTCAGCAATAATATTTTTATTTGGTCAATTACCAATATATGGATTAATTCCTAATGCTCAATTTCATTTAATTGATCCTTTTTTCCAATTTAGATCAATTTTTGCAATGGAAAAAGCAACTTTATTAGAATTAGGTTTATTACCAATTATAACTTCAGGATTTTTATGGCAAATTTTAGCTGGATTAAAAATTATAAATATCAATTTAAGTTTAAGATATGATCGTGAATTATTTCAAAGTGGTCAAAAATTAACTTCATGGTTTTTAGCTATAATTTTTGCAGTAGGTTTAATATATTCTGGTTATTATGATAATGTTATAAGAAATTATTCAACTTATAAAAATGATTCAATACCAATTGGATCATATTTTATAATTTTTTTACAAATTATTTCATGGCAAATTATTGTTTCTTTATTAGTTGAATTATTTGATAAAGGTTATGGATTTGGTTCAGGAATATTATGTTTTTTAACATTACAACATACTACAAATTTCATTGGAGAATTAGTTGGTATTGAAGTTTATCCAATTTTAAATTCAAATAAATTTGAAAATTTTGGATCATTAATGAATTTAATTCGTAATTTTTCAATATTTAATTTAAAATCTACTATATATCAAATTTGGCATTCTTTTACAAGAACTCAATTACCAAATTTAACTCAATTTTATATTGCCTTAGGATCAATATTAATTATTATAGCATTACAAAATTTTAGAGTTGATATTCCAATAAGATCAACAAAAGTAAGAGGTATGAGTCAAATGTTTCCAATAAGATTATTATATTGTGGTGGTTTACCTTTAATTTTTTCATATTCAGTATTAGCAAATTTACAAATTATTGGTTATATAATTTGGTCAATATTAATAAAATTAAAAGCTCCTCCAATTTTAATAACTTTATTAGCAAATTATAATATAAAAGCAAATTCAAATAGAGCTATATTAACTGGGGGATTCTTGTATTATTTTTCACCAGAACTGAATTTATTAAATTCAATATTATCACCAATAAGAACAATTATTTATTCTTTAACAATTATAATATTATCAATTTGGTTTGCTCAAAAATGGAGTTATATATCTGGTTCATCTCCAAAAGATATTTCAAAACAATTTAAAGATCAAGGTATTTCAATAGCTGGTAAAAGAGATATATCAATAACAAAAGAATTATCCAAAATTATACCAACAGCTGCTATAACTGGTGCATTTGTTATAAGTTTATTAGCTGTTGTAGGTGACTTTTTAGGTGGATTAGGTAGAAATTCTTCTATCATTATAAGTTTATTATCTGCTTTTGGTATATTGGAAGAATTTATGATTGAATATCAACAAGCCGGTGGTTCACAATTTTCAAATGCACTTTCTGGATTTACTTGAGGAGAGAATAGAGCAAATGGAGAGGTGAAGGAGATCGAAAGGAGACATAAGAAAGACACGTATAATAGATTAGTTGAAATGAAATGAGAAACGTAATAAATACTGTTTGCATTCTGTAAAATTAAAAACTTTAAAAAAATTTTGTAATCATATAGTTAAAAATTAAAATTAAATTATTAATTAAATTATTATTATTATTTAAAAGTAAAAGTAGAATTGAACAAAAAAGGGTATAAACCAGATACTTTTTGAATATTAGCGAAATTGATATAAAAAAAAACCAAACATTTGAATCTCAATCTTTGTCATCATGAACATTAATTTGACGAAACTTTTAGTGGGTTGATCAGTGGCTTGATTGTATGCAAAATACCTTTAATATCTTGGGGAAATTAATACCACCTAATCAAAACAAAACTAAATCTTTTAATCTTCATAAATTATATGATTTGAATTATTAAAATTATAATTTTCATTCTTATTATTAAATTTATTATTTGAATTTGGAGTAACAGAAATAATAGGATTTGTTTTAAATTTAAATTTTTTTTGGGGGAGTTGATTTGTTTGATTATTTAACTTGGTAAATGAATTTTGGTTGTTACTTCGATTATTATTTAAAAAATAATCATATTCATCTTCTTCATCATTCTCATTATCTAATTTTAATGTAGGTGATAAATGAAATTGTTTCATTGTAAATTGATCATTTATTAAAGGATTTTGAAATTGTTTTAAATTTTTAAAATTTTTAATTTTATTTGATTCTTTTAGTGAATTATTAACTTCTTCTTCATCTTCATCTTCTTCTTCTTCTTGATCTTCTTCTTCATTATTATTTTTTTCAAGTTTTTGCTTCAATTTATCCCTATAATCATTTAGTGCAAAAGATGATGATTTTATTTTATCTTTTATCATAATTGAAGTAGTTGATCTTAATAAAATACTTATAATAGTTTGTAAAATGAAAATACCAATTTTAAAAGGTTTTATTAAAATTAATTTTAAAATTAATAATGGTATACTAAACAAAATATTAAAATAAAATTTTAAACCAATAATTGGAATTTTAAAACAGCCCCATAAAATAAATTTCCAAAGGTAAAGTAATGGATTATTTAAAATATCAAATACATGATCCATTATATGAACATATAAATTCATGATATAAATTTCAAAAATTTGTAATATAAAAAATTTTAAAATTTCAAAATCATGAATTTTTAATTGTATAAAAATTGAATTTATTTCATTATATAATATTTTACTTACAAAATTTGGATGAATTATAAAATCAAATATTGAAATTTCATTTTGTAAATTTTTGATTGTTTTTTTAATTATTGATAAAAATTCAATATTTGATAAACTTATACTATTTAAATTATTTGAATTTGTTTGATAATTTTCGTTATGATTATGATTATTACCTATTAATGATGATGAATTTGAATCATTAAATTTTGAATTTAAACTATTATCAAATTTTGTAAAAGATGGAGTTTCAAGTGATTCAAATACTAAATCTTCTTCTTGTTCAACAATTGTTTTGAGTGGACTTTTACCAAAAGATGATTTACGTCTTGGTAACATTGGTTTTTGTAATTGTAATGGTTGTGGGTGTTGTTGTTGTTGCATAAGTTGAGATCTGGAATATTCAATTGTTGGTGATGATACAGGTGAACCTTCTTTTGGTGATAAGCTTAATGGAAATGGTGAAATAGATTGATTTGGATCTAGAGTTTCATAATTACTGATTTGTTGTTGAATTGTATTTCCTTTAATTTGTTGTTGTTGTAATTGCTGCTGCTGCTGTTGAGCTTGCTGTTGTTGTAATTGTTGCTGCTGTTGCTGCTGTTGTTGAAGTAATTGTTGTAATTGTATATTTTCTTCAACTTGTTGTTGATGTTGATGAATCAATTGAATTTGTTGTAATTCATCATATTCATCTCTTGATTTTAATTCTTTTTTAATTTTTAATAAATCTAATTTTAATTTATCCAATTGTTTATTATTGATTTGTAAATGATCTAATAATATTTGATTTGTTAAATTTGGTAAAAAATAATATTTTAAATCTTGTAACCAATTTGAAATACCGTTACTATTATTTTGTAAATGAATTGAAGAATTATTTAAATTTAATGAAGAATTTTGTAAAGATTCAATAAATGTAATCATAATTCTAAAAATTGACCAAAATTGTAATAAAGCAATATTAACATTATTAAAAATCATTTTTTTCCTTTTTTGATCAATAATTGTATATTTTCTTGTCCAAATTAATAAAAATGAACTAAAAATTGATGATATTAAACAACAAATTAATGCAATAATTTCAAATGTATAAATTTTTCTAATTAATAAAATAATTTTATCAGCATTTTCATTATTTAAATTATTTATTGATTTTAATTCAATATATAGTTTTGATTTTGTTTGTTGTAATTTTTTCATCCAATTATATGGCCATTCCATTGTAAATCTAACTACCCAACTTATTAATATAACAGTTAATAAATCAATTATAAAATTTCCAATTTGTTCATTTTTGGGAATTGAATTTGAGTTTATTGGAAACAAAATTGATGTTAAAGTTGGTAATAAAATTATTATATAAGTGAAAATTTTAAATATGGTTTCTTGATATGAAGAAGGATTTTCAGGACTTGTTCTATAATTTGCATTACCTTGTATAAAATCAGCAATTGACGATTTTTTATTTAGTACATGATTTGAATTATTGGTTGTGCTTGTGTTTGTCGAATGTTGAGAGTTTGATGGAGTTAATGTATTTGATGATTTTTTCTTTCTTAAAGTTGATTTAGTTGAATGTATTGATGAAGATGTTGTATTTGCTGAAGCTTGAGCATTTGACTTGGTAGAGTTACTGGTTGGTTTAGTTGTGGTTGATGTTGATGTTGATGATATAGTAGATGAAGGTGTAATTGATGATGAATTATTATCAATAATTTTTTTGAATTGATCTTGATTCATAAGATAATTCAATTTTGTATTACTTATTTTAATAAATTTTTTACTCATTTGATTTTAAATTTTAATCTTATCTTACCCCTTCTTTTATTTAAATATTTTGTTATTCTATAATATTATGATAATACTTGTATGTGTATGTCTATGTCTGATATTGAATATATAAATATATGTAAGATAATGTATGAAGTTAATCCTTTCTTTCTTGCAGTAAATGAAATTGAGTATTGAATTTTATCTATGAACGGATGGATTTAACCCTCGATAGTTGTTCGGTATATGGGATCTATGTAATGTGTTTCTTGATTTGAAACTTGAATCAATTGATCAATTTTCTAGTTAAGGAATGTAGACTGTAGTCGTTTTAGACGTGTATTTTTTTATTTTGTATTCAATGTGGTTAAATCCACTATTTCCAGTTGTTGTAGGAAACAGCTCTACTAATTGTTGTGATCCAATTGAAGTTAAAGTGAAACTTTTTTGTGAAAGTAGAAGAAGAAAGGAATGACAATAAAAGTAAATATTTTTGGTTGTAAATTTGAAATGTATAAATATGATATTTTTATTTATTTTGGTTGTAAAAAAAATTTGTATTAAAAAAATAATTTAATATTATACGTAAAGTTACACAAAACTATAGTCTATATACATTAGCATAATATAATTAATATTTGATCTTGTGGTATAGATTATATTATCTACTCTAGACTACTATAGATACTATAGAATCAAAACTTTCCTACCAAATCTCATAATGAATTATTATTGAACTCATGAGTGTACCTATTGGAAAGGGTTGGAAAAGAATGTAATAATGTCTCATAATTAGAAACGTTTCAATTAGAAAATAAACATTTGTTTATTATTTTCACTTCCTTACAATTGAACTTACCCCAAAATTTTATGTAAATTCTATTTTTAACATTTTTTACATTTACTAAGTTATGGATCCACCATCTACTGAAAAGGTATTAAAAATTAAGATGAAGTATATTTTATTTCCATATTAAATGGATTCACTCATCAATTGTTTCCTATTTTACCCATGGTCTGTATGGAAAAGTCTCTTCTTCTTTAGCTTAATATTTTATACATTATTGAAGTAATACTTTGTACATGATGATTTCATTATGTTTTGATTTTGTTACTTTCTTTCGTCTAGATTCAACATACTCATAACACCATAACACAAACTTAAAATTATAAGATTTACACTAATTTATAGTAGTAGATCAATAGTATGTTGTTTTAAAATACGTTTCGTAATTTAATATGATAATTGTGTAATGAATAATGTTTGTGGATAAAAATCTAATAACTTAAAAGTGTAAACGTAATTTTACAAATTTTCCTCATCACTGAACTACAGTTCAACTAATGAAATTCAAATGTTTATATCAAGTTGAATGAGTTAAATTGCTTAGTCTGATGAAGGATTTTACCAAAAGTAATTTTTGTATCTCTTATATTTTTAAATCTTTAATTATAATAAGTATTGCATTAAATCCGCAGATCAAATATTATTTTAAACTAACTAACTAAGACACATCCATATTAGTCTTATGATAAAGATCGGCACCAACTTCGAATTAAAATAATTGTCTAATTCTTGTAACCATCAATTTTGATTACAAAAGTAGTTTTTCATATTACTTTTCTCAATTTATAATGAATCAAAACAAAACAATAAGATTCAAATCTCAAATTTTTTTTCTATTCTTTTTATTTTTTGTTCTTTTCAAGAATGATTTACCTTGCATTTGATTTAATACACAAATGTCAATGAAGTCCGTATGGACAAGTCGATCTTAAATTGAGGCGATGCTTGATTCTATATTGAATTAAATCACAATCCTTTCAATTCAAGATATTAGAGAATCAGATCTAGAAAATAAAAAATATTCTTATGAGTAAATTGATAATCAGATCTCAGCATTTCAAAGACGCGTTTTTTTTCTCACATAGTTTATCAATTTAAAGAACTTTTTAAAGAACTTTAACTTTAATTTCATTTTTAATCTTTAAATTTGAAAATTTTACGATCGACTATAACAATGTTTAAATGTTTTTAACGAGAGTGTTAATCACATTTAAAGTTTAGCTTTAGTTTAAGACTAAATATTTTCTTCATTAAATTTTTTATTACTACTTTAATCAAATGAATAAACAAAAAAAAAAATGAAAATAATTAAATATTATTTGATGCATCAAAAAGTCCGTAAATTTTGTCTAATAATTATATAATAGAACTAAAGAATAATCACATGCTTATTAAGTACTTTATGAGGCTCTTCTTTTTGATCAATTTAATGCAAATTTGATTTGACTACATAAGTATTTTGAAAATAACAAATTATGCTCTGTATCAAAATTATCATTGTATACGGAATTTTACGATTTGTGAAAATAGTTATGGAAGAAAAGGTTTTACAATAACTGAAAATCTAGACAATCATCGGAATGAACAATCATTATCTTCTTGTACTTTATTTGATGATTTTCTTTTTCTATCATTGATGCATATTAATTGATGATGAGACACAAAAAAAGATCAATTATATTAGGTGATTTTTAAGCGACTGATTTAAACCGGTTTTCGATTTATAAAATTTGATTTAATATATTTACGCCTTAACATGAATGATTCTGATATTGTTAGTAGTATGAGACTTGATGTTTTTCGGGATTTATGCAAAGAGGGAAGTACTATCCTAAAAGTATACCTTTGAGAGTCCAAGACCAATGAAATTAGTTTTGAGGTCATATCTATTAAAATAAGAGGCTATGAACCGATCTGTTTTTCAGATTCTATGAACCGATCTGTTTTTCAGATTCTGCTGGTAAAATTATAATAAATTTGATGCTCGTTGAGTCCTTTCTGCGTGTAAATCATGTTTAAAGTAATTGAAATCGCTATATGTATATTGATATTGGCCTCTCGGTCGTACTTATATTCATGCAAAAAATTCAAAATACTTAACAAAATTTGTTTTTACTCAAAAATACTCCCAAATTTGAGGAAAAGAGTTTGGGGTAAAGCTCCAGGCTTTTTCCAACTATTTCACTGCAATTCAACCATCGAGTCTGATCTTTGAGAAAGATAGTTATTGAATGCATTTGCCATCTCCTACTTAGGTTCATAGGTATTTTGCAGTATGGTAAGTACACTAAATTTCTGTAACACATCCATACAACAATACTTAAAATTTTTTATTTACAATTTACACGAATTTAGATAAAATGAAAAACTTTTGACACATTATGAGAAATAGGAAGGAAATCCAAGGTACCCTCCTTTCAATTTGCAACAAATCTTACAAGATTTCTTTTTACATGATGAGTGTATATCATCTCTCGCACTTTAATACCCATCGGTTATAGATGGCTTTCAACAACTAGAATCTTCTAATTATTACTTCTATGTCTCACTTTATTTCTGTAATAATCTCTTGTGACCATTTACTTAGTCCACAGTTTCTTTTTTTTTTTAGTGTAGTTAGTGTAAAAGTGAAAAATTTTTCACTTACTGAAAAAATTAAGGAGAGAGAGATAAAATTTTTCACCTAACTTATTTCATTCTTTTACTTTTTTGCCACAGGATTTTAAACAATTTAATATCATCTTAGATATTTCAGCAATATATAAAGAGAAGATATAATCTAAATCAAATCTATTTAAAAAAAATCAACTATTCAAAACTCATATATAAATATTCATTCATTCATTAAAAAATGGTTTTAGTTCAAGATTTATTACATCCAAATCCATCAACAACAAAAAATACTTATAAATTAAAAAAATTAGTTCAAGAACCAAATTCTTATTTTATTGATATAAAATGTCCTGGATGTTTTAATATTGTAACAATTTTTAGTCATGCTCAAACTTCTGTTAGTTGTGAAAAATGTTCTAATTTATTATGTACTCCAACTGGTGGTAAAGCTAAATTAGTTGAAGGTTCATCATTTAGAAGAAAATAAATTTAAAAGCTAATTAATCTAGCATTCATTTGATGTTATATTTGCATTATTTTTGATTTATTATTTTCATGGTCATTTTATTTTTTATTATTTTAGCATGAGTGTATAGTCAAGTTGTCATTTGGCTATACCAATTTTTCAATTCATTTCATTCTTGAATATCAACTAATTTTCAAAAACTTTTATCATTTCATAATCATAAAAAAAGAGAGGAAAAACTGAGGTGTGGAAAAGATAAAGAGGAAGAGGAAATGGTATAATGATGGATGAAGAAAGTAGCAATATTTTGTTCCTTTGTCTAGAAAATCAAGTATTAGGTACTGATCGAATCACGGGTAGCAGAGTGTAGAAAGATCAAGATATCTAATACTTGTTTTACCAAAAAAGTTTTTTCAATGACGACAAAGAGGATAAAAGTAGTGGTAGTAATAGCATAGGATTCACATTTTCATACACACACATAATTCAATGAAAAATTGACATTTTTTTGGCATTTGATAACAATTTATGAAATAATTAGAACTTTTGGGAGGGTTTTTTTGATTAAAATAGTCAAAGATTTTATCATCTGTTCAAGTTTCATTTTCGAGATTTTTGTATTATAGATGTGAGGATATGTTATATTGTTTCATATTCGTATACCTCATTACGGGATTTGATGAGAATACGAACAAAGAAGAAAATGGTGTCAAAGTAAAATTTTGATACTTTTATGTATTTTATGTTTTTTATGGTCATTTTTTTTTGGTTTATAGATATCAGTTTATTAGTTTATTAGTTTATTAGTTAGTTAAACAGTTAGTTATTATATTTAATGTAACGATTTAAAATTATAATATTTGAATATAACGTAGACTTACATTCTACATGTTTGTTTCTGGAATAAGTTTGCCCAAATAAATAATAAATATATTTACAGTTGCTTCTATATACATAAACCTATTTACTTTCCCTCATAAGTTTCAGGATTAACATCCAATTTTTTACCTTTATTTTTATAAGATCTTTTATTTTCAATTTCATTAGCCATAATTTCAGTAGCTAAAAATCCATCATTAAATTCATTTTCATTAATACCAATTTTTTTTTTCCAAATCTTACTTTGTTGTTCTTTTTTAAATGTCTTTTTAGAAGTCTTGTATAATGAATTTAATTTTAATTTAATGGTTTTTGAAATTGGAGTTTTGATTATTGATTGTTTTTTACCTAAACCCCATAAATCACCTAATTGAATTTTTCTTGCATCATGATATTCTTGTTTACCTAAAGATTTTGGAATTTGAAAAATTTCAATATTACCTTGATTTGAACATACTGTTAATTTAACATTTTTTTTTAATTTTTCAGGTATGCGGATTATTCTTGGCCAATTATTTATATCTTTTGAATCAATTGGAGAATTATCATTTATGTTATAGTTTCTTGAATTTTCAATTTTTTGTAAAGTTGATTGATCATTTGAACTTCTTTCAACTATAAGATATGAATATGATCCATCTTCTGTATCTCTTCCTCCTGGTCTACCCTTTCCACCTAATTTTTTTAATTCATTTTTATTTATTGATCCTATACCATCAATTGATTGTTTATCCCATTTAATAGCTAATTTTTTACCTTTTTTTAATTCCATTGTATAATTTGGTCTTTCAACTATTTTTGAAAATGAACAAAAATTTAATCTATGTTTATGAGATGGAATTTTATAATATTTTGGATCACCTAATTGTAATGGACATTTTTTATGATTTGGACAAGGAGCTAAGATTTTTAAATGATAATCTATTTTTTCATAATTCAAATTCGAAGAAGATGATGATTCATTCTCTTCTTCTATAAATTCAAAATCTTTTGATAATTCTTCATCGAATTTTAATTCATCTTCTGTAACTTCTCCATATTTTGAATTCAATTCTTCTTCTAAATGTAAACCCATTTTCTCTCTTTCTTCCTCAGCATCTAATTGAGCTAACATATCTTTTTCAAATTTTAAATCATCATCAGTTATTAAACTATCTTCTTTTTTTAAATGTTGAGGTTTACCACTTGATCCACTAATATATGGTCTAGGAATTTTACCTACCTCGTCAGGAAAACGTTCCGGCCGTATCATTATTTGTCTTGCTCTTGCTATAGTTTCAAATCCAACTGAATTACCTCTTTCAACTAATATTAAATGACCATTGGGGGATAATAATCTTAATATTAATTTTATATTTTCATCTACATCTTTTGGAAAATTATATTCTTTTGTTAATAAAGAATTACTAGCTATGATTAAATCATATTTTTTAGTGACTGGAATAGTATCTCTTAATTTTGTGAGTATATTGATTTTTTTCACATCAATGGGTCCAACATATTCTGATTCAGTATTTGATTCTTGTCTTTGATTCTTTATTTGATCTGCAGTTTCACTCTGATTAGTTACATTCTCATTTGGTTGTCTTGATAATATAATTTTTGCTCTTTTCTTCATTTCATTATTTTTTCTACCAACAATATATGCATCTTTTTCTTCTGGTTTCCAATCATCTCCCATAATTTCATTTAATGCAACAATACCAGTTGCCGGACCATATCCTATATCTAATACCTTTTTTGGATTAAATTTATCTTTCCCCAATCTTTTTTGTAATTCTAATATAACTTGTCTTATATGACTATAATCTTGTAAAAAAAAACCAGCAATATGAGCATTACAATCTAATTCGCTTGATGGAGCTTGTTGAATTTGATTTTTTTGAAAATTTTGATATAAAGTAACAACTCTTTCTCTAAGTTTAGCAGGTATCGTTGAACTTAAAATATTATTTTGAATAACTTTTGATATTTCTTGAGGTAAAACTGTAATTGAATGATCAACTCTTCCTTTTAAAGTTGTATCACTTAATCTTGCTTCTAATGCATTTTCTCCCTTTTTCAAAGTTCCATCAAAATTTCTAAATGGTGATCTATTTTCATATTCTTCTACAGTTTCACCTTTACTTATTATTTGAACTTGTTCTGGTGATAAATAATTTTTAACTATATCTTTACTTGATCTATCTTCTTCTTTAATGAAATCAAAATCGAAAGCTGACGGTTGTAATTTTGGTTGTATATTATTATGATGCGGTAGACTATACTTCCTTCGTAGGTTCGGTAGTATCCTACCAAGTATTACTTGTCTATTATACATGAATGAATTAATGATTAAACTATGGTTGCAAATATTAAGTTACAAAATAAGATGAGAAAATGAACCAAACAAATTTTGGAAACAAAAGAAAAATATATTTTAAAGTGAGAGAACGTCATTTTTCAAAGTCCAACAGAATCATCAACAACAATGTTCAGATCAATTACAACAATAGCCACTCCATTGCTTACAGCTGGAGCCATAATAACGATCAACACTAACGCAATTCATAATGACTCAAAACGTAATTTCTATGAGGATGATACAAATGTTGTACCCGTCCCAGGTACAACAATACCTGCACCAGCTTCAGAAATTGAATCATTAGGAAATAATAAATTAATAGATGGAATATCAGTACGAACTACAAAACCAACTGAGAATTTTTTTAAACAAATTAGAGAATTTACATCTCACAAATTAAATGAATTTAATCATTGGATAAATCATAATTATACAAAATATAATGAAACTGAAAGATTAGTTACTTCAACAGTTAGTGATTTACATTATAAAAAAGAAGATCTTTTACCAAATGGTATTTATGTAGTAATTGGAACATTAGCAGGTGTAATTGCAGCAAGACCAAGAGGTATAATATCTAAAATTTCATTCCCCATAATAACAGGATTATTAACATTTAAATATTTTTTACCAGTTACTTTTGATAATACTACTGATTTTGCTTGGAAATTAGAACAAAGAAATTTACCTCAAATTGCTGAAAAACAAAAAGATGCTTATCATAGTACTTTGAAATTTGCAAAATCAATTGAAAATACAACTGAAAATAGTATTAAATTAGTTGAAAATGGTGCTCAATCTTTAAAAAAATCAATTGCTGATATAACGGGGTTAAATTTAGATGAAGAAGTATCTAAAAAGAAGTAAAATTGGTTTAGATAGCATAATAGCATATAGTAAGGGAATGTTTCAAAATTTATTTGTCAATTTTTCACTATTTCAGACATTGGATTTGTTTTTTTTATTTTGGCTGCAAATTTAATACACAAAAAGTTAGCATAACATTTTCATTTCTAAATACACTTACATCAATCATCTTTTATAATCACTTCTTTCTACAATTCATCAACGGTGACTTTAATGTCAGCTGATAAGAGGCCAGCAACGGCTTTGCATCGAGTTATTGAAAAAGTAGTATCAATTTCAGGTTTTGGAGTTCCTTCAAATCCTCAACCACAACCAATTGAATCATTAACGGATGATAAAACAAATAAAATTTCAAGAATAACATCATCAACAATTCATTCAAAATTTTCAAAATTAATAAGAAGTAATAATAAATCAAGAAATTTCGAAAAGAAATTAATTAATGATATTTATTCATGGAGTGATACAATACCAAATCAAGAATGTTCACAAATAATAAAAGATTTTAATCAAATTTTTACATTACAATCATTAACTAATTTAGAATTAAATGAAAAATTAGAAAAGATTAAAATAAGTCTTAATTCAGTAAATGAAAGAGAAAAGAAACAGAAACAATTGTTAAATAATAAATTTAAAACTGAAAAAATTTTAAAAGATAATCAAACAAGATATGGTCCAAAAGCTTCTTCAACAACATTAACTAATGAAAAATTAGAAAATATAGAATGTAGTTTACAAGTTATTGAACAACAATTTTTAAGATCAATTTCAAATGATTTAAAAGAAAGTTTAATTGATTATATAATCATGTTAAATAAAACATCAAGAAAATTACAAGATTTTTCGGATGATTTAATTCAACATTTAAATAATTTGGAAGAAAGCAATGCTAATGGTGGTTCAATGATTGAAAATGAAATTGCAAGAATTTCACCAAATAAATATTCAAGATATGCAACAAATGGTAATAATAATGGATTAAAACGTAAAATTCCAAATTTTTATGATGATGAACATCATCAACAATCACAACTGAAAGATTCTGAACCTATAAAATTAAAAAATTATGATTTACCAACTCCACAATCAACTTGTGCAGAATGTAAAAAGACACCATGTATACATACTTATCAAAATCAACCTGATTCAGGTATTCAACCATTAAGACCTCAACCGCCTCAACCATTACCTTCACAACCTTTAATGGGTTCAACTATTACAAAATCTAATTCTCAATCAAGAGAACATTTTGGATTTCATGATAATCCTACAAATATTCATGAACCAATTAGAGCCCCTTCAATGTATAGTGATCATTGGAATTGAATTGAAATGAGATAAACTATTCATAAAGATGAAAGAAATCTTGCTCATTAAGTATGTCTATATAATATGTATATGTATCAAAAAATTCTATAAATAAATTACAAAATGACGATTATTCAATTAATTCTATCATCTTATGAACCTAAAAAAAAAAAACCCATACCCCAAAATTAAAACTAATTTATTTACAGTCTATTATCATTATCATTACTATTAACATTTTTAAAAATCTTTTTACCAACTTCATAAGACGATATCATTATAGCACAAGCAGGTGCTATTTTCATTACTCTTGGTCCAAATCCAGCATATAAAGCTCGTATACCTTCTCTTTTATATATGTCATATAAAAATTTAAACATATTTGGTTTTTTAACATTTGGATCTTCATTCATTGTAATTTGTAATCTTGTTTTACCTACATCAAAAGGATTTGTAAAAAATGCAGCTATTGTTCCAGATATTGAACCAGATAAAAAACTTGTTATAAATACTTTATAATCATCCGGATTACCTGTTGTTGTTGTCGTTTTTGTTGTATTATTGAAATCTGTTTTTAATATATGTGATATTTTACCTTTGAAAAATTCATATGATGACCAATATATTCCTGAAAATGGGACATCTCTCCATAATGTTATTTGTAAACCTTTAAATAAAGTTTTTATTCCATCTTTTTTCACCATTATATATGAATCTTTTAATAAATTACTTAGTACATGAGATGAATTTCTTGAATCAGTAGGTATAGATTGTAATCTTGTTTTTAATAATTCTGCAGGTGCAACAGAAGTAGCAGATATCATTCTTGCTAATGCTCCACATAATAATGGATTAAAAGGATAATTTTGAAAAGGTGAATGATCTCGTATATATTCATATCCTGTAAAATATATTATATTTGATGGAACAGCCATTAATAAAGTTAAAGAAAGTCCTCTCCATAACGTCGCTATTCCTTCATGTTTAGCCACAGTTGCAAATCCTTGAAATGTTGAAGTTATTCTACTACAATTTTCAGCACCAATTTTACAATAATTATTATGAATCCAAAATAATTCAGGTGCAACAAATTTTGAAGCATTTTTTCCAAAATGATTTGGAAAATGTAATTCACAACATGGTTCACTTTGAGGTAGTATACCTTGTTGTTGAATTCTTATTCTTATAACATCAAATGGTGTAACAACTAATGATGTAATTAAACTTCCTGAACATGCACTTATCATTCTTTGAGTTATTGATATATTTTCATCATTCAACATTTTCCCATTGATTATTGCGACACTGGATGGTGATGATGTGGGAGATGGTGATAGGTCTGGTTCATCAATGGCTCCTGCTATTTCTGATGATAATGACATAAATTTGAATGCAAAAAAATATTATATGATGTGAATTTTCTTATGTTATAAATTGTTTCGGACTTCTATTTTTTAAAGATGGGTCTACTCGAATATTGACTGATAATAATGCTATGAAAATATTTGTGAATGAAATATAAGATGAATTCCAAATATGATTAATTTACGAAAAATAGACTAAAAACTATTAAGGTAAAATTATGTGTAAAATTGGTTTGTCTTGCTCGGTATAATTTACCCGATTTTTCATAATTAAAATTGCGAGTGCGGTTAAACATTACATTAAATCTCAGACCATACAGTAAGAGTACAAAAAATTAACTAAATAAATCTTTATCTAATAACTTTTTGAATAACCTATGCATTATTTTCTTTTAATATTCTAAAACTACATCTTTACATGTATAAATATTAATATTTGAATCTTGAGTATAATTAGTAGCAAGCATCATTCTATGAGGATGAAAAGTTGTATTTGATATATAATTAATACCACGATTTAAATATTTTTCACTTAATGGATTTTTTAAACTTGTTAAATCATCTCCTGAAGTTGACCATATATTTACTGACTTTGAACCAGTTGTTAAAATTGGTGCATGTTCATGAGAATCCATACTTCTTATTTGATTAGTTTGAAAAGTTAAAAGTGGATCATTTAATCTTATATCCCATAAATTAACATAACCATCTGATGAACCACTTATTAATTCTCTAAATCCACCTCTTTGCATATGAACATTTTTAATTGATCCCAAACCAATATTATTATTTTTCCCATTATTTCCAGTATTATTTCTTGTTTGTTTCCAAAGTTTTACCATTGATTCTCTAGCGTCTAATCTTCTATCATAAACTCTAATACTACCATCATCAAAACCTGCAATAAAGATATTACCTGCAACTTGATCAGATGTTAATGAATTAATTGATGAAGATGATCTTGCAGGAACATCAGAAAGACATAATTCTCTTGGAGCATCCCATATTCTTATTACTTTAACATCACCACTAACCAATAATGAACCTCTTGATTGTTGCCATTCAGATACTAAACCTGAGGATTTAAAAGTTAATAATAAATCAGTTAATGCTCTCCAACCAGTAACTAATTCAATTTTATTATTTCTAACATCATTATCATTTTCTTCATAATATTCATGTTTTTGATTAATTCTATTACCTTCATATTTATCTTCATCATCTTCAATATCTTCATTTTGAAAATTTTTATATATTTTAATAACTCCATCAGATGAACCAGTCATCAATAATGGTAAATCATCTTCATTTAAAAATTTAATATCTGTAATTTTTGTACCAAATGGATTCCCATTTGAAAATTTTTTAACAATTTTTGATTCTTCCCAATCCCATACAGTAATATTATCTTTTTCATCACTTGCAACCAAAATTTTTTCAAATTGAGTAAATTTTATACATTTAGGTTGAGATATATTATTTAAAATTTTAATATCTTTATTCCAATCTCCTCTTAATGCCATTTCCTTTTGTGGTTGAGTTTCTTGAATTATTGCTTCATTTCTATTTCTTCTCCATAATCTTTTTATATATTCTTTTGATCCAGGTTCATCTATTTCATTTTTAGACATTTGAGGTTCTTGAAAATATTCACAACTATAATCAAAAAATCCAGAATCTGAAGGCAATGAATCATTAAAATTACGAATTTTATAAAATGCAGATTTTGGTTTATATTCTGATCCATAACTTGTTTGTATTGGACCAGAATTTAATATTCTTGTGAAATTTTTAATATCAGTTTCTTCATTAATTTGAAAACTTTTGAGTAATTTTGAAATTGATAAATTTTTAATTTTGGAAGTTATTGATTCTGTATCGGATTTATCAACTGCTCCATTTTGTGAAACAGCTCTTGTAGTTAATGATGAACCATCAATTAAAAGATTATTTTTTCTATTTATTACGGATGCACTTGAAGCTTGTCTTTTTTCAATTGGTTTACTACCAAAACTTTCAGCAATATTAATAGTAGATTTACTTAATAAATAATTTTGCATTTCTTTAACCATTGGAGCTAATTCACTTTCATTTAAATTTATCATTACATAATCAATCAATATTGAAGCTAATTGTTTAATTTCACAATGTGGATCTTCAGATAATATAAGTAATGCTTTCCAAATGGAACTGAATATTGATCCATAAGCTGGTGATTTTTTTCTAAAATCATTTAAATTATTTGGATTATCAATGAGTACAATTTCTTCTTCTAATTGATTAAATGCAACAACTAAGAAAAAATTTGGATATGCTTTGATGAATTTATTAATGAAAAAAACTAACTCTTTACGAACTATTGGAGAACCATCACCTAACAAACCTAACATGATATTAGCAAGTTTTAAATCTTGTTGTCTTAATTCATCTTTTCTTGCTTCTGATGTTAAATTTGTTGATGTAGGAGTTTGTGGGTCAGACAAAAATGTAGTCAACGCAAGTATGATTGAAGTTCTTACTTCAGGTATTGGATCATTAATTAATGAAAATAATTTATTCACATAGCCATCTTTATATGCTACCCATTTCCCATCTGAATATTTATTCCATAATTGTGAAAGTAATAAACTACACCATTGTCTTAATAAAGGATTCTCACTATTTTGTATGAATTTTAAACAATTACCAACAATTTCTGTTGAAAAACATAATCTTTGACCATTCTTGAAATCTTTTATAAATAATGTCAAGATGAAAGCACTCATTGCCTTATGATCATCATTAATTAACATTGGACCAGACCCATTTGCTGCTTGATTTGATGAATTAAGAATCAAATAAAAATAATTATAACCTTTATCTTTACATAATTCTTGTTGAGTTCCCTTATAATCTATTGCCATAATTCTTGCCCAAATAAAAATAAGTACAGGTTTTAATTCTTGTGCTGGACTTTGTAATAACTTAAGAACATAAGGAAAAATTCCAATTGATAATGATAAATAAACTCCCCATGGCCCAAGATCTAAAAACTTTGACAATAAAATTAATGCTCTTAAACGATGTACTTGTGATAATAAAACTTGTAAGACTATTGGTAATTGTTCCGGTGGTTCCTTAGTTGATGGACCTGCATATTTTAACCAAATTTCAAATGCTGTTAGTTGTTGTTCGAAAAAAGTGGAATGTTGATAATTTTGAGATGTTTGTACAGGTCCATTAGACGTTGGACCATTGGCCGTTGGTTCATTCAAGTTTGTTCCATTGGGAATAGATCCATTAGAAACATAAGAGCCATTGGTAATTAATGGTTGTGTTAAAGAAGATGGTATTGACTCTTCACTTTTCAATAATTGTGATAAAACCTGATCAATAGCTAAATCCCATGAATCCCACATTGGATGAAATTTAACAACATCTGGTAAGGGAGGATCACTTATTGGATTACAATTTAAATGTGGCATAATTCTTTTCGCTAATAAAAAATTTCGAAATAATGCTGCCACCATCAAATCTTGTCGAAACAATCTTTTGAAAATTGGTCTTGATAATGAAGTCCATGCTATTGTATCAGTTATAGCTGTAAATATCCAATTCAATTCACCTAATGGTGTTCTTCGATCTGTTAATTTCCCAGGTATTATAATATTTCCAATTTGATTTTTAGGTAATGCTTCATAATTTTTTTTTAATGAACTTTGCATTATAAACCATTTAACACTAATATCTATAGGACATGTTAAACAACAAGTAAATAAATCAGCAGGTAAATCGGGACTCATTGGTAATAATTCATTACTTTTACATGCAGCTAATTGTATACAATCCAAATATGCTGAAGTTGAAGAAGGTGCACTTGAATCATGATTTCCTTCATTATCATCATCAATTCTTTTTTGTACAAATTTTTTAAAATTATGAACTATATTTCCAGCTGAACTACAATCATAAACAAATATGACTGGAGCTCCAAGCCAAGTTTGTAAGTCATATAATGAAATTGGAATATATTGAGTATATCCTCGATTAAAAACCCAAATTTCACCACTTGAAGTTGGTTGTGGTACTCCATGTCCATTATAATGAAATAATATTCTTTCATCTTTTGCATTTCTTCTAAGAGTATTACAAAATCTTTTAACATCTTCAACACATGGATCAAGGGATTGTTTATATCTAGTACGTAATGATAAAGTTTCATATTGAGATTGTAAATTTTTCCCTATATTTTCAATTGCCTTTTTAGTATCTGTAAAAGTATTTGGATCACACCATGCTTCGAATTTTGCACAAGGATAAGTTTTCATAACATCTGGTGGATCAACACCTAAATTTAAACATAAAACAAGAACTGCACTTATAGTTTTTTGTCTTTCTTTCATTACTTTCCAATCATGAATAGGTTGATAATTTTTATAATATTTTGGACTTGTTTTCATTTCAGGAGTTAATGGATTCCCATTAGTACTATGTCTTTTATCATCAAAATATATATAAAATGTATTTGCTAGTAGATTTAAGAAATTTTCTGAATTATAATCTTCATCAAATCCATGTCTCAACTTATCATTCAATTGATAAGTCGGTCGTATGTTTCCGTTGCCATTTTCTTGTGTCAGCTGTTGTTGCTGTTGTTGTTGTTGTTGTTGCTGCTCAGAATGTAGGTGTTGGGAATGCTCGTCATGAATAGGTGGTTTTGAAATTAATGCAGTTGTCATTTATATGAATATGTTGTTTTAATTAGAAACAAACTTGCTTTATGAAATAATCGTAAAAATCATAAATGTGTTTTGTATATTATACAGTTATGAGTCAATGCTATGAATAATTGGAGTTGATATGATCAATATGTAATGATCTATTGTGAAGTATTTAACTTCAAATCTTTATCTTCCCTTAATTTTTCAACTTTAACTTATATTATTATCATTTTTCAATTTCTCGTTTTTAAAAAAGAATTGATAAAAAGTGTTGCAAAATTTATCAACCTTTTCAGCTTAGTAGAGAACATCAATAAGACTCACTCGTCATTGATGATTCAAATTAGCTGTATATGGTTCATCATTAGTGACTTCCATCAGCAATACGTGGCTTAGCATGTATTTCTTTATCAGCCCTTAATATAAGTTCATCAGCTTCAATTGCCAGAATTTACAACAGCTGTTTTCAATTTATATAGAATCATAAGACCGAAGAGAACACCTATTCTTCATAGTTTACAAATAGTTTATAACTGGATCTCGATTATAAGTCTAAAAAGTTTACTAAATAGTGTCTCAACATCATCATTGGATAATTATCTTAAGGTATTGGAGGAAAAGTCAGGTTGGAATTTTTATATTGAATTTAAGTCATCTACTCATATTATTCTCAGAAAAAGAAACTTCACTCTCCTATTTTGTTACTAGTGGCCTGTATCACATCTTGACCAAGTAAAACTTCCAGAACCCTGGTAAACCCTCCAACTAGCAACCCAGTCTTGATAAGAACCGTGATCCATGTACAATTTGTAGTAATCCGAGCAGTAGTCATTTCCTCTCAAATGTCCGACGGTATTCTCAGACCAACTACCCCCCATGTCGGTGAGTCTAAACCAGTCCTGCTTGCAAACATCAGCTCCTATGAAGTACTGGTTGAAATATTCGGAGTAAGTCTCATGACATACTGTTCCTTGTTTACAATAATCAGCTCTTTTTCCCAATTCTGAAGTTTGATTAGCGGGTAATGTATTTCCATATGTGTAAGCTCCAAATTTTTCATCATGTACAACAGTATGTAAGACCAAATTGTTTGCAGATGGGGCAACGAGTGTTATCTTGATAGCATTATTTTGACCATTATCATCTCTCCTTTGGTTGGGATTGTAATCAAAATCTACGCCATAAACTTCCAAAGCTGGAATTTGATTATAATGTTCATAAATTTGATCAAGAATATCTTCACGTGCGGATACACCTACTCCATTAGCTCCACCGTAAGCAGCTAAAGCTGCAAAAGAAGCCCACTCTGCGGCTCTGATTAGTCCAAGCAATCAGTCGGTGGTACTTGCTTGCTTTCGACCCTTTTCCCACAAATATTGACCGCATCTTTGACAGCACGAGCAGTATTGAATGTACATTTAATGAAAGCTCCCCATGCAGCAAAACTTCCGTAAGTGTTTGTATTTGCTGATACAGCATTGATCGTCGTATAACCTTCCTCTTCATCATCAGCAGCAAATGCCAAATTTGACCAAATAATCATGACCGCCATAGCGAAAAGGCTTTTTAATTGCATTGTTGTTTCTGTGGATTAATCTTGTCAATCCCAAAACATTTCAACGAGGATTTGAATACCTTTAAGTACAAAATCACAACAATTCAGAGCCTTTCGTAGCAGTGGGAGAATGAATCGAAATGATAAAAACTGAAGTTACCCCCAAATAAAATTCACAAGTAGCTATTGTTGATGAGGAGAGAGGGGTTAGAGTTTAGCGATCACGCATACCGGACATGTGGTTTATTGCCGTTGATAGTAGAACTATACCTAAAGCGGTTATGTGTGAAATTGTGAGATTGGTTAACAACAATAGAAGTTGTGAGATTGGTTAACAACAATAGAAGTTATGACTCTGGTTAATTAATAAGAGATTGGTGCCGTGGGTAAAGTTGCTATTGCTAACATATGAAAGAGTAAAGATAAGAGTAGCTAAGATCTATGAAATAAATGTAGTTGGGTTTCCCCTTTCTCAGAATATTTTTATTTTGAGAATTTAATTGGTATAATGGAAGATCCAAAATTAGAAGATGAGTTAGAGTTACATCTTGTTGCATGTCGATGTTTATATAATTTTTTGGAAGTCAATCAAGATTTTATCCACGATGCATTAAATAATAGTGCTAATTTAGCATAGATCTACTCAATCTGTCAAATTCAAAATCATGCCGTGGACTAAAACTTTTTGAGGCAAATGTTTTTTTGTTGATAAAAAAACTGTTTTGGGACGAGATTTCATATCATTTTTGCCTCATCCGTGGAGCAACTTATAGCTATTGTGATAAATTCAGCAAATATGATAAATAATTTTTTTGAGCTTTTGGATGTATTGCTTACATTCGTAGTCAAGATTACCTCGAATCAACAAATCTCTTCCTCTCTCAATACACATTCGGCTTTGTGAAATGATTATTCTGTTGTCTTGAAGCTCTCAACCGTCACCAAGGTAAATTTTTTAGATCTTACTAGCTCATAAAACACCTCATCCATAGAAGGATCGTTCAATGCATCTCTGTAAACATTTTCGGTTGTATTCAAGAGTTCAACAACTTTGGCCTGTTTCGAAAAAACATTGATTATGTATTTATTGTACAACTCTAAACCGGTCATTTCTTCATCTTCCTTCACTAGTTAAAACATATTAAATTTCTGTCCTTTTTTAACAGTTTTTTTGAAGGAGAAACTTGGACTATCGTGGAGGGAGTTTGTGGGAAGCGAATAATATTTCGCAAAGGAGTTGTATGTATATTTAGAGAGCTACACATTCTACGAGGTACTTGTTGAACTTCGAAATTGAATAAAACAGATAAAGCTTGATCGGATGTAGGAGTACTGTAGTTGTTGCTAGTGTTGTTATTGTTTTTATAATTGTTGTTGCTGTTAATATTATTGTTGTTAATGTTGTTAATGTTAATGTTATTGTTGTAGTTAATGTTATTGTTATTGTTAATGTTGTTGATATTTATGTTGATGTTGTTGTTAGTATTGTTGATGCCGCTATTGATTGGTGAATCGTTGAAGTTACATAAGCTTGTCGGTGGACAGGAGACTAAAGATGGAGAATTGTGAATGTTGCTTGGTGTTGACCTTAATGATGAGGACAGTTTTGTTGGACTATCTATTAATTCTCCATCCTCTCTTGAATTATTTCTCAAATTTGAATTAGAACCGCCGTTGTTTTCAGAAAATGTGTAGTTTGCTCGAGGATGATGATCCAAGAACGGATTATCAGCGTCTGAGTTCAATCATTGTCTTTTCAACGGTGACATGCTGATGGATTAATATTAATCGAGAATTCTGAAGTTTTTGATCGAGTCGGTATTGCTTACTATCGGTCTGATCTGTGATATTAGCCGCAGATTTTGATACCAGTGTTTATTGTGAATGAGCAAATTTAAATTGACAGACGCAACCGATCAGTTGTAGATTGACTAGTTGAAAGTTTTGAATTCAAAGTAGATTAACCAGATGTAGCCTGACCAGATGTAGATTGACCAGATGTAGATTGACCAGTTGTTGATTGACCAGATGTTAATTGACCAATTATTAATTGACCAATTATTGATTGACCAGTTGTTGATTGACTAGTTGAAGACTTTGAATTTAACGTTGATTGACCAATTGTTGATTATAATATTGATTGACCAGTTATTGATTGACCAGTTATTGATTGACCAGTTATTGATTTACCAATTGTGAGTTGACTAGCCGACAATTTCGAATTTGAAGTTGATTGACCAGTTGTTGATTGATTAGTTGAAGATCGACCAGTTGAAGATTTTGAACTTCTTGTACTTTGCCCGACGTGAAATATATTTGACTAAAAATAGATTGCAAATGACCACTTAACTGTACTTACCAAATATATCTGTAATAACATATTGACCAGTATTTGAGCTGATGTTGCAAATTTTCGAGATTGAATTAAATGCCAAATGTAAGTTGTTTTTGTTTATGAATCTTTTGATAATTGACCAAAGATGTGAGCCTAAATTTTGCCTGAAAACTCTGTTGATAATTAAGTAGATTTAATCAATTATTCAATAAATGAGATACAGATCAATTGGATTAGTATAAAATGTAGTGGTTGTCTATGATGTTGATAATTGAGAGTTTCCTTCAAAACAAAACTTGATTTTTTTTTTTCAACGACATTCACGAAAGATCAGTTAGCCAATGAGATAGTGTTGTGTATTACATGAACCAAATTTTCATGTTGTCAGTACAAACTGGTAAAGTTACAAAGTTACTCTAAATGAATATTTAATTTTGTGATTTAGACTATTTGGGTTTATTTTTTTTTCGACATTTATTTCTCTTGAGGAATGACATTTATACTTTTGCAAACTACTCAACTGAAGAATGAATGCAGAACCCACTGTTTTAGCTCCGGCTACGAGGTCGTATACTTTGGGAACATACATAGCAAGATCAATACTAATAAAAGTGATAGCAAATACCGCCAGATCGATTTTTCGAAGCTTAAATCCAACTTCCACACGTAAAGAATCATGGAATAATCGCTTAAATTCAATGGAATGGGCTTGTTATAGTGTATTGACAATTGTTGCAAACTTTTGGAATTACAAATTAATAGATGAGATTGATAATTTAATTAATTTTACTTTGATGTATGTTCATCCTAGTATTGGGTTCTTTTTGTATATTGCTTTGCTATTTGCTGTGTTTTTGGGGATTCCTTACCTATGATATGATAATTATCGGATATTTTAAAGAGATTAAGACACTGGGTAGTTGGTACCATCAGTTGACTATTATAGGATCTCAATCTGAATATTGTGTCGATTCTTTAATTTAGCGCAACGAAAGCATACATGTTCCTGCCCTAGAGTTTCCATAAAGATAAAAAAAAAAACAATTATACAAATTCAAATGTGCTAAATATCAACATTTATTACCTACTGACTAAAGATCTTCATCAACTAATTTATCACGTCCATCTTGATACATGAATTGGAATGACATTAATCCATTTCATGATAATGCAATTGACAGGATATGGTACCTGAATTTTGTGACTATTAATTGAAGTCATTTTTAAAGTTCATGGAGTAATTGAATCATTAGTTTAAATAATCTTTTGTTTTAAGTTTAACGTTTTTGACAAAAACGTTAATTCACACATACAATATATCATACGATCAAACTACAATTGCCACATTAAAACTCAAAAGAAAAAAGGGATCACGCAAAGAAAACCGTTGAGGTGATGCACTACGAAATTAAAACTATCCATTCTCAATATAAATTTGCTCGGAAGTTGAATCATAATAAGATCAAATCTTCCTCCCTTATTCATTTCCAAGAGTCAGGATAATTCTCAACCCATCAAAAAACCAATCTGAGCTTTAAAAAACATAGTTACTTTTGATTGACGAGTCGTCAAAAGCTAGTTCTCATTCCCTTTTCGAGCTATTTTGGGTAAGTTGTCAACTGTTCATTAGTAGTCTCAAAAGTTTAATCAAGCAATCAGGAGATTTATAACAAAACAAAAAATTCGAGATTCTAATTATTAAGAGATATGTATTTTAAAGTAATTGAGTATAGAGGCTGAAAGATTATCTCAAAAATATTTGAATCAAAGTTAGTATTCAATAATATATTTATGGAGCAATATCCATATTCAATTTTAAGATGATTAGAAGTTTCATGCAAAAGCAACAATCAACTGAATCCTCACTCATTACCCATCAAAAATGCCAAAATCACTTTCGACCCATCTAGAGGTATCAACTATGCTTTTAATTGCATATTCATTGGATTTGATGTGTTTAATTTTCATTCTGCTGGTAAATTCTTTGCTAAGAAAGTTTCGTTAGCTGCTATTAATGCTGATGGTATTCCCAACACCCATTTGGTTGATCACGAAAAATTATCTGCCATTAGTGAAACCTATTTATCTGAAGATTCATTTTGGTTCAAATTCAAAAACTTTTGTGTTGAGCTGGTCGAATTGGTGGGTACATCTGTTGATGAGAAATATTATTTGGTTTCCGAAGAAACTCCACTTTTGAATGTTCCTAAAGCCCTTCATAATCATCATCTTTAGTTAAATTCGACCCAATCAACAAATTTAGAGATTTGGTAGTCGATCGGAGTTTTAGAGATTTTAATCTGAAAGAGCCCATGGAAATGATAATGGAGATATTGAAATCCATCACAAGAGAAGAAAAATTTGGACATGATTAATGCTTGTGTAGAAGAGCTTGCTACTTATGACTGTTCGGCTAATGAATTACTAATAAAAAATATGCTACCTGACTATATTAATTTTTGCAAATTTCTCATTCTGTGATGTAGTCTCTGGTAGAAGATACCAAAAACTTTATCTGTCTATTTTTAACAAAGACGAAAATTCACTAATTTACACTAGTACTTATCGTTTAGTTTTAATGTTTGACTAACTAGTTTGTTACAAATCGTTAAAAATACTTGTTTCACTTCGTACTAATTTCTTGCACTAGGTGGGATTAATTTTGGTCCAATTCGCGCTAAAATAGGTCGACATCTTAGTTTTTTTATTTCGCCATACTCTAGTGCTTTTATTTTTTTCAAAGCGAGAAAAAAAGAGAGATCAGTTTGGCGTAAATTTTGAATTTTTTAGTGACAATTTTGAATCAAGATAGACATAAAAAAAAAAAAAAAAAAAAAAATTGTTAGTAGACTACGATTAGAACTATTAATAAAATGTCGATCGGGATTTAATTTTTAGAAAAAGTCAGATATTAATTGTGAAGCGCGAGACATAATCAAAATATTATTTGGTTATTAATTTACGACTTGACCGTATTGAGTCAAGTTACCAACCCGCTTTCATATTGCCATCATTTAAACTACCCAATAAGTTGGTAGCATCATATACTTTACAAATTTACTGATAAGGAATTTACTACAGTTACCGTATAAAAATTATAAATCAAATATCAACCACAATAGATCCATTATTTCATTTATTAATTAATATAACCTTTTTAAATCTTATAAATATCGGTAACTTTGAAACAATTGAAATCAAATTCAATTGATTTATAGAAACCTGATAAATGCGTTGGTTATATCTCTGTATATATCAAATCAACCCAGTGTATACTGTCTAAATTGATTTTCTACATATGTTATTTATTGTAATTGTAAGGAAAGATAAGGGATAATATTTTTATATGAAACAATAATAAAAAAATATTAAAATATTTTGATCTATTTAATATTAATTCGTCTACACGTTAAATAAATAAATTATTTATTACCACTTTCTTTTTTTTACAACACTTATTTTATAACTTTATATCATTAACAAAGTAGGCATCAATCAATCAAAGTAACCATTGTAAAGGAAATTTATCAACGTGATATATTCAAATTTTTAATTAAAGGAAAGGTTATTTGGGAATTATCGTGTTTAAAAAGTAGTTGAAGTACCACACAATTTTTTTTTGTTTTATTTACAACCAATTGCCATCCAAATAAAAATCTCAAGAAATGGTATCGAATGAAAGAGTAATTAAATTTCAAGATCAACAAGAATGTTTTATTAAAAGATCATCAAATAAACATAAAGATAGGATAGAAACAATTAATAATTTATTTTTTAAAAATAATCATTTATCTAAACAACATGGTATGATTAAATATGATAAAAAAAAAGGTTTTACAATAAAAGATACTGATTCTACTTTTGGTACAATTTTAAATGATTATGTTTTAATTCCTGGAATTGAAAATAATTTATGGAATAATGATAAATTAGGTTTAATTTTATCATTACCTTCACATCAAATTAATAAAATTTTAAAAGATGGTAAATCATATGATGAATATGCAAAAACTATACCATTAAAAAAATTTGATTATCCAAAAATTAATTTAGAATTTAAAGTTTTAATTAATGATAATGTTTTAAAATTAATTCCATTGAATGGTGAAAAATCTAATGCTTCTGATAAAGATGTTTCTACTGATTCAACATCTGATCACACTAAATCAACAACTGAAGTCATTACTATTGACGTTGAAGAAGAAGAAGAATTAGATAATAAGAATAATAAACAACAATCTTCTGATAAAACAACTTCATCAAATAAAAAGAATGACAATCAAACTAAACAAAATAGAGATGTCAGTGATGTACAAAGTCAAGATAACGCTAAAGATAGTGAAGATGAATCATTTGAAAATGATGAAGAAGCTGATCAATCAGCTTTATACATTACAAGTACTAAATCCAATAAAGAAGTTTATTCAGCAACTACTACTCCTTTTGTATTAGATACAGAAGAATTTGATCATTCAACTGAAAATGAAAAGGGTAAAAATGTAGAAAATGAACAAGATAGTTCTGGTATTGATACTCCAAGTGGAGAAGATAAAGAAATTGATGAAATTGATGATTATAATTCAGATGATGCACCAAGTGAACATAGTATTACTTATGGAAATAAAGGTTTTGAAATGGAAGATTTTTCTGAAAGTAATGGAGAAGAAGATGAACCATTATGTATAATTTGTCATCTTGAACTTTGTGAAGATTTTGATGATATGGAAACTTTGATTTGTTATGAATGTCAACATGAAGAAGATGATGAAGAAGATGAAGAAGAAAGGGAACAAGTAGAAACTAGAATGATTCTTAATCATTTACGTCATGAAGCTGTACCTAGTATTGATGAAGCTAGGGTGAATTGTACTTGTCCTGATTTTGCACCTTGTATTTGTGGTAATTATGGAAGAGGAGCATCATGTGTTGTAGAAGGTTCTGAAATAGAAGAAGTAGAAGATATTGATGATGACGAAGTTGAAGAAGATATTGAAGAAGAGGAAGCTTCTGATGCTTTACATGAATGTATTTGCGGTCTTTGTCCTGATTATAATGATCATGACAATGATGATGATGATCAATTAGATTCTGAAAATGATGACGAAGAAGAAGAAGAATTGAAAGAAAGAAACGAAACCAAGAGTCTTCCAAGAGCAAGTTTTACATATTGGCCATCAATATCAAATGAATCAAAAAGAAAACATGATGAAATTGAAAATAATGATTCAGATGATGAATTTATAAAAGAATTTGAATCAGATGATGAAATTTTAAATGAATTTGAATCAGATGATGAAAATGAACCACCAAAAAAGAAACGTAATATTGAAAAAACATCTCAATCTCAATCAAAAACAAAATCAATTTTAAAAGAAGTTGGAAAAGGTTTATTTTATGTTGGTGCTACAATCACTGCTTTAGGAATTTATGGATCACAACTTTCTTCTGATGAATTAACTAGAAGGTAATTAATTGATTTGTTTGCTGAGAGGATTCTATTTTTTTACTATTTGATTTATTGCTTTCAATTCTATTACTTTTTTATTTTGAAGTTCATTTTATTTTTACCATTTGGTAAGTGATTGAGAGTGGTTTATATAAGTTTATATTTAGGTTGGTGGTTAGGTTGTTGATTCAGTTTGCTTCTTTATTAAATTTTTTTATATTGTTAGTTTTTAACTAGTTATAGTATAGTTTTTGTTTAGTTTTATCAAATTATTATTGATCTAAAAACCAATTCCTTTAAATAAGTAAGAATTTTATTAATTAACAGAAGAAGTCATATCTAACTATATAATCTAAAAAATATATTTTCTTAAAAAATAATTCATTAAGTTTGAGCTGTTTTCTTTTTGTATGTTCTTTTCTTTTTTGGTTCAGGTTGTGGTTGTGGAGGTGGTTGCTGCTGTTGCTGTTGTTGTTGTAGATTTTGATCAATTGATGGTGGAACTTGATTATTAAATTGTTGATTTTGATGTAATTGCTGTTGTTGTTGTGGAATAGGTATATGACCGTTCGTGTTCCCGTTTTGCATCATCGGTTGTTGTTGTTGGCCATTTATACCTTGTTGTTGTTGTTGTTGTTGTTGCTGCTGCTGCTTTTGTTGTTGTAATTGCTTTTGTTTTTGTTGAAACATTTGAAATTGTTTTAACCTTTGAAAATATGTTGGAAATTTGTTCAAAAGTTGTTGTTGTAATACTTTAACTTGTTGTAATGCTTGTTGTTTATGTTGTGCTGATAATTGTTGACCATTAGGAGCAACTCCAGATTGTCCCATCATTGCTAATGCTTGCATCTTAGATTGAATTTGTTTATAAATTTGTTGTTCTTCTAAAGTTAACGAGTTTTGGAAAATTTGTTGATGTTGTTGTTGCTGCAATGTTAATTGAGGTTGTTGAGATTGTGGCCTTTGTTGGGGATGTTGTTGTTGTGTTTGCATTCCCATAGGAGTTTGTTGCATTGATTGAGGTTGCTGTTGTTGTTGTTGTTGTGGTATTGGAGCTTGACCCATATTTGGAGTTCCCATTGGTATTTGTTGTGGGGTATTGTTTTGACTCATTCTTAATTGTTGTTGAGGTAGTGGAACTCCTGGATTTGGTATCATTGGAGTAGTTTTAGATGAAGGTATTTGTGAAGTAGAAGTAGATGACATCACACCATTATTCAAAGGTAATTGAGATTCAGGTGGGAATTGAGATATTTGTTGAATTCCTGATTGAGGTGATTGAGATTGATTTGCAATTGATTTTTTAGTCTCTTTCTTACCTCGTTTATTTGGTTGAGTTTGTGAGGCGGAATTTTGCCTCTTATTACTTGGAGCTGGAGTTGATATGTTGCCATTGACGTTGTTTGGTTTTTGAGGTGGAAGTTCAGGAGCGGGTTGTGATGTCATATCATTTTGAATTGAATTAGCTTGTGCATGAATTTTGGCTTCTTGTTGGCTTTTTTCCAATTCTCTTTTCTTTCTTATTTCTTCTATTAATCTTAATCTCATGAATTGACCAGTGGCTCTAACTGGGTTTGTGGATATCGTAACAGGAGGTGGAATATTTTGAGTAGTTGTTTTATCATTCTTTTTAGATTTACCATCTGCACCAACTGAATTTTCTTTACTAGTTGGTTTTGATACAGGAACTGATTGGGCAGTAGAAGTAGTTGGCAATGTGCTGGAGTTCACTATCACTAACTTCTTATCTTGGGTTTCTTCAAATCGTTTGTTTTTATTTGACAATAAAATCATTAATTCTTCGTATTCAGATGATTTATGGAATACAAGTTCATCTTGATGTATCTTACGTGATGGAGCGTCAACAGCTTCTCTATGCAGATACACAACTTTCTCAACTTCATCACCCAGATCATCTTTCGTTACTCTAATTTCTTCAGTTTCAGTGTCTGGTCGTAAATATGCATAATCGTAAGGATTCAATTTAACCGATAAATCTAATTCTCTATTCGTTAATGTCAAAATCTCTGATTCCATTTGTAGTGAAAGTGTGTCTGTAAATTTAGTCAATGCAGAATCTGTATGGTATAATAAGTCATAATAGATTGATAATGGTGTAGGTCGTAATAATGTTCTATAAGTTCTTGGTTTCATCACCACCATAGGTTCAGAACTTTTGGGATCTTTCGTCGGTGATGGGAAATTTCTATTTACATAAGCAAAAGTCTTTATCATATTTCTGTGATCATAAACTTGTAGTATTAAACATCCATCATATGATTTAATTGCAAAATCTTTTAATAACTCACTCATTTCAACAGGTATTTCTTCTTTCAAAACATGATTCATGAAATTTTTAATCATAGGTGAATTTTTTGGTATTATTTGAGAATCTTGTGAATTATTAAACCTATAATGATTTTCGTAAATGTGTAAACTTAAAGAAGCTGGATATTTTGAATATTTACGTAGTATTTCTTCAGTAGACGAGGCAAAATGATAATTCTTGATATTTAATTTTTGTTTTAATTGTTGTGCTTGTAATTGTTGTTGTTGCTGCAATTGTTGAGGTCTTAATAATTGTTGTTTGGGTTGTGGGATATGAGCTGAAGTTGATTTGTTTGTCAATATTGGTGGGGTCGGATTTGATCCATTAACAGCTTCTGATTTAATCATATTAAACTCATTAAACACGTTGATATGATGATTTTTTAACTACTCAATTCAATAATATTCATAAGATAGATGGAATGATTGTGTACTAGATTGATTGATTACTTGATTTTGTTTAAATCTATAGGTGATTATTATTTTTCAATAAATTTCGTTTACCACTTTAGTCAAATCTAAAACCTGAATATTTTTTTTTCAAGAATTTACAAATAATATTAATTAGAAAAATCGTAAAGATTCTAATAGTAGAGAAAAGAGTGTGAGATTGTTTTACCATTGTTGATTTTGGAAGACTTGTACCTTTACTCTACGTACTTCTTTATACAGAATTATTTAAGTTCTAAAAATTTAACTTTATCTAAGCTGATTGACTTTCAAAAGGTTTTAAATTAGCAGTACCTTTATCCCAAGTTGAATCGTCATAAGTTATATTCTTAATAGCATCAACAACATCTTGGATCGATCCTCTAACTTGTTTAGTTGAATCTCTTTCTCTTAATGTGACCGAGTTATCTTTGACTGATTCAAAATCTATAGTTATTCCAAATGGTGTTCCTAACTCGTCATTTCTTGCGTATCTTTTACCAATTGATGCAGACGAATCATCTACTTTGAAAGGTATTTTTTCTTTTCTTAATATGTTTGAGACTTTTTTGACAATTGGTTGCAATTCCGAACTGTTTGATAATGGAACCAATAACACTTTGGTGGGTGCAACAATAGGTGGTAATGATAAAACTCCTCTATCTGCGTCGTCTCCTCTTGCCCAGAATTGATGTTCAAAGATGGAATACAATATACGTCCAATACCAAAAGATGGTTCAATGACATTTGGTATATACTCTCTGATATGTTCTGTTCTTTTAATTTTTTCAATCTTTATTAAATCGGAATCTAATTCTATTTCACCGTCAATTCCATCAATTTTGACCACTATTTTACCATTATCTTTCAACTCTTTTGCAAAATCTTCCAATTCACATTGAGTTCTTGAATTGAGCCATTTTTCAACAGTTCCTGCGTCTTTTCTAAATCTTGGTCCGAATTTCTTTTTAGCAATTTCAATTTCAAATTCTTCAACTACTTTCGGTTCTGGTAACGGTTGTCTTACAACTAATTTTTCACCAGTTCTAGCTGAATGAACTGATAAATCGTAGGCTGATCTATCTGCACATCCAACACACTCAATCCACCCATAAGATGTTTGTAATTCCGCATCCCAACAATCAGAAGCATAATGTGCCATTTCGTTTGACATGTGTTGTCTAAATCTTAATCTTGAAGGATCAGCCCCAATTTTAATCAAGAATAAGTAAATTCTAGCAATGAAATAACCTAAAGTTTCATTATCAACCATTCCGGAGCTGACGGCATCTCCAATAGATTTTTCAATTAATTCGGAAGATCCTGATTCTTGAACTCCCTTAGGTAAAAATCTTAATTTAATATCTTTAACATCATCAAATTTTTTATGTGATTTGTCATCTGGATCAACGAAATGTTCAATTTCAGCCATTGTAAATTCCCTGACTCTCAATAATCCAGCTCTTGGAGCTATTTCATTACGAAAAGATTTACCAATTGAGGCTGAAGCAAACGGCATTTTATCATTATTAAATTCCAATAATTTGCTAAAATTCAAAAATTGACCTTGAGCTGTTTCTGGACGTAAATATGCCTTTAAATTTCCTGATGGTCCAATTGCTGTATCAAACATCAAATTGAATTCAACAGGTGGTTCTAATTTTCCACCAGTTCCAGGATTCGTTATGTTGTATTTCGTGATCAAATCTCCTAATTGAGGTCCTGAGTATCCGTCAATTTGTGCTAATACATTTTCATATTCTTTTACTTCTTCATCAGTTAATTTAACGTTTTTAATTTCCTTAACCTTCTTTTTTCTTTTCTTTTTGTCTTCATCTTCTTCTACTTCATTAATTTTCTCCCCTCTTGCTAATTTATCTCCTTTTAATCTTGATTCTAAAACTTCTTCAACTAAATGATCTGCTCTGAATATTTCTCCACTTTTCAAATCTTTACACATCCAATCTGAGAATCTATCAACATGTCCGGAGGTCTTGAACACTTCATATGGAGTCAACATTGTTGCTTCTACCTCCAACATATCTTCTTCCAAAATGAAATGTTTTCTCCATTCATTTATGATGTTGGTTTGAAAAGCACATCCTGGAGGTCCAAAATCAAATAAACCTGCAACACCTCCATATATTTCAAATGATGGAGCATAGAAGAATCTTCTCTTCAATAATTGTTCTAATGATTCCCTTGAAAAAGGTAAATTTGTATCTTTAGTACCTGCCATAATGGAACACCTTGAAATTCCTCTAACAAATGACCTAAATAACCGAATTGTGTTGGAAATTTATAAGAAGAAACTATACAACTGAGTAATATAAATTGAGTCTTGAATTTTTCAGTTAAGTATATGATGACTGTTTCTTTTTAAAAAAAATAAAATTATTCGAGTCACTAACGAAAAAAATAAGACAATAAAGTTGTACATAAAAATGACACTTTATGCGTATTTGTAAATACTGGAAACGTAAGAGCTGATAATAGATCATAATTTCGGACAAACAAGAAACTATATATATAATTTATGCTAATTTATAATCTTCTCTACTTTCCATAAACAGTTCTTCATCAAAGGTATCACCAGATTGAAAGTCTAGATCTTTGTCGTCATCAATAAATTTCTTTAAAATCAAAATAAGCATAGTCAAAAGACATGACAACGCAAATATTTTATCGAACCAATTTTCAATAAACATAACTTCCTTTATAGAGCTGTTATTGTTTTTCAACGAACTTCCTGATAATGATAATATTTTGGATATTTGATTTGATAAATTTTCGGGTAAATTGATTCTAATTAATAATGCAGTTGCAATAACATACACACCAACTAGTTCTGCTACAAGTAAATGTTTTAGCCAATTTTTGGTGATGTTCGATTCAATACTTTTATTGGTTGAAATGTGAAACATTTTACTGAATGACTTAAACGTAGTTAAAACATTGGTGAACGAACAAATGAATAAACTCCCAGATAGTATAAAACTTAATTGATTGACTAACTGCAGTTCTGTTAACGGTACATTGGTAAAAACGGATTTGATAAGCTTTGATATAGTAATAGCTAATGCATCTTTTGAGGTGGGTGTTTCATTTTCCACGTCAATAACGTCAGAATGAACGTCATAATCATAAGATTCTCCATATATGTATAATAAAGGTAGTTTTATTAAGAAAACATTAAAAATTCTGTAAACACAATAAATTGATAAGATTGTGTTGCCAAACATTATGAATTTATCAAAAATTTTGGACTGTCTCAAATTGACTTGTTGGTTCTCATGTAATTTTAATATAAGTTTTGACGTATCTTTGTACAAGGATTTTTTCAAACTCTCCAATGAAGCAATTTCTTGTTTTAGCTCCTCTTCTTCCGAATTCCCTTTCAAAGGTAAGTGTGCGAAAGACTGAACTTTATGAAGTAAGGAACCTAGTTTTTTCGAGGTTTCGGATGATTTTGTAGTTAGAAAATTATCTGTAGACAAATTCTGTGAAGGTAAATTGTAAATTGTACCTCCGTTCAGAAGTTCAAGTCGGTTTAGTTCTGATTTACGTTTTGATAGAAGGTTGGAGGTATTATTGTAATTTTGTATAGCCGTATTAATGTCGACTGTCAGAATTTCATTGGGTTGTTTGCAACTTTGAGACGTCTTGATGTCATGATGGCCAATAAAGTATTTTTTCCAAAGTAATTGGAAATTTATAGCTCTATATGGCGTTGATATGGATCCAATTCCAGACAAAATAGCTAAGATCGTGATGCCCACTATCGATATCTCATTTATTTTTCTTTCGACTATATTCCTAGTATTAGCATGAAGACTTGATCTTGGGTTGAAATCTTGAGTTAAATCACCACATTTGTGTAAAACTAAGAACCATAATACACAGGCGATTAGCGTAAAAATTGCTTTTACCCTGTCAAAACTCACAAGAGTCAAATTTTGATTAATGATTAGGTTGATACTGCAAACTGGTACGATCAAAACCAATAAGAGAATTAATGTGTCAATTGTCAATTTGAAAAGAACAACTCTGGTGTCATGATTTACATAATTACCTAATTCACACATCATGAGTATAATAAGTCCAATACTGAGTGACAAGGTAAGACTGAACACGATTCCAATGAAGTAATTTCCATAACTTGCAATTTCTTTTGATAAACTTTGTTTTGAATGCAATTTCAGATGAGACAAATTTATTTCTTCATCCTGTTCCATATCATCTTTGTCCAACTCTATTAGTAAAATATTCAATTGCTTTTTATTTCTCAAATTCGAGGTTATGAATTCATTGATTTGAGATCTCGGTATGTATTCTTGATTGGATGAGTAATATCTCAGTATCAAATTGTTGTTAAATATGAATAGATATGCCCAAATTGAGAAAATCAGTATGTTGAGTGAATATATTAAGTAGCTAAGTAATCCGGGCATCGTGGAATAGGTTTATATGTTATTTAGGCGACTTATTATCATTTATCTTCTAATTGTTAGGTTTTTATAGTTTGATTGATAATTTTATAAACTTAAAAGACTGGTATTAGTTGCGAAATAAATTTCAAAGCGCTTTGTGTTTACTTTTATCATATCGCAGTTGGTAGCCATTGTAATCAGTTTCCTGAGGTAAAAAAATAATTATAAAGGTGAAAAAAATAAAAAGCTCTGTCTCATTTGAATAGATTCATAGATTCATTTACCAACAACGAAAGTAACAAGAGAACTCAAATATGCCCATGCGCTTAAGAGCTGAAAAGCGAATGAGAAAGTTGCTCATTGAGCAGTTAAAAGAACGTAAACAGGACGGTGCAAGAATAGCTCAAGGCTTTAAAACAGAGAAGGATTTAATAAATTTGAACCTAGGACCACAAGTGTTTATCTTTAAAAATCTATTTAGTGGCCAAATATTGTACTCACAAGTACCTGCATATCATCAAGAACAAATTGATCAACAATTCATAAACCCAAATTGGGAAAATAGAAAACCTTCAAGAAGACAAGATTTGTGGAAGATTATGTGTGTTGCCAATTTCGATAACTATGAATATGCAACCGCAGCATACAAAGGATTATTAGACCTTAGAAGAGTAAGAGATATAAAACAGAAAAAGAGTGCAAATGAATTAAGAAGAAAAAATGGAGACGGAAATATATGGTTTTCTGGACAGTATAGACCAACGTATTCACAAGAAGCAGTTGCTGATTTGGCGCACGTAATTGATCAATTTGATTTGGAAAATACTCGATTATTATGGGAAAACGAATGGAGAAGAGGAGATGACAAATATTGGAGGACGGACTTAGTGGAACATGAAACTTTACCAACTTATAGTCCTAAACATCAAACTGTATTGCTAGATGTAATAAGAGCAAAAGCAGTAGAAGCATTCGCTAATGAAAGAAAGAGTCAGGAATCAGGGACCAATGAAGAATCTGGGCCTGTGATAGCGTGAGTTTTATCTTGTTGACGAATAGACAAAATGTAAATAGGATCGATAGTTTAGTAAAATAAGACTTTGAGTTGATCGACAGATACGAAGATCTAGTTTCTTGTTCTCTCTAAACCAGTTTGGCATTTACTTTTAAAATAATATAGACTAATACACATAATTCATGTAACTTTAACAGTAAGTAAGAATAAGTTGTAAGTAATCTGGTATTTCGTTTCAAAGCATGTTCAGACACTCAAACTTGACATAACTGCTACCCATTCCGAAATTGATGATTGCCACAATTAGAAAAAATTACCACAATAATTTTCAATTTTTTGATGGAGCCGCCCTATAGAAAAAAAATTTATATAATAAGAACATAAAATCATTACTTTTTACATATTAAATATTTGAGATAAAATCATTATTTTTATAAATTAAATCTTTGAGTCCGCAACCACAACTATTATTATTTTTCCCAGTTTCAAAATGGACTTTTGTTATAACAAACTGATGGGTAATGGTACAGTTGCTAGTAAGTTTAGATTAACTTCAAAAATTCAACTGAATCAATCAAATTTAAGAACACCGCTCATAATTCCCAAGGCCGATGGTATAAATAATCAATTCTCACCATTAAATCAAATCACACCACAACAAAATAATAATAATAAACAAACTATTGAACTAAAAAACCAAACAACACCTATAATCAATGAGGAAGTAAATAAACCAATAACTACTCCTAAACCTAATTTACAACAAACTCCATCTCCTCCAATTGAGAATAACATTAGTCACCACCCAAGCAATTGCAACAGATGTTATAGATTAAAGAAAAAATGTACTAGAGCTTATCCAAAATGTTCACATTGTGAAAGGACAGGATCCGATTGTGAATATGTTGATCGAAGTAAGAAAAGAAGGAAAGTTGTCCCAGCAAATGTTGAGGAAACAAAAATCGATGGACAGATTGTTCATATAGCAGATACTAGTAAATCAAAGGAATTAGTGGAGCAAAAACTTATTTCAATATCGTCTTTATTGGCAGATTCGAATGACGAACAAGTGAAAAAAAGAGAAATGTCTAAGAATAATAAAATACCGACAGCTGCATTGGCATCTTCTGCCAGGAGAGCTCAGGATAAAGAAAGACAAAATATAGTTGACAAAATTAACTTCAAAACAACTCAGAAACCTACTTTTTCAAATTTACAGGAAGAATTTATCACGATGAAAGAAATTAAGGAAAACGAATTACCTTTAATATTTGCAATGTATTATTTTGAAAATTTTTCATTCAAGTATCCATTTATAAATAAAGTTGAATTTTTTGAAAAATTAAAGAAAATTAATTTTGCAAAAGATTCGATCGTGAATCTAGATATCTATCTTCTATTGAGTATAGGATGCATCTTATATGATTCAAAATGTCAAACGGATCATTATACAACTTATTTTAAGACAAAAAGTATACTTGGAATCATTGATGTACTTGATTTATCGTTTTCAACCTATATGGAGAATAATATGGAATTGTTGATACTATTGTCCATTTATGGAATCGCATCTTTGAATAGTGATTTGGTATGGAACTTGTTGGGGTTACTCGATAGAGCCGTGGTAAAATTTGAACTATACAAAAAACTTGATACTATACAAACAAGTAGAATTTTCTGGTCAATTCATAACTTGGATAAAGAGTTTAGTATTATATCACAAAGACCGTCACAATTTCCTTCATACAACTATTTCAAAGAAAATCTGATTACGGTAAGCCTTTATGAAGAAGAAAATATATCCATCGTTAATCGAAACATCAAACTTGGAATGTATCAGGATGCTTTAAATGACTCGTTGCTCAGCAATTCAAGAGATAATTTATTTGAAATATCTAAAAACTTAGGTATTTGGACAGCTGGAATTACTAAAGAATTCAGTTTAAAATATAGTACTCAATCCGAAGTACAATGTCTTGTTGCTTGGGCAAATATCCAAAGTTATTATCTTCAAACGGTTATGGATCAAATATCGACCACAAAAAATTTTCAATTCCCCTCTAATTTTATTTTCCATTCATTTACTGCATTAATAACGGCTTCTGATAAGTCATCGGAAAAATCAAAAGCAAACACTCAATCATCCATAGTTTCTTCAATGTTTTGGTATTCGCAATACTTCAATATTGTGAGATATAGTATTGATAGTTTGATCCATTTCATAATAGAGAAAGATAATGATTTGGAATTACGTGTTAAAGAATTCAATGATTTTTTGCAACAATCATTAAATATGTCCAAATTCATAAGAGCTGCTAAGACACTGAATACTATTGAAGGTTATATTAATTTAAGCGACGATAATAATAAATTGATTGAAGAGTTGGAGCGTGTGAGCTTGAAATTATTAGGATACGATGTAAATGATGATTCAGAGTCGATTGTCAAACTACTTGAAGACGTTAAAAATAATGTAAAGAAAATTTTATAACTAAATAGACTATATGACAATGAACTGCAAATATAAATTTTTAACGTAATTAGAGCTTTTCTTTGATCAAGCACGTCTTAATTTATTAGAATTTTGAAAAATGCCGCTCAAAGATTTTTATAGCACCAAGCATGTCACGAAAACATTCAGTCATTAAAATGAAATGCATAAATTGAGTAAATCAAAATTACATCGACTAACGATATCATTATCCTGGAAATCGAAATTATTTCATATTACTCAAATACGACCGTTTTCATCATCGTTCATTAATTCAAAATTTTTGGCACCGATTCAAAAAAAAATGGTTCAGAAATAAATAGTACCCAAAAACATTTCAATCATAAATACAGAGTCATTGATCATGAATATGATTGTGTGGTTGTAGGAGCAGGTGGAGCAGGTCTTAGAGCTGCGTTTGGGCTTGCTGAAGCGGGTTTCAATACTGCATGTGTGTCTAAATTATTTCCAACAAGATCTCACACTGTGGCCGCTCAAGGTGGTATTAATGCTGCTTTAGGAAATATGCATGATGATGATTGGCATTGGCATATGTATGATACAGTTAAAGGCTCAGATTGGCTAGGTGACCAAGACGCAATCCATTATATGACAAGAGAAGCCCCTGCTACAATCTATGAATTGGAACAATATGGAGTCCCATTTTCCAGAAATCAAGAAGGTAGAATATATCAAAGAGCTTTTGGTGGTCAATCGAAGGAATTTGGGAAAGGTGGTCAGGCTCATAGAACTTGTGCAGTGGCAGATAGAACTGGACATGCGCTTTTGCATTCTTTATATGGGCAATCCTTAAGACATGACTGCCACTTTTATATTGAATTTTTTGCAATGGATTTATTAATGCAAGATGGTGAATGTGTCGGGATTATTGCATATAACCAAGAAGATGGAACTTTGCATAGATTCAGAGCGCATAAGACTATTATTGCTACTGGTGGTTATGGAAGAGCTTATTTCTCATGTACATCGGCTCATACATGTACTGGAGATGGATATGCCATGATTTCTAGAGCAGGATTACCTTTGGAAGATTTGGAGTTCATTCAATTTCATCCTTCAGGTATTTATGGTTCAGGATGTTTAATTACTGAAGGGGCTAGAGGTGAAGGTGGATTTTTAATTAATTCAGAAGGTGAAAGATTTATGGAAAGATATGCACCAACAGCTAAGGATTTAGCTTGTAGAGATGTAGTTTCAAGAGCTATAACAATGGAAATAAATGAGGGTAGAGGTGTTGGACCAGAAAAAGATCATATGTTTTTACAATTATCTCATATTCCAGCACCTGTATTAAAAGAAAGGTTACCAGGTATTTCAGAAACAGCTCATATTTTTGCAGGTGTTGATGTTACTAAAGAACCAATTCCAATCTTACCAACTGTTCATTACAACATGGGTGGAATTCCAACAAATTGGAAAGGTGAAGTTTTGAAGAAAAATGCTGAAGGTAAAGATGAAATTGTTCCAGGTTTATTAGCTTGTGGTGAAGCTGCTTGTGCTTCTGTACACGGGGCAAATAGATTAGGTGCTAATTCTTTGTTGGATTTAGTAGTTTTCGGAAGAGCAGTTTCTCACACAATCAGAGACACATTGACACCAAATACACCTTTCAAACCTATGGACGCACAATTAGGTAAAAATTCGATTTTAAATTTACACTCACTTAGAAATGCGAATGGGTCTAAACCAACTGCTGATTTGAGATTAGAAATGCAAAAGACAATGCAAAAGGGTTGCGCAGTTTTTAGAACTCAAGAAACATTAGATGAATGTATTAATCATATTAATGAGATAGACAAAAATTTTAGCGATATTAAAACTTCGGATAGATCAATGATTTGGAATTCGGATTTGGTTGAAACCATGGAATTGCAAAACCTTTTAACTTGTGCTACTCAAACAGCTGCATCTGCTGCTGCAAGAAAGGAATCAAGAGGTGCTCATGCTCGCGAAGATTATCCAAATAGAGATGATAAAAATTGGTGGAAACATACATTATCTTACCAGCAAAAATTTGGTGATCCTGTACGTTTAGATTATAGAGATGTCGTAAAGACAACCTTGGACGAAAGTGAATGTGAGTCTGTGCCTCCTACCGTTAGAGCTTACTAGTTACTCTGATACATATAATAGTAACATCATGTTAATGTCACTCTCTAAATTGGAAATTAGCGCTACCATATATAATTTATTTATTTTTCAATAACTGTCTTTAGTAATATTCGACTCGATCTGATTGCCACTACAATATTCCAAATCAATTCTTGATCTTGTAATATTCAACTAGTTCACAAATAAATCAAAATTAAAACAATCTATTATGGCACCGCCAAAAGCTGATTGGGACAAATACGTAGCCCCAGCTGAAGATGATGAAAAAGATCAAGAGAAAATTACACCACTTTCTGAAAGTGATATACAAGTTTTAAAAACTTATGGAGCAGCTCCATATGCAACATCAATAAAAACAATTGAAAAAGATTTGAAAGATATAGAGGAGAGAATAAAAGAAAATATCGGAATAAAAGAGAGTGATACAGGTTTATCGCCACCTCATTTATGGGATGTATTAGGAGACAAACAAAGAATGTCAGAAGAACAATCATTGCAAGTCGCAAGATGTACAAAAATCATAGAAGCAATACAACAAGCAATACCTACTTCAGGATTACAAAATGCGGACACTAAATCAAAATATGTGATAAATATAAAACAAATTGCAAAATTTGTAGTTGGATTAGGGGAAAGAGTATCACCAACAGATATTGAAGAAGGTATGAGAGTTGGGGTTGATAGACATAAATACGAAATCCAATTACCATTACCACCAAGAATCGATCCTCTGGTTACAATGATGACGGTTGAAGAAAAACCCGATGTTACATATTCTGATGTTGGAGGTTGTAAAGAACAAATTGAAAAATTGAGAGAAGTTGTTGAATTACCATTGTTAAGCCCTGAAAGATTTGTCAAATTAGGTATTGATCCACCAAAAGGTATCTTGCTATATGGACCACCAGGAACAGGGAAAACTTTATGTGCAAGAGCTGTAGCGAATAGAACTGACGCTACTTTTATAAGAGTTATTGGATCAGAATTAGTTCAAAAATATGTTGGAGAAGGTGCCAGAATGGTTAGAGAATTATTTGAAATGGCAAAAACTAAAAAGGCATGTATCATATTCTTTGATGAAGTGGATGCAATTGGAGGTGCTAGATTTGATGATGGAGCAGGTGGTGATAATGAAGTTCAAAGAACCATGTTGGAATTAATTACTCAATTAGATGGTTTTGATCCAAGAGGAAATATCAAAGTAATGTTTGCTACAAATAGACCAAATACGTTAGACCCTGCGTTATTGAGACCTGGTAGAATAGATCGTAAGGTTGAATTTTCTTTACCAGATTTAGAAGGAAGAGCTAACATTTTCAGAATTCATTCAAAAACAATGAGTTGTGAAAAAGATATAAGGTGGGAATTAATAGCGAGATTATGTCCAAATGCTACAGGTGCAGAATTAAGATCTGTTTGTACTGAAGCTGGTATGTTTGCCATTAGAGCCAGAAGGAAAGTTGCAAATGAAAAAGATTTCTTAAAAGCTGTTGACAAGGTGATAAAAGGTAATTTGAAATTCAGTTCAACAAGTGAATATATGCAATATAATTAATTTAATAAACGTGAACTGTATCAAATATATATATACCTCTGAAGTAGATCAGTCCCACCATGACACACAACCTAGACCAGAAATTTGACAAGATGCAATAAGACTATAAGCTGGTAGTTTTGTAATTTCTTTATCCCCATCTTCCTCTTCACCAAAATTTCCCATTGCTTCATTGGCATTTTTGGGTTTTATATTGTAAAAGTTTTCTTTTTCAATTTTAAAACGAATTTTTTCATTTACATCAATGAATAAATCATCACTACCGGTTTGCCAAACCCAAGCTTGTTCGGTTTCTCTAAATTCACAGTTTTCAAAAAGATAATTCTCAGGTATCCAAATATCATCGAAAAATTCTAGTCTTACTTTTATACCTTGAGCGGTACACTCTGTAACCCAACCTGTTAAAACTTCTCCTACAAAAGGTTTAAAAACTATTAATCTGAATTTCACTTCAACATATGAACCTCCATCTCCTGGTTTTAACAAACCATCCTTAATATCTAGAAAATCCCAGATTGTAATACATAGGCCTAATTTCGGCACTACTTTGTTCGAATATTTCTTATTTAATTCATCTGTTAAAGCATGCTGAATGGGTATGTTAAAAGTATGTGGTGGTATTCTAATTAGATCAGTAAGCTCCGATAGTATAAACATCCAAGTTGTTATAAGTGTCAATGGACTCGAAGTTGAGATATTAAATGAATGTAATGTTTTAATGATATATTGATGATGATCTGCTTTTGATAATTAAGCGGTCGTAAAAATAATACAAAGAAAAATAAAAAGCATACAAAGTACAAACTTGCAACAAGGTCAATGAATCACGATGCCAACACCATCCCATCTGCAAAACAAAGTGAAAAAGCCAAAAAAGCCTTACAATGCAATACCAAATGGAAAACATATGAGTGCCAAAAAAGCTGCGAGTTATTTACACTCTGTCAATCAATCGCAGAATCATCCTAACTCAATCAACTCTATTTCATCCAGCGCTTCAAAGACACAAAATAATACAGAACCAAATTGGAATCCAAAACATTTTAGATTATTTGTAGGCAATTTGGGTCCTGATGCAACCAACGAATTGTTGAGAAATGCATTTAGTAAGTATCAATCACTATCAAATGTATACATCCCAATAGATAAACATTCAAGAAAACCAAAAGGATTTGGATTTGTTGCATTTGAAAACTCTGAGGATTATTTACATGCTTTTCAAGACATGAACAATAAATACATTGGCCAGTACCCTGTTCAATTAAAAAGAGCAGAATCGTCAATTCCTAAGAAGCATAAAAAGAAGTATTGATAAGGGTGAGTTTTGTGTAATAATGAGCACATTTATAAACCGCTTTGAAAAAAATTAGATCTTAAAAATTGATTTATATTTCAAGACAAAACAGACGTCAGAATGATGTTGCGGATTGGTTTAAAAAGAGCCATACGGACTCCTTTAATATCATCAATACTGATTTCACAACAAATAATTGGAGTAAGGATTTTGTGTTTGAGATTTAAGTCAAACATACCATCATCATCTTCATCATCATCTTCATCATCATCTTCATCAACATCAGCTTCCAATTCAGCCAAAACTTCAATCAAGAAACAGTATAATAAACCTACCGTTCCTACTTCACAAACGCCCAAAAATTTACCATCACCCCAAGAATGGGAGAATCTAAAGTTACATATTCCGGGAGAAACCATACAAACCAATAAACTAAAAGACAGAATTCCTATGTGGCCACTAAGTAAAGAAAATGTGCCGACTTTACTACCAAGACCAGGAATACCACAAGTTGGAAAGAACTATACTTTCAAACAAGTTATCAAAATTCTACAAAACAAAAAGCAACCTGAATTGATCTATGAAAGTGAACCGCATAAGTTATATTTCTTATTATGTTTTTGTTTATCAATTGTATTTGTAGTATATGCTTGTGTTTTACTTGAATGGGCATTTTGGTTATCAAAAAAGGAATTTGATGAAAATGAAAAAGAAGAAACCAATATGACCATGAGAAACAGAGAATGGGCATTATCCTTACTTTTATATTTATGCCCTTCCCTTGTGATGTTTACAGCAGCTTATGGGGCTATTATATTTCCCACAAAGTTGATCAGAAGAATGTGGTACCTTCCTGGACCAAAAGAATTTATTAGATTTTCCACTTATCCATTAATCCCAGGAAGACCAACTCCGATGTATACTGTTCCATTGGCAAACATTTCAAGAAGAAAAACAGCAAGAATATGGACTGGTAAAGGGTTTTATGGAACAGCAGATAAAGGCTTTTTTTTCTTTGTTTTAAAGGAAAAGTTATCAAATTTGAAACTGAAAAGTTGGATTGTTGATAGAAAAGGATTTTTCTGGTCAGATGGTAGAGTGTTTGATTATTTGTTTGGTAAGGAAACAATGAAAGAATCGGAAGCAGGAATTCCATACGATAAACAAATTGAAATTATTAATAGAAATTTGAAATTAAAGAAACAAAAAATGAAACAAAAACATGGTTCGTTGTGGCATTACAAATTAGCATTTGGATTATTCAAAGAAGATTTGAAGAAGGTAGGTAATTTTTTAACGAATAAGAAATCTATTGAGAGTGGTGATAGCAATTCAAGGGAGAGTACCAAAAAGTTAGGTAAAAGATAGAAGTTATTACAACCAATACCTCAAGCTCATTCAAGGTATGATAATAATGCTACCTTTTGCATCTACGTGTATAAAGTAATGTAAATAAAACAAATATTTTTTGATTAACAAGATTATGCTCTCCACTAAGTTTTATTAATAAATTAAATTGATGACACAAAACATCAATTTTAAAAAATTAGAAATCATCTTAGACCAAATAAATAATATATTAAGTAAATACTATTTATGTGCAACTAATATTATCAAACTTCAACTCATCTTAAAGTTAAGATCTTTTATTCCATTCAATCACACATTCTCAACAAAATCTTAAAATTGTAATCCTACTAATTAAGTTTCATACAAAATATTGGTTGATAGAACCAGAAACTTTACGATATAAATTCATCTACTCACTGCACATCAAAAAACTGTCAATATAATCATCGGTAATATTTGAGGTACAAGGATTACGAAGTAACTCAAGGTATCAATTTGTAAAATCCAGATTGCTTTTTTTAGCCATTCTTCAACACTCAAGATGCCGTATACAATAGGAGATAAAAAAATAAAACTAACATCAAACATATCAATCTCGGATTTAAATTTATTGATAAAACATCGAAGAATGATTAAGTTTTACCTAAATAACTCCATATTGAAATTCTTGATAAATCTTAAAAAAATCATACATTTATACTCAGATATATTTATTATTTATTCCACTTTAATCAAAAAGATTCAAAATTTCGATGATATCACCAAGATGACAAATACAAATTCTAAAAATTTACTAATTTTGGAGAATGATTTCAATGAGATTTTTGGTAAAAGACTAATAAACGATGAGGAATTGAATAGAAATAATGGAAACCAATCCGATGGTCATATAAACAATAATGACGCAAGCAATGAAGAGTCTATTATTTTTAGGAATTCAATTCCCAATTTATCGTCTTCAACATTTTCACCTACTTCAACGTCATCAAACCTGACAAATCTAAATAACTTCAAATTGCAGAATTTTGAGAATCAAAACTATGAACATGTAATAAAACCATCCACTAAATTAATCATAAAAACTTCTTTGGCTATCTTTGATCAGTTGAATAAAAATTTGTTGTGTATTGAATTGTTCTTTCTGAGTTACAGCAATTTGAAAAAATTATTGGTTCCATTTTTGAAAGAACAAACTCAATCATTGATTATAAATTTAAAAACCATTGAAGGTTTATTAAGTTGTGAATTAATTGTTGACAAAATGCCTACGACTAAGATACAAGAGAAGAAGGATGATGGGTCTGTTGAGGCTAGCATTCAACTGAAAAGGATTAATTTAATAAATAATTTAATGGAAATTGAACGAGTGACGAGTGGATTTGAAAAAGAATCATTAAAATTGAAAACCGCTTTTTTCACTTTTAACACATCATTAATCCAATACACAAGCTTATTATTAGGTAAAGCAATATTGAAAAGACACGTGGATCAAGAACAGTGTGAAATAATCAAAAGAAGAGAAATTTGTTATCAAGCTTCTGAACATGTTGTTAGTATTCCATTGACAGAAGATAATAAAAACATTATCGATAACACTGGTAATAACTACAATCATTTGAATCAGAATCAAAATTCAATGAAACTGTTTGGCAAAATTCTAACTTACATATTGATGATATTAATGTTTTTGATTGTCTTAGTTGGGTATCGATTAATCAAACTTTTGGTTGGAATTTGACACAGATTTGATTTTTGATTTCCGTATACAGTTTATAAAATATTTTACTGGCATATTTTTATCTAATTCAATTTAGTTTTTTTAATTCTTCAATTTCACTTTTGATATCACATCTCTTATCTTTATGGCACCAATCTCAGATACATTGTACTTATACATTTTACTATTCGCTTGAATCACGCGCGTAAACTTTAAATTTCTTCTGTGTAAGATTTACTCAAAATTATTTATTATTATCAATCCTTACGTTTTGTTTATATGTATAACAATCAAAACTAATTTAAATATTTTAATATCAACCACCCTGTTTTCAATAAGTTCCTACATATATATTAGTTACCTTATTTAATCAATTACCACCGCCTCATCTACAATTTAAAAAAGCGGGTATCCCTGACTATCCTCAATTTTCAATTCTCAATTTCATTATTTTCAACTTGTATTATTATTATTATACTTTATCACAAATTCATCGGTTTATAATCTCATCACCGCATTCAGTGAATTCATTTAGTCTAAAACCCACATAATTAGCTGTTTTTTAAAATCCTTCAGAATTGAACCTTGAAAATTACTGCAGGTTTTTCATGTTTATGTACCCTGCGATTTGAAAAATCAATAACTATCAAACATACAAATGTCCGAAGCTAACAATAATAATCAAATTTATTCCGCAACGTATTCAAATGTACCCGTATTTGAGTTTGTCACAGTAGAAGGTCCAATAATGCGACGTAAGCTTGATTCATGGATCAATGCTACACATATTTTGAAAATTGCTAAGTTACCAAAGGCTAAAAGGACGAGAATATTGGAGAAAGATGTTCAAACAAATACTCATGAAAAAGTCCAAGGTGGGTATGGGAAATATCAAGGAACTTATGTACCATTAAGTATTGGAGAAAATATTGCAAAAAATTTCAATGTGTACGAGATATTAAGACCTATTTTTGAATTCACTTACATTGAAGGTGAAACCGAAACTCCTCCACCTGCTCCAAAACATAATCATGCCAGTGCATTAAATGTAGCTAAAAGGCAAGCATCATTGACAAAAAAGTTGGAAGTCAAGCCAAAAATACCAAAACAATCCAAAAGGGTGTCACTAAATCCAGATGATGCGCCTAGAAAAAGAGGTAGACCGAAAGGTTCAACATTAAGTTCAACTCCAAGCTTACAAAATTCTGATACAGTTCCTTTGAACGATCATTTACCTTATTTGTCAAACGGTGTACCAAGATTGAACAGACAAGATACTGTACAGGATAATTTGCCCAACTTAATGGTGTCAAACATGAGTTTAAGACAAGAAGATCTTGATTCAGTAGGAACAGATGATGACGAAGAGTATGATCATAGAAAGGGTCACAAGGGAAGCGCTTCGTTGAAGCGGCATAAGCTGAATGGAGCAGGATCAAGGTCAATTATGAACGGAATGGATACGTTTGATCAGCAAAATGAACTATTGACAAGTAAAGAACTATTTGGAGTTTCGAGAAACATATATGAAAAAAATGCAGCGGCAGCAACAGGAGCAGCAGCAGTTAATACCAATGCACAACAAAATGATTTCTTACAACCATATCATCAACCAAGTATAAATCTAACACAGGAGAATCAAATTTACAATGAATACTTTGGCAATTTGTTAACTTTTTTTCTCGAAGATGATGGCAATGACCGATCAAAAGCTGCAAATTCTGAGAATATAATACCTGAAACATTGAGAAATCCACCACAGCCAATCTCAAAAGTACACATAAATCAACCAATTGATCAAGATGGTAATACGATCTTCCATTGGGCATGCGCAATGGGGAATACGACAATGATTAATTTTTTATACGAAAAGTTTAAAAGTGAAATCAAGAGTGATATTAGAAATAACAAGGGAGAAACTCCTTTAATGTTTTTAGTCAGATTTAATAATAGTTATCAACTAAATAATTTTGATATCATATTGACGCATTTGATTGATTCATTAAATTCCGTTGATTCCACCGGAAAGAATGTGTTGCATCATATTGTTGAAAATAAAAAAGAAAAAATTTCAGCTTATTATTTGCAGATTTTGTTACAAGAGTTTATGAGTAGTGTCCTTGGAAAAGACATAAATGTTATAGAAAATATAAGTGAGGACAAATTAAGTATCATCAATGGTTTCATTAATCATCAGGATTCCGATGGTAATACTGCTTTCCATATTGCTGCATATCATTTACTCAAAAAGATTATTAAACTTTTTATAAATTATCATCAATTCATCAGTTTTGGTTTAAGAAATTTGGTTAATACAACCGTTGAAGAATATTTGGCTTCGCATAATTTTGTTTTAAGATTGGACCAAACTGCCCAAGATGATGATCAATTGATGGACGAAAATGAGAGGATCGTTAGTAATTTTGATGAAAATGAAGTGCTTCAAAGTAAAAATGGTATTGTTGAAGACAATATTTTTGATAAAACATCTTTTGATGCACAATTACATAAATCAAAATTAGCAATAAATTTATACAATAATACTGCCAATTTATTGACTGAAAAAATGACCCAGCTATCATACGTTATAAATCAAGAATTAAATGACAAAGATGAAACCGTTTTAAATTATTTCAAAACTTTGAAAATTGTTAATCAAATTAAGTTAGAATCACAACGTGCAATATTATCATTTTTTAATTTGGAAAGCCTAATCAACAATTTAGAAGAAAATGAAGAACATAATAATGATGATGATCAGTCGTCTTTCAAGAATTTCAAGGAAAATGAACCTCATTCACAAGGTAGTACGCAGCGGATACCAAATTCAAATCATGTTCATAGCGTTGGAGCTAATTATGACAATTTCAACTTGAAGCTAAATTTTGAGAAAGACCGTATAATACAAGAAGAAGTTTATAGACTAATCAATGACGTAACGTTTCAAGTCATACATCAGGAAGAAAATTTGAGAAATGTACTAAATAAAATCAACAATTTTCAAGAATTTCAAAACAAAAAGTATTTAAAACATTACAATGGGGAAGGAAATGAAAGTCATGCAATAAAAAATGAAAACAATTCCGAAGTTACTGATGATCAGTTGAACTTAGCACTTGAGTTACAGAACCAAATCATTAAAAAGCAAACACTAGTTAAACAGATATTCAATCAAAGGCTAGGTTCAACAAATTCGAAACAACCCCCTGTACAAACTGGCATAGGCGTAGCTAAAAAGGAAAATAAATCTATCATATCAAACATCATGGAGAGAGATCCAAATAATAAGATTTTAAAATATTGTAAGCTCATTTCATTAAGCTGTGGTATGAGAATCGACGAAGTTGAAAATAATATAGATGTGATTGAGCAAAGTTTAATAATGAGGAAATGAAAGTAAATTAGCCCAATTTTATTATTTTTTATACGAAGTAATGATACAATCTAGCCTGTTTGTCATTGACTCTCTGTATGGTTTATCTTTTTACCGATTCGTTTTTCATATACAATCTACCACTTTATTGTGTGAGTACCTTAAATCTCAGATCGGAGATAAAGGTCTTATGCATAGTATGAACTTAACCTTCTGTACGTAATTTTTTTTTTTTTCAGAGGATTAAGTTTAAGATTTTCAAAAAGCTTGAAATGGAATGAAAAGCAATAATATTAATTAGTCAATAGTTATTGAGTTTCAGCTCTACTAATATTACTACCTTATTTGACTTCAATTTCACAATTTTGCAAATGATATAGCAACAACATAGCATAGTATCGTATCTGCTTTGAATCCAATCGACTAAGAAAACACATCCAGGTTTGATAACAACAATAAATAGACAATCAACAATTAACATATTCATATCGAATTTCGAGACTGCCAAGTTAGAATAAAAGCACCATCGTTCTTTCAATCTATCACTGATAAATCACAGTCAAAGTGATGCTACTATCTTTCAGAAGAACATCTTACAAACTACGGAATTTGAAAGAGAAGTTATTGAATATCGAGATTAATTTTAATGAAAGAAATAGATCACATATTAATTTAATCCTAATCGTAACATTGATATTATTCATTCTTTATTACATTTATGATTTTTTCTTGAACCCAGAAAAGACATTTAGAATTTTTCCTAAAGTTTACAATAATATAGTGAAAAACGAAATCGAATGGTTGAAAAATGATAGTAGGTTAAAAGAAAAATTCAATAATTTACAAAATGATATACAATCGCAGCATGATTTACTAGATATGGAGATTTTACTTGATAATGTTGACTTCCCCTTGTCAAGTGAGTTTATAAATGACAATGAATTTACACCCTATTCCTTGAAGACTTTTACTGATCCTTTTCCACTTATACATGATAAACCAAAAGATTATGATTTCACAGAAACATATATGTGTTCAGAATTAGAATATGAAGATTCATTTGAAGTTACAAGACAATCATATTTGGACTATAATTTAGTGGAATTTTTGGATAGTTTACGGAAAATTAAAGCATATTGGAAATTAGTCCAATCAGCAAAAGTCAAATTTAATCCTCAAATACCGGAAGAGAAGCAATGGTTCAGATTCGGTGGTTCAAGTGTTTGGATTCCGGAATTCAAAATACATTATATGGTTAGTCGGGTACTTTTTTCTCCACTGGGAATTGCAAATAAAGCTTATGTTTCATTTCTTTATATACAAATATATGACGAAAACTGGAGGGAATTACCCAAAAACACTAAACTTACTATTCCATTTGAAGAATTTCCAAAAGTAAATCATATGAATTTAGATGGTACATTCACTATATATCAATCAAAGGGTAAATTAAATTTTAAGACTCTTGAATTTCCCCAGATTTTACCCATTCCGATTGATTATTCGATGTCAACGCCCAATGAAAAATATTATTATGGACCAGAAGATCCAAGAATTTTACTTCGAACCAACCCATTAGGTTTCAACGAACCATTAATTGTTTTCAATATGAAAGACTTAAACTTAGTTAAAAGAACAATGTTTTTATATCTACCATTCTCAAACGACTTGAAAGTTTTGAAAAAAAGAAAAGATCCTTACGCCAAAATTGAAAAAAATTGGACACCTTTTATAAGTCCATCACAAAATTCCTTGAATAAGATAAATTTCATATATTCAATTGTACCTTTGGAAGTTTTGGTTTGTGATATTAACACTGCTATATGTGATTTTTTGCAAAAACCTAAACATAAGAAAAAAGATTATGTTGGAGCATTAAGAGGTGGTTCTCAATTAATTCCATTACCTTTAAATAAGCTTTTACCTTCTAGAGTATTGGAAGATCATTTTAAATTTTCTAAACACAGGCAAATATTTTTGGGTTGGGCAAGAGCTCATTTAAATAAATGTGGATGTGGAGAATCGATGTATAGACCAAACATGATCATACTAATTGAAGATTTCAATCCAGAAACTGAAAAATTTTATTATAAACTTGGTGATGTATCTGAATATGTAGATTTTGGAGCATATGTGCCACCATGGGTTACCTCAAATTTTGATTCCAACTCGGGTACTGTGATTGAAGAAGTATTGGATCCAAAACAATGTGAAGGTAGAAATGTTTTAATACCAAATTCAATAGCATATTGGGAAATATTAAGCATGAAACAAAGCAATAAAGTAATTACAAAATTACAAGATATAGATTTGAAAAATCAACACAATTTACAATTTGATGATTATATGGGAATAACATTATCAGCAGCAGACAAAGATGTTTCAATAGTTCACATTAAAGGTTTACTAAATTATTTGATGAAATTACCTAGCTTGTTTGATACAGACAATATAATTTTAGATGATGAGAAATTTAATATAAGGGGTAGTGATTGGAATAATAAATGTGCTATGATGGCTTCAAAAGAATATTGTAAAAATTATGCCATAAATCATGGAGTAGTATTTGAGGAAGAAGAAGATCCAAGTCCGGGAGAATAATGTAAAACATTTTATAGACTTTTTTGTAGTAATAATAGACAGTATCAAATAAAATCAAATTTGTACACATATCTCAATGCTATAGACTCGATGGATGGTTTTAAGCATAGATCCTACCAACTCGTATCTTATAAAACACAAAACGGTAAATTCCATTTTTGACACAAAAAATAAATTCTTGATGGCTATCTGGAATTGGATGCTACCAATATTAGCTATCCCTTAGGAGGCTATAGATATCAAGATAATTTTGGTAAAGCTGAAAGTAGATTCTATTGCTCTCATGATGCTATTGAACTTTGAAATGCAATGTGACAAACACATGGATCAAACAAAAGCAATAGGAATAATTATCAACATTAAAATTTATTTTACATGAAAGTAGTTTCAAATTGAGATATTTCGCATTGATCCTAATTGAATTGTCATTTTTTTAAAAATGAGCTTTTCGTTAGGTTTAATCAAAATCCACTCACATGCTAAAATTGATCGTTTTGTGAGGACGGTTAGCTCAAACGTGGCCTTTTAATCATTTTATCTTTTTTCTTAATTGAAGTTTGAATCAGGACTTTAATGTGATTTCAACTCCTTTTTCAACATGAACCCTTGATGTAGACATCCGTACCACCATATTTAACATCTCATCTGCATTTGAGCCGCTCCTAAGAAACTTTAAAAAATTTTAGAGTGAGAGTTTTTTCGGTTTTATTTTTCCTTACATTACCGACCATTTTATAAATCGATGAGATTTAGGTAACTAGTAAAATCGTTATTCTCTCTTTCATCCTAGACAAACCTCGATTTTAACCTTATATTCATTTCATACTAACTTGTTTAAGACTAACAATAACTTAGTGGAATTTTGAGCATAAGTAATATGGACCTCGACAGTTGACAAAATTACTCACGTTCTTTTTAAACACTTCGTATCTCCAGCTTCAGTAGATCCACAGGGAATAAAAGATACGAGATTTCATTCACATCTTACAGTCGACATCCCTGCTCTCGAATAAGTGATGATTTAATGAATAGTCTGTCTTGACATTTAGCCAAACATCACACGGCTTAGCATATAAATGCTACCAAAGACACGTCAAAAAATTTTTTTGCACTTTTTTTTTACCTTGAATAACCGAATTTTTTTCACTGTACTAATAAATATACAATAAATTTCAATAGTTCTGGAACTGAAAAGTATAAACTATGTTTTAGTTATACACAATGCAAAATTTTTTAGGTCTAGCAAGAAATGAGGATTTGATTTATAAAAGAAGATAGTATTCCCCTCTTCCCTTTCAATATGTTACTATATGGGGGATTATTAGACTTCTTATAAAATTTCAATAGCATACATTTGATAATTACTTTCATCAAAAATGGGTATCAACATGGATCACAAAGATGAAGAAAAAGAAGACTCAGTTAATCAAAAAGATTCCGAAGTAATATATACATCATCAAGTAATGAATCATCAGATAATGATAATCCAATAGAATTAAGTCTTTCACATTATGAAAATAACTATCAACCAAGAAGACATAGAGGAAGTAGTTTTGCATCCATTAGTAAAAAATCACTTGAATCAATAAGAAAATGTATAACAGGTGAAATTCAACAACAACAAGATCATCAATCAGATCAAGATCCTAATCATTATTCTATACATCAAATTTACGGAGATTTAAATAGCGATGAAATTAATTTACAAAGAACTGCAACTAGAAAAACAATTTTAAGTGAAATTGAACAAAATATAAAGGATGAAGTTGAAGATTCTACAAAAAATTGGACTTCAAGTGATGACGAAGAAAAGAAGATAGATTCATCAGATTTCAATTTCGAATCAACTCCAGCCATAGAAGATCAAATACTACCAATAAAACAACATGGGGAAGAATTTAACAAAATTGATCCAGAATTAATAACTTGGAATGGCACTAAGGATCCAGAAGATCCACGTAATTGGTCAATTCATTTGAAAATTATTTTGTTAGGATTTGTTTCATTATATGCATTAGTTGCACCATTAAGTTCATCGATTTTATCACCTGCAATGAATGAAATTGCAACAGACTTTAACATTCATTCACAAGTTATTCAAGCAATGGTAGTATCTATTCAAATCTTAGCTTGGGCTTTTGGTCCTTTAATCATTGCACCATTATCTGAGTACGATATCTTTGGTAGAAAAATTATACTAGATATATCATGTTGGATGTCTTTTTTTTTCAATTTAGGTTGTGCTTTTTCCAAAACAACTTATCAAATGATGATATTTAGATTTATTGGAGGTTTATTTGGTTGTGTTCCTATGAATGTTTGTGCTGGTGTTATATCAGACTTATTTGATTCACAATCAAGAAATGCAGCGTTAGCTGGCTATTCATTAGTACCTTTACTAGGACCAGTTATATCACCTTTAATTGCTGGATTCATCGTTGATCACATGAATTGGAGATGGTGTTTTTATGTTTTATGCATGTTCAATGGATTCGTTGCCGTTATTGCAACATTATTTTTTAAGGAAACTTATTCGCCCACTTTGTTAAGAAGAAAATGTAATAAATTAAAAAAAATAACTCATAATGAAAACTTGCACACTATTTATGATATAACGAACGGAGGAGAAACAACTTGGGGTAGATTATGGTTATGTATGTCAAGACCTGTTTCATTATTATTAACCCATCCCATGATTATTGGATTAGGTTCATTTATGGCTTTTACATATGGATTTATGTATTTAATGATTGTCACCTTTCCCATGATATTTGAACAACAATATGGTTATAGTAAAAGTATTACTGGATTAATGTATTTGCCAATGGGTTGTGGGTTTGTTATTGGAGTTTTATTTTGGACTTATATGGTTGGTAAAGTTTATACTAATTTAACTTTGAAAAATAATGGAATAGCAAAACCAGAATTTAGATTGCCTTGTTTAATTGCATGTTCAGTTTTCATCCCAATAGGTTTAATTTGGTTTGGTTGGTCAGCACAATATCAATTACATTGGATCATGCCTGGTATTGGATCAGCGATTTTTGCATTTGGACTAGTATGTGTTTTTCAAACCATTCAGAATTATTTGATTGATATGAATGTAAGATTCGCCGCAAGCTCAGTAGCAGCAGCAGCATTATTTAGAAGTTTGTTTGGATTCACTTTTCCTTTGTTTGCCAAAAAGATGTATGTAGCTCTAGGTTATGGTTGGGCAAATACAATGATGGCATTTATTGGTATATTATTAGGAGTTCCATTCCCTATATTTTGTTACTTATATGGTGAAAGATTAAGAAATTGGTATAATAAAAAATTTGAAATTAAACAACAAAGAAGAGATCAAAAAAATTTAGAAAGATTAAAAAGACAAACCAAAAATAAAGAAATGGTTAAAAAATAGTTGAAACAAAAAACAAAAAACAAAATGATAACCTTGCATTGAACTTCAATTCTTAGAATCAAGCAGGTACTTGATCCTGCATTTATAATATATATTAAACCAAAATAGATGGTTTATAGCTATAGATATATAGAAATTAAAAGTTAGCATCTTATAGAAAGTTTTAAAAATTTAAAAAGTATTCTGTAATCGTATCAAATAGCTGCAAAGCACAAAACTTGACACAAAATCCCGCGTCACTTGGTAGTACAAAATAATACCGATAAGGCAAATATTTAAATTTCATTTAATAAATTTATACCTTTGTAAAGATCGCCAACTTATAGACCAGTACTTCAATATGACTTCAAATGGAAACTTAGAGGAAAAACTTCCTCAAAGAATAACACCTTTAACAATTGAAGAGCTAAAACTATTTCCACTACCAAAGCAATTGAATTCACTACCGAACAAATCATTTGAACAATTTATAGAAAATAGAGACTTGATAATAGACTACATGCAAGGTCTTGAAACTTATCAACAGAAAGTTAATGAAATTAGACAGAATCTTGAATTTATAGTAGACAATATACTTTTGCAAAAAGTCAAGATAGAATCGATTCCAAAATATCAAAAATTAATTCACAAGATAAATAATCAAATCAAGACTTTGAATCAATTATATAATGAATTCTTAAATCTAGAAACCATTCAATATCAATTAATATCTTCAAATTTTAATCTAGAAACTTTAAAAATAAAATTCAAAAAATTGATTGAACAAAATAATCAACAAAGTTTGGAGATTGTTAAAGAATATAATAAAAATAAAGGTCATAATGAAAACGATAACGATGAGCTTAATGAAATGTTAATTAATTTTAGAACATCTAGAAAACAATATCACTTTAGGAAAGAGAAATTGAATAGATGGGAAGAAGAAAGAGTAAGTGGGTTTATATAACCTTCAAAAAAAAAAAAACCTGCACAAACTAATAATTTACGATACTTAATGATAATGAAGTCGATGTTAAAACTAACTTAACTTGCTTAGGATGTAATCACGGTTTAGTGGAATGGTGAAATTATACAAATTAAAACCATTCCGAGCCATTTCCAAAGTTTGAAGTGGTAGCCTGTTTCCAGTTTTCATCTTGTCAAATAAGTAATACCGTAAAAGGTCAATTAAGTGAAGAAATGGAATTACATTATAGAATCAGGTATAGTCGAGAATACATTTTTCATGAATCCTCCAGTTACTTATACTTCTAATTCATATGATTAGTGTACCACATCTGCTGAATTGCTTATTCGTATCTAATGATTAATTCTTTTAAATTCTTTTTTTTCGACTGTAGAGATTTAAAACATACATATCGCATAATGTACGATTTACTACTATAAATTAATATTCTGTTATCTTCTATATATATAAACACCGCGGATTGATTGTAATATTGTATGATGGGTTTACTGTTTGTTTGAAGAATCATAAAAACGTTATTATATAGTCTGAGACATATTCTCAAGATGTCAAAACTTTTACTCTGTCTTTATCAATTTTCAATCTTTCTTTTAGGCTAAAGTAGAAAAATTCGGTTATAAAAAGTCCGATAAAAATAGATTTTTTTTTTGTTCCTTATTTAGAATTTTTAATAAGAAGAAGAAGGAGCAAAGAAGAAGAAGAAGAAAAAACTACTGAACTATAATCAATTAATTTAATAAAGTTATATCAACATCTTTCAACTATTTTGTTTTACTTTTAATTTTGTATCAGTAATCTATTCATTTGTTTAAGACCAACGACATAATTGTTCTATATCTGAATCAAAGTACAATTAGATAATATACATCAATTTTTCATTCTATTCCACACAATTGACTTATCAATTTTGATATTCTTCATCATCATCATTCAAATCTATATCATCGATTCCAAAATTCATTCTAGAATCAATTGAGTGAGATGTATAAATCAATTGTATCCAGAAGGTTGTTATCGACAACTTCGAGAGTGTTTCAGCAACCAACTATAAGATCACATCAAAGAATTGTTCCAGTATTAAAATCATCGATGCTTGGAAGTATTATTAAATACACTTTGGGTGCAACAGTTGCAGGTGCCGTAGGTGCTGCTGCTTTTATTGCTTATAAAGTGATTGAAGAAAGTAGACCTGCAAAACAAGAAAAACAAACTCCATTTTTCCCAAATGGTGAGAAAAAGAAAACTTTAGTTATTTTGGGTTCAGGTTGGGGTTCAATACCTTTATTAAAAAATTTAGATACTACATTATATAATGTTGTTATTGTTTCACCAAGAAATTATTTTTTATTTACTCCTTTATTACCAAGTGTACCTACTGGAACTGTCGAATTAAGATCAATTATTGAACCCGTTAGATCAATTACTAGAAGATGTCCTGGTCAAGTTATATATTTAGAAGCTGAAGCTACTGGTATTGATCCTCAAAAAAATCAATTGACTTTAAAACAAAGTACCACTGTTCATTCTGGTCATTCAGGTAAAGACACTTCATCGTCTAAATCAACAGTTTCGGAATATACTGGTGTTGAAGAAATCACCACTACATTAAATTATGATTATTTAGTTGTTGGAGTAGGTGCTCAACCTTCTACTTTTGGTATTCCTGGAGTTGCTGAAAATTCATCATTTTTAAAAGAAATTAGTGATGCTTCAGCAATTAGAAAAAGATTAATGGATGTTATTGAAGCAGCAAATATTTTACCAAAAGATGATCCTGAAAGAAAAAGATTATTGCAAGTAGTTGTTTGTGGAGGTGGTCCAACAGGAGTTGAAGCTGCTGGAGAAATACAGGATTATATTGATCAAGATTTAAGAAAATGGGTACCTGAAGTAAGTGATGAAATTAAAGTCACTTTAATTGAAGCTTTACCAAATGTGTTAAATTCTTTCAATACAAAATTAATTGATTATACTAAGGAAGTTTTTAAGGATACTAATATTAATTTAAGAACTAATACAATGATTAAAAAAGTTGATGATAAAGCAGTTATTGCATCTGAAAAATTACCTGACGGCTCAACTAAGACTGTTACAATTCCTTACGGGGTATTGATATGGGCTACTGGTAATGCTGCTAGATCATTTACTCGTGATTTGATGACAAAAATAGATGAACAAAAAAATGCTAAACGTGGTTTATTAATTGATGAATATTTAAAAGTTGATGGTTCTGATAATATTTATGCATTAGGTGATTGTACTTTCACAAAATATCCTCCAACGGCTCAAGTTGCTTTTCAACAAGGTGAATATTTAGCTAAATTATTTGCAAAAATTCATGAAGTTGCAGCAACAAAATATTCAATAGAACACCCAACTCCTAAACAAAATGTTGAATCATTAGGTAAAAAATTAATAAGATTAGAGAAAAATTTACCTAAATTTCAATATAATTACCAAGGTTCATTAGCTTATATTGGTAGTGAAAAAGCTGTAGCTGATTTAGTATGGGGTGATTGGTCAAATATCACTAGTGGTGGTAGTTTTACTTTCTTATTATGGAGATCTGCATATATTTATATGTGTCTTTCAGTCAAGAATCAAGTATTAGTTTGTTTAGATTGGTTGAAAGTTGCTTTATTTGGTAGAGATTGTTCGAAAGAATAGATTATTTTAGATTTTTGTAACTATTTATTTTCCTTAAACTAGAAACAATTGCTTAAAAGAAATTTTAAAACATAGATTTTGTAGACCATTAATTAAATAAAATAACGGTTGCAAATTTACGAAACACCACATGGTAGCCACAATCATTAGAATAATAAAATCATCATAAAGTCATCATAAATTAATACATATAGAAATACTATTTTATATTAAAACTTGCTTGGAATTCAAGATCTGTTTATATTTGCATACTCTGCTTCCTCACCATTCAAATATAAGTTAGGATAAGTATAAACAGATTTAATTCCTTTTTTATATTCTCCCCAAGCTCTTTCAATTTCATCAAAAGCATTGTAACCCCAAAGGAAATCTTGGAAAACTGGATCAGCAAATCTATTAGGATAACCCAAACTTGGAGTTCCAGCCAATAAAGCATCCCTCTTTTGTTGTTTTGGACCATCTGGTAAATGATAAATATTTTGACAATTTTTAGAACCTTTTACAACTTGAGAACTTCTCCATTTTCTTAAATTTTCAGTTAAATATAATAAGTCTTGAATTTGATCTCTTGATTCTATTTTAGAAAATAAACCGGCTAAAACAGCAGCATCTTCGACAGCTTGTGATGCACCTGATGCTAAATATGGTAAAGTTGAATGTGAAGCATCACCCAATATAATTACATTACCACCTTCTCTATGAACCCAAGTGTCTAATTCCCTTGAGTCTTGTAATTTCCATTTACCAACATTTTTGATTAAGTTGAAAATCTTGGTCAAATCTTGATCCCAATCTTTGAACATTTCAATTAATTCTTCTTTTGTTGCTTCTTCTCTAAAATGATTATCTTGTAAAGTATCTGGACATAATACGACAACATTACATAATTTAGCTGAATGTAAGAAATATATGACAACATGAATATTTGGACCATAATGGAATGTGATATTAGGAGTTTGATAAAATCTTTCTAATCCTGGAACCTTTTTCATATCTTCAACATCAATTAATGCACGATAAGCCAAATCACCAGTATCATAAGCACCATCATTTCTACCAGTCAATAAATTCCTAGTAGTTGATCTAACACCATCATAACCAACAATAATATCACCACCATGAGTAACTCCATTTTCAGTAGTTACTGTTGTTTTTTTAAAATCGATGTCAATTACTTTCGAGTCTAAATAAACTTCAACGCCTAATTCATGGGCTCTGTTAACTAAGATACTATGATAATCAGCACGATGGATATGTAAATATTGACCTTGGTATTTATCTTGAACATGTGGAATTAAATTTTGTTGTGATATAATTTCTCCAGTATATCTATGAACTAAAATATCCTTTGGATGAACCGAAGCCTTTGAAACTTCGTCTAAACATCCAATAGCATCTAAGATTTTTGTTGATGGTGGTGGAATTTGAATACCTGCTCCAACTTCTCCCAATTCTTTTGCAGCCTCTAATAATTTAACTTTATGGCCAGCTAATCTTAAACATATTGATGCAGTAACACCTCCTAATCCTGCTCCAACAATAACAAAAGTTAAAGGTAATTTAGTTTTTTCAAATCCTTGTAAAGCCATTTTTCAATGTGATATATTATGAAGTTTGAATGTGTTTAATTTGTTGTTACTTAATAATTGAATGAAATACCCTTTAACAAAAAATATTTATGTAAAAGAGAATGTTTGAACTATTAATATAAATTTAAATCATTGAAGATTCTGAAACTTGAGAACTTACAAGAATGTTATATAGTCTAGAGTAAAAATTCATAACTTCGGATATGGTTTTAAATGGAAAAACTCTTTGAATTGAAAATAAACTCAAAGTTTGTTTCAAATTGATGTATAAAGTTTTTGGGGCTCAATATTAAACTCACACAAAATTAAACTCCGCAAAATTTCTAAAACCTTAAAAATCAACTAAAAAACTTACTGGGATAAATGTTTAACCGCTTAGTAAAGTTGGGGCATGAACTTAAAAATAATTTTTTTCAAATATTTGACCAGAATAATTACAAATAAAAAATATCTCATTTGTTAAATACATTGGCATTAACTATAAGCATGATGAAAATCTAAATCTTGAGCTTATGAGTATTTGAAAGAGATTGTAACTAATATAGAGTTGCATAGATTTTAAAGTTTACAGATGTTTGTCAAAGACTTAAATGATGCCAGCAGGACAATGTAGGTTCAATTCTTTGATCGGTACTATTCTTTAAATTATTTTGAAATCTCTAAGCGGTTATATATAACACCGAATTAAAAGGTCGCTAACTTATTGTTTATTTTTAGTATTCTTCCCCTTAATCATCTATTACTTTCTGCATCTGGTAAAACGGGTAAAATGATCAACCGAATTAATTTTACGTGATTATCGAGATTTATTATTCCACAAGATCTTATGATTTACGATCTCTAATATTTTTATTATATATTGTAGATAAACTCCAAATTATGTACATTAATGCGAGAGAAGACAATCTAATGAGCTGATTTTACCAGTTTTTGGTGAAAAAATATCAATAGTCAGATCAACTCATTCACTCCGCATTGGTACCTTAGAACTAGTCGTAAACGCTCAGCATTAAACAAACCTTACATATTTCAGTATTACCATAAATCTCACTAGAACATTATGAAATGATTAATATTATTGAAAAAGAAAAAAAACATCTTAAAAATTAATAATCTATGGCAATAAATATCTACCGCGCAAAATTCATGTAACAAAATTCATGTAACAAAATTCGTATCAAAATAGTTTTTAATATTATCGTTATCTACTATTTAATCTAATAAATTAATTTACAACAAACCTTACTCCTACTTTACAAAAACTTATGTCTATCCTAATTGAATACTTCCTCTAATACTTCTTCTTCCTCTGCTAAATGTTTAGCTTTAGTACCAGCTGCAATCGAAGCACTTGGGTCTCTTCCAGCATATCTCATCTTCAAATCTTTGTAATTGTCAGTTTCTTTTAAGACAGCTTCAACTCTTGGTACAGCAAAAGCCCAAGCACCCATATTCAATGGTTCTTCTTGTGCCCAGACTAAATCTTCGATATTTGGATATGAATTTAAGGCATCTCTTAATTGAGCAAATGGGAATGGATTTAATTGTTCAATCTTAATAAAAGCAGTAGATTTATCATCTAATTGTTGTCTCTTTTTATGTAATGCAGCATGTAATTGTCCAGTTAATAATACAACTCTTTTGACTTCTGATTTATCACCTAATACATCTTCTATAATCCATTGGAAATGTGAATCACCAGTAAATTCTGATATATTTGATCTAGCTAATGGATGACGTAATAAAGATTTTGAAAAGAATAAAATCAATGGTTTTCTGAATTGTCTATGCATTTGACGTCTTAATAAATGGAAAATATTAGCTGGTGTAGTTGGATAAGCAACTTGCATATTACAATCTTGATGTTGACGTTCTAATTTCTCTGGTGAAGGGAAGTAACGAGGATCTTCATTACATAATTGTAAATATCTTTCAATTCTACCTGATGAATGTTCTGGACCTTGTCCATCATAACCGTGAGGTAATGATAAAACAACACCAGATCTTTGTTTCCATTTAGATTCAGCACCAGCAATAAATTGATCAATAACAACTTGAGCTGTATTAGCAAAATCACCAAATTGAGCTTCCCATTCAACAAGAGCATCCGGTGAAGTTAATGAATAACCATATTCAAAACCTAAAACACCATATTCTGATAATGATGAATTTGATATACTGAAAACTCCTTGATCTTCACTTAAATTACTTAATGGGGTCCATGTCTTTTCTGATTTTTGATCATGTAAAACAGCATGCCTTTGTGAAAAAGTACCTCTTTCAACATCTTGACCAGAAACTCTAACATGATAACCTTCTAATGCTAATGTACCATAAGCTAAAGCCTCACCAGTAGCATAATCTATACCTTCACCAGTTTCAACTGTTTTCTTTCTTTGATTAAGAATACGTTTCAAGTTTCTATGAAGTTCAAATCCTTCAGGTACTTCTGACATAGCAACACCAATTTTTTTTAATGTTTCTTCATCTACACCAGTTGGAAAATGTGGTAATACTTCAGTAGCTAATTCTTTTGGTGATTTAAAATCTTCCCATGGAGTTGTTAACCATTCTCTTGAAGTTGGTTGATAATCTTTAGCTTTTGAAAATGATTCTTCCAAAATATTCCATACCCATTTTTTATGTTCTTCAATATCTTCAGCTGTGAAAGTACCTTCATCAATTAATTGTTTAGCATATATATCAATTACTGATTTCTTTTCTGCAATTTCTTTGTACATTAATGGTTGAGTGAAAGATGGTTGATCGGTTTCATTATGACCATGTTTTCTATAACCAACAACATCGATTATACAATCAGTATGGAAAGTAGCTCTCCATTCAGCTGCTAAATTGAAAATGAATGTAGTTGCTTCTATATCATCAGCATTAACATGGAAAATTGGAGCATTAATACTTTTAGCAATATCAGAAGGATATAATGTCGATCTTGCAAATCTTGGATCAGTAGTGAACCCAATTTGATTGTTTACAATTATATGAATAGTACCACCAGTTGAGTATGCTGGTAAATTAGCAAAACCCATAGTTTCATAAACAACACCTTGAGCAGCAAAAGCAGCATCACCATGTAATAAGACAGACATTGCTTTCTTGAATTCACCAACATCATTTTTATATTGTTGAATTGCACGAGTTTTACCCAATACAACACCATCTTCAGCCTCTAAATGTGATGGATTAGCAACTAATGATAAATTAACATGTTTACCTGAAGTAGTTGGTCTTGCATAATTCATACCTAAATGATATTTCACATCACCCGAACCTTCATCAAACTCCCTCGAACCTGTGAATTCTGAAAAAATTGATTCATTTGGTTTACGAACAACATTTGACAACATATTCAATCTACCTCTATGTGGCATACCAATAACAATATCTTCAACACCATATTCAACAGAAGTATCAATTAATGCTTTCATACCTGGAACAACTGCCTCAGCACCTTCTAAACCAAATCTTTTATCATTAGCGAATTTGGTGGATAAGAATGATTCAAATGAAGTAGCCCAAATTAAACGATCCAATATTTGTCTTTTTTGATCTTGAGAATACTTAAATGGTTGTGGGATTTCAATTCTTTCTCTTAACCAATCACATTGTTCTTTTGAAGGAATATGAACATATTCTACACCATATGATGAACAATATAATTCTTCACAAGTCTTTATGATTTCTCTTAAAGTCATTGTTTTCTTACCTTCAGTTGCAAATCTTGGTAAAATACCTGGTCCTAAAGTAATTTCTTTATCTAAATCACTTTCTGAAAAATTGTAATAATCCAATGTTAATTCTTTTGGTATTTCAGATTTATCACCAAATGTTATATTTAAAGGATCGATTTTTGCCTTTTGATGTCCTCTAACTTGATAAGCTCTTACTAATAATTGAACTTTCAAATGAGTAACAACATCATCATTATTGACACTAGTTTGACCTGGATAAAAACCAGCTGCACCACCTGAAACAGTTGGAACGATAGTTGGTGGAGCTTGAAATGCCTTTGATGGTTCGACATTATCATTCTCTATATTTTTAAAATAAGCATTCCATGATGCGTGGACAGACTTTGGGTCGGTTCTCCATTGTTGATACATTTCATCAACATAATTGGAATTGTTTCCTTGTAAAAAAGTATCTGTTGCTAAACATCTAGTTTGTAATAAATTGTAGTTATGTCTAAGTGAGGAAATTTGATTAATCAGTTGTTTCTTGTATATTTGTGTGCGTGGTATAGCACTTTTAAAAGCTCTAAGCATTTTGGATTTAAATGTGAAAAGTTTTGAATAGGTTTTAAATCAATAATAGTATGAATGATTTTCTTTCAAAATTCTTCAAAATGATGTTCTTAAATACATATATGCCTTTTCTAAATTAGAAAAAGAATGGTATAAATTGTAATTGATAATGATATAATTAAAATTGTAAAATTGTTTTAAATTTTCGATTTAAAACTTTGCTTATAAAAAAATGATTGGAGAAGAAAAAGAAAAAAAAAAAATTACTGTACAATAAAGTAAAGAAAAATCTTGATGACTCCGGGTTTATAATACAATAATAAAATAATAATATAATAATTTGTTAACAAGTAGAAGTCTATATGAATAGTAAGTTTAGATTACCACCGATCTGAAACATTGGAAAAAGGTTAATAAGTGTATACTAGCTGAAAACTTATACGAATTTGAGTATATTAACTTGTAATAGATCATTATGATTTACATCGATATTGATGTTCAAATTCGCTTAATTACTACTTGAGTTGGCTTTCCTCATAACTATTGGGCCGACCCATGAACCACTCATAGAGAGAGACATAAAATATCACCTCGACTTAAATTTGTTTCAAACTCTCCACGCAGGTCATGCAGAGAATCGGTATTTAAAATAACTCCGAAGAGCACCGAGTTTTTTTTCTGATGAAGTTGGTCCAGTAATTATTACTACTGTACCTATTCAGTTTCAACATAAAGGTCACGTTATTTTGATGAGTAAATATGCATTCTTCATAAAACTTAAAGTACTGATCAAAATTTATCATCGTACCTGATGTATGAGTTTAATTTAGATTGGAAGTGTATTAGATCAAATGACGAACTCCGAGAGTTAGAAAAACTCCGAAACTTTATAAAATTGAAGAATCGCTAAAACGATAAGAGCATGAAGAATTCAGGTAATTTGAGTTGGAACATTCTGTACTTCTCAAAATTATTGCACTGAACAACTAAAAGTCGTATTCGGTTTTTAATTAACAGTCTTGCTCTTCGTTTCTACTCCTCTAAACGGTTGTTTTTTTATATTCCAGTTGCATCTTCGTGGACGCAATTGTTCAGCAAAAGGAATCACAAGAAAACTACATAAATTCACGACCGACATGAACCATGTGTGCTTGCAAAAAGCTAAATAATTTTTAAGTCAGAGTTCGTATTACATTGGAAAACACTGAATAGTGAAGTATTACCCATTTATTTGTTTATTTAGCCTCACCTTAAACTATTTACAAATCTACCACCCCACCTTTTCCTCAAAGGAATTCTTTTGCTTTTCTTCTGAATGCATTACAATCTCTTAACCATTGTCTATAATCTTTCAACGAATAAATTCTTTCACCATAATAATCAGGTATAGGATTTGAGAAACTTTGACTTGAAGGATCCGGTCTTTTATTTTTTAATCTACTCAAAAAGAAACTATTCTTATTTTCAAATGCTTGTAACTTTGATTTATTGATAGCTTTAAATACTAATGAACCAAATGTTGGTCCAACTAAAAATCCAGCAAATCCTCCTAATACTACCGCTCCACCTAATACTAAAATTGGATCAAATCCATATATTGGTTTCTCAACATCAATTTCTATATTTCCCAAATAACTTAATGTTAATACTGCACCTCCAATACCTGTGAATATGCCGCTTATTAAATTTATTCTATTGCTTTGTTTTTTCAATTGAAAAAAATCGACCCAAGATATTGGTTGTACGGTTTTTGTTGAATTAAATCTTATACTTGGTAGAACATTTCGCGCAAAAGCTCTTTTGTAGATTCCCAACGTGAGCATTTGTGATTCGTTGTATGGAATAGTTATATAAAGTTGAGTTAGTTGTATGATTGTCAATCTTTTAGACCGTGATTTTTCAATTTTTTTTGTATTATCATTCTACTTGACAAAATGTGGTAGCTCAGTGTTCTTAGATTGTTCTATAGTCTAATAGATATAACTCAGTCCAGCAAGGGACAAATCAAGGCAAGAATGTTAAACAAAAGAACCGAGACGAGCCTACAACAGTGAGGTAAAGTTTGAATTTCAATTTTGATTTCGGAACTCAAATTGGATATGTACAAAAATTTAGTGTGATTCCGGGCGCTGGAAGAATCTTAGAAGAGTATGACGCTGTATTTAGCTTTAAAGGGAAGAGTAAATTTGAAATCATACATTCGCATCTTTTTATGAATCTGAAATTTCTGAAGAACTTTGAATTTGATCAATGCTTCGTCTTCTCCTTGGACACATGTTGTCAAAGTAACATTGAATGTTAAGTTCAATCTGATATTGGGTAGTGTACGCGTGCTCAAATATTTCTCATACAACAACAATCTCTCTCTCTCTTTAATTTTTTAACTAAAGTAAAAATAAACATTCAAACAATTTTTTCAAACAAATCTTAAATCATAATTTAATACGTTTAATTAATAGTTACAAAGAAGTTATTATTTTACGATAAATCATCAATCAAAGACGCACAACTATAAGACATCACATAAAAAATATACATTTTGCAACTTCGAGCAACTAAAACTTACCTTAAAATTCAGGGAAACTTATAAACAAATCAAAAAATCATATGGAATATTGAATTAAAAATAAAATTAAATTTTGCAACAATCAATCTACTTTTAAAGCATTAGAACAAATGAATGGTGGTATTGCAACATCAAATGGAAATGGTTTATTTCTGGAACCCACCAAATCAAGACAACAACAATTTCAATTTCCAAAAGATAAGTTGGAATTAAATTATCTACTAGATCAATACTACAAACTATTAATTGGATCAAAAAGAAATAAAGATGAAACTTTAAAATCAGAATCTACAACTGCAATAACTGATCCTTATCTTGAGGATAAGAAGGAGATTGAAGATTTACTAGCAAAGCTTAACTCACAACAAAAAGATTTCGAAAAGGAAGAAGAGAATTTTCTCAACGATTTATTGATTGAAGATCCCGTAGAATCATTAGATTTTTCATTATTTGAAAAACAATTAGCAGGATTTAAATTGCTATCGAAAGATTATGACTTGCCGGAAACTTTGCAATCACAACTACAACTGAACAACAAAACCCATCAGATTGATAATATAATCGAAGATTTAACAACCACCAAAATAGATTTTGAAGAGAGAGCAGCAGCTTCAGGAGTCATCCCAGAAAATATGTACCTGGATTTAGGCTTAAATTATGGTTCACTTGATAATAACTATTACAGAGAGAGAATAATCACAAATAAAATTTCCCAGCGATTGAAAGAATTAGAGAATTTACCTGCGAACTTAGGTACTTTCAATGGTCCAATAGATGAATTGAAAATGAAGGCATTAGTTGAATTAAAATCCTTGAGAGCTTTAGCAAATCAAAAGAAATTGAAAAATTTAATATTATCTCAAAATTCAATGCTGGTGAAATACACACATCCAAATTTAAAAGACATTCCAATATGTCTATCCGAGAAGAGACAATTTGGTGTGAGACCTAAAGTCGAACAACAACATCCAGAATTATTAGCTATTCAATTACAGAAGTTGAAAAAACAAGAAGCTAAAGAATTAAAACGTCGACAACAAAAGGTTAAAGTTGATCAAATCATAGAAAATTCCAATAACAGAATTGAAAGAAATAATATAATAGATAGTTATAGAAATGTTCATTTGGTTAAACAAATTAACAATTATCACCTGATTACAGAAAAAGAGGAAAGTAAAAAATTGGAAAAGAATGCCAAACAGAGATTACAAGCATTAAAAGCAAATGATGAAGAAGCTTATCTTAAATTGTTGGATGAGACTAAAGATCACAGAATTACACATCTTTTAAAACAAACCAATCAATTTTTGGACTCCTTGACTGAACAAGTTAAAGCACAACAGGATGAAGCAAATGGTACGATAAAAAGTGCGACTCCAGAAGTTATTGAAGAAGCTGGTGATGAAGAAATTAAAGATGCCAAAGAAGAATTACGTGAGAAAACGGATTATTATGAAGTTGCTCATAAGGTTAAAGAGAAAATCACGGAACAGCCAAAGATTTTAGTAGGAGGGAAATTGAAAGAATATCAAATGAAAGGTTTGGAATGGATGGTATCACTATACAATAATCACTTAAATGGAATATTAGCAGATGAAATGGGATTAGGTAAAACCATTCAGTCCATTTCGTTAGTAACATATTTGATTGAAAAGAAACAAGAATCGAAGTTTTTGGTCATTGTCCCATTATCAACTATAACGAATTGGACTTTAGAATTTGAAAAATGGGCTCCTTCGGTTAAAGTAATAGTGTACAAGGGTTCGCAACAACAAAGAAAATCCATGCAAAATGATATCAGATTTGGAAATTTTCAAGTTATGCTTACCACATATGAATATGTTATTAGAGAACGTTTATTACTAGCAAAATTTCATTATTCTCATATGATTATAGATGAAGGTCATAGAATGAAAAATGCAAATTCGAAATTATCACAAACTTTAAGGCAATACTATAAAACCAAAAATAGATTAATTTTAACTGGTACTCCCTTACAAAATAATTTACCAGAATTATGGGCATTATTAAATTTCGTACTTCCGAAAATTTTCAATTCAGTAAAATCATTTGATGAATGGTTTAATACTCCTTTCGCTAATACTGGAGCACAAGAAAAAATAGAATTAACTGAAGAAGAATCGCTTTTAGTTATAAGAAGATTGCATAAGGTTTTAAGACCATTTTTATTGAGAAGATTGAAAAAAGATGTTGAAAAAGATTTACCTGACAAAGTTGAGAAAGTATTAAAATGTAATTTATCTGGTTTACAATATGTGTTGTATCAACAAATGTTGAAACATAATGCTTTATTTGTTGGTTCAGAAGTTACTGGTGCTAAAAGTGGTATCAAAGGTTTGAATAATAAAATTATGCAATTGAGAAAAATTTGTAATCATCCATTTGTATTTGAAGAAGTTGAAACTGTTTTAAATTCAACTAGATTAACCAACGATTTAATTTGGAGAACCAGTGGTAAATTTGAATTACTAGATAGAGTTTTACCGAAATTCCAAAAACTGGGTCATAGAGTTTTGATGTTTTTTCAAATGACTCAAATAATGGATATCATGGAAGATTTTTTAAGATTTAGAGAAATGACTTATTTGAGGTTGGATGGTTCCACAAAAGCTGATGAACGTCAAGATATGTTAAAAGTATTTAATGCACCAAATTCGGAATATTTTTGCTTTTTATTATCAACAAGAGCAGGTGGTTTAGGTCTTAATTTACAAACTGCAGATACTGTAATAATTTTTGATACCGATTGGAATCCTCATCAAGATCTACAAGCACAAGATAGAGCTCATAGAATTGGTCAAAAAAATGAAGTTCGTATTCTTAGATTAATTACAAACGACTCAGTTGAAGAAGTTATATTGGAAAGAGCTCATCAAAAATTAGATATTGATGGTAAAGTTATTCAAGCAGGTAAATTTGATAATAAATCTACAGCTGAAGAACAAGAAGAATTTTTAAAAAAATTATTGGAAGCAGACGCAACTGGTGGAGATAATGATGAGAATGATTCATTGGATGATGAAGAATTAAATGAAATTCTTGCAAGAAGTGAAGAAGAAAAAAATATGTTTAATGAAATGGATCGTCAACGTAAAAATTCAGATCCTTATGATCGTCATAGATTAATTGAAAAATCAGAATTACCAAAAATATTTACAGAAGATATTTCACATCATTTTGAACCAAATGTAAAAGAATTAGGTAGAATGAGAGAAAAGAAAAAAGTTATGTACGATGATGGATTAAGCGAAGCTCAATGGTTAAAAGCAATGGATGATGACGATGATACTGTGGAAGAAGCAATAAAAAGAAGAGAGTTAAATGCAAGTAGGAGGAAAAGGAAAAGAGTTGAAGATGATGAAGAGGATGATCTAATAATATAAGTAATGATATAAGCTGGACTAATGTACATTCATATCAACACACTTTGAAAGATTAATGCTTTAGAATTGTATTATGTAGTAGTCTAATTGCGAGTTTTGTATTCCTAAACCATAAATAAAGCCAATCTTTATTACTTCGATTTATCTAACATTAGGCGTGTAAAGCGTCAACTACGACCAATAGACTACCAAAACTTCGGTAAAGTAACCTTCGTCGTAGTTAATTTTAAGAATGGGCACCTGAATTGTGCTCGAGCATGAATGTATACTAATTTTTTAGTAAAATTGATTCATAAAAGTTGACGCTGATAATCTTACGGAAGAGAAAATCAACTTATTACGATTCAACTTTAGTGCTTGATGCTAGCAGGTGCTGTTGAAGTATTTGTATGGATTGACAAATGTGAACAGAGTAGAGACGAGTGAGTGATTAAAAATGTTCTGTCTGCCTTTTGTTAATCACGCAACTGTAAGTCGGCTGGGTAGGCGGTTGTCAATTGATAATCTGCTATGTCGTTTTATGATGATCAATTTAGCAAAGGTATAATTTTTTCTTTTTTGTGAACATTCTGAAACAAAATAAATAAATAGTATCACAATTAGTCTACTTCAAATTAAGGGGTAATTAAAATAGCAAATAACTTGAAACAAAATACAGACACTTATTTTCAGTAAGTTAAGCATTTCCTCTTTCATTTCTTTCTCTTTTCAAACTAAGTGTGACTACTAGCCCTGGTTTAGTGGCATATTGAATAATATTTAGAACAATGATAATTAGGTTTAATAAAATAAGATATATAAGCTTAAGAATGGAGAACATACATTCGATCATTTAAAAGACTGTTTTTAAAAGTAGAGTGAAATCTTATACGCTACTGCAAATTTTTTTGACTAAAAATTTTGATCTTATGTAGGTACATTTTAAATTATTATCACCGCTTTCCATACTTTGGATGCTAGAAATAAATATATATTTTAACTTTTAAACACAGAGGTCTATTTGCAGATGCTTTTATTTAATGTAGTTTCGCCAATGAAAGCTCGATTGCAGCAGCTGGATGATACGGTGCTGCCACACATCAATTAGTCTCGTTTGCTTGTTCATCCAAAGTCTTGAAAACGAAAGGTTTTTGATCTTTTGGATATGTAATTCCCAATTCCAAAAGTTTTGCATAAGCTTGTGCAAAATCTTTGAACCAAGCATCTTGATCTTTAGCATACAATTTTGTGTATTTAAGAAAACCATTATCTTGTTTTAAAGTCATATCTGTTGGTAACATCATTAATTCATTTGTTTCGTCATCTTGATATTGCTTGTTTCCATCCCAAGGTGGAGGTCTTACATGCCATTTCTGCATCAAATTTTCATAAAAGTCATTAGTGAATAAATATGCTTGAGGCAGCCATGGTCCATCAAAATTTGAGTAAAGTTTATGACATCTTCCTAATACATGAGCCCCAATTAAAGCTACAGTCTCTTTATCATCCAAGCCCATTCTACTGAAAAATCTTCTCACCATATCTCCTGATTCAATTGTACCCGAAGGGATTCTACCATTTTCAGGTGAATATCCAGAATTGTCATCTACTCTACCTGGTCTCCATTCAATCTTAGGACCAGAGCTACATTAGTTAGTAACTATTGGAGATATTTCTATTTGGAAAAATACATACGCTTCTTGGACACCGCAGACACCAGCTAAAGTCCATAAATCACCTCTTGATATCCATGGGAATTTTATGTGGAACTCAGCCAAAAAGCTTCTGGCATTTTGTAATCCGAAGTTTTCAATATCCATCTCTTCAGGCTGAAATATCATGGTTCCTCCGAAACTACCACCCTTTGTTTTCGTTAGTATATTCCTGATCTAGCCATCGATTATGGTTGTATTCCCAGCCATTTAATTGTTATGAAGAAAATTCGATACATACACTATTATCAGCTTTTGAGTAAGTACCACTTGTATGCCACAGCAATCTGACCAAAGTCTGTTGATAGTTTGTTAGTAAGTTGTTTGCAATTTGGTTTCATAAAAAATACATACTGCATAATATCCATCATTTTGATCAAATTCTAGATTTTCAGATATCTTTGAAGCAATACAATTATAAACCTCTTGATAATCCTTGTATCCTTTTCCCTCTGGAACTTGAGCTATCTTTACATGTGCTCCTGAAGCACCACCTACTGCTGCTTTGGCAAAACCTCTTGATGAATTTTTATTCGGAAAATTTCCTCCATTTTTAGTGTGATAATAAGCACCAGCAGCAATTGCACTTCCTGATACAGCTCCAATTATTGTTTTTGTTGTCGCAGTAAATTTTAACTTCGAGGATAAAACTCTTGCATATTTTCCCACTGAAGGGGCAATTGAAGCCATGTTGTAACAAACTAATTGACTCAAGGTGATTAAGGTATTTTTAATGATAAACACAGTATATTCTTAAAAGAAAATTCAAAAGGAATGTTGACATTGAAATACATTTTACAGGTTAACAGGTGAGTTCTATTATATTATGTTGAATAATTAATTTTGTGCATGAATAATAATATAAAGGTTTCGAACTTATCTTTGATACAAATACAAAATTGCTGTAAATGCAAAATGTGTTAATACAATAGAACGGGTAGAAGAGGTTAAATTTTCAAAATCTTCGAAGAATTTGGAAGAAGTTCCTACTCTCCGTGAAACCAGAAGCAACACGGAAAACTATTGTTTACAGATTATGCAACTATACATTGCTGTTCAATATAGGAAACTGAAAATCAACCACGTTGTAATTTTATTGTCACTCTCATGATTTTGACTTCAATTAGTTACGTCGAATGTTTTGCCAGTAAGAGTAATTCTAAATTCGGCTCTATTTACTTAAAATCCCAAATCACACTTAGGTTAAACTTGTTTATATAATTTGATTTTTTATGTTTTACCTTGCAGTAATTTAATCAAACATGCATAATTGTAAAAGAAATAAAGTAATCAAAAATAAGTCAGGTATAATTGGACCAAATCCAATCTTTTAAATAGGTTCGCAAGGCTCGTAGATCGAGCTCTACAACTACGACTTTCAGCTAGCCGGTCTTGAATCACTCGAATGGTAAATATAACGAGACTTCATGACGAACGTCAAGATATGGCTTTATCAATTGTTAATTTTTAAGTCAATTAATGCGATCTTAAATCTACAGAATGAGATGTTTTTGTCTTGCACTAGTGTCTACCATAAATTTATCATACCTTGTCAGTAGATAAGGAATATCTATGGAAAATAAAAGTTCTGTCTCAAGTGAATTGTTAAGTTCTGAAACTAAAAATTGATTTGTTTTAGACATAAGTGCAACACAGTGCTTGTAGTGCTTATAACTTCAAAGAATCCTTGGTAAACGGAAATATAATAAGCTTAATGTACAGAAGAATTTTGTGGATCTAGGTGTCAATCTACTCAACCACGAAGTTTTACTTTAAAAAATAGTGAAACATTGACATAAAATGTGCCACTTCTGAACATAACATCAAAATTAGATGTGGCTCTAAGTATCGCGCAACAAAATCTAAACTTAATATTATTGCGCAGTCTTACTTAAAAATAATGAAATCAGGGTTGTAAACCTAGCTTACTAAGTTGGTAGCATTATTAACTGAAACAAAAGATTATATTTATAAATTTAATTTGAAAAATTTCATTTTCACGTACATCATAGTCCAACCACTACCAAGAACTCACATCCCATACAATGAAATACATTCAAACTGATCAAATTTTAGATATCCCAGAAGGTGTTTCTGTTGACATCAAAGCCAGAGTTGTCAAAGTTACTGGTCCAAGAGGTGAATTGACTAAAGATTTAAAACATATCGATGTCACTTTTTCGAAAATCTCAAATAGAGCTATCAAAATTACTGTTCACAATGGTGACAGAAAACATGTTGCTGCTTTAAGAACCGTCAAATCATTAATTGCCAATTTAATCACCGGTGTTACTAAAGGTTATAAATACAAAATGAGATTTGTATATGCGCATTTCCCAATTAATGTTAACATTGTTGAAAACGATGGTGCTAAATTTGTTGAAATTAGAAATTTCTTAGGTGAAAAAAGAGTTAGAAATATTAAAATTCAAGATGGTGTTACTATGGAATTATCAAGCACTCAAAAAGATGAATTAGTTGTCACTGGTAACTCATTGGAAGATGTCTCACAAAATTGTGCTGATATTCAACAAATCTGTCGTGTTAGAAACAAAGATATTCGTAAATTCTTAGATGGTATTTATGTTTCAGAAAAAGGTACAATTGTTGAAGATCTTTAGATAAATTGTGTATAGTTCATGGGTTTAATTTTTTTTAATGGGTTTTGCTTTATATATTTTCACTCGTGGATCGTTATAGAGCTCAATAAATGAAAAGCCACCTACGATCACACACCTAATTTCATTGTCGAAATATCTCTAATTTCTCCAGAATTTGCTTCAAATGGTTCAATTCGAATTTTCATATTTAATATATGATTTATTTTAATTGAAATTATTTGTATTTACTTCTTTTACTACTCTACAAATGACTCTTAAAATAGCATTCCTAGGTCCTGAAGGAACATATACACATCAAGTATGTATAAAGGAAAACAAGTATTGTTAAAGAGGTACTAACAGACACTATGTATAGGCTGTTCTACAGCAATTTGGTAATGAAATAGAAATATCACCACAGAACACGATTGGTGAGTGTTTTGATTCGATAAATGCGAAACACGTGGATTATGCTGTGGTACCCTTTGAGAATTCAACAAATGGACAAGTCGTTTTTACATATGATCTTCTTCGAGACTGGTTCTTGGTGAAGAAAAGTAATTTCAAAATAGTTGCAGAACAATTTGTATCTATACATCATAATTTACTATGTAATGGACCAATTGAAAAGATCAATACAATTTACTCACATCCTCAAGTTTGGACTCAAGTGTCTAAGTTTTTATCAACTTTTCCGAATAAAATAAATCGAATAGATACAGATTCTACTTCAAAGGCTGCTGAATTAGTTGCCAGGGGAGAAAGTTCATCAGCAGCGATATCTTCTTTAATGAGTTCAAAATTATACAATCTCAACATAGTAAAAGAAAATATTGAAGATAATTCAAATAATACCACCAGGTTTTTGGTTTTAGGATATGAGAAACCACCCGTATATGATCGAGAGACTAATGACATTATCACATCAATAATGTTGACATTACCCCATGATGATCCAGGTGCATTGTGCGACGTATTAGTCCAATTCAAACAAAATAACGTTAATTTAACATCAATAAATTCAAGACCTTCAAATATAGAACAATGGCAATATGTCTTTTTTATAGAAACAATTGGTGAAATTTCCCAGTCACTACTTACGAATCTAACAAAATCTTGTTTGGATTTAGTAATCTTAGGAGTATTTGATAGAAATTGGAGGTTTAAAAAAAATCATGAACATTAAAAGCATTATATAATTATTTACCAAATTTTTGATAAACCCATTCTGTATTATCTAAAGGACATGCATTTCTAGTTTTTAACCACCTCTTGATACAATGTAAATGAAACGCGTGATTACACATTCCCCAAGCAGCTATACATTCTTCATTACCATTTGCAATTGAATTAGGTTGACATTCGATACAAGGTTCCATCAAATGATTTCTACAAATAGCACAATTTTCGATTTGTATATCTGATTCAGTTAGTATTTGGTTTGAATTTTGTTACTCAATGATACATACCCCAAGACCAAAATGCAACTGCAGTCCATTTCTTTACTTCAAATCTAGGTTTGGATTTTGTTGTTTCTTTTACGACTTCAACGTCTATTACAAAGTTAGTATATAGTTCTAAAACATTCTGATTTATCCATAATCAGCTATCAAAAGTTAAACATACCATCTATGTCCATTCGATCATCATCTGCCATTGTATTACGTTGAATAACACGAAATATTGAATAAAGTTGATTATAAATTTATTTTTTTGTTGCAAATATATTTTTGAGATAAGTAGAGGCAAAATTCAAATAATGTCAACAGGCGAAGATCTAATATCATCGTTATACCCACCACCTCCTCCATATTATAAATTCTTTACAGATGATAATCTAGAAAAATTAAACGAATGGAAGAAAGAAGATAAAGAGGGAACACCACCAGGTGAGCTACGATTTTTGATTCCACCAAAACAACCTGAAGGTTCACAATATAGAGGATATGGTAATATATGGCTGTTTCAAGACAAACTACCGAATTTAAAGGACACTCAATGGCAACAATTATATAATGATGAGAATTTAACATCGGTAACAAAGATTGAGGAACTACATAAGATAATGGATTCGTTATTATTAGCATTTTTAGAATTAATAAGTATACTAAGTGTTGATCCTCAACAATTTGAACCAAAGATAAAAGACATGAGTTTGCTTTTGATCAATTTCAATCATTTACTAAACACATATAGACCTCATCAAAGTAGAGAGAGTCTAATCATGTTATTAAGAAACCAAATATCGAATAAAAATAATGAAATACAAGAAATAGACAAGGTATGTGACGATATTAAAACTAAAATTAGAAATTTATTTGATAAACAAACAGAAGACCTTGATATGGAAGAGATTGAAGATATATCGAAACCAGATGTGAATGTAAACAAGACTGATATAATTGATCAACTATTAAAAACATGAATCAGAACAAATCGAGCAAATCACTATTAGATTTTTTCTCTGTAGGTTTAGAATTAAATAAATTTAAATCATTTAATTCACTCAAAAAATCATTGACACCTCCATTATTAGCCAGTGAATTGTAATCAATTTCTTCATCATCGTCATCATCAAAATTTAATAAATCTTCATTCCTAGAATTTTCAATTATCTTTTGCTCTGCTATATCTTTCAAATCTTCACCTTGATTAAATTCAATAGGAGCTCTAGAATATGCTGATGGATCAATAAATGTCTTGGCTGGTTTATGATAAACAGATGACAAGGTTGATAACTCTTTCATCAATGTCTCAAGTAAATGCGAATTAAACACAGGGATTGTTGATTCAATTGGTGGTAATTTTGCCAATATAATCTTCTTTTGTAAAGCTTCATTTCCTGAAGATAATAATCTCCAGTAAATATATGCTTTATCTCTTACATCAGCGTTTTCACATTCTTTAGTAGCAACATCTAATACTTTTTGTAATAAATCATTATATTGTCCTAATGCTAAGTTGATTTTCACAGTTGTAGTCAAAATATTTAATTGTAAAATAGAATCATAATTCAAAAATTCATTGATTAATGACTCTAATTTAGAATGCAAATTGGAAAAATATTTAGGATATTCACCTAAAATCCAAACAAATCCAGCTAATGCTTCATTTTTGTCTAAAGTAGATGAATGATTTGAAATGATTGGTATGATTAATGATGCAATGTCATTTTTACCAGGGTATCTTCTTAAGGTGTTGGTCAAAACTATCACAGACTCGTTAATAATTAATTCACCTCCTCTTTGATCTATGATATCGTTTAAAAGATTTACTGCTTTAACTACTGATCCACTTAATTTGATTGCAACTGCTCCAATTGATTTAATTGCTTTCGTGACCAATGCTGGTTCGAACTCCATCGAATATTCTCTTAATTCTCCTAACAACAAATCACTATTTGATTCATTTGCTAATCGTATCATTATATCCAACTTTTCTAATTTCAAATATAATGGATCAGAATATTTTATGAAAAATACTCTTAATTCTTTTGATAGAATATTTGGATATTTTTCTAGTATAATTCTAATGTTTTTCAAACCAACATATTGAGCTTCAGGAATTGATGAGCTCACCAATGAAACTAAAGGTGCTGACAGTTTTTTCAAAATTGATTGTCTTTGAGCAGTCACATTTATACTTTCCACGTGACAAAGAATTGCTTTGATGGAACTTAAAACTACAGATGGATTGACATGTTGTAACTGCGGTATTACTCTTTCTATAATATGATTAGCTTCATCTGCTTTTCCTTGAGTACTGTACTCGGTTAATGTAGTCAATATTGTGATTCGACCCCATTCAGTACATTCATTCAAACAAAGTAATAAACTCTTAACAACATCACCATTGATTGTTAATATCTCCAAATTTGGATCTTGATTCATGTCTCTGATTTCGTATAAAGCATTTATAGAATTTGCAATTACCATGGGGTTTGAATCATTTAAAAGTTTCTTCAAATCTTCCAAAAATCCAAATTCAACACACATTTCTGGATTTAAATCAAATAATTTGGCAACACATATTGCAGCTGTTTTCCTAACATAAGGATTTTCATCTTTTAAAGTTCTAGTCAATGGAGTTTCAATATAATCTACCATCTTGGCAACTCTTATACACCCCATTGTTCTAATTGCTAAAGCTCTGATCAATGGATTTGGATCTTCAGTATCTTGAACAAATGTGTTTACAGCTAATATACATAATTCCGGATGAGATTTTGCATAGTTCATAAGGTAAAGATATACTAATTTCTTTTGTTCTAAATCATAAGTGGCGATGTTTTTTAAGACATCAGGAAATAATGATGAGACATCTTTACCAACAGTCATTGCTTGAATTACACGCTGTATAGCATCTTTCCTTTCATGTTTATATTGAGATACTAATCCATTTTTCAATTCAAATGTTTCACCTTTTTTAGGACCCAGTAGGAATTTTCTTAATCTTCTTTCGACAACACTATTTAGTTTGATTAGATTTTTGTTGATTGATTTTTTGTTGATATTCATTTCAAAAGGTCAGGGGATAGATGGTGGTGGTTTGGATTGGTATAATTGAGACTCGATGAATCAAATTTAAAATTATGGTCCATGAACAAGTTGAAAATTGATCACATCAAAACAACGCACAAGTTGAGAGCATTAAATCAAAACATTAATTTTTTTTGACGTAAAACTTTTGGATTGACGCGTCATAGAGAGGTTTTACAACAAGATTTGACAGGATTCAACGATTCTATCATTCAAGACCGTACTGTCTAAATTATAATCGGTGAGTGCTTTGCATACCAATGCTCGATAATCTGGCATACATGTGGAGCCTTTTAGGTTTGGTATATAGAAATGAAAATTATTTGGTTCAATTTTCCGCCTTAATAATGTACAATCCATTAGAACTCAACATAAACAAAGAACACCTCTTACCGAAGACTGGGGATTCTAATGATATTAACACAGCTCGAGGACACAAACTCTATAGACGGCATTATTGTAATTGTTCTGCTTGATGATCAATAATTTGGTTGATATTTCGCAAAAAAAAAACATCAGATATTACTTAGACTACGACTTTATAATTTCTCTCTTATTTAACCAATGAAAAAATGAATGAAATCAATTACAAGAATAATTAATCAAGAACAATACAAAGATGTATGTCAACACATTAACAACAGTTTAGTTCTTAAAAAATGATCAATTTAATACTAACTCTTTACTAGGAATCCACAAAGAATCATTGAATTACAAAGAAGATATCAAAACACACCAAAACCATTATGGTTAAGAGGAAAACAATCAGCTTTATTAGTTTACCCATTTTATGCTTTATTTGCTGTTACCACTGCTATTCCATTATATTACACTGGTAGAGCTATTGCTGGAATTAAAGATACTAAATAAGGAAGAATAAGATGGCTAAAATTTTTTGGGAAATAGCAATACATTTGAAAATATAAGTCTTTTGGAGTTTATTTATTTGATTTTTTATATTTATGAAACCAGTCAATTGATTTAATATACGAAGAAAATTTGCGATCATAGTATTGCAGAGATTAAAAGAAGAAAATCGGAATATTATACTCTAGCAATTTCAATTTTGTATTAAATTTCAAATGTTTGGCAACTTAACCCTTCAGTTACAAACAAAATATTTATCTGACCGTAGTACCCCCATGCAAGTGAATTTTTTCTTTATTATCATCACCAGTAGTCGTCGTTATCATCGTCATCATTGTCATCATCGAAACCATCGTCATCATCAACACCACCATCGTCATAACCAGCACCATCGTCATCTTCGACACCAACATCATCATCGTTATCAAAATAATTTTCGGCGTTATAATCAATGCCGTCATCATCAAAGTCATCATCATCTTCAAAATGTTCAACATCCTCATTATGGAATTCTGTCAAAGCATCAGCTAAATCATTTGATTCATTATCTGAATCTTCATCATATCCTTGCAGTTCTATATCTCTACTTTCATCATGATCTTCATTACCTGAATCATCATTTATTTGTAATCTTGAAAAACTATCATCACCATGCATATTTTGACTTTCATTATCATCATCACTATAAATATCATTTCTTACTTGTAATTCTTCATCTGTGTCACTTATATATATGACATGCAGTCTTGTATTTGAATGTCTTGCACTTTCAAATCCATCCCAATCTGAATATTGATTTTCTTCATTTGAATCTTCATCATCATTTTCTCCATTACTATCAGATGTCCATATCGTTATTGGTCGATTTTCATTATTATTTTCATCATCATCTTCATCATCGTCATCTTCATGAAAATTAAATTGATCACTATCATCATGTTCATCTCCATTATCATTCATTTCTAGCCAAATTTCTTCAGCTGTTCTTGAATCTATAAAACTATCATCTGAATCATAATGATTACCTTCTGCAATACCTCTAACATCTTGATAAAATTCATCATCTTCGTCATCATCATCATCATCTTCATCTTCACTAGAATCACCATCTTCATCATCACTATTTCTGAATCTACAACCACAATGTAAACAAACAGTACCATGAGCTTCCCAATTACAATTGCCACATCTAGGTACTCCATCTGAATTATCTAACATTGTAAAAGTATAATTATGAAATAATTCACCAAATATTGATTTATCTTTAGAATGAGATTCATAAGTTGCATATCCTTCAATTTGACGTTTTTGTAAACTTGAATCTAATTTTGAATCAATTATAATTTCAATCATATTTTTACAAATTTCATCTAATTGTAAATTAAGTGTTGGTTTATATTTAATTTTATGACGACATGTAGGACAATTAATTTTATTTTTGAACCATTGATGTAGACAATCATAACAAAATGTATGACCACATTCTGCTGTCATTGGAGCTATCATAACTTCAGAGCATATCGAACATTCAATTGAATTTGTGATTTTTGATAATAAATTTGAAGTTAATGCTGTATCCTAAATAAGTACAATCAAGTTAGTAAAAATAACATTTAATATTGGTATATTAATTGATTTATTGCATACTAGTTGGTTCCATGATATAGTATTCGGTATTAGATCATTCATTGTTCTTTTAAAAGATTTGTTAATAAAGTGGTTGTAAATATAAAATATTAAATATGGGGAATTGATTTATATTATTATTATACATACTAAGATGGTAATACTAAGATAAAAAAAATAAATTAATATACAGTACGTAATCGTGTTTTTTTCACCACTTTGAAACTAACTTATCAATAGATTACCCATACATATAACAGGTATCACTAGATTTTATTTTGTTAAAGAATCTGTGTATACAGGAAATAAGTGTATATTTTACGTTATGTTTTGAAAGAATTTATTTGCCATCATTACTTACTCGTTATCATTATCATTGTCGTTTCTATACAGTGTTATTTACAATTATTTGTAGTTTGTTTCCATTTCGTCAATATATTAATTGTTTGTTCAATTAATATAGGAATTTTTTCTTCATCAGTTTTTAAAATTAATCTTATTTCACCAATGAAAGACCTTAATTTTTTAACACATTTCCAACCTAATTCTATTTCATTTTGATTTAATTTAGAATGTTTTTTACGTAAATTATTTGCAATCATATTTTCAATATAAATTGATTGAGTTAATAAATAAGGACTTAAATATATTTGATTTAATGGGAAAGTATCAATAATTTCAATCATTTTTTTAAAATTTTTTAATTTAAAATATAATCTCATTTCCATTATAAATTTTAACATTTTATTTTTATCATTTAAATTATAATTATCAATTGAATTAATTAAATATTTTGCTTCTTCATTTAATTCAAAATTAATTAACATTCTAATAAAATAAAATTTATGACTATCATTTAAAGAATTTTTATTTGAATTAAAATATTGTTTTAAATGTTCTTTATTTAAACTTGGATGTTTTAAAGATCTTAATTCTAATGTTTTTTGATTTTTCCAATTATACTGTCTAGTTTTTAAAAACATACTTTTAATATATAATCTATCTTCTAAATCTCCCATACGAAAAGTATCTAATACTTCTTTAAAATCAGGGTATACTCCTTGTTGTAAAAGTACTGGAAAACCTTGATCAATTCTAAACCTAACTTGTTCTTCATTTTTTATTCTTGAACCTTTAAATTTAATTTCTGACCAATTCTTGTATTTTCTAACATTTAGTGGTAATTTTAAATGATATGGATAAAATTGTGATGAAAGTTTAGTAATTTTGAAAAAATTTGGTTTATTTAACCAAGTATTCAAAGTTTCAATAAATGATGGAGAAAATCTTGAATATGAATATATAAAAGTTTTAACAATTGATAATAAATATTTATTTTTATAAGGAATTTGATCAATACTATTTTCAATTAATTTTAAAAGTGGTATAAATTGATCATGTCTTTCATAATAATTTAAAAGCAGTTCAAAAAACAGAATTGGAACTTTATCATCAATTTTATCTTTATATAATCGGATAATATAATTTACATGTTCCAAATCTGAATATTTTACCATAAATTGTAACCAATGATTTGAAAATTCTTCTAAATTTTTTGGATCATTTGGCATTATATTCTCAATTATATTATAATCATCATCAGTGAAGTTCTTTTTTAAAGATGTAAATTCTCTATTAATTATTTCATTTTGTATTAAAACACTTCGTACTAAATAATGTTGTCCATAATTTCTATTAATTGATCTTTTAAATTCTTTTATTTCATGATAAGTTCCAAATTTATAAAATTGGTAAAGTAATAAAGCAATCAGTTCTGGTTTTGGTGGTTCTGTTTTTGGAGAATTAACCCATAATTGATACATATAAAAAATATTTTCAAAAAGACATCCATGTAATATTAATTGATCTACTAAGGTATGAAATAAATTTGAAGATAATTGGTATTGAGTGGAGATGATGATTTTTTGATAAAATGATTTAAATATTTCAATTTCATAATTTACAATGAATGAATTTAGTAAGTATGTGATTGCACTTTCATCTGGATGAGGAATGCTAAGATATGATTCCACGACTTTTTCGGGGTTATTGTTATGATAATGTATCCATAGTTGGTAGGATTCTAAATTTTTTTGAAATTTGGGTAGTCTATTTACAAGATCTTGAGTGAAGTTTATTGAAGTTTTAGCCAAATCGAGATCAGCATCAAGTAACATTGAATCCTTATGTAAAGATAAGGGTAAATTTTTGATTAAACCACAATTCTGCAGAACGCACGTTACTTCAAGATTGAGTACATATGTCACTTCTTCAAAAGTTAACTCATCACATTTTTGAAGTATTTGGTCGTAACATTTATTTTGTAGTAATAGTTTCAAATGTTGAAAGTCTTTATGCTCTTGTTCTTGATGTACAGGCAATTGTAATTCATGATTTTTTTTGGCTGTTAAATTTTTAATAGGCTTTATGATCCATCCAAGGTAATTTGAAGTTGAAGTTGATGATAAACGCGTATTATAAATTTGAGGTAGTTGTAAATCATTAAAAATTCGGTAATTCCATCGTATTCGTTCAGTGATTTTTTGAATCAAAAATAGTCGTTGTTTGTATGTAACCAAATGCCGTATTATCATTGTCGTGTTATGCTTGAGAATGAAGGGTCAGTTATCTCATTATTGTAGATTCTTTGGTTTGAAATCGTTGCCTAAATCGAAAGAATAATTTTTGCAATAAAAATCACCATAAGATTTCTGAAATAAAATTAAGTTTGAGCTTGACGTAGGTAGCGCAATTTGAAACACGACAAAAAAATTTTGCAAAAATTAGACAAAGAATCTTCTACAAGTTATTCGAATTGAATAATAATGATATGTATTGTCTACTTAAACGAAATATATAAAAGCTTTGGGTATCAAATAAGTATATAACCGAATAAAAATTGTTAAGCAAGTAATGAAATTAAAAATATGCAAAGTGAATAAATGCTAAATGCTAAATGCTAAATGAGTATATAAAAAATAATGCTAAATTGAACTAACCAGTTCAAATAAATATTAATGCAATGACTGTACCAAGTCCCAAAATGATACCAAAAAAGGAATATTTTGATTGAGATGCTAAACCTTCTGAAATTATAATTGGTGAAGTTGAATTTTCAAAAACAAGACTTGTAGATTGAATTATTGATGAATCAATTTCATTATTTCTAATTTGATTTTTATTTTTATTTTTATTTTGATGATGTTTAGCTAAAATAAAATTAAGTTTGGTTGTAGTTAAAGGACAATATGTTGTATAAGCAGTTTCAGTTTCATAATCTGTTATAGTCACAATAGTTACACCAGTTTGAGTAGTATGAGTATGACATCCATTATCAGCACATGAGGTAATTGTAACTTCGGTTGTTTCTTTAGCTACTTCAGTAGTGGTAAGTGTAATAATTGTTTCATCTGATCCAGTTGTTGGAAGGGTAGAATATGTTTCAATTGAAGATACTAAAGTGGAACTAATTTGAGATGTTGTAAAAGATGATGATGGTAAAATATAAGATGATGATATTATGTCATTAGTTGATGATAATGGTTCGCTGTAAGATGAACTTGAAATAGCGAGTGATGATGATGATGATGAGCTAAATTCAGATGGGACTAGTTCTGATGATGAAGATTTGGTTTCAACAATTGAAGAAGCATGAGATTCCGATTCTAATGTAGTTGATGAAAGTGATTCGATATTTGAACTAGATGAATCATAAATTGTGGTTAATGTATCAGATGTGAATGAATGAGATGAAGATAAATCAGATAATGATGATGAGGTTATTTCATGAGCAGAAGATTCCAAAGTTGAACTAGTCAATTGAGATGATGATGAAGTACTAAATGATTCTAATTCTGAACTTGACGAAGAAGTACTAAATGACTCTAATTCTGAACTTGATGATGAAGTACTAAATGATTCTAATTCTGAACTCGATGATGGTATGAATGATTCTACTTCTGAGCTTGTTGATGGTATAAATGATGAATAATCAGTAGTTGATGATAATGAAATTGATGAGCTGGAGCTGGAATCAGTAATTTCTGAGGATAATTCACTTGATGAAGTAGCTAATATAGTTGTTTCAGTAGATGTTAATGGACAGTAAGTTGTAAATACAGTGACTATATCCGATTCAGTAATTGTAGCTATTGTTACACCAGTAGTTACTTGAGTTTCACTACAACCTTGCTCACCACAATAAGTTGTTGTTAAAATAGTTGTAGATTCAGCTGTATGAGTTACGAAACTTGTTGACCATTCAGTTGACCATACTTTACTTTTTGATTTTGATTTAGATAATGAGGTAGATGGTATAGTTGATAAAGTTGAAGCACTTGAAGTTTCAGTTGATGATAATGATGTAGTTAATGCACTTGATGATGATGCCGGAGTGGATAAGCTTGATGAAGATGAGGAAACAGAAACTGGGGTTGATGAAGATGATTCAATCACTTGACTTGATGATGGGATTTCAACACTTGAGCTTGATGTAAATGAAGATGATACAACGACTGAACTAGATATTGATTCATCTATTGAGCTTGATGGTAATAATAATGATGATGATGATGATTCAGTATCGATATTTGATGATGTAATTGATGAAGTGCTAGTAATTGAACTGGAAGATGATTCTTCGGTAACGATTGATGTTATTGAAGAAGGTAAAACTGACGAGCTAATGATTGATTCAATATTGGAGTTTGTTGTTGACTCAGAAACAATTAAAGTAGATGAGGTTTCAGGATTTGAGCTGGATGACAGTGATGAAAGTGTGACAAATGAACTAGTTATTGATTCAACAATTGATTCAGATCCAGAAGAAGATACAGCAAATGAGCTAGTGGATGAAGATTCAGTGATTAAATCTGATGAAGTTGAGGGAGATGCAACAAATGAACTTGATTCTGATTTAAAACTTGAGTGTGAGTTTGATGAACTGAAAGGAATTGAGCTTGATGAAGATGTTTCAACAGTTACACTTGATGAAGATGTTTCAACAGTTACACTTGATGCCAATGATGATTCAGTAACAAATGAAGACAATGATGATTCAGCAGTTGAAATTGATGATGATGATGATGATGATGATGATGATGTCTCAATGAATGAATTTGAGGATGCTAAAGATGAGGAAATAAATGAACTAGTTTCAGATCCAGCAGTTGAGTCTGATGACAATGAAGATGATATACCGAATGAACTTGAAGAATATTCAACAATTGAGCTTGATATTGATGATTCTATGAATGAACTTGATGATAATTCTGTAACTGATTCTGATGTTGATGAAAGAATTATTAAGTCTGATGAATAAATTGAAGAAGTTGGAACTCCAACAGATGATGAGAATGAATTAGTAGATGATGAATCAAAAGTTATAGTTGATGATGAGATTGAGTCTGTAGTAGATGCAGCAGTAGCTGAAAATGAACTAGCGTCAGATAATATTGATGATGAAGTAAAAAATATAGTTGTTTCAGTAGATGTTAATGGACAGTAAGTTGTGAATACAGTGACTATATCCGATTCAGTAATTGTAGCTATTGTTACACCGGTAGTTACGTGAGTTTTAGTACATCCTTGTTCACCACAGTAAGTAGTTGTTAAAATGGCAGTTGAAGTAGCTGTATGAGTGATATAACTTATTATTCCATCAGTTGGCAAGTCTTTGGTAGCAGTTGAAGTTGAAGTTGAAGCTGAGTTGGTAATTGTTGAACTAAATTCTGAAACTAATGAACTAGTTCCTGAAACTGATGAACTAATTGAAGTTGGTGAAGTTGTTGATGATAATAAAATTGTTGTAGTAGTTGGTAAAATTGAGCTATGAGGAACATTTGAAGATGTAATAACAATAGTTTCGGTAGAAGTTAATGGACAAAAAGTTGTATAAATGGTTTTGATATTATCTATTGTTGTAGTCAAAGTTGTGACCCCGGTTTCTTCAAGTGTAGTTGAACATTGACCATTTTCACATTGAGTTTTGGTAACAGTATGAGTAGATTCAGCAGTATGAATGGATGATGTGGTATAAGTAGTTGTAAAACCTGAAGATATAATTGGTATTTCTTCTCCTTTAGTAGTGGTAGTAGTAGCACCAGATTCAGCATCAGTTAAAGTTGACTCATAACTTGTTTCTTGTGTAGTTGTTAAAGGAACTAATGATGTAGTCGGAATTTCAGTAGTCTCTCCATTTGTAGCAGTAATGGTGATAGTAATTATTTCGACACCAGTTGGTTGAATAGTAGTTGAGCAAGCACCATTTGAATCACATGAAGAAGTTGTTATTAATGTAGTTGATTGACTTGGAACTTTGGTAGTAGTTGACAAAGTGGAAGATTCCGATTCACCTTTTTCTTGATCAGTGACTGATGTAGTAGAAGCTGCATTATCATTTTCAGTAGTAGTTAATGTGAATGTTTCAACAGAAGTCAATGGACAAAAGGTAGTATATATGGTTTCAATATTATGAATAGTTGTAGTGAATTTTGTAACACCAGTTTCTTTCAAAGAAGTTGAACATCCTCCATCATTATCACAGCTTGTAATTGTTAAAGTGTGTGTATTTTCAGCAGTATGAGTGGAAAAGGAAGTTAATGTTGAGGTATAACCAGGTTTTGTAATTGTGGAGATAGAAGAATCAGTTGAAGTTGTTTCAATTGAAGTTGTATCACCATCAGTAGCAGTTGAATCATATGTTATAACTTTAGTAGATGTCAAAGGAACCAATGAAGTAGTTGAAGTCTCTGAAGTTTCCCCATTTGAAGCAGTTATGGTAATGGTAATGATATTAACACCCGTAGATTGAACAGCAGTTGAGCACTTTCCATTAGCATCACATGAAGACGATGTAATCAAAGTAGTTGATTGAGCTGGTACTTCAGAAGTAATGGTTGTAATAGCAGGAGTTGATGATGTAGTAGTAATTAAAGTAGTTGATTCAGTATTATCTAAATTTGAAGAAGAACCATTTGGTAAGACTGTAGTTTCTAATGAATCAGTAGATGATAATGAAGATGCAAAGGAAGGTAAAGTTTCAGTAATTGAACTAAAATCTTGTGAATATGAACAATAAGGAATATATGAAATTGAAGTGACGGTTGTTGTTTTAATACAATGATCTGGACACTTATCATTATTTCTTTTGAAAAATGAAGCAGCAAATATTGATGGAGTAATTGTTGCAATAGCAAATAAATGATCAATCCTCATGACTTAGTTTCAGTGATTTATTTTTGAAAATTTTGAAAGTTATAATAGAATCATGACAATTACCAAAAAATTGAGGAATTATTATGAGTTTTATATATTCAAAAGTAATCACATAATCTCTAAAGTAACACGCTAATTCTGTTGAATTAAATAACTTATTTTTTATTCACTGATTCTGAAACAAGCTCTTGCATAATCTAAAACAATTTGTATAAGGAATAGTCCTTTGGTTGTCGAGTAGAACTCGATAATCAATCAAATAATAAACTTTGAAACATTTCAAATAGAATATTCCATTAATATTTGTATTGTTAAAAAAAAGATCTGCATATTTTTTAGTTGAAAGTTGTAATATGAAACATTTGAAACATGTTAATATTTAAATTTATATCATTGAAACAAAATTTATTATATAGTCTAATGCATTCAATTTAATTTAAATATAGAAATTATCTGATTTTGTGTTCTTGAAGCTATATTGTGCAGGAATTTATAAGCAGATAAATATTTCATATTTGGTAGTGTTTTAAGATTTTGATAATAATAATTTATTATAATTCAATGCTTATGATTTACTTGAAATTCTATATAGTCGGTCAACAACTTTGAAAATTTCATCTTTCATATTTCCGAATATTAATATTATTGAAGAAACTTGCTCTAACCAAAGTCTAAAATGATGTCCTAAATTTTAACGTAATTTGGTACTTGCAAAAATTCATATTATAGTTGATTACACGAAAGAGCATTATAGAAATCCACAAAATTCACTATCTAATGACTAATGTTTTCAAATATATAGATGACGTTTCGATTCTGTAGTCATTGCTATAGAAAATAATAATAAAATTTTGTAGTGTCTTCAAAAGTTTGAGTTTGTTTTATAATAAAATATTATTTTTAATCTGAAACACTTGAATTTTATTTTTTTCTTGAACTAAAAAGCTTAATTTCAATTTTTAGTAACTTGACAGAAGTAACAAAAAGAAAAAAAAATATCAGGAATTATTGAATGAATAAATCACTTTTTGACAACTTTGTATTTCGAAATATCATCCCCTTTCGTAAAATTTTGTCTAAATTACTTGATTATTATTTTCAAAAATTGAAATTACAATAGAAGAGGAGTGTTTCATGTTCCGGGTATTGTATCGTTGAAATTTAGTTTGATAGAGGTAAACAAGCCAAACAAAAGCGGTTGTACTTCTAAGTCTATAGGAATTACTCCAAATTGCATGCAAAATACAGGGTATTGTAGAGCCATTCATTTTTCAGTCGGTGCTAAAAGAATCAAAAAAGCTCGTGTTAGAGAGGAGATTATCATTATTTATGCAAATACGTTAATTCATTTAAATTATTCAAGGCTTCCGATTCTCCATACTTCTAGATTTAAAATTTTGAACAGACCAAATTTTGTGTCTTGTCCTTCAATAGAATTTAATGCTTCATTTCCAAAAGTCTCACATGCATAACTGACACCTTTACATAATGATTTATCAATAAACAATCCATTTTGACCCTGAGATGAACCAATAGCAATAAAATCATGATTCGAATAAATAATGTTATCATTGATACCAGTGTACATGAAAGCTTTAAATCTAGTTTCATGCTTACTGTGTTTACTTGTATTTTTAGACGTTTCTACCTTATTATGATTCAATTTAGAAGGATCATACCTTTCACATTTCCATAAAAAACATTCACCATTTCCATAATATCTTTTATGATCCATTGGCTTTAGATTTTCGTTTAAAAAAGCTCCGAATTTTGAATTATTTTCATCTTTTATTATCAAAACATAACCTTGTGGCCGCTTTGGTTGTATTGATGTATACTTTGAAGTATTATTAGTCACCATCATTTTATTAACTATTGATTCACCATATCCTTTCTCAAATTTTTTTCTTTTATGATATTCTGCTAATTGATGCTCTGGTCTTGAATTTCTGTATAATGTATTTAATGATATTCCATGTTGGTTTAAAGAGTATACTAGATCCCATGAATCAAACAATTGTAATCTTGCTGGTAATAAATTCCGTATATTATTTGCTAATTCTTGATCTATCAATCTGTGTTTTGAATTTGGTTTATATCCATTAAGTATAATCGGTGGTAATGGAGGTAGTCCGCCCAGCAGACTAGTTGAGCTAGATGATGACACTAATGATGACGATGACGTATTTCGACTTGAACTTCCAACTAAATTTTTCAAAAATGATGTCCTTGTTTTGAGCACCTTTTTTTGCGATTCAAGATTCTTATCATCTGTCAAATCTTCTTTTGAGTCTATATCTTCAATTGCCTTCTCCAGTAACTCAGGATTATCATCCAAGTGTGCCTCTGATTTCTCATTTATCGATTTTTGATTATTTGAATCATCAACATCGATAGGTTGCTCCTCATCCTTTGATAAAGATTTTCTAAATAAAAAAGACATATCTTGATATAATTGAATTATTAAAAGATTCAAAATCTAAGGCTTCAGATCAAAGGATAGTCTGAACTTTGTTCCGTTTCTTCTTCTTATTTCCTTATCGATCAATTTTGTGATCCCAAATATTGATAAATCATTTCTTTAAATCATCATTGCGCATTATTATTAGACAAAAAGGTTAGGTAGAAAATTAATTCTACTATCTACTTAACTGATTATTAGATACAAATAAATATAAGATTTACAAATCTAGATCGAGCCTATTTACATGACTATATCATATTTGTTCATTGAACCTTATCAAACCGGTCAAGAATTCAGTAGCAATTTTGCAACTGTCAATGAAATAAATGCCTGGAAAGTCAATTGATAACTTTGAGTCTAAACCTGCCATTCCTGCACAACCTAATAAAACACAATTTATATGATCATTTGAATACAAATCATTCAAAATGTAATTGAGTTTAGTTTTAATCTCACCATATTGTTTTTCATCCGCTAAATTTGTTACATTAATATCTAATCCAATAGTTTTTTGAAATCTATCTTTAGGGAATTCTTTTAAACCAAAGAAATCGACTATACCACTATCTAGTATTGGTTCCCATTCTTTTGTACTTGTTAAAATGAACAGCTTTTTGACATTAGGGTTCAGTAAAGTATATAGTAATGTAGCTTGCATAATTCCCATGACAGGTTTTTTACTTAATTCACTCAATGATTTGATCAATGGATGATCTGAGTAGCAACAAACCATAAATCCATCATAATCCTTCAGTATGTCACTCTCCTTAATGTCGTTCAAAACTATTTCTTCAGACAATTTTGATGTCTCATTGCCTGTAATTTCTTTTGGTGCACTGGAAGGAGCAGTATAAAACGATAATTCAACACCTTTTGGAACTTTTAGTATATCTTTCAAATTGTTGGTGACCTTCACTGAACTATTTGGATTTATAATTAGAATTTTCATCGTAATGTAGTTATTATTCTTTATTTATAACAATATCTTTAAAATTTGTTGCAAAAAAATAAAAACTTCGAGATTCGATCTGAATAATTAAGTAATATATACAAACATATATCTTATGGGATTTGATGCCATCATTGATAACAATAAACACAAGTTAATATGGTGCAGATCGATATCTACGTTGTCAACCATATCGGAAGCAATTAATTTTACTATAAAAAAGAATTCAATCTCGTTATCAGCAATCAATGTTGCAAGAACTTCACATGGGGAAATAATATTCAAAGATTCGTTTTTCAGTACTTTTGAAGTTGGTTTCAATGATATTTTGCCAGATGGATTCGTGAAGGATGTAAATCAAGAAGACCGATCGTATTCTTTCATGATCAATTCCAAACATTTAGCCACATTGTTTAAAAACTTAGATTCAAATAGTATGAAATACATCAACTTAAAAATACATTGGTCAAAATCATCACCAAATAACTTAAAGTATAAACTTTTGATTGAAATATTAAACAAAAAAATGATTTTGAAAAAATATCAAACTGGTTATTTGCCAATTACGAGGAAAGAAATTAAAATTGCATCAGATTACAAGGAACAATTTTATAAACAAGAAGAAAATGAGGCGATTATAGCACCCCGTGATAAAATTTATCATATGATGATTGATTTGATAATTCCTAAACAATTCTTAGAAATGGTTCCTTCTGCTGCTGAAGATTTTAAAATTGATATCAAGAATGAGAAAGTTCTGTTTGGTGGATATACAAAAGCTATTGTTAAAGATAGAGATTATATCAAACAACCAATGGCAGTTACAGTGACAATTAGTCTTGACGAGCTAGCTGATAGCAACTTGATAGTTCCTGAATCTGATGGGGGACCATTACGTCAATTAGTCAATTTTGGAATGAAAGATTTCAAAAATTTTTTAAATTTAATTGGTTATTTTACTTCTTCAGCTTCATCTTATGCTGAACAATTTGACGAAGAATATGCAACATTGGGAAATCAAACGGATTACTTTCATGTATACTTTAGAGAACCAGGCGATCCAATATTATTTGATTTACAGAATTATCAACATGTCGACGTACAATTTATTCAAATCACAGCAGGCGACAAGTCATTAAATCACGAAAATGAGAAGGAAATTGATCCACAAGCTGTTAGAAGACATTTATCTTTGGAAGCTCCAGTTATACATAAAGTTGACAAGCTACCCATCGATATTCCAAAAGAGGTTGATGCTGAACCCGGATATGGTACAGAGCATAATGAAGATAATGATGGTGGTGAATTTGGTTCTAGAGATTCTTCACAAGAAGAAGCTTCTATGAGAAAGTTCACATTTGGGAGATTACCAAATGATAATGGTAAAAGCAAATTGAGTAAGGAGAATTTAGCTAGAAGAGAGGGCAGTGATGGATTTTTGTATTCAGATTTGAATGAAGATGTGGTAACATATACCAATACAAGAGAAACCAAGATGAAGGAATATGATAGAGGAGCAGAAACGGAATATAGTGATTCCGAAGAAGAATTTGAAGGGCCACAGATAAAGCGGAGATTACTCGATACACAGGACGAGTTAGGTCCAACACAAGCTGGTGAAAAAGTTGAATCAATATTTTAAATTGTACGAATGAAATGAATTTAATATCTATCTAACATTATGGAGTCATATGTTGTAAGTTCTTCCAGTAGTATCGGTTTTCTCTCCATAATTAACATGACCACTCCATGGTAGATCTTTATCAGAATAAGTCTTTGCAGGTAATTTGAAGGGCATACGAATAAATGTACTATTTTGTTCCTCAACATTCTCATCCTTTAGATAGGATGGCCTCAATAATGTGCCTTCTTCTGGAGTTACTAAAACACCTAATTCGTAACTGCTAACCTCATATTGACTTGGATCATCATTTTTAAATGCATTTCCTTTCTTGCTACCCCAAGCTTGTTTAGATAAATTATGACTTCCCATATAGCACCACTTCAAAGTTTTCCAATCATCACCATTATCACACATATATAATTTAACATGAGGTACAACTTTCTCCCTTCCAGTAATTATTGATGTTCCACTTGAGTTCCATTTTCGTAAGTAAGGTCGTATAGCTTGATTGAAATAGTTTTTATGAACAAAAGATTTTGTATAATTGAAATGTATTGCTTGACCTGCCATGAATCCAACATTACTTTGCGCAACCTCATCTACTGTAGGAAATACTATACTTGGGGTGTAATTATTTTCATGTTGATGCGTTTTGATACTATCCTTCCCAGGTTGAAGCAATTTGAATTCTTGAAATTTTGAAAAAATTAATGGGCATAACAAATGAGTGAATATACCAGCTGTGGCCCATTTCTCTGTTGAAAAAGGATATGATATGGCGGAAACTTGCGCTAACACATTATAATGTTTTTCTTTGTCTGAATTTTGGATCAATAAATTGTTGCGTTTTAGTACATCATATAAGCTCCCATATCCATAATGCCGGCCAGAATCATTCAAGTCATAGGAGCCAGGTGCTGATGCTATTAAATCGACATTTATACCCAGGAAATCATATTCATCAAGTCGACTTGATAACTCGTCAATTCTTGATTTATTATATTTTTTCAAGTAACTTAATAAATCTAATTTAAACCTTGAGCTTTTTGTACCTTGGGTGGAACCTTTCTTCAATCTACCTGATCTCCATACCATTTGAGTTAATCCACCAAAATCTAATCTTGTTATGTTTGCCGACATGATTACAATTTCAACCGTATCATTTTCAAAAAAGTTAATCATCATTTTGGAATGATGCGTGCCAAATCTATTTGGAATATTCGCTACGACCTCCAGAATATTGAATTTCAGCTTTATAAATTCTGTTTCATCAAATTCAGGATCTAACAATCTGCTACCTGTTATGAATACAATCTTTTTCTTTTTATTTGTGAAGCTGGAATCCAAAAATGTTAAAAAGAAGGGTAAATCCACATTGAAATTAAATTGGAATGTTTCGACTAAGGACTTTGAGCCGATTAGATCTTGTATTCTAACTGTTTCCTGATTAACATGCTTCAATTCATTCTCCGGATAACTTGGGTTGTAAAGCAATTTAATAGGAGATGGAACAATTTTTCCAGGTATAGTAGGTAAAGGTTGATGATCTTCCGAGTCAGATGAGTTTATTTCTATCACCGAATTATCTTTCTTTTGTTTCTTTGCCCAATGGTCTGATGCCGCTTTGAATGCTTCAGATGTTCTTTTCAAACTCATCGAGTGATTTGGATATGAAGATTTGAGAGTTGATCTTGAAAACAACTTTATTTCTCTAAATCGGATTGACAATTCTTTGTAAAAGCTTAATGCTGCATTTACCTTTGACCAATTCTATATGGTAAGACAAAAACCGATATGTTTGATAAAATCAGCATGAATAATTAGTTTGAAATCAAATTTAGTATCAGATAACCCAAGATGCAGTTAACTTCTCACATTAATATGGGGAATAAACCAAGATTTAAATTTTCTTGATTTATTAATAACCTTTTCTTATAATATCTTACAAACGAGTATATAATAAATTATCAATTCAATGGATATCAATCTATGAATCAAGCGAAATTCTATACTATCATTTGAATTACTTTACCCAAGACGTTCATTTTTTTAAAAAAAGCAAAAACTGGTTAATTTTCAACCTATCCCACTCAGTCAAATGTACCATCGTCAATGACAATTTTATTTAATTACCAAAACAACGAAATAGTTTCTTCACCAACCGTCATAGTCAGTGGGTCAACTTCATTGAGACTACTGAGAGGCGTCATCGGGTTCACCAATAATGATAATAAAGTATTCCCACCACAATACTTTGAGGTAAACAACGGTCAATTTAAAGCAATTCTACACGTTTCTCCTGGTTTGCCAAATAGTTTTAAAGCTGAAATTTATGACAATGCATTGATAAATTCATTTGGATTCCCTGATTATAATGGCAAACCGCATGTTGTTGATTCTGGATTTTTGAAATTATGTTTCAATCCACTACCACAAAATAAACCTGTTTATTTATGTTTAATAAGGGGCAAGGATTCAAGAAACGTTTACGATATGCCTGGATATAGACTAGCTAGAGGAGAGAGACCTACTTTGGAAAATGCCATCAAAAAGTTAAAAGTTTCTGGAAGATTAATGCAAGCTTATTATCAAGATGAAATGAGAACTGCAGGCTTTAGTAACCGGTCAATCCAATTTGTAGAGGAAACTGTACTGGACCAAAGTATTTTTGGGTATAATGTAAATTCACCAACCCCTCATCAAGAAATTAAAGTCTTTGTTTTAACAAGCCCCAAATCAGTTAAAGAATTACGATCTCCAGATTTGGCACAACAAAATCCAAATGCAAAAGATTCTGGTGGGTTATTCAGTCATGCAATAGATCTTATTAAAAGTACACCCGAGATTTTTAATTCTAGAAATGATACTGCTGTTCAATGTGTGGTGATGTATTTGGATTCGACTTATGACAAAAAAAGAGATTTGATTTTGACTCACGCAGCATTAGGGGGTGGTACGAATGATGTCAAATTAGGTATTTTTGGATCTCATGGTTTACATTCTTTTCCACAAAACTTTCCATTAGTTACCCCATCATTCCTTGATGATACACCATTATCTAAACTGGAGGTAGCAAATGATGCGGGCCAATGTTCAACAAGTTACGAATGTCTCAACATATGTTTTGGAGCATGGATTCATGAAGCTTCTCATTCGTTCGGTTGTCCTCATCAGGTTGATGGAGTCATGTTAAGAGATTATGTTGTATTAAACAGATCATTTATGACTAGGGAATTGAGAAATGAAAGAACTCATTCTTCAGGTGAAATTATAGGTACTAATGGAAGATGGAGTTCTGTTTGCCATTTCAACATATTAGATTTGATTAGATTTTTGTATCACGATTCATTTTCCTTGCCTATAGATAATTTTGGTAAAAGTTTTTCTACAACTAAAAGACCAGATCATCTGTATGAATTTTTCACAGCTCCGAGCCTGTATCCTTTAACCAACTCCTCCGTCACAAAATCTGATAATGGAATTTTCTTATTGGAGATAGTTGATGGTGATTTGGCTAGGTATCATCAAGCATATTTACCCCATATGTATGGTGGAGTTGGTTTACAAACTCAAATTGAAATTAACTATCAGGAATATCTAAACAAATTACGAAGTAAGAAGAGAGATGCGAATGATGCATACAAAGTGAGAGTTTTATCATTAGGAGGCGATTTATTCATAGACAACTTCAAAGCTCATAGTTCACAACAGCATAAAGACATGATTGAGAGTGATTTTGGACTTGGAAAGGGGAAACTTAAAGGGGCTAAAAGTTTGTTATTGGGGAAAGCTAATGGTCAAATACATTATGTTAATTTCAATATAAAATCAATTTTTAAGGTAAGTATATATTCAGGTAACGCTTTGAATGGATTTAGGTTTCATTTTAATGCTGATAATACGTCAAAAACTCCCGGCGTACCAGAAAGAAATTACTTGAAAAAATTCTTTAATAATAAACCAAACGCAGGCCCACCGGTGATTGATTCTAGTGGGTTCAAAGAACTGGTAAAGGCAAACGTATTAGTTGGAAGAGACAATGCCGGATCTACTGATTTTGTATTGGAAAAAGACGAATATATTATCAAATTCAATATTAGAAACGGGGCTTGGATTGATGCTATTCAGTTTGTAACCAATAAGAGAGTCTCTCCCATGTTTGGAAATGCAAAAGGAGGTCATTTATCTGTTCTAGAGTCTCCGACAAGTAATAACGAGATTGTTGGTATGTATTTTTACATGGGTGATTGGTTAGATGGATTAGGCATCATTTATACAATTTAAGTCTTGGAAGTAGTGGCAGGCAATTTATCTTTGTTTTACCATTTATTTGTTAATCAAGATTCTCGATCAAGAACTTTGTCTTTTGCTTGATAATATTCTATAGGGAATTTGTCAATCACACCAGCTTTGTTCTTCAGTTTAATGAATGGAATACCAAGTGATCGAGCTTCCCCATGTTTCAAACGATTTATTCTCCTCTCCAAGCTTTGGATGTCATGATTCAATTGATCCATTCTGCTTCCTTTGGCATCGCCAATAGCCGTGAAATTCTTCTCAAATAATCCATGTAACACACGTAACTTTTCTTGCAATTGTGATTTTTTCTCCATTGATTTTTGATTTTCGTTGTTTAAACTCCCACTGATTTGTGCTTCAATGACCAATGGATTATCCAAATCTGTGGAGTCCAAAGATTGTAAAATTGAATTCGTGAAATATTTTGCATAATCACCAAGATTGGATATCCCAGGTAGATGCGATGTCACTGAATCTTCATTTATGAGACCTTCATCCTCCTTGTCTTCGTCACTCTTGAAATACTCATCCTCTGTGTCAGTGGAAAGTGATTGATCATGAATACTACTTGTTTTTTCTGCTCGAATTGGGATCTGACTATTGGTCGTAGGCTGTAGTAACCTAATAGGCTCCTCTTCATCAATTATTGAATCTTTAATACCTCTTGCTAACTCTTCATCATTCATTTATTTGAATTGTGATATCAGGTGTCTCTCATTCGAGTTTTATATATCGTTGGTACACAAAAACTTTTTAAACACCGAGATTTAACATTTATTTATTTAAAATCAGTTTCTCAGTTTCAAATCATCTTTTACAAAACCAGTTTAAACACATTTATGTCATCCTTCCAACTTCAAAACTCTGAAGTATTGGCTAGGCTAAAGCCTTTTGGCATTTCATTTGAAAAATCACTAAATGATCTAATTAAAGGAATTAGAGCACATTCGAAAGATTCACCAGAAAGTTTAGCCAAATTTCTTGATATTGCAATCCAAGAATGTAAATCGGAACTATACACTACAGATTTGGAGACTAAAGCCATGGCCATTTTGAAACTAAGTTATCTAGAAATGTATGGTTTTGACATGTCATGGTGTAATTTTCAAGTTTTGGAAGTAATGTCTTCAAATAAATTTCAGCAAAAGAGAATTGGATATTTGGCAGCTATACAAAGTTTCAAAAATGAACAAGAGCTATTAATTTTGGCAACAAATCAATTCAAAAAAGATTTGAATTCATCACAACCTGTGGAGGTTGGTTTGGCATTAAGTGGAGTAGCCACCATTGTAACCCCAACTTTGTCAAAGGATATTAATGACGACATACTAATGAAGTTAAACCATTCAAAACCCTATATCAGAAAGAAAGCTATACTTGCATTATATAAAATATTTTTACAATACCCAGATAGTTTGAGGATGAATTTTCATAAAGTAATTGAGAAATTGGACGATTCAGACATATCAGTGGTGAGTGCTACAATCAATGTGATATGTGAATTATCGAAGAAAAACCCCAAAATATTCCTTAATTACTTACCCAAATTTTTTGAAATTTTGGAAGAAACTAAAAACAACTGGTTGATTATAAGAATATTGAAACTATTCCAAAGTCTATCGAAAATCGAACCCAGAATGAAGAAAAAGATTTTGCCTGCTATAATGGAACTCATGTTACGAACACAAGCATCATCATTAGTATATGAATGTATCAATTGTGCTGTGAATGGTCAAATGCTATCTTCTGAATCGCATAAAGATAGGGAAACTGCAAAACTTTGTATCGAACAATTGATGTCATTTTTTAAAACTAAAGATTCAAATTTAAAATTTGTGGGTTTGCTTGCACTAATTAACATTTTAAAGATTTTTCCTATATTTATGCACAAAATAGACGGCGTATCTACAGTTATTATGGATTGCCTCAATGATCCCGATTTAATAATAAAAAGGAAAGCATTAGAAGTTTCAAATTATTTGGTGAATGAAGACAATATTGCCGAAGTAGTAAAAGTAATGCTACTACAACTAATACCCGAAGATAACGTCATAGATGAATCCCTCAAATTGGATGTGACTATCAAGATCCTACAAATAGCATCTCAAGACAACTATTCAAATATACCTAATTTTAAATGGTACGTTGCAGTATTGAAAGATGTTTTGAACTTGACTTTGTTGTCAAAAACAGCTTCTTCTTCACATGTCACTTCAAAGATAGATGATAAAATAGCTATAGAGCTTGGGAAAGAATTTAAAACTCTTGCTACCAAAGTTCCCTCAATTCGATCGACGCTTCTACAAAAAATTATTATTGAAACAGTCATGGATGAGAATATTATCAACATCTGTCCAACAATTTTAAGGGATACATATTGGATATTAGGGGAATACATTGATGAGGTCAAAGTTGGAGTGAATGATCATGACGAAGTTGAGATTGAAGACGAAGATTTGGTTGTATCTATGGGGAAAAAGCTTCAGATCTTTAATTGCTTGATCAAAACTAGAATTGACGACAAATTGGGAAATGATTCATATAAGCTATACCCGATATCTGCAGCATTAATTAGCTTAAATCAACCTCAAGTTATATGTGTATTAATTCAAACTTTGGTTAAATTATACAACGGTATCGTTATTGACTATACAAGAGCATACTCAAATGATGCTGAGTTCTCATCCGAGAGGTACAACGAGTTGACTTATCATTTGTATGGATTAATTGATTTTTTGAGTCGGTGGGAAAAACATCAAAATTATGAAGTGCAAGAAAGAACACTTTCCTGGTTGGAGTTTTTGAAAGTTGCTCATGAGGCGATGGTAGGAGATGACAAAAATACGATACTGATTCTAGAGGCAAAAGAGCTTGAGTCAATGCGAGGAGCTCAATCACACGATGACATGAAGGTGATTTTGAACGATGACTCCAGTTCAGATGAAGTTGGGTTAAGTTCGGCTTCATCAAGTGAAGATGAATCCGACAATGATAACTATGAAAGTTTAGTCTCTGATAACGAGAATTCACCACCAACCGAATCCAAGAGCCACATTTCCGAACTTGAAACGAATCTTGTTACATCCAATGGGGAGAAGAATAGTTTTGCATTTTCAAAAAAGTTACCCGCATTAATAAGTCATATTCTACCTTCATTCTTCAAAACCTATCCTTTAAATCCGATTGCTAAATATTCACAACTGAAAATTCTGGTACCTCATGATTTGGATCTAGACACCAGGATTAATGACATGACTGAAGACAAATATGAAATAGGAGTTGATGACAAAGATGACTATGAGTTGGATTTATCAGAATCTGAATTGAAGGATGAACCTTTAATTCAATTATCGAGTGAAGAGGAAAGTAGAGTTAAATCTTCGGATAGATTAGAAAGGTTAAAAGATGATCCTTATTACTTGGACAGTGGTGAAAGTAAAAAGAAATCATCTAAGACACTGGAAAAATTCAGTTTGATGAACAAAAATTTAAAGGATAGTACTACTCAAGAAATTATAACAAAGAATGAGGAGCCAAGGAAAAAGAAAAAAGCAATTAAACTTCAAAAGGAAAAAGTACTAATCTTAGGAGAAGAAAGTATCGATGGTGAAGATGCAAATGACGAACAAACCTTAAATGTTATTGAAAAAAGGATAAAACCAAAAAGCAAAAATTCTTTCAAAATTGACTCGTCTAACTTGGATAATTTCGATTTTGATGCATCGACTGTTGAATCATCGCCAAGTTCACAAGAATACAATATTGACTTGGATGCTTTGAGAGAGAAGTTGGTAAAATCTACGTTGACAACTGAGAGAAAGAAAAAAAGTAAAGTTGACGATTTGAAAACAAACGAAAAAGCCCAAAAACAGGACACAAATGAGTCTAATAGTAATAATTCTAAAGTAGCTCCAATTGTCACCGTCAAACCTAAAAAGAAGAAGAACAAGAAGAAAGCTGTAATAATTGAATAGCTCAAATTTTTCAATAAAGGTAAACGAAGCATAAGTAATTGTACTATTAATTGTGAAAATATTTCATTTCTCTAATAAAACTTTAGTTCGAATGGACATAATTAGTTACGCAGTTCGATGTCCCTTTGACAACTTTTAGTCAGACAAGACTAGTTCCTACAATTTTCAATCTCCTGAAATTAAAGGTGTGTCTTCACTTATAACTTCAACTTCAGTATCAGTTGGATTTTCATTCTCTGATGGGTAATATTCTTCATTTGGTTTGACACCAGGCGCTTTTGCATACCCAATTTTTTTCAAAACTTTTAACATGTCTTTTCTTACATCTTCACAGCATTTAGTAACGTCTTCATTGGTTTCTAGATTTTCAGTCGAGACTGGAGGTAAAACTTCAATGAAAATTTCTCCAGTATTGAATACCTTTTGTTTTGAATTGAATATGGTAGATGTATTTGACACAACCACAGGAATTATTGGAATTTTGGCTTGTTTTGCTAAATGGAATGCACCTTTTTTGAATGGCAAAAATTGTAATGACTCAACAGCAGATCTTGTTCCCTCAGGAAACATAAATAATGCTCTTTTTTCCTTTTTCAAACTAGTCAATGCACCATCCAATACCTTTTTGGCTTTTGCGGATTTGGATCTATCTAAGAAGAATGTACCACTTAGAGCCATAAACCATCCTAAAAATGGAACATATTTCAAAGATTTTTTACTTGTAACTGTATATCCGGGCTGAAAAATTCTTCCTAAAATATGTATGTCTAATGCTGACTGATGATTTGAGATAACTATTGCGGGTAAATCTTTTAAATATTCCTCATTCTCGATTTTTATATCAACTCCCAAAAATAATTTGAAGGTATTATAGAAGGCTCTTGCTACTGTATATTGAGCATATTCAACTTTGCCAATTAATCTTAATATAATTGATGCAATTACCCCATAAAGTGCACACCCTGCTATAAGAGAACCGAAGATGATTGATTTTAAGTAGAACTTGAGTTGTTTGAAAACGTCAGTTGATGGCATGATCTTTTAAGCGTATATATCGCGTTTTAGTGAGTGACAGCTGGCAAGTTGAATTGTTGTGGAGTTGATTTAATGTTGTTAAGTTGAATGGAATTTCATTAATTTGAATGTTTAAGACGGTGAAAAAAAAAAATGTTGAGTACACTCACATCCAAAATAAATTTCAGCGTTAAAGAGGGGCCGATTGTTTACAATTATTTCAATGAAGAGGTTCAGCTTTAAAAGATAAACCTGGATTTTAGTATTTATTCACAATCGAGCGTGCACTGTATTCTCAATTGACTATACAATTTTTAAAAAATTCTAACTACGTTCCTTATTTATTTACTGATTCATGTGCAGCTATGACATTTCTAGCTGTAATGACAGCTGATTGTGGATTAACACCAGTAACTAATTTACCATCAGTGACGGCGAATGAAGCCCATGGTCCATCTGGTTCAACATATGTTGCACCTTCTTTTTCAGCAATTTGTTTAATTGTTAATAAATGATCTTTCTCCATGATTTCAAGAACACCTAATTCTTTTTCCCCAATATCAGTGAATCCAGTAATCTTTTTGCCTTTAATTAATGGTTCACCTGTTTTAATATCGTTTAAACCATCGAAAATTGCAGGTCCATGACATATAGCAGCAACAACACCATTTTTTGCCCAAGTTTCAGCAGCAATGTTTTGCAAAGCTTTAGCTTTTGGGTAATCAAATAATGTACCGTGACCAGCACTTGCGAAAAAAATATCATAATCTTTTGGATTTAAATCGGAAGCTTTTTTAATGTTTTTGAATGCAACATTGTATGGTGATTCTTTATTTTCAAAGACTTCTTTTGCTTTACCATTAAGAAAATCTTCAGTTAAACTGTGGTCATCATATCCAAATGTACCGGTTTCTGAAGCAATTTGTATTTCGTACCCCTTTTGAGCAAATTCTAAAAATGGTTCTAATGCTTCAGTTACAAAAAGACCAGTTTTTTTACCATCTGAATAAAATGGTTCACTGTATGAGGTAACTGCAAGTAAGACTTTGACCATTTTTGTTTTAATATTAAGTGTAGTATTAAATTGATCAAGGAAAAATTAATTAGTGAACAATATAATTATTGTTACATTGAACTGAAGAAGTATTTATACCATTGATTCTGTTTTCATGATTAAGTTGCTGTGTATTATAAAAAAATCAAACCCTATTTTGTAATTAACTATTAAATTCAGATTTCCGTAACCATACTTTTAATTAATAAGTACATCATAGATTGAAAGCAATTTCTATTTTGTGACATATTTCATATTTCTCAATTGCTTGATCTAAATATTATTCGCTTAAAAAACCCTCCTAAATTATCATTCGGCCGAGAATTGGACTTACTAATAGAACCAGTCTGTTGTTTATCCTACCAACTATTGGAAGACATTTATTGTAAAACTTCCTTCAAGTTAACTTGGCCTGACCCTCTAGCTAATGGTTGAGGCTGAGAATCACTTTTCTTCCAACCAATCATATATATAACATTAAAGGTTGCTGGTAATAGTATTTCTCCATTTTCTTGAACTTCGCCATGTAAACTTTTATATATTTCATTCGCTGCTAGTAAGACATCTCTTGGTAAATTACTGGCTCGAGTTAAGACAGCGTTTTGTTCACCCATACTTTGTAAATCCTCACACAATGCAAAAATGTTTGGAAATCCACCGACTATAATATCTTCTGAATCAATTGTTAACATAGAAAAACCCGCTTTGTTCAATAAAGACCCAACATCATTCAAATGTACTAAGGGGGAGACTCTAGGCGACATACCACCTTTTCTTTCTAATTCAGCCAATTGTAATGAAGTTCGTAATTCGTATAATGTGTCACCACCAATTAAAGTACCCATAAATAAACCATCTGGTTTCAAAGATGTATTGATGTTTGATAGAGTTTGAGGTAAATCATTAATCCAATGAAGACTTAAGTTTGATAGTACAACATCAAATGAATTTGGTTCTTTTAACAATTCATGGTTATATGCTTCTTCATCACCGACAATTCTTTCAATTTTCCCAGGAAACTTATAATCAAATTTCATCGACTCATCTCTATGTAACAATTCCCTAGATGAATCAAACATGATTAACTCTTTAATTTTACTTCGTACTAAGGCTTTGTCCTTATTTAATTGTTCCACAATCTTATGTTCTACTCCATCAGCTTTTAATTGTTCAGGTACATGACTTTCGGTACATAATTGGCTCAAAAAATTCCCACTATTACTCCCAAAATCCAACATTCTGTCAAATGGTCTAGTTATAAAAGCCAATCTTTCTATTGTTTTTGTTGCAACTTCATCTCTAATATAGTCCTTTTTTCTAGATAATTCAGGGTTTAGTTTAGCTGTTTTGGATCGATGGATCAGCTTTGCAAACCTATCAAATACATTGAATTGTGACTTTGGGTTTTGTTTGGCTGCTGTAGCAAATCCTCTTGTGGTGATCATCTGGAATCTGGTTGTTTTGCAGTTTAAAAAAAAATCGATTTTTCACTATTTTTGCAACCTACTTTTCATCTCACAATCAAACCTTGTACTCAAAAATGATAGTATAGAATGTCAACACTTTTGGCTGCTAGAAGACTTTATGATGTTGCAATGAATAAAGTTTCAGTGAAGAGAGTATTCGTCTTGAATACAAATATACATGCTACTTCACTTATTATTTCGAGTCAAAGACGACATTTAAATGCTCAGTCAAATCAATTACAGTCTTCAGCAACAACTCAAATCAATTCAAATAGTGGCTACAAATTTCATGCACCTACTAGACGACATGGAACATCACCAGCCTTAAAACAGGATCTCATTGGTATAAATAGTAAAAAAGAATTGGAAAAGTACTTTATCAAGTATAAGAATAAAAATAACGATGTATCATCGTTGCCACCATCCATGCAATTATTACAAAATGCGCGACGAAATAACTTTAATATATCGGGTAACATATGGATAAATCATCAGCGAATGTGCAAATCTAACGTGCACGAAATTCAACTAGTTGATTGGGTGGGATTATTTGCGTTTAGATTCAACAATCAAATACTTGATGTTTTACAATTTAATAATCATTGGAAACGAATCGCAAAATATGATCTGAGTTTATTTCCAATTTACTACCTGAGCTTCATATGTTGGTTGATTAATACCGATCAAACGTATTTAGCTGCCAAACACGTTATTCAATATTTAATGACGGAGCACAATGACCCAAATTTGATACCTATTGGCACCATGATTTCAAAGTTGGTAGATAATGAAGACTTATCAATGATTCGAAAAATTTTAAAACTTCTGTTGAAAAGAGACTACAGGTTAAGTCATGAAGTGTGGTCAAAAATATTAAATTTAGGTTTGAAAAATAATGATTACGCCATTGTCAAACAAGCATATACTCAATACGTAATGGAAGGTTTTACAGACGGAAAAATTTCCATTGAAGAGTCCATATTGTCTCCAAGTTTAGTAAGTAAAAATCATGTGTTTCAATCAATGTCTGATTCGTTATTAATGCAGATTTTACAAATATTTTCAATGAACGGTGATACGAAACTGACGATTGATTTGATAGAGAGTCATTTTTTTCACAAAGTTGTGGCTGGTAAATCAGCATTGAATAAAAGTCTTTGCTTGAAGATTATTGAAAGTCATTGTTATGATGATGATGAAGAAGGTATATCAAGTATGGAATTTATATTGGAACTCATTAATACTTTTGTTAAAAGAACTAAACATAACCCGAATGATGCTTTAAATGCTAAGGATTTGTTTCGAGCCATGAATAGAAAAATCGGCCATCTTGATTTGGGGATAGTTAAGAGAAAAGAACCCGAAGTAAATCGACCAATGAACGATCAAATTCCCGTTATTACACCAGGCCACAGTGATAATGAGACATATCTAGTTTTAGCCAATACGACGACACTTCATGATTTCATCGTTCGCAACATCAGATTTATTGATCAACATAATTTTGATGCAAAGTCAAAGTCTATATTCATCGACTGTTTATTAAACTATATCTCGACATATTTAAACCATACAGGTGTGGTGAAAGTATTGGAATCACTTCATTATCTTGATCCTCAAAATCTTGAATATTTGAATTCAAATTCATTCGACCTTATACTTCAATCCTTGTCTAATTCAAGTTCGAAAAAGTGTGCCATATATTATCATAAGTATATGAAGGCTAATGGTATGGAGTTTTCACCTGATAAGTACATATGGTTAATACAAAGTTGTTTCAATGAGTTTTACGAACCTACTGTGACATACTTAATATATCATTATTTCAAGGATCACGTAGTGGGACACTTTGCCGAATCTCAAATCTCGACTTTAATTGATATTATACCGGATGATGTTGAAGGACAAGTATTGAAACTCAAAAACTTTTTAATGCAAAAGTCAACAAAAAGTGTTGTAGCTATTGATGATTGTTATAAATATCTTGGAAGTACTATCAATGAAAATGAAGTAGTTCTTTTCTCAGCTTTTGGTCCAAAACATAAAAGAAGATATTTTCGGGAATACGATGAAATCGATTTACTGATTTTGAAAAAAGTTTTGCCCATTTTGGAAGACACTGCAACTGTGAAATAACAGGACATGTTTTGTAAGTTTATGTTGTTTTGTTCTTTTTAAATATTAGTTGAATTTAGTCATTGACAGCAGCTCTTATTTCTTCGTCATTTATGTCAATTATACGAGAATTTACGTCCCCATTAAATTTTGATTCATATACAAGGCTCTCATCATTGTTATTCAAAGTAATATTTTGTAAAGTCATTGACGAATTCATTGAATTAAACATCGTTGAATCTATTGCCATTCTCAAAATATGGTTTGCATGACAAGCTAAATCATCTTCAACTTCCTGATCTATTTCGTCATCTTTATTACCAGTCTGATTTATTTGACCTAATATATTTAACTTTTTTTGTTGCATTTTCTTACTCGTATTTTGCTTTAATTTTTGAATTTTTGAAGACTTTATAGACGGTGGAGTGACAGGTAATAGAGAATCTTTTTGTAGTTGTTTCACTTTTGTTGGAGTTGATTGCATTGAAGGTCTTTCATCAATTTGGGAATTATCATTATTACCTGGAGTTACTTTGTTATCATCATCATTTAGATTCTTATCTTCAAATATATGAAAGCTTGTCTTATCTTTATTTGCAATTGAAGTTGTTGTTTCAAAATCTTCTTTTTCAGGCAATGTAATTTTAACTTTTGATAATTTAGTTCGACCTTCCATTATAAGATCATGTAAAGGGTCTTGATGAACTTCCCTTGTTCTAGTGGGTCCAATTGGGCTCGTGAGATAATTCACTTTTGCTGTATTGGATTTGGGTATATCATTCGAAATATGAAGTTTGTGATGGTTGGTTGATGTGGTTGAGCCATGACAATTAGTGATATCTCTCATAATTGATAGTTTACTATCTCAGGGTTAAATCAGATGTTGACAAATATGAAAGACCCTTATTTCTCTATCTATGAATACACATGAAATCGAAATAATCAAGGGGTAAAATTATTTAATCTTAAAGGAAACATGTAGATAATTTTTATTTTATAGTTTTATAATTTGTTTACATTTTGCCTATCTAGGATTAATCTATGTGTAAATATGATTTTGATAAAAAAAGATATTTAGCAGTAAGCTTAAGTTAAGTAGAATAAGTTTCAAATTATGTGACCGCTACCAAAGTCATACAATTTTTTATAATAGAACTGATTGGATGAGGACACTAACAGACTTTAATTACAATAGTTAGAGCAGATATTCACAAATAGGTCGAAACATGCTTGATTATATTAATTATTATGGCAAGTACTCTGGAACGAGTAATCAGTTATTTTCCTGAATCCTTTGCCTTACTATATACATATTTATCGAAGTGTCTTGGTTGTAAGTGTAGTCAGATTTTGGCATTTCACCATGTTCACGTAACGCCTCGCGTTCAATTCAACGCTATGACTTGGTGATGCGAAATATTGTACCTCCTGTACCGATTTGCATCACTGATAATGATGAGTATGCTAACAAGATCATATAATGGTATTTTTGAATTTTACTGAATTAACTAGAATGAAATTATTAAGTATTCTTCTTTTCTTCTTCCATCTCTCGATTCAACTGTTGCTTACTCCTAACATATTTCTCTCGTTGACTTAATTTTTCATTTGTATCATTCCCATGCACTGAATCAATTGGACAAGGTAGTACACTATTAGCTCCAACTAATAAAAAACATATTGCAAATGTCGAACTAAATAATGAATGTGTTAGTCTGTTTCTTTGTGTTGCTTTGATATATTGAAACATTGTCGATTGATCTGTTTATGTAAAATTTTGATAAATAATGTTATAAGTTAATGAAATGAGGAATTAAAATGCTGAATAAATATTAAAAATTGTATATGATGAAGTATGAGTTGAACAATTTGATTGCTGAGTCCAAACAAAATCAAACGCTGTAGGAGATTGATCAATGATAGTTGATAAAGGGAGATTCAAGTAGATTATTTTGAGTATTATTAAAAATGATTATCATATGTTTCTTTTCAATAAATTGATGTATTTTTTTTCATTACTCTGTATACAAATTAACTATATGCAGGCATCACGTAAATTAAAAAAATATCCAATCAATGGTCCGGCGTTAGTTATACATTTAGAAGGACAAACAGGATCAATGCAAAGTAAAAAGTGGACCCGAAATCAGTTCAAGGCATATCAAAGGGGCATGAAAAGATGAGAGAGCAAAAACATATTGTATTACAAGATCCTGAATAAATGTTTTATAAAAATGACCCCAAGATTTCCTGATGTAAGACAAAACTTGTCAATCCTCTGGCTCGTCATTCCTTTGATATTTATTAAATGATACTTGGCTTTTCTATTTACAATGTTTGCCAGTGGTTCATATGCTTGAAGCGATTTAGATGATCCAGCCATACTTCCATCTTTCTCATTCATCTCTTAACCCATTTTGTTTTTTATGTTATTTTCATATCTTCATTCATTCATATACTTTCCTCGTACCATCTTTTATTAATTCAAATCCATTTGGCCATTTTCTCTCCATATTAATTTCTCTATTAGTTTTAAATTGATCACTTAATTCAACTTTAATTAATTCTTTTACTTTACTTAATGAATGAGCACTTGAAACATCACATTTAATATATTTAATTTGATTTCTTCTACGTAATCCCAAAGCTGCTAATGTATTTCTTGTCTTTGGTGGCATTCCTATTGATGATCTTATTTGAGTTACTTTATAGTATAATTGCTTTGATGATGATGGTATTATGCTAGACATTTTTTTCAGTTTTATATTATTGATTTGAAGCAATAGAATTTGTAATGGTCCTTTTCGCGTTGACTTGGTGTGATTTATAAAGGGAGCTATCTGATATTGGATAAAATGTATAATTGAATTGTACTCACATATTGAAGAATTTTTCACGATCTATTTTTTTTTTTTCTTTAAACTCTTCATTTAAAATCTTAGCCTAATACTTTAATTAGCCTGGCCTACTTACTTAAAACTAAAGAGATAGACACTTATATACTAATTAATAACGAAGGTCATCTAAGCATCTGATGGCATAAGCTAATATTATGTACTGGATAAAAAACTTTTATAGTAATCTTAAATTAATATAAAATCGTGGGATACTAATTGATTGCTCAATCCCTACCCACTAAAAAACCAATTTGAGTTGAAGATTATTGATTATCAGAAATAGTGTTGTGATCCCAGGTTTTATGTGTGAGCTATCTTTCCTCTACTGCTTATTTTCCGTTCTCTCGACTATCATGTCGTCATCGAGCGGTGTTTAAGCAGTCTTCCAAATAGTTATTGATAGGGTTGATTTCTTCCAATTGGAATTTTGACAATCATCCCAACTTGATTTTCACTATGCTTCATCTGTACCGCGAACATTCGTTATGTAGACCAATTGATTGTTTTTTAAATGACGAGTTGAGCAAAGTGGGATGTAAAACAAATTTAGATTTATTTCATTACCAGAATCTACAAATGAAGATTTCGAGTTAGATACCATAGGTTGTGAAACTTTGTTTCATACAGCTCTGTTTCACAACCTAATGTATCCGACTCAAAATCTCTTGTAGGGGTTGATAATCAATTATTTGTTTTCATTGATATTCTGTTGATTAGCATCTCATTGAGATCTGATAAAAGTGTAGTTCTTATTTGATATTTAATTTGTTGAGAAATGTTTTTCCACAGATTTAATTTGTTTGATTAAATAGAGTTCTCGTAATTACCGCATGGTAGCGATATATTTCAAGATATAAAGTCTACAAAATGACAATTATTAAAAACCAACATGGACAAATTAGAATTAACGGTTTTAAAAGTGAAACATTTCGTTTTGAAAGAGGAGTTCGGCAGGGCTTCCCACTATCCCCACTACTATTCAATATGTGTCTCGAAGTATTTTTGATAAGAATCCAAAATAAAATTAGAGGTCATGAATTCAAATTTGCAGGTAAAACTATTAAATCATCATATCTTGCATACGCAGATGATTTAGTAATAATGTTAAACAACCAACACCAAGATTACAAGATATTACATGATGAATTAGCAAAACTCAACGAGGTAAGTGGATTGAAAGTAAATAAGAACAAAAGTATCTTTTTTACAAACAACACAGAAATACACACATCGTATCCATATAAAAATATAATAGATGATGAAATCGTATATCTTGGGGTCAATTTGAATCAAATAGATTGGAAGACATTTATTAACAAAATTATGAGACAATTTAATATTAACGAAATCCATGACCTACCAATTCATTTAAAAATCCAAACAATCAATTCCTACAAACTAAGTAAAGCTTTTTACCATGATCTAATTCAACCAATGGATAAGAAGCAAATCAATTATTGGAATAAAATCATTAAACAATACTTCAAATATATAAGTATGGATACATTGATAGCAAGAAACAAACAAGGTGGCTTCAATCTAAACAATCTTGAAGACCACTTGTTGGGGCAAAGATCGAAAATAATATACAATCTACTTTTTGACGAAACCAATTGGAATTATATTGAACTTAGAGAAAAAGTTCAGAAATTTACTAATCAATTCTATCCTCCATCGAGATACACAATGGTGCATTGGTCTGAAATATTATTGAAAAAGGCATATCATATTAGAGGTACCAGAAAATGGGAAATTGCCACATATTTTACAAAAAAAAACTCAACCTGGACAAAGATGTTTAATAAATCTGAAATTGAATACCTAAATGCATGGTGCACATTAATGAAACCATACAGGGAAAAAGAAGAAGTTAGTCGACAACCATACGACTTTGATAAGATTGAGGAGTTGACAACTTCACCTATAATCTTAACTGATGACCAACAGTGGATATATAGGATAGAAAATAAATTTTTCCACTCAATATCAAAAAGAATTCAAACTGAAAAACGAAAAAGTTTATGCCCCAACAATTGGAGCTATCTACTAAATCTAACTCAGAAAGACTGGGCAAGTTACTTCAAAATAATATACAAAGCTAAATTAAAATACCCTAAGGGAGTGGAAACAATACATAGAGTTGCATTGGGACATTTTACACACTTCGGATCTGAAAACTCAACAAACTTACATACATGTGAAGCTTGTTATGATGAAGTTCCAAAACATGGATCCTTCAAACATCTCACTATAACATGTCCAATTACAAAATACATATGGGACATGTTGGAAATTCCAGGCATAGAAAGAAGCCATCAAGCATGGATAGGTAACCCAAATATCACAATAGACCAATTAATTCAAATAAATAAATATTTAGACCTCGTGTTTTTTTATAGAAAAAGACGACGAACATCGTTGGGAGAGGATAACGCCTTCTCCCTAGAATTTTTGCTGAGGTCTTTGAAAACGTTTAATTTGAGGTATACAATCTTTTCTTAAAAAGATAATACTTACTTATTAAACGGAAAATTTCATACAATTTTTACAAACAATCACCACTGAAATTATCATCAATTTATTTTCCCTTGAGGTTTTCCCACTGGGCTTTATCCTCAAATTTGTGAACAACTTGTTATTTTGTGTACTATAATAATAACAATATATTATTACTGATAGTATATCTTGTATAGAAAATTATATAGATGACTTAATAAATAAGTTAATAAGAAAAAAAAAAAAAAAAAAAAAATTACTTTAATTTTTAATTTTCAACATTAATCGTAACTATATATCTATATGCAGAAGTTGCTTTCCTAATTCACTTGCAATGAAGAAAAATTGGCCTTCAAATATTAATCATCAGTATTTGGTTCAACATTCAATTTCATATAATCAGAAACAACATCATTACTAAATTCAAACCCACTTAATTTTCCAATAAGTTCTTCAATAAATTGATCATTAAATTTAATTTGAGGAGTAATAAAAATTTCTTTATTTATCGTTGTATTTTTATCTCCATTATCATTTTCAATTTTTAAATATTGAAATAAATCCCAAACTTTTTCAACATATCTAAAAAAATTATCTCTTGAACCAAAATATAAATTAATTAAAAATTCCCAATTTTCTTGTGGTATAATAGCTTTTAATTTATATAATAAATCAGTTAAATCTTCATAATTATTTAAATAATTTTTATAATTTAAATTTAATAAAGTTGTTGATTGTAATGAAGTTGATTGATCATTTAAAACTTGATTAAATTCAATTAAAATATTTTGACTTGATTTAAAAAATGGTATAAATGTTAAATTTTGAAATTTATTATTATTTAAAAATTTATTTAATGTTGTTTGAAATGAATTTAATATAATTGGATATATTTTATATAAATTAATTTTAAAATTTGAATTACTATTGAATTCATTATTATTATTATTTTCATCAATTTTAAATAGGAAAAATTTCATTAAAATTAAAAATAATGCTTGATATATTAAACTTTGTAAAAAACTCTTTAAAAAATGTAATGGGAATTTATCAATTATAAAATCTAAAATTCCATTAATATTTTCATTTTGTCTCATTTTTTCATCTAATAAATTAAAATGATTGAATAAATTTATCATTGTTGTAAAATATGACGCATATCTTAAACTTGGAAAATAATTTGATTCAATTCTAATAAATGAAAGCCATCTAATAGATAATAATAATAAATTTTGATTTTTTAATAATAATTCAACATCTTCATGGTTTATACTTTTATTCGATTTATTAAATTCATTCTCGACTTGACTTAATTCTTTTGATAAAAGAACTGATACATTACTATACAAATCCAAATAATTTTTAATAATTCCCTTTATAGATGTAGAAAGACCAGATTTTTTATAATATAAACCCCATATTTTTATTGAATGTTTACTTAATTCACATTCAACATTTTTTGCATTTGGTCCATATAAAACACTTAATAATCTTTTATGGGGTACAACTGTATTTTTTAATTGATTTGATACCATTAAAGAACCTTTTACTTGAAAAAATGTAAATTCTAATTCAATTAATCTAATTTGTATCCAATATTTTGCTAATATTTTGAATTCAGCAGATTCTGGATAATCATTATTTTTGTTTATATCATTCCCGTTATTGTTGTCAGCATAATCCTCCAACGGTTCAACCACAGGATCTTCAATCAAAGATATAAAGTCATTATTTAAAACAATATAATTCAACAAATTATTAAATTCCAAATAATTATCAATTATATCATTTTTATATAAAAAATAATTTTTAATAATTAAATAAAAATCAATTAAATAAATTAAATCTGTTAAATTTTCATAAGTTAGAATCTTCAATTTTAAAAATCTTGAAATTTTAATCCAATCATTAATTAATTCATCTTTATTAATCATTCTATTATAATCCAACAAGAATGGTCTTGTTTCATTTTCATCAAATAAATAACCATTAGCCATTATTAAAAACATTAATGATAAATGTCTCATTTCAATAATATTAAATTTAAAAATTTGACTTAAATTTTTTATACTATCTTCATCATTTATATTTAATAATTTATTATAAATAAATTTAGCTTGTTTAAACATTTCATCATGATCTTGTAAATCAATTAATATAGGATTTAATGAATTTATATAAGTATTATAAAATTTTTCAAATATTTTAAAATTATTTGGTAATAATCTTTTAATTCTTTTTATATCAACCATGTTCAATTCAAAAATTCTTTGAGTATCTTTATTCAATAATAATTCAATACGATTTGTATGTGAGTTGTTAGAAAGTTTGTCATCATCAATATATTGACTATTGTTAGGATTATGACTTTCAATTGCCGAAATATGATTTATTGGATGATCCGGTTTTTTTTCAACTGCCTCGGGTTGTAAATTCAAGGTATGATTCGGCCTTACATGAGATGATCTATACAGTTCACTACTTTCATTATAATTACCATTAGATAGCTGTAAACTTTTGGAAGTTGACAGTAATGAAGTTACTAAACTTGCTAAAGAATTTTGATTATCATTGAATGTATGAACAATATCATTTGAAACTTTCAATTTTTTATTAGCTGATCTTTTTTTACGTTCTTTAATTTTATTTAATTCTTCTTCAGATGGTGGTTGAGGAGGTTGTAATAAACATCTATTAACTCTTTTAAATTTTTTACAAGATGCACAAGGTATTTGTAAATCACATTTAATCTTTAATAATTTACAAGGACCACAACTATAACTTCTTCTTTGCCTTTTCCTTTTATTTAATTGAGATTCTTGGTCTATTAAACTAGGTGTTTCATGTTCCGAATTGATAGTAGATGATTCTTGAAAAATTGGAGTATTTGGTTGTTCTTCTCTCTCTGAATCTAATCCATGCTTAATTGATGATTGCTCGTTATTTTGCAGAACATTAGGCAAAACATGGCCTGAATTTGATTCCATAAACGTTGGTGGTGATTAAGCCTATATTGATTGTTAATTTAAAAACTAAACAATTGAAGTTGGAATATATTAAAATAGCTTGTGGTACAAAAGACTTCAATGATTATAACATAGGACAAAATACCACTAGATGATTGATTTTGGTGTGTAAGTTTAATTGATGGTTGCCAAAATAATTGAGTGTGTATTTTGATATTTATTAATAAATCCACCTGGATTTATAAAAATTATTATTTTTGTTGCATTCAGAAAAAAAAATTTAAATTACGAAAAGGAATAGAGAAAAAAAGTATCAGTTTATTAATCCGATAAGTAATAACTAGTGTGATTAAGTATGTATTCGCCGATAATCACAGATATATCAAGGTTAATACTTTAATTCAAGGTAGTAAACAGACAAGGTCTTCAATCTAGAGTTAATTGCACTCATTGTGTCGATTGATATCAAGAGTATTTTACAATTGGTATGTATATGATAACAAACAATAAAAATGATAATGTTTTGATAGTATCTTCTGACAAAACTCATACTTCATATGCAAGAATCTTTCTGTATGATGATTTCGATCAATACCAATAATCCTCTCATCAAGTTCATAGAATTATGAGAATAGCTTTATGCAATTTTAATTACTTTTCTTTGAGTTTATTCTGATTCTAAAAAAATTTATAACCGGAGATAATAATAACCGATTGTACATTCTCACTAAATAATATTTCTTATACCGTCGGATGTAAAGGTACAAAATGCCTCTCCTCGGAAATAGAACTTCAACACGTAAGATATGTGATAGGATTTATCATTGTTTGTCAATTTAAAGTCAAAACGAAAGAGTCAGTTTCGTCACTGTGTAGATGCATACTTGTTTCAGGTCTGAGAGTGTGCTGATACTATTACTTGTTTGTCTTATCACAATGTTAACTCTAAATTGCCTTTTCTGTTTGTGTCTCGAAAGCCTAGCATGTAAACAATATTAGTTTTGCTATTATCCATGGTTTGAGACTTAATATGATATTGAAATTTTGCTAAATTTTGCAGCCAAATTTTTTTAATCGATGAATCTAAAACAAAATTAAATCTGTAAAACCTTTCAAGATACTATCTACGTGTAATGAGTAATTTCTGACTAATCATAGCATTAAAAGAAGAAAAAGAGTTGAGGCTGTTTAAGTTGTATGAATATGGTCTTGATAATGTTCATCAGTATTCACGTGAGTATAGTTGATAAGTTAAATAATATTGGTTCCTTTATATTATTTACGACATCATATGCTACCAACTAGCTTTGTATGAGATACTGCATATAGAAAGCAGAAAATCAGGTACCAATTTACGAGTTTTTAGTCTAAAACACATTAAAAATAATTATCTAATTGTTTTAGTAATGTTACTTCCTTTTCTACCTACACTTTCTTTCATTAAAGTTTTTGATTAAAAGTTGTTGCCATGAAGCTATGATAGAACTGTACTTTATTATCATAAATGAGGAAACATCCATTTGAACAAATCCAATTTATTCGTTTCCAAGAAAACACGAGTATAATTTTATTATAACAAGTTTATATATCAAATTATGATTACTACACACTGTGGCTTTCTTAGTCTATTTTTGATTTCAAACCTTTAATTAAATAAATAATGTTGAATTTTTCACTTTTGAAAAGATAATGGAATTGTAAACCTATCAATTTGGTCCAATTACATATTTCCTCAAGTTATCAATCAAAATGACTGTTGAATCTTCAACCAAAAGACCAAATTTCCTTATAATAGTTGCTGATGATTTAGGTTTTACTGATTTATCACCATTTGGAGGAGAAATCAAGACACCGAATTTAGATAAATTATCAACTCGAAATGGTATAAGATTAACTGATTTTCATACTGCTTCAGCTTGTTCTCCAACAAGATCTATGTTATTAAGTGGAACTGATAATCATATTGCAGGATTAGGTCAAATGGCAGAATTTGCTATTAAACAACCAAAATTAAAAGATCAACCTGGTTATGAAGGTTATTTAAATGATAAAGTTGCAGCATTACCTGAAATTTTAAAAGATAATGGATATTTTACTTTTCTTTCTGGTAAATGGCATTTAGGTTTAAAAAAACCTTATTGGCCGATAAATAGAGGATTTGAAAAATCTTGGTGTTTATTACCTGGTGCTGGTAATCATTATAAATATATTACTAGAGATCCAAAAACAGGTGAACAAATTCCATTTTTACCTAATTTATTTGTTGAAGATGATAAACAATTAGAACCAGAACTGTTACCAGAAGATTTTTATTCAACTATTCATTATACAAATAAAGCAATTGAATTTATAGATGAAACACCAAAAGATAAACCATTTTTTGGATTTTTAACATATACTGCTCCTCATTGGCCATATCAAGCACCACAAGATAGAATTGCTAAATATGATGGAGTTTATAATTCTGGTCCTGAAGAATTAAGAAGAAAAAGATTAGCAAAAGCGTTAAAATTAGGTATAATTGATGAAAATGTAAAACCACATCCAATTACTACTATACGTAAAGATTGGAAAGATTTAACACCAGAAGAACAAGCTATTGAAATTAAAATTGTTCAAACTTATGCAGCAATGGTTGAAATTCTAGATGAACAAATAGGTAGAATAATTGATCATTTGGAAACAAAAGGTGAATTAGATAATACATTTATTCTATTTATGTCAGATAATGGAGCAGAAGGTATGATTATGGAAGCATTACCATTATCAAATCAAAGAATTACTAGTTTTGTTGATAATTATTATGATAATTCTTTGGAAAATATAGGTAATTATAATTCATTTACATTTTATGGTGATCAATGGGCACAAGCAGCAACAGCTCCTCATTCTATGTATAAAGCTTGGTCAACAGAAGGTGCTATTGTATGTCCATTAATATTACATTATCCACCATTAATTAAATCTCAACATGGTAAAATTTTAAAAGAATTTATAACAGTCATGGATATTTTACCAACTGTATTAGATCTTGCAAATGTTAAACATCCTGGTAAAACCTATAAAGGTAGATCAGTTGCAGAACCAAGAGGTAAATCTTGGAAAAATTATATATCAGGTCAAGCCCCTTATGTTCATGATGAAAACACAGTTACAGGATGGGAATTATTTGGACAACAAGCTATTAGAAAAGGAGAATTTAAAGCATTATATATTCCAAAACCTTTTGGACCTGAAAAATGGCAATTATTTAATATTATTAAAGATCCTGGTGAAAATAATGATTTAGCTGAATTAAATCCTGAAAAATTAAAAGAATTAACTGATCATTGGGCTGTTTATGCTGCAGAAACTGGTTTAATTGAAATAGGACCAGATTTCTTTAAAAAGGAGTTAGTAGATGGTGATGAGAGTGTTAACTACAGAACGATATTTGACTAGTTTGCTTGAAAAAAAAATAAATTCAATTCGTCTATATATATGCCATGGAATATTAAGTATAATTATGCTTTTCTACTACTATGCTTCTTATGCTTTTTACTATCCTTCAATTTAAATTTTTTTCTAGAACTTTGTTCCTCACTTTGATCATTAGGTATCCATATTTCATCATCTTTAGCATCCTCTGGTATATGTAGATTTTGAAATGTTTCTTTTCTCCATTCTTTAAGATGTTTAGATTTAGTTAATTTTCGTTTATCTTTCATTCTTAATTCTTTTGGTCTATATGGTGCAAATTTTTTTAAACCAATTAAATTATTTAATTGTTTATCATCTGCTAATAATATATCTCTTGTAGTTAATCCAAATGTTTCTGGTGATACTTCTCTATATTTAAATTTTTCAACGCTATTTTTAGATTTTGATCTACCTCTTCCTGATTCTTGTTCTTCATCTATTTCTTCTTGAATTTTTAATGTATTTGAATCTACTATTTCTTGAGCTTTTTGTTTTATTAATTCTTTCTCCTTTTTGGCAGATTTTTTATCTTTCAATTGATCTTTCTTTGATTTTTTCTTAGGTGGTTCTTCTTCAAATTCATTGTCATGTTCTTCTTCTCCATAATCTTCGTTTCCTTCTTCATTTCCATAATCAAACCCATCCATAATTTCATCATCCCATGTAGGTTTTGCATCTTCTGCACCATAATATTGTTCATTAAATATTTCTGCCATCTTACTATCCCAATCAGCATCATCAAAATCATCATTAAGTAAAGAATCACCAAAAACTTTTTGAATCACAGCATCATCTACATCTTCTCCAACAGCTTCTTTAATCTTTGATAATCTATCAATAACTTTATTTAATTTTGATATTTTTTTCTTTTTCAATTTTTCTTCTTTTATTTTTTCCTCTTTTTGTTTTTCTTCATTTTCTTTTTCCCTTTTTCTTTTTCTTACATTTGTATTTGATCTTCTTAAAGTTGCTTGATTTCTTGCATATGATATAATTTCAGTTGAATTTGGATCTTCAAATCTAAAATTATAAGCATTTTCAAAATCTTCAACAGCATCATCAAATTCTTCTTCATCATTTTGATCTATTTTATCTAAATTTATTACTTTGTCACCCTTTTGTGGTATCCATGCCTTTTGGTCTAAAAATGCTGATAAAAATCCCTTTTGATCTTTTTCTGGATCTGGTAATTCTTTAGTTTTTTCAATTTGTGATTTTTCTTCGGAAGGTGTTGTTTTTTTCTTCATAAATCCATCGTCTTCTTCATCATCATCTTCATCTTCGTTAAATGCGTTTTTTATATCGTCCAATAACTTATTACGATCTTCTCTTTGCTCGCTTGCAAATGATTTCCCACCATCTACAGTTTCGCTTTCGTCAAATTCTTTATAACTTCCATCAATTAAATTTTGTCTATGATAATCTTTTAAATATATTGGTTTCTCAGATTTGGATTTGTTGCTTGAAGTTGAATCAATAGATGGTTCATTAAAAAATTTGACGTTTGGATCTAGTAATTTATTTGGATTAGATTTTATAGCTTCTAAAACCTTATTTATTCCATCTTCTACATCATCCGTTATCAAGTCTCCGTACTCATCTTCTTCTTCTGATGTTGTTGATTCACTATCTGAATCAATATCTTGTGTTTGTGGTTCTGATTGTATTTGTTGTTTTCTTTCATTATTTACATTGGTAAGGTTGGTGTCAGATTTTGCGATGGTTGGAGGTGTTTCATTTTTTTCTTTCAAAGCAGCTTCCTTAGCCTTTTTGGCCGCTGATTTCTTTCTTGCCATGGTTGGTCCTATGTGATTATGAATATACTCTTTGAGATGATCATTGGAGACAAAATTTAGACAATTGTGCGGATATTACTGTACGGTTTTTGTGTAACGTTTTATTGTAATAACATTTCTACAAAATTTAGGTCTGATTTACTAATATCAAACCAATCTATTTTAGAATAATTGTCAAAAATCTCAGAATCATCCATCGAGACAACTACATCAAAAAGTATCACTTCACCAACAAACACCTTGACTTCTTTTAACTGATGATTTTTCAATATCCATAAATATCTATCGTAAATTTTTCTTTTTAAATTAGGACAATCTTCAACGATTCTGTTAAATATTTGAAGAACTATTTTGATACGATTCAAATCTTTGGTATTTATATGCACATTGTAACATTTTTTAAATAATTCATTAAAGTCTATCATTCCAATGAACTTGTAATTTGAATCAAATAATTTTAGTATCAATTGTAACGTCAGCAAAATCAATTTACGTTCCCTCGTTGATGTTTTTTTAGGTACTATGGGTTGTATGAATGAAAGTAAGATTTTCAAGTCAACACTGGTTGGTTTGTATTTTATCAATTCATTGAATGATTCATTTATTAACTTCAGATTGCCAACTAAAGAGCCGGTTGTGAAAACAACACCTTTCCAAAATTCAAGTTTCATATTGAAATCGTTCAAAGTCTGGTAATAGTCAAACAACATGCACCAGCTAAATGATTTATTGGTCAATGACTTGAATGCATGATTTCTTAATTTGTCCATGATTTCACCACTTAATCTCACTAGTTTCAACTGGATTGTCTTATCCATTATCTTATTCTGACGTACTAATTTTATCATGTTCATCCTTATTTTTGAACCAACATCACCTTGATCGGTCGTAGTGTAATCATCAAATAGATCGTACAACGTACTTATATTGAAGAATGATGGTAAATTAAAGCTTAAATTCTCAATTAAATTGGCTCTTATTGTTGCATTAATCCCAGGATTTTTGATTACCCGAATCAATTCATCATATTGAGCTATATTAAGGTGTCTAAAATAAAATAATGACTTTGATAAGACTTCGGAATGTGGTAAGTGATGCAAGATTTCGCTCATGGGAATCTGTATTTGATTTGAAATGATAAATCTGAATTGCTCGGTGTAATCGTGATATTTGATAATCTTGATAACATTTTGCCATTGAACTTCATTCAATTGTTGACGACTCAAATACATGAGATACCCTTTGATCATATCTTTCTTTGATTCATTATATTGAAAATCTACAAAAATTTCATCACCAGCATCTGAGAATTGGTCTAACTCAAATAAAATGTGCCATCTATTCGACTTTTCCAATCTACTTCTGATATCATCAAAATTCACAATACATCTTGGAGCTAACTCTAATTGTGCTGGTTGTATCAATAATTTATTTAAATACTTTCCTTCACCGTCCTGGTCGCAAAGCAAGGTTAGCAATGGATCAACCAAAAACAGTAAGTCAAAAACTTCATAATATTCATCAAAAAATTGATAACTAATTTTCAGGTTTAAATGCAATCGGCCCAATTTTTCAACAAAGTTAATGATGAATTCCCCTTTTGATTCTAAATCTTTAATTTGAATCAACTCAGTTCCGAATCTACCAATAATCTCCTGTAATACTGCAACACTACATTTCTTCAAAATCAATTCTTCATCGAAAACTAAAACTTTCAATAAATCAAGAAAAACATCTCTTACAATAGGTTTGTAATGTTTCATATTTTTCACAATCGACCATATAACAAATGTTGAAGAATCTCTAACCTGATTACCCAATGTCACTATTCCATTTTGTATTTTGAAAAATAGGAATTTAGATGCTAGTTTTAAAGTGGTTTCACAATACTCTACCTGTATTTTCTTTCGTAATGCAACATACCCCAATATCAATAAAAGGGTTTGAATCTTTGATATGTTGTAGATAGTTAAATCACATTGTGAAAGTAACAATAATACGTACTCAATTAATTGACTCTGATAATTAATTGCAACGTATGACAATTGATCAATGATTGCCGCTAACGCCTTTGCCATTGAGTACCTAAGATTTATATCAAATGGAATTGACTCAATTGTTAAAATTTCATTTAGTAGTAGATTAATAATTTGACATGTTTTTGCAAAATCGTGTTGTTGGCAATAGTTAACTGCTAATTTACTCAATATTTTGATTGAGTAATATAATGTTAAATTTGAACAATTGGATTCGAGTATATCGTGCACCATACACTTATATATAACATCCAAATTGACAAGTTTTCGTTTTAAAATTTGATTAATCACTAATAGATTTCCTAGTCTCTTGTTTGAAATTTGATCAACCCAATTTTCTTCTAATGAAAGAAGAAAATTATTTAGCATTTCTTCTGAATCACTTCTTGAAAGCAATCCTGCCAACATTATCAGAGCAATTTTTTGAATTTTAGACCCATTTGTATATTGGAAAAGATTAAATTCACCTACTTCTTTTAATCTTTGTGGTAAATCATTCTTAATGCTTGATATTGGGAACGGAACAAGAACTAGATTACATAGCCAAAGTAGACACGAAAATTTGACAAATTCATTCGTGTTATTCTCACATTTGGTCAATAAAACCTCAATTAAATACACATCACTCGAGAAATATAACGACGTAGTTTTAAATGAACAGATTTTGGAAAATGCATAAATAATCTGGCCAATTGAATTCATTAATTCATCATCCTGCAAAAATTTTGAGCTTAAAGATTGGATATATATACCTAGTTTTTTTTCTAATAGTTTTGGTTGTAACTCGTATTGATTTATGAGTTGTACTAATTTAGTAGTAAGTTTTTGATAAACTAAATCTCTTTCATCATTCAGTGTTTCACCAATTGCGACACTAGTCAATTCTTGTATAAGGTCTCCTATCTCATTTTGGATATTATCGTTGTTTTTAATAATGAGCGCATGTTGTGAATCATCCATATCATGATTAAGATAAGCTATCAATCAAAAAAAAATATTGTTCATACAATTGAATCACTAATTTTGTGTTTATATTTCACCAAAAAGGAGCCACCAGATGTCAAATATACATATAAGTGAACAAATCTGCTTGAATTTAGATCCAAGTGAGCAGAATTGATCAAGAATATGTATTATGAGGTACTAACAGGTTTCTTGAACCTTTGAATTTCATAACGTACATATATTTGATGAGGATTTTTAATAATTTTGCGGCAAAACTGTTTCAAAAGGAAACCTCGCCTTAATGTAAAATTGAATTTGTTTTTAAATTTTCAATAGACAATGGTGCATTTCATTACAAACGCGTTTATTGGTCTTAGAAATAGTTTTACTGATGTGTTCGAGATTCGAATAATTTTTCAATTTTATAGATGTCAAAATCTGAAACACTTTAACGAGTGCATAGAATGAGTTACTAACTATTAATTTCATTAGCGACAATAACTTTATTTTTACAACTTGATCTATTATAAATGTATCAATTTATTACTATGTAATTGTCTATAAAATATTTGTCAAACCTCTTCAATCTATGTATCTATCTATTTCTTACCATTTTTTTGATTCTTTTTTTCAATAAATGATTCTTTTGCTAATTTAATTAAACTATCTAATTCACCACTATTTTCACACATACTATAAAATAATGAATTTTTATCACTTATTAAAACATAAGGGTTTTCATATTCAACTACTTTACCAGCGTCCATAACTAAAATTTTATCATAATCTATTATGGTTCTTAATCTATGAGCTATTGTTAAAATTGTACTATTATTAAATTCTGATCTTATAGTTTGTTGAATTAAAGAATCTGAAACATTATCAATACTTGAAGTTGCTTCATCAAGAAGTATAACTTTAGGATTTTTTAATAATGATCTTGCTAAACAAACTAATTGTCTTTCACCTTGAGATAAATTTCCACCACCTTCAGTTATTGGGTTTTCTAAATTAAGAAATTTATTTTGATTTTCTTCATCTGTTGAATTTATATTTTCATTAGGTTTAATTAAATTAACTCTTTTTAATGCTTCAAAAATTTGATTATCTTGATATTGTTCAAAAGGATCTAAATTTGTTCTAATTGTACCTGCAAATAAAGTTGGATCTTGAGGAATAATTGTAATAGCTTGTCTTAAATTTTTTAAACCAATAGTTGTAATATCAACATTGTCTATTTTTATAGATCCACTTTCTGGATCTAAGAATCTGAAAAATGCAGTAATAATTGTTGATTTACCAGCACCTGTTCTACCAACAATACCAACTTTATTACATGGTTCGATTTTGAAAGTAACGTTTTTAATAACTCTTGGTAATTCTGGTGAATATCTAAGAGAAACATCATCAACTTCAATTTCACCATTTTCTGGCCAATTCAAAGCTGGTTCAGTTTCTTTAATTTCATAAGGTGGTTCTTGTTCAACTTCAAGATATTCTTGTAATCTTTCAACTGAATTCATATTCATTTCAACATTTGCATAAAGTCTAACTATCCATAATGCACTTTCACTAAAAGCTATAGCATAAGATAATGATAAACCAGCTAATCCAGCATCAATTTTACCAACTGATAATAAAACAAATATACCTGCAAATAACATAACTAAAGAACCAACTGCATCAATTCTAAATGATAACCATCTATTAGCTACCCATAAATAAAAAAATGGTCTATTATTATTATCAATTGCTTGTAAATTTTGTTTCATAAATCTAGATTCAATTCCATAAGCTCTTATAGTAGCTACACCATTTAATGATTCTGAAAAATGTTGATGAATTGGTGATTTAGTAATTGATTCAAATCTTTTTAATTCTCTTGATAATGTTAAATAAAAATAACCAACTAAATAATATAAAAATGAAATAATAACAGCAAAGAATAAAAATCCAGGAGTTATAAAACTAACCAAAATTAAAGTTGAAATACATTGAACTAAACATATGAATGCACCTTCAGCAAATGGAGTAACTTCTTGATCAACAGATTCAATATCTTTTGAAAATCTATTCATTATACGACCTAATGGAGTTTTATCAAAAAATCTTAATTTAGCTCTTAAAATTGTTTTTAAAACTTTTTTGAAAATTCTATTTGATGCTTCAATACCTGCAAAAAATGTAACATAAACTCTGAAACATGCAGTAAATGCATAAACAAATCCAATAATACCATAAATTGCAATATAATAAGAAGTTGAATGTTCTTCAACAATTTCATTAATTTTAAGGTAACCAAATCCAATTAATTTTATAGCTCCCATTAAATTTCTAACTAATGGTAATTGATTATAATGTGAACTATCCATAATTGCTCCATGACCAACATATTTAATATATAATGATTCAACATGTTCACTATGTAATGACCAAGTTCTTAACCACCAAGATTGAAACATATAAACACCTTGAGATGTAATAAATGCAACAAATATTAAAGTCCAAACTTTCCAACCACCAAATACTTTAGCATATTCAATATAAACTTTAGATCCAACAACACCTTCAGCTTTATTTTCTTCTTCAACTAATTTACCATCAGTTTTGACCAATGGTTCATCATCTTCATTCTCATCATTTGTTTTAACTGCTTGTAATTTTTGTTCAATGACTGCTAATTTTGATTTCATTTCTGCATTTTTATCACCTAAAGTTTGTAAATTCGAACTTGATTGATTTCTTGAATTCATTACAGAAGTTTTAATTAATTCATCATCTCCTAAATCTCCAGATGCTAACATATCTTCAGTTGTACCTTGATTTTTAACTCTACCATTATCCATTATAACAATCCATTCTGCATGTTGAGCTGTTAAAGCAACATTATGTGATACTAATATACATGTTCTATTTTCCATTAATGGTCCAGTAATACAATTTTCATAAATCCATAAAGCAGTATGTGAATCAACTGCTGATAAACAATCATCTAATAAAAGATGTTTTGCATTTGAATATAATGCTCTTGCTAATGAAACTCTTTGTTTTTGACCTCCAGATAATGTAATACCTTTTTCTCCAACTTCAGTTTGATCACCAGCACTCAATATTTGTAAATCACGAGTTAAACCACATGCATCAATAACTTTATCATAACGATCTTGATTGAAAGGTGCACCAAATGTTATATTTCCTCTAATTGTGTCATTTAATAACCAAGCAGTTTGTGAACAATAAGCTACAGATTCGGTTAAACCATTTGTATCTGGAATTAAATCATCTCTTGGAATTATACCTGGTAAAAATACTTTCCCTTTGAGTAAATCCATTTCACCTAAAAGTCCTAATAATAAAGAAGTTTTACCAGATCCAGTAGGACCAATAATAACATTTAATTTTTCGGGTTTGAAAGTAATATTAATATCTCTTAACCTAAAATCTGTTTTAGACAGTTGATTCCAAGATAATGTTGCATTTTCAAATCCAATTTCTGGAGAATTTGGTCCTTTTTCTTGAGCTAATTGATCATATTTAGAAGTTTCCGCTTCATCCAAAAAATCAGTAACTCTATCTAATGAAACTTTTGATTGAATAACAAATGATGTCATATCAGCCAATTGATCTAATGGTGACCTTAACAAAGTAAATAAAGATAAAGCAGTAAAAGCAATTGGAGCAGTTAAAGTTTTACCTTCAATTATGGTATAACAATAAAATGAAAGTAAAGTAATTAAAGTAGGAGTTATAAACCAAATGAATGCAGCTGCACACCAAACTCCACATCTCCATTTCAAGTATCTAATTTCTTCTTCTCTAATTTTCATTGCACTTTCAAAAAATTTATCTTCCCATGCAAAAAATTTAATAATTCTAATACTTTGAAAAGTTTCATTTAATTTTTGAATTCTTTGATCTGTTATTCCCAACATTTTCTTTTGTAATCTTCCCATCCATTGAGCCATATTATAATTGATTGGTAATAAAACAACAATAGTTAATGAACCAACTAATGCACTCCAACCTAATAAATTGTAAAGTAAAATAGTACAAATACCAATCATCAAAATAGCTCCAACAAAATAATGTAAATAACCACATATTTCAGAAACTTTAAATGCATCAATAGCCATAAGATTAATAATAGCTCCCAATTCAGCTGTTTTTTTATTTTCATGAGTTGAAGATTCATCAGATACAGAATCATCATTTTCATCTTTATCATCTAATGAATCATCAGCTTTTGTTTCAGTAACTGTAATTTTTCTTCTTAAAGCTTTTGCATAAACTTCACCAATAATAACTGCTTTCATTCTACAACAAACTCTTCTACCTAAAAATAATGAACATCCAGATGCAATAGAATCTAACATCTTCATTATTGGCATCATAAATACAAAAGTCCAAGCTAAATTTGCAGAAATTGAATTTGGATTTGCAACATATTCTAAAACTTTTTTCAATAAAACTGAAGGTCCAAATATAAGCATTGATTCTAAAATTGCCCAAAATGCTTGTACTGCAAATAAAAATTTAAAATGCCAAAATATTTTATAAGTAAAAGATAAAGTTGATTTTGATGCTTCAAAAGCTTTTAAAACATATAATGCATAATCATCTTCTCTTAATCCCCATATATCATTTTTACTTAATGGTTGTTTATATGATTTCCAAACCATTCTGTCTAACCAACTATAAGATACAAATGAAGCTATACTTGAAATATTTTCTGGATTTGGTTCAATTCCTGGTGTGATATACAATTGTGAAGGTTTATCACCAATAGTTGCAGTAAAATTCAAAAATAATAATAATGCACTAAATATGAATTCCCAAATATAATATTTACTAATTAATTTATTCATATTAGTAGAAATTATAGCTGATCTAAAAGTCAATAAAGTAGGGAAAAAATAAAAGAAATATAATGCTGTTGTATGAATCCATAAATTTGGTAACCTTATGTATACTTGATTTATGTTAATGACTCTTATTGATACTATGATGAAAATATATGACCAAAAAATAGTTTGAACAAGTGGTATATAAGTATGTTTAAATTCTTTATGTAATGGTTTCAAAAAAAATGGTGATAGATGTAATATTAACGATAATAAAACCAAAATGAATTCAAATGCAATTCTAAATCTTTCACTCATATTTTTATAAACTTCTTGAACATAACCATGAGGTGTTCCATCTAAATTTGTATCTGGTAATTTTGATAAATCAAAATGTAAAGATTTCAAATCTTCTTTTGTTAATTTTTTATTATCGGTAGTTGTTATATTAGTTGATCCATAATTATCACTAGTTGCTAATAAAGGACGATTTTCATTTTCATTTAATTGTATTTTATTTTTATTCTTTTTACTATATGATATTATAGTTTTTATTAATAATATAGTTAAAGATATTGATGTTAATATAATTGGTGTATAATAATCTAATTTAAATCTTGTACATTTAGTTATATCATCATAATCCCAAAATTGACATTGAGTTGAATATGTATTGTTTATACCAATAGGTAGATACTCCTGTTGAATCATTGGTCTCTGTAGTACCATATTTTCAACCTAAGAGAATGAATAGCTATATAAATGATGGTTGTAAAAATGAAATCTAATTTGAAATAAGAAGATATGAAAAAAAAAATAAAATGAAACAAAAAATTTAAATTTAAAATAATAAGAAAAAAGGAATTAAATTAAAATAGTACAAAACAAGTTTAATTAGAGAGAAACAAATTATTTCCGTTCGTTGTACTATGATCATCATTCAATAGACCAAAAGTATTTCTTAATAAACGGGTACCGTACGAAGGTAGGACAGTTTTGGGTAAGTTATCCACTAAAATGTAATGGAACATTTTTTACTTTGCTCGAGTTTACCGAATCTTTATCGAATGTATCCTTTTATTGAATTGGCTAAAATAATATTTCATTCGTAATTGTGTACTGTTTTGTAACTCGTTGATTTATTATATCACCAATACCAAAAAACCTTATTTAAATCTGGAACAAAATATTGAAAGTAAGAGTGGCACTATTCTTCTTCGGGCAAATATCACTTTTAAAAATTGAGAATTAGAAGATTAGTTCTCTTAATTTTTTGGAAAAACTGCGGTGGGTATGGTCAAACTTCATATTTAAGACCAGAACCAATTCGGGAATTTCGTTACCGAAGTTTTCTCTATATTTCTTAAAATTAAATCAAATGCAACTGATTATTGTCATATATATTCAGGTTTTGCAATGATAAGGATACTCATTTCAACCGGCTTAAGGGGTAGAAAAAATCAGTTTTGTTTGTATTTGAATCTCTTGATTATTCATAGACTGATAAGAGTTCAAGTAACTACAAATGCTTTAAATTCATTAATACTTATCATTCTTACAAAATAGTATAGCTATAAAACAGGTTTTTTTAAGTTTTTAAATTTTTAACAAATGGATATTTAATCAATTCTTTTTCAAACGATTAATTACCATTTGAATCTTCAACATTTTCATCAGCTTCAGCTTCTTGTTCTTCTTTAGTTGGAACTTTTGAATCAACAGCAATATCAATAATTAATTCTCTACCATTAATTTCTTTACCATTAAATTCTTCAATTGCTTGTTTTTGAACTTCTTCATTTGGAAATTTAATAAAAGCAATACCTTTATTTAAAGGTCTTCTAAATTTACCATTTGGATATTTTTTATTTTGAAATCTTCTTGTTGGTACATGAATCCATTTTGGTTTTAAATCTTTAAAAGTATTATTTAAAGCTTTTACATTTACTTTATAATCCAAATTAGTAATGAAGATTGTATCTTTTGATTTTTCTCCTTCTGGAACTTTAGGTTTAGTTGTAGATTCAGCATTTGTTGAATCATTCTTTTTATTTGCTTCTTTTTTCAATTCTTTTGCTTTTTGAATTTCTTCCTTTTTAGCTTTATAAGCTTCAATTTTAACTTTTTTTTCTTCTTCAGTTGGTGGAGGAACTGCCTTTTTAATAAAAATATTTCTTCTTTGAAATTTTTGACCGTTAAGATCAGCAATTGCTTTATCTGCATCTTCTTTAGTTTCAAATTGAACAAATGCAAATCCTAAACGTCTTTTAAAAGTTTTATCACCTCTTGTATTTTCCTTTGATGGAATTTCAACTTCAGTTACTTTTAAATCTTTGAATAAATCTTTTAATTCTTCTTCAGTTGCTTTATAATCAACATTTCCAACATAAATTCTATCTTCAATAACTGGTTTAAGAGCTCTAACTTCTTCAGACATTTCGGACATAATTTTAACTTTCAGCCTATAATTCACAAGGTTTTATATCTTCAAACAAATAAAATTCGGTATTATCAATCAATTGATTGGGAAACACAAGTACTTTAATTTTTATGTGACACTTTTAAGTTGTGTTGTAAAAATCGCCTTCTTTTGTTGATTTTTTTTACAGAAGAAAAAATTTTAAGATCTTAAGACTTTTAGTAAGACCAAGGAATGAAAGAAGTGACATTAGCAACGCGACACATCTTGAAATATTCCAACAGAGGTTAACAAACAGTTTACAAACATTATCTCTATCAATTAAATATTTTGATTTTTTATTCGTTTATTAATTGTTCATTAGCTTTTGATTCGATATCTATTTTAATTTATTAAATAATCTTGGAGCTACACAATCATTCACACAATGTTGTAAATGGAAAAATTCTTCAACACAATCTTCTTTATAATGTTTATGTTCATATCCAGGTTCTTCCATTTCTTTTGTTACTCTTTCAACACATTCATGGAAATGATGATCAAATGGTTTACATGCACTAGACTTTACACATTCTTCACGCAATTTATCCATTGGGTCTTCTAATTCTGCTTCATCTTCATCTTCATCATCTTCGTCGTCTTCTTCTTCCTCTTCATCATCTCCATCTGCTGGATCTACGGTTTCTTCTTCTACATGTTCTTCTGGTGATGCCTCTTCTTCAGCTTCTGGAGCTTCTTCATCAGCAACCTCATTTTGTGTATCATCAGCAGGCTAATTGAATCGTTAGTATTCTTGAAAGACTCCTATGGCTCCTCGAGTATAAACATACTTCATCAGCATATGCAGCTGGAATTATAGTCTCAAATATATCTCTGAAAAATGACATTATATATGTGTTATATGTGTAGTATGATGGATGGAAAAAACGATTTTATGAACAAATGGGATTGATAATAGATGAAAGATGCTAAGTATGGTAGTTGGTTAATCTATTATTTCAATTCACTATTGATATAGTTTCTCTTTTGTTTGTATCTGAAGTGAAAAATTTAATTAGAGTGCGTAATATAGAAAAATCAAATATTTAATTGGTTAATATTAGTTTCATAAGGGAATAGTTGGTAGCGTCTATAACATTAATAAATATACTCTATAATCTATAATATTCTATTCTTGATTTAATATAATTTCTGCAATTTTTTTATTTGTATCAAATGGATTGTCTATATACAAGTTATGACCACCTTCCGCAATTTCGTCATATTCAAATTTAATTTTTGATGTATTTTTTTCATTTAATTTTTTAATCATTTTTTCACCAGCTTCAGAATTCATAAAATCATATTGTCCATAAAAAACAAATGTATTAAAACTAATCTTATTTAAATCAGCATTTAAAAATTTATCCATTAATGGCCATTTACTAACTGTTGCTGGGGTTAATAAATATTTAACATAAATATCACTATTAGTCCCATTTGTAATTGAGTTATATAAATATTCTATAATCAAATTTATTTCCTTCTGTGAACCAATTACTAAATCATTTGAATTTTGAAATATTTTTTGCGGTCCTCCATGTTTTTTAATTAATTTATTGATTTTTGATAATTTTGATAACCACATTTTAAAGTAATATTGAACTCCAAATGGGCCTAAGAATTTTAAAATTCTAGGTAAGTAAGGAATTTTATAATACCAATTTAGGATATGATTTCTTGATAATATTGGAAATCTTGATAAAAATTTATAAGATGTTGGGTCTAATGTAGGTCTTTCATTCTTATTAGTGATTTCATCAGTATTTGTAATAGCCATGATGTTTCTTTCCAACCCCACGGGTGACAAAAGTATTAAATTTGATACTTTATCAAAACTTTTTATAGAATATGAACCACACCAATAAGCACCAAACGAATGACCAATTAGATAATCAATCTTCTCTAATCCAAGATTTTTCCTCCATCTATCAATTGCTCCAGTGTAAAAATTTTCCATATCTTCTAATATAGGTTTAAAATGTTCTTGATATTCCTTATAATTCTCAGGATCAAGTTGATATCCATCTATTAACTTATAATATTTCTTATATAACTTTTTAGGATCAGTTGGTTCATTATCAATTAACTTCAATCTTGCAGCAGATGGGATTCTCCAACTAATATTGTCATTCGGAATTGATGGATTTGAAGATAGTCCAAAAGTTATATTATCCAAAAAATGTATATGATAATTGAATTTCTCACTATTTTTTAATTCATCTATTATTTTAAAATTTCTTGCAAAACAACCTAATGATGCTCCATAACCATGTATAAATACAACATGTTTAATTGGTAATTCATCATTTTTCCGACGTATTGTTACAGTATTAATGTAATCATTATTATCAATTGGAATTCTTCGTTGAATTGTTTCAATATTTTCATTTTCTTTAGAATTAGGTAACATAAGCTTAATCAATTCACCTTGAAGATTATCTAATCTTTTGGAAGATAATGAATTTTTCCAAATTTCCCAACCTTCTTTCAAGGAGATGGCTTTTATGGATTCTTTATTTTGTACATAATCTTTTGGTAAAGTATATTTGGAACCAGACTTTAATGTGAATAGTCTATAAATTGTAATCCTACTTCTTGACTGATTACATCGTAGTATTTGTAGTCTTAACATTCTTATAAGGTTTGAAAGTTTTAGTAGAAAAAAAAGTTTAGATTTTATGCGATTTGATTTCAAGAAAATCTTACAAAGTTTGGTTACACAAAATTCAAGTTTCTGTGCATTGATAAATTCTTAAGCGGTATTCATAGATCCAGATCTAAGCTTTTAAATATGCAGTCAAGTCTAATATAAACAAACATTAAATAAAGTATACACGAATTGAAAAATAACTAGTAAATATAAATAGATTAATTATCAGTCACAAACCTTTTCTTTCCTTTGATATAAGCTCATTTCATCATCATTTTCGTATCTTTCAATTCCAACAAGTTCATGACCAAATACTTCTTCCTCAAAATTTTCAACATCATGAGTTTCTTCAAACCAACCTTTTTCAAATGGTTTTAATTTTGGAATACCTGTATCAAATGGGAAAAAATAATATATTATTCTGTCAAATACAAAATGTAATATTCTGTGTCAAGTAAATGTTTCCTGGGGATTATCAATTTAGTTGAACATACCTGATGCTATTATGATATATAAGTATCCGGTTCAGAAATACCATTGATAGCTACTCTATAGATTCATCTGACCAATCATTATATATAGATATGTGATGTACACGATCTGTTTCATTAACGACATAATTATAGTAATTACAGGCGACATCTGTAAAAAAAATTTCTATTTTTCACAAAGCCCCTAAGCTGAATCCCTCTTATTAGAAAAATACGTAATTGATATGATTCTATTAGGTAATGAATTGGTTATGAAGTAATTAATTGGATGTATTTATTTCATTGATTCATGATAGTTCTCGGTAACTCAATAATTTGCTTGAAAGGGAAATAACATGCGAGAAATTAATAATTGAAAATCAATAACGAAAGAGTTATTATCAAATATCACTTTCATGTACGAAAAAAAAGTAACTTCTATACTCTTTCCATACACTCACTCATTATGAACCTATTCCTTCGTTGATTTGATTATACTATTCTTTTGTCCTAAATCCATAAGCCTCTTACTCCCTCAATATACTCCAGACACTTGCTTAATCTAAGTTTTTTGGTTTCATTATTAATTGTTGAATTACATCGGTAGTCCTTATTAATTTTCAAATTATCCTGCTTTTCGAATGACAGCATAAAACTACTTAGTTTGTTCAGTAGTGTGAAGTAGCAACCTTTGTTCGTGTTATCAATTCGTCCCCTAATAAATTTTGGATGTTTTTAACTATGGCGGTACGGATAGAAAAGTTGCAAATTGTATGGTAGTACGGAAGGAGGGGTCGAACCTTTGTTGTGGAGCAAGTTCTGATTGTAATCAAATTAAGGATTTTTAAAATATCTGAATTGGATACAGACGAACTCAATCGCAGAGCTCAGTGCCTTCTGGTGACTAAATTAGTCGATATATACCGGTCAATTTGAATAAGGTTCTTCCAAATTGAACTCTTGACCAATTTAACACACATTCTTGAAAAAACACTCTTTATTAGAAGCTATGATGAAAACTAAACTTAAAGATACCAAATTATACAGATCATTAGTTAGAGCTTTTTCCTCTATGAATTAAGTTTAATTCTTTACTGTTTAGCAAACTAGACTAACAATTTAATGAAATATTGATTTGAAAAAATAAAAAAAAAAAAATTCGCAACATATTAATGACAGTTTCACTATAAATAATATTGAGTATCAAATTAAAATAATAAAAAATTTAAAACAATTATCACGATAATTTTATTCATTTTGAATATTAACTTAAATCTATCTAGATTTATTATCGATCGAACGAATGGCATATAGATACACTCCCATTACTACTTTCTAGGTTTTATTTACGGAACCATGCAAATTTGTTAGTGCAATTGAGTTATCTCTATAGATTAAGTTTAGTTGATCTAATAAACAATTAATATTGAAAAAAAAAAAAAAGTTGTCATGAATGATGATCAATTTGAAGACAGTCAAAACACACTTTCGTAATTTTATATGAACATCTTTAAATTACCGTGCACAGACTGTAGTCCGAAAAAAAGTTAGTTGTTCGGAGTTCGCTTAGTCGGCAATCTCAAATTTTGTGCGAAACTTTATGCGATTTTGACTCAATTAACTGAAAGCGCGTTGGAAAGCGCAATAACGATTTCGATTTAGATTTGATCGGTTCGCTCGTAACCAATGACGCTAAAAGATGAAATGTTTAATCTATTAGTAATTAAAATAGTTGTACCTTTTTAATTCTTCGTAAATATATTGTTCTGTATTATTGTTCTGTATCTGAATTCTGGGGATCTTTTTCCTCGTAATTATTATTGATAAACATTAATTAACGATTGGACAATAAATTAATAATTCACCAAAATTTGCATCTTTCTTCATAAGTCCAAATTTTTTATTGCCAAACCCAAATGACGTTTTGTTCCAATCATGGCCTAAGTACAAAAATAAATTCGGAAAGAAATTAATAAAAATTGTTCAATATTCCTTCCGGGAATTCAAAAAAAAATAAAGTAAGGGATATCACACAAAATATAGTTAGTTAAAAAAATCTCGTGTTTAAGACGTGATGCGTTTTGTTCTTGTCTCATATTTAATTTTATAGTAGTATTAGCATTTTATTTCCAATAAGTTGATAAGATTTAGTAGTGGAGAGTTAGACTAAGGTACAATTCTAATCTTGAAGACGATAAAATAAGTATAAACTTCAAAATAGATGTCAAATTAAACTAGAGATTGATTTTTGTATAAAACTTTGCTTTTCAAGGACAAGTAAAAGTTAAAAAATTAATACATTACACAAAACCTTAAATGTTCTCCCCAAATTTTGTTTACATATAACAAAACTTTTTATCTATTAATCTTTTTATACACTGGTCTTTCGTTGATGAAACCGATTCTTTCAAATTTAATTTCATTTTGTTAGCTTTTTTTTTCATGCTCTTTGGATTCTATTTTCTGGGAAGAAACGAACCTGATATGAATCAATGATTAAATAAAACTTTATAGTGTATTGAAATAATTTGCTTAAGCTTAAATCACAAAACCATTCCAAAACTTTATTTCAAATTCAAGAGTTACAAAAACAAAAATAAAATTAAAAATTAATTTACTGATAATGTATAAACTCTCAAGTTGTAAATTCATATTCTTTCATTTAGTTTCAACTCTATTGGCCATTGCTACAGATTGGATCATTACCTTGTAGATATTTATCTAACTAATAAACAGTGTTAAAACCAAACTGAATGAAGTATTTTTATTGACCATCTTTTGGAAAAAACTTTGCATTATTAATTATTTTTATCATAATTTTTATTTTATTTTTCATATCAAAAAGGGAGTAAAATTCATCGAAAAAGGTAAAAATATTTTTGTGTTTGTTATTAATAGTAGTGTGTAATTTTGAAAAGGTAAACATCACTTTAACTTGTTGTAAACATTTAGCCCCTTTCAATTTCACGATATCATTCATCGATATAATGCCATGTATTTCTCAATGTGTGTTATAGGTAATGTTTCAGTTTTAAGAGGTAGTTATCAATTAAGAGGTATATGTAATTGGTAGCTCGCGATAGTTCAGAAATAAGGTTAAAAGATGATAAGTATCAGTAAATTTTTAGCCCATAAAAATCAATCAAGGCTCGAGCGAAGATTTAAAATTTCATTAACACTAAAACGCCAAGTTTTTGATGTTTGTGTAAAAAGTTAAATAATTTATAAATTTATAAGTATTATTTAAAATTAAATAATTAAAAAATAACTAGTATACACTAAATTATCACTACTAAAAAATAACGTCCACCCTTTTTCAAATTAAATAAAAATCTTTCAATTCTAAAAATTTTTTCTAAAATTTTTAGTTTTTTTCACCATTAATCAACTATTCATTTACGAGTTAGGTTGGTCATTTTGGTGGTTCATATATACGTTAATTTCTTATTAGATTTTAACTTGCTTCAACTGTTTGCTAGTGAAGGTATTAACTCGTAAATTGAATTTGTTTACTTTATCACTTACTTTATAAATTACCATCAACAGAACTTATAAATATTTTTTTCAACTAAAAAAATTCTCAGTATGAGTGGAAATGACTCACTGAGTCATCCGCAAAATCAATATTTTCAAAAAATCATCGATACTTATACTGGTATCGAAATCAATAAAAGGTACAATAATAGAAATAATGAAGGAAATAGTTTAACAATTGATGAAACAAAAGATGATTTTGAAAACTATAAATTAATATTAAACACTTTCATGCTTCCTTTCGTGGAGTTTGAATTGAAGATGAACCAATTTGATGATGGTAAAAATAATAATTTATTTAAAAAAAATAATGGAAAAGATCCCGTGATCTTTCACGTGGATCCAAATGAAACGAGCAGAAATTTTATTATACAAACAATTCAGAAATTTGGTGGTGTTTGCTCCACAACATTTAGCAACAATTATATCAACTTATCATCATCTAAAGTTAATTGGATTCATCCAATTCATATCTTTTTAAGCATTAATGAAAATAAAGTTCTTCATTTAGAAGTGGCCAAAATCTATAAACTTAATTATTATTTTGAACTAAATGTGAAAGTTATCATCAACTACAAGTATTGGTTATCAAAAAGCAAAATGTATGGCGATGTAGCCTTAAAAGAAGATGATGATGAAGTAAATGAAGTTTTAAATCGAGAATGCACAAATAACTTTTTAGTCATGGAAAATTTAGAATTTATTGATTTAATTCGTAAAAGAAATCCTATATTACAAAAATTCAGATTGGATCAAATACAGAGACAAATTTCTGGTCATACAATAGGAAATTTGATGAAAAACAAAAATTTAGACAAAAATACAAATGAATCAAACCTTCAACAACTCACACATAAAGGGTTGGCCTACAATTATCACGAACACTATCTTTTAGCTACATTAGCCCACATTTACTTGGTTTTCCATAGCAATGTACAATTAATGTCAGAGCAGGTGTTATTAAATGAGTTTACAAAAACTTCAAGTGTTGCCATTTTTTTCGTAAGATTGTTACCTAATAGAAGGGAATTGAATGGTATTCGTTTGAAAATTGTTTCCGCTTTTAATATTATCGAAACAACAAGAAATTATATTAAAGCTATAGAATCATCAAGAGACGAAGTTCAGATGCTAAAACTCAATGAAATATACAGCAGAAGCTTTGATAAAATGGACCAGACAGCCTCATTTGAACAAATTAAACCTACCATTCAATTAAGTTACAATAATATGCTAAAATTGGTGGATTTTTTTGCAAATAAATCTTTGGAAGAAGCTTATAGAGATTTAGCAAATGAAATTGGTGTATCTAGAGATGATCTTAAACTATTAAAGGCGGAGTTTGATGCTTCTATTTCTCCATCACTAGGAGAACGTCAGATTAAAAACTACAGGTATGATCGGTCTGGTATCAAATTTTTTTTATTGGGTAAATTGATAGAAAAAGAAATTTCTGACCTAGGATTTAACAAGGAAAAAGCAAATGATATCACATTGTCTAAAACTTTTTTCCAGATGGCTGTAGCATTATTGGAAGGTCATCGTGAAAAGCCTGTGTCTTGGAATTCGTACAGACAGCATGTGGGCCATAACGGATTACCAAAATTTCTTGAATTCATTGATGTTTTCGCAGCCCATGCTGATGAACAAAAAATTATATCATTTTTAGAGTTCAAAGATAATGATCAAGATATTTTCAGTCAAGATCAATTCTTCAAATTAAAATATACATGCTTGCTCATAATTTTTAAACTTTCAAATTTTAACAGAAGTGATGTGTTTAAAGAGTTCTCCAAAATCTGGAATATTAGAGAAGAAAAAGTATCTATAAGATTTCATTCGTTTCTTGCAGAATTTCTCATAAATGGTAGAGTTAACAGTGATCGTCAAAAAGATTTGGAAAACTACTTGGTATTCAATAGAACCAATGGTAGCCTTGTTACAAAAATCTTAGCGGTATTTCCAGGAACAGGAAACAATTTCGATTTTGAAAATTATGAACCTGTTGTTTCCGATGCAATGATTTATCACCACGTTGAAGTTAGAACTAGAGTATCAGCTGAGGTAGATCCAGATCAAGTTGTTAGTCGAAGAACAAAATCCAAAAGAAAATGAGTGCTGATTAAGTTGAGTTGTCTTTAAAATGATGGTTTCGGTTTTTGGTTCTCCTTTTTTATTATTTACTGGGCGTTGATATCTAGTACATGTTTCGGTTTATTTTGTTTATACAAATATATTAATTAATTTCGGTTTTGATTTTACTAAATCCGTCTACTGTAGTGTTTGATCAATTCATAATTCAATTTATAAATTCATTTATTTCTAATTAAACGATTAAACTTTATACCTAATATATGATCAAATTTACTAGAAGATTGACGTAAATGAACATAATCATCAGCATTTGCAACATCAATGTTTCTTGTTCATAATCATCCTCGAATTCAATTGAAGAAGTTGAACGAACTAATCCATATGCAATAGATATACAATTTTTTAGACTATTTAATGATTTATTTTTAATCGATTGAAATAAATTCTCCAATATTATTATTCTATTTGTTCTTTTTATAAAATGAGGATTTTTTGATGGTGATAATGGTGGTGGTAATGGAATATTTAAATAATCTAAATTTGATTCATTTGATTCTGAATGTATCATATCTGGTGATTGCTGTTGTTGTTGTTGTTGTTGTTGTTGTTGGTTTGTTTCAATAATTTCCAGACTTGTGGTTATTGTGTTTGTTTTTAAATTAGTATTTATGATTTATTGTATAATCTAAATTGGAATATTTTCTAAATTTATATTTCGTATTTAATTTAGTTTTAAATTAATCATTATATTCTTATTAGTTGAAGCAGTTATCTTCAATTTTTAACATTTTAAAACATCATAACCATAACTAATACCTTATTGTCGATAATTTTTCAGATGTATGGCCAGTTGAATCAATCGATGTTCTTATACTAAATAGCCAGCGCAAACCCAGAATAAGATAGTCACACATTTCGAAATTCCAATTTTATCACATACTAATGGCCTTTTGTTTTTAACCTATAGTTGAAAAATTTTTAATCTCAATGATTTCATACAACAAATTTTAGCCATGTATGATCATACTGTTCCATTACATCTGTACCCTTTAAAATTCCCACATGGTTCATTTTCATATTCAATACCGCAACAACTGTCAGCTCCGAATCTGTCATTATATGTATTTCCTTTTCTATTAGTCTTTTTTAATCTTGCAATCTAATTGAGTAGTATTAAACAAAATTACTGCATCTCATTCTTCTCTCGGAAAAGTGGTTGATTAATGATTGTCATTATAATCAAATCGACATATTTTTAAACCTCTGAAGTACCTGAATGCTCACCTCACCATCCCATGATTCTCCAGTAAGGCTGGTTTCTCATGAAGCAGCATCTTTAATTTCGACACCATGTAAAAATAAGACCATATATGACTTGATATTCTTGTATCAACAATTAATCAAATAATAGATAACTTCGTTTACAAACTGAATATGTCTTATCGATGAATGTCTTTGGTTCAAATTATCAGACCAATCGATTTGTGTCATGAATAATACATTTATTGACGCCGAGTGTTTAATTAATTGATCGTTTAATTGACTTTTTGTTTCAAGGTCTTTCATCAAAGTCAATAATTTACATTACTTCTTTTCAGTATGAAAATTTTCAATGCCTAATGACCAACACCTTGTAATATTTTGCTTGACAATACGTTGAGGTGAATAACTTATTAATGAATTATAACAATCTAGTACTGACAATAATTCCTCGTCATCCGCTGCATGATCCCTGAGTCCAACCCGCAATATGAAGCATACGTTGAATACAATCTTTCCAAACTCTGGTGTTAAATCTGATTAATCATTGGTGAACATTTGTAACCGCCAAATATCAACAACAAACGTACCAACTGACGCCCATTTGTAGACATTTAGTATCTGATGATCCATCATAGCATTGAATATGGGCCACCAAGTGTCAAAAGAGCCTACATCCTTGTTTTTACCTTTGTATCTCTGTCTTAATCATCATCAGACCCATTATTGATTAGAGTCTAATTACTTCAATTATTTATTTTCTTCTGTTATTGACATTTTGGATCCATAAATGTCCTCTAAGTGGTTTCCATATTTGTTATCGCAAATGCACTTTGAATGTAGATTCAAGAACTTACTGTTTAGACTAAACACCATCGACAGAAAAATACTAAAATTTGCGATGAGCTAAATGTGGACATCAAGTTCATAATCAAAAAACAATCTTTAAACTTAGGCTAACTACATAGTATTCATGTCATTTTATTACATACAGAATGTGAACACCAACGGTAATCTGGCTTAGGTGCAAAACTTCAGATAATATCTACATAAACTGGTAACACAATCAATTCAATAAAATTGTTATTCATTTTGTGATCAAATTACTTAGTAAATCTATTTTTGTTTTAAGATTCCTTTAAATTTTCAGTATTAGGTTTATATCATCGTATTTCAAATTGATCACAAATTGTCAATTGAGTTCAACCTGTTGAACCTATCAAGTTCGATAATTTAATACCCATTCGGAACAACTATCACAAATTGGGATAAATATTGATGCGATTTGGAATCCCATTAGGTTTGTTATCAATTTGTATGTTCCTCATTACAACTTCGGCCTGAAAATTTACATATGTTGCTGTTGTTGAAGTAACAAATGTTACTCAACAAATCGCTATTTTAATCATAATCCATAATGAAATGTCAAATAAGCACAAGACTGACTACAATACTAGAGAAAAAAACAAATCATTCCCACCAATTTACATATCACCACAATTATCTTTTTCCATTCGTTATTGAATTTACGGAGTGATGGATTGTCAAAACGTTAGAGCTATTGGTTCACTTAAATTTGACATTGGCTTATTTGGGGTAGCTGTACTAGAAAAAAGTAATAAATTGTCTGCTTTCGTTAATTATTGCATCCGATAATAACAATATCGGTATTTTCAATGAATTAAATAATTTCGAAAGATGCTTCAAGAAATCAAGCTAACGTCATTAGCATGTAATTTGATTGAAATTGGTCAGGTCTAAACTTTTAATTTCCAAAGAGCACACGTACTGCTGTGTGTTTACTTAGGGTTTCCTTAATAATTTGACGAAGGAGCTGGGGATTACAGCAGACCTTGAGTTTAATTTTACTTACATAAAGGAGTGGTAGTCATGATGACTCGTTGGTAGTTGAAATGAATGGTCAAACATCAATTTATTTAAGTGTTTATAAAATGACACTATCAGCACTGTGTTTGTTATATTTTGTACTTTTTTTTATATGTTGTTTTGATTGACCGTGAAAAAGCAGTAATGAAGGATTTCAAAAGTATCGAAATAACTTACAGGAAAATCAGCGAATGAATAAATGTATATATTAGTCAGAAGATTATTCAAGAGTTATTCATTGATTTAATGAGATGCAATGAATTTAATAAATGCTGAAATTGTTTGTCATTTAACATTAGTACTTAACCAAGTCCTCGATAGGAAATGCTGGAATAATTTCAATTTCTAAATGAGTTACTCTATCAAATCTTGAGGTAAAAACTTCCGATAAAACTAATTCATGAATATGTTTTGATAGACCAATATGTTTGTCTAATGACATGCATTTTTTATTAACTATCATATCATTAGCAACTTCAACAATAACTTTATCAATATCATCTCTTTTTATTAAGTTTTCTAATACAACTATGTGTGATTTTTTAAATTCTAATTCGGGATTTCTGTAAATGGCATTTTTAATTTTAACATATTTTACTGATTTCAAATATTTTTTATAAGTGAGGTATATATGAAGGCCATATGGGTCGTAGTCTGTAATTACTATTGGTTTTAACTTTGTACATGATTTTGAAATGAAATCCAAGAATTTACGAACCAACAGATCAGGAAATCCAGAACCACTAATGACAATGAAATTTTTCCATTCATTTTTACCTTGGTTAAATTCTTCTAAATAATTTTTGACCAGTCTCAACATACAATTTTTTTCTAAAATAACAACTGAAATAGGTCCATCAACTTGCCCAACCTTTTTGAAGATTTCAGCATATTCCTCATCTAACTTGTAATTCATACCATCAATTAAATCTGAATAAATTTTTGCAGAACTTTCAAAATATATATTTAAATCATCAGTCAATTCATAGTCAAATATTGTTGCAAAACTTTTCAAATATCTATAACAATGATAAACCGTTTTCCAAACATGAGAAAATTGATAATAAATTTTACGAAAAGCAATTTTTTTTTCAGAACTCATAAGTGAAGCAAGTGATTGAATTAAAATTAGCCATCTTGTTTTTTCTCTTAAACTTTTCCTTAACCCTTGAACTCTGACATCAAAACTACCATACATTTTAAAATGAAGCCAAGCTGTTGTAGCAAGACTCATGACCGTGTCATAAGGATTCTTCAATTTTTTTGACCTATCAATATATACTGTTGGGTTTTCTAGTTCTTGTGACATTATTAGTGAATGATTGATTTTTTTGATATTAATTACGAAATACAATAATGAATTTTTTTGCGGTAAGAGACGATTATATATTATATTTTTTTGAAATTAAATTTTTTAATAAATTAAAACGAACAACGAGGGGAAGGTTCTTATTTTCCACTTCATATGCATTTTTTGCATTTGTTACTATTTGACTTCTTTTTGAATGTAATTTAATTATTCATAAATTTGTTATCACAGATTAATTCTCGTGTTTCAAATTGTTAAAAAATAATTTATTATCAAACATGTGAAACAAAAATCTTGGTCATTTTCAAAACTTTATCTTATTTTTTCTTATCCGAATATAGTCCGGTTTAAAAACAATGAGAAATTTTGTTTCATCTAAATTTTTATAATAATTTTTCTTAAAGTACTAAAATTAGAGTATTGAGACTAACAGGATATTTTCCTATTCTACATTTTCATATTTTACAACTTAGATCAGATGTATCATTCCTACATAATGTATTTAAGTTCACAAAAAAAAAATTAAGGTGATCAGCTAAGATCCTTTCTAGGTATAGTTCCTGATTTTGTTTTAATTGGAGGTACAAATGAATATGGTTCTTCATCAGGAACATAAAAATGGATCATGTCATAATTCAAGCCTTCAGCTTCTTGAATGTCTTTATGAGGAACATCATTTAATCTAGCTAATTTGTATTTTGTTCTTTTAAATTGATGATTAAGCAAAGATATTTCAACTTTTTGTTGTTCTTTTGTTTCGTTCCCCTCTTGAGTATGTTTTTGATCAACATCATCCACTTTTGTAGCATTAACCAAATTTTGACTTTGAACACCATCTGCGTTGATATTTTTATTGGTAGGTTTATTTTTGTTGGCTGCGTCAGACATAATGATAATTTTCTTGAATGAATTTAAGGATCCTGATCAATATGAGTTCAGCTGAAGTAATGGCAAGAAATAGCATATTTATAGATTGAATTGAGACTTCCTCAAGTTCATTATCGAAGGAGTTTATTAACATGTTTTAAAAGCGAGTCGGTAAAACATATATAAGTGTTGAATTAGTTACTCCATTCAATTTATGAAAAGGTTGTATGTGGTTTGTGTCAAAAGTAATCTAATCTTGGAATTTGGTACATTGACCAACCAAAATTTGAAACTTAAAATTTAATTTATTCTCAATTCGTCAAAATAAACACATACAAATTATAACGATCACAGAAAAAAATTATTTAGACGAAATTAACTGAAACAAGTTACTACAAATCAACCCCGTAAATGCAAGATTAATATAAATAAATCAATAAATTGCTTTTTTTTTTTTCTTTTTTCAATACATTAAACGTTTATTAGATTCGTAGTACTTTATAATATATTAGTTTGTTACTTACTTTTACTAGGTTGAGTTTTGATTTTGTTTATTCTCTTTCAATGTTTCACCTAGATCAAATTTGTTCCTACATCTGAATGAATTTTTGAGGCTGAATTCATGGATGATTGTTATAAATTTTATTGTATCTTGTTGTTGATTTTGTATTTCAGTACCTTTTGTTAGTTTAATGAAAACGATATTGACGATAAATTTTCATTAAAGTTTGAAAATAATTTAAGTAGTGGATTTGCTCACTCATACGTTCTTAAAAGTTTCCCATTCACTTATACCCCGCAGTATGAAGCTGTTGTACATTAGGTTTAACGATTTGTTTAGTTTTGAAGAGTCTAGCCTCGTGAACTAATGAAATAATTAAAAAAAAAATATTTTATTATATTTGGATTAAACTTAACCTTTGTTTCAAAGTTTAGATTTCGGATTTAAGATAATTGTTGATATTTTGTTGCTAGGTGCTGTAATTCACAAAAGTCATAAATTTTATACGTTTCATCTGGCATCAAGTAGGCGTGTCATCTACAAAACTTTTTTAGTTATGTAATGAGTCAAAATATGACTAGTGGATGAAGCTTATATGAGGTCAATCTATAATGTAATTTTTTTTTTTAGATGTTTCATCTATTTGTGTTACAAAAGCAACGAAATAAATTAGTTATAATATCAAAATTCGTATTGATGAAATTTTTATCTTTATTTTTTCAAGTTTTATAATCTGTAAATATAATATACAAAATTACAGTTTACAAAATGCAATCAGAGACACGAAAGTACCATCAATAAATTATGCTCAATATAAAGGCACATTAATTTCAATTAAAAAAAAAATGTTCAATTTAATCATCCCAAATCACATTAAATCAAAATCATTCATCATTCAAAATGTTCATTGTCAAGAGTGATGATCATCAATGTATATTAGAATATAAAACTTTGGATGAATTACCAACATTTCCATATTACCCTACCAAACCATTTAGTATAATCTTGGATATTTCTGTAAATGGATATTTATTAAAAGAAAGTGTGTACCACCCTTTTTTGAAGGAATTTGGAAAAAGTTTCAACAAATTTATGAGTAACAGGTATTACAAAACTAAATTGAGCTATGATAAGGATGGTCATTCCATAGTACTTCAATGTACTTGCAAAATCAAAAATGAGAGTTCCATGAAATTGAGATTTGTGGTAAATGAATTTGAAGGTACTATTTTAAAGTTCAACATCAGGAGCAATTCAACAATTAGTTTTCCAGGTATCAAAAAATCTTTAAATTTATTGCTTTCAAGATGGATTATTTTAGAGGATTACTTTTACCCTTTAATTTACCTGGTCAAAGCTAGACAACAACTTAAAGAATGTATTGATTTATCCAATAATTTTTTACGTGATAGTTACAATCTTCCAACTTTATTTGGGAACTATTATGCTGATACTATAAATTCAGACAATGGAAATGAAACTCAAACAACTGGTACTCAAGCTATTGGAACTCAGGCAATTGGAACTCAAAATTCAGAAGAAGTAGAAGAAGATTATTATGTGGCTGAAATTTTTGTTGAAGAGGATATATTTGATGGTGATGAAACAGATAATGGAATTAGCATGGATGATGATGAAGATGACGCAGATTCTGAACGTGGTGCTGAAGTTCCTAATGATGCCAAGATTGTTCACTTAGGTCAAGATCGTAATTTAAGTTTACAAGATGTTCAAACAAATTATGCAATTATCATTAATCAATTGCAAGAAATTGCTATTTATGTTGATTCGAATCCTCAGTCTTTGGCTGAAGAATTCATTTTTGGTCGCTCTTTGCTAAAGGATGTCGTGGAAAATCATCAAAGTTCAGGTTGTTTGATCAATTCAATTAAAACTCATAGAATTTTCATAGCTGCTCAAACCGCAGCAAAAATGAAGCTTTTGATAGTTTTGGAGTAAACATGATTAAATCATGAGTGAGAAATAATATATGATATTAGTTGTTTAATTCCATAATATAATATTATTGGTTGGTCTCACTAAATAACAAATTTATCAATTTTCTTTTATTATTCAATATATTTACTTAAATTTTTATATTTATATTTTTCAAAAACCAATAAACACTCTCATATAATAATAAATTTTCATGATCGTTTATCTCATTAAATATAAGTAAATACTGTTGTCAAATCTACGTAGAATTACTTATTTAGTCTTAATTATGCAAACAATATTATATTAACTGTAAACAATTAATAATTTATTCTGATAGTATTCAACTTTCATTAAATTCTTTAAGTGATTTAACTGATCCTACTCAATTAGTTTTGCAATAGTTATTTCTGATTACATTTGAATAGATATTAGTCAACGTCGAAGCTAAATAGGAAAAGCTGGATTTTTTTGTTTTTTTTCAGATTGTTCAAATGTTATTAATTAATGACCACTAGCAGAATAAGATGAGACTTTTAAATTCAAACTTAACTACTGTTGCGTGCTGGCAAGTTTACGACAACAGGGTCGGAGATCAAAAAATACCTAAACAGCTTTGCTAATATCTTAAATTGGTATCCAGGGTTCCACAGCTTAAATATTAATTATATATTAGAGTTATTAAAGATTTTACTATTCCGCAATTAGAAAGTTAGATTGAAAATTTATCAAACCGAAAACAATTTTATTCATTCTAATATTTAAAACCCAGTTACAAATAGAGATATTGAACATGAAAAGTATATTCATTGAAATTTGTAATCTGATTCGTATTTCTTCGATTTGAATTTTTTTTTGTAATTTTTGACATTAATCACCATCATCATCACCTTATCTTCTTCTTCTTTTGCTTCTTCTTTGGTATTCCTCTTCTTCTTCTTCTTCTTCTTCTTCTTCTTCTTCTTCTTCTTCTTCTTCTTCTTCTTCTTCTTCTTCTTCATCAACAACAACATCATCTTCTTCTTTTGCTTCTTCTTCATCAACAACAACATCAACTTCTTCATCAGCAACAACATCTTCATCAACATCATCTGTTCTTGAACGTTTTGAAGATTTTGAATTTCTTTGATCCGCTAATCTTGAAGAACGTCTTAATCCTCCTGATTCATTACAGTCATAATTGGTGGAAGTCTTTCTTTTTTTATTCGATTTACTACCAGCACCATTTTCAATTCTTTTCGTAGCTTCAAAACAAGGACTCCAATTTAGTGGCTTTTGATATTTAATATAAATAATGTCAATAATGCTCAACCCATTAAATTCATTGATCTTAGATTTTATTTCTTCAATAACATTATCTGACCCCAAATTTTCAAATACCTTTTTAACTTTTGAAATTTGATCAGTTGAATAAGTTTTATTTCTAAATTTTCTATTCAAGTCCTTAAAGCATTTTAGTAAGGCAGAACCATTTCTTCTGAGTGAATAATCACTTTTCAATTTATTCATAGCTTCTAAAACTGAACCTGATCTAGTTAATCCATATAGTAATACTAATTCTTCTTCATTATCATTATACAAAGTATTTTTCAATGATTTAATTTTCAATTTGGTGAAATAAAGATATACAACATCTAAAATGTCTAAATTTTGTAGACTTTCTTTTTTGGTTTCAATATCTTTTAATATTGTATCTGGTGTAGAATTTTGAAAATTAGCTCTAACAAATTGTAATTGATCTTCTGTATATATTTTACCATTTAATTCAGCACTTGTTCTAACCCATAAAGTCTTAAGCCCACTCGGAGTTCTTGTAAATTTAGTTTCACTTAACAATTTAAAAGTTTTTTTCAATGCATCACTTTTTAACACTTCATACACTAATGTTAATTTATCATGAGGGGTATAATATGTGTTTTCTAATGAGTTACTTTTTACCATTTGAAAGTAGATATAGATTATATCATAAGCATCCAAGTCTTCAAAATCTTCAACTTTGTACCTAATTTCTGCTAGTAAATCCGAATCTTTTGTATTTTGAAATTCTTTACTAACTTGTTCAACTTGATTAGTAGAATAATATTTGTGTTTTAGGATTGATGTCAAACCATAGTATACGTTACAAAGTGATTTTGCACTTCTTCTTTTAAGATATTTTAAATTCAACTCTTTAAATGCATCCATTATTGAACCACTACTTGACAAGCAAAAAAATAATACTAATTCTTTATCATTGACCGTGTATTTGTCTTTTTCATTTATAATATCATTATATGCAATGTAGATGATGTCCAATGAGTTTAAGCCCTGAAATGCTTTTGAAAAATTCTTGATTTCACCTAATAACTTATTTTTAATTTCACCTAACGAATGATTGTTGTTTGAAATTGGGAATTTGGTTTTAACAGTAGTAACTTCATCCCAAGTGTAACTATTACACAGCAATTTTTTTATTATATCTTCCACATATTCAGTAGCGGAATTTAAATCCATATTAAAATAATAACCATGGTTTTTCAATGATATTAAAGCATTTTTTAATGAGTTGTTATCGACATAATATGAAATTAATAAAATTTCACGTATTTTAATATCAACATCAATTTTTTTATTTTGTTTTATAGCTTTTTGTGTTTCA